CAATTGTTGACAAGATTGATCTAAGTGTGATTGAAACAAAACTTAACCATTATAAATAATAATAATAATGAATTTTATTGAAGTCTCATGTCTTATAGCTCAGGCACAGTGCCTTACTAATTGGGGAGACCATTGCCAGGAATAAATCGCAATTTTTGGTATTGAAGCTCTGAAATGCTGAAATCATAATAACAATAATAATAATTATCATGATGGTTAAAGTCTATTTCTTAAAAAAAAATAATGGCTTCAGTTTTACAAAACCATGTTGTAAATTGGAGTCACTCAGCTCTCCAATACAGAGTACTTATGCTCAGACCCCAAGCCCCAGTTGTTTAAAAGTTAGATAAAGCTATATCCTCTGGATAAATCACTATGCAGCGGATAAGTATTAGTACGCAAACCAACTGCATTATCCACTGATAACAACCATTACCAGGTCTAAATTGCAATTTTTTGGCATTGCAGCTCTGAAATGCTAATAATAATATTAATAATTCTGATAAAAATAATAATAATGATGATAAGAATAATGATAATGATGACAATAATAATAATGATGATAATAATGATAATAATAAATTAATGATGGATCAAGTCTACTTCTAGCAAAAAGTTTGGCCTTAAGTTTTACAAAACCACAGGGCTCCAACACACAATACTTCTGCTGAACCCCAAGCCCTAGTTGTTTAAAATTTAGATAGCACTATACCCACTGGTTAAATCACTATACAATGGATAACTATGAGGGAAACCAATTGCATTATCCACTGAATAAGGATTTTAATCCAGTGGATAGTGTTTCCACCTTTTGAACAATAAATGAAAAAACTATGCTGTTGGCTTTTAACCAGACATCCAGTCATAAACGGCAGTGAAGTTAGCTAGCTCATAATTTCTTTGCCATAATTGGATCAAGTGCCTGTGAATCTGCAAGTGTAGTTTAGAAGGTACAATTGCACTATTAAGAATAACAAACTTATCTTTTCCTTTGTTTTATTACAACACCAAATAAAAGAATCCGAATTTTATGTACTCATTTCTAAAGAATCTTTGTTGTATAAATAAAGAAAAATCAAAGCTACTCAATCACGCAGGCTTTGGACATTTACTGGAGACCCTGCAGAGCTAACTAATTGGAATGAAATATTGCGGGAAGAAAAAAAATAGAGGTAAAATTTACAAGATGACACAAGAGCCTCGGGGCACTTACATGTACCTCTTACAATACAGAACCTGTCTAAGAAGCATTTCAATTCCATGATAAGGAGTATGTGCCCGCGCATTCTCCTGTTCTTCTCGCAGTCTTTGCAAAAAGTTAGCTTGCAAACACTACAGCCCCTGGCTCTTTGAGAATGGCTTAATGGACAGGGTGTTCTCAAATCAAAGACCTATATAAAAACGAAGACCCTAGACATAAGACCCATGGACTAAAATGACGTCCAACGGACTAAAAAGAAGGCCTGGTGGACTAAACTAGACCAGCCTCTGGACTAAAACGAAGACCCTCTGGACTAAAACAAAGACCTTACCTCAAACTGGCAGCTTGCTTTCATGCATGATTGGGTGCTATACACACAGTTACACATTGTTTTGGAACAGAATCATTGCCCTTGCAGATTGCTTAGCTCTTTTTCAGCCACACTTCACTATAAATAATCAGTCACTTCACTCGTGCGTGAATGCTAGCTGCCAGTTTGAGACAAGGCCGTGCTTTTGATTCAAGGGTCTTCGTTTTAGTCCACTTTCGTCTCGGCAGGGGTATTTTGCAGACCGCAGAACGCTGAATGCAGAATGCACAACGCCAAATGACTCCGAAGTTTAGCGATTAGGGTTAAGAAACTGAGTAAATCAGGTTCCATTTAGAGTCATTATACCGGAAAAATTGACCTGAAACTTCATTCACTCGGTTTCCTAACCCTACTCACAAAACTTCAGAGTCATTTGCCGTTCTGCATTCTGCATTCAGCGTTCTGCGTTCTGCAAAACCCTTGCCGCTTTAGTCTTCGTTCTTGGATCTTCGTTTTATCACGGAATCACGCCCTCGGACATGCAAAAAGCTTGAGGATATTTCCATTTCAGGAAACTTTTCTAATGGAATTTTAATTTTTCCTTCTCGGGTATGAATTGCGTTGAAGGTAGTGACAATATAGGAGAAGCTTCTATTCATATTCCCATCGAAGTTTTTTGACCACGTGCATTATCTCATAGAAAGTCACTACGAGCATAACGGCACACGTACTTGGCTTTTCACCTCAGCAGGAGGAGTTTACACATCTTTTCAAGCCTTTAAACTTTGAAGATAACAAACCTAACACACTTAATTTCCACACATCAGTTTAAGATATAGCTACGGTGCCAGCAGTATAACAATAACTTACCTCACAGCACATGGGATTCAACCAGCCGCCATGTTTAAAACCGCTTAAATAACAAACCTGGCTACAATAGCTATTGTTTATCTTTTCGATTCAACCAATGCGCATCGAGGCCAAAAATAGTAACGTGAAACCAAAATTGAGAAGAATATGATCATAGCAGCGATATATCTCGCTTTGCTCAAGATACATACAAGCCGATGAAAATTTTGACCGAGCTTTGTAAGCAGGCAAGTTTTTAGCAGATAATGCAGTCTTATCCCTTTCGAGAAACTTGAATTTTGGTTTGTGACGAGAACAAAGTGTCGTACGGTCGAGCCTTGGACGTAAACTTTCCTTACCCTCCAGAGAGGGGCTGGAACTAAAAGGTCTAAAGATACACTCAAAACTCCAAAGATATAAAGCAAGCACTTTTCAACCGTAAAAACTGGAAGTTAGGACACAGGGCGAGCCAGCAAACCATGGAAAATTTTTAAAGTTACAAAACAATTGAAGAAGCAAAAAAAAATTAGCTAAAAGGTAACCGTTGTAAATGAGTGTTTAACCCTAAACTGCCCTTATCACTAATCCATAAAATGAGTGCTTAACCGGCCTAATCAGTGAAAGTCCACTTAGTATACAATAGACCTTGTCACGGTTTTGGAAGCCATCTTGACGAGTACTAACAAGCAACCGCCTGAGAAATTACATAGAATCTAATGTCTAATAATTTTCGTAAAACCGCTGTTCTGAAAAAAATATGAATTGTAAACTAAAGCTTCACTCCTAACGATTTTACTGAAAAAAATTGAGAGTGTTGCTTGCAGCTACATGCGCTAGAACCACTTTTTAAAATGTTCAATACATTTGTCTGTAAAAATGCATGTTTCTTCCTGCCGACTAAAATTTCCCGGGAAAAATTGCAGGCAAATATATGGAAAATCTAAGCGTCTAGAGAAATTTAGCAGGGGCACCCAACGAGAATATAGTTCAAAACCACTAAAACATAGCATTGTTAAACGTATTTTGGTATTTAAACGGTAGATATAGGCATATTTTTATCCCCTAAAAATTTTTCATCAGTTCGGATTTCCTAGCTGAAAGTCTAGTGATCCGAAAATTACAATTACAAAACTTACCTTTTCGAAAATTTCAGCCAGAAAAAAGACTCCCGAAAATTCTAGGTGACCTTTTTAGGGTAAAAATCCGTTAAAAATAGGCAATTATACCATATTTTAGATGTTCGAAAATCCTAGGAGAAGCAGGGAAGCAAGAAATTTTACAACAAATGTTCCGAAAATTCTAGATATCAAATCGTCTTCCGAACAGATATTTTCCCGAAAATTGTCGTTGGGTGCCCCTGATTTAGGCACAGTAACGACCCCCAAGGTTTGTTAGTAGAATCCTTTGCTGTGTAGCTTTGGTTTACAATTCATATTTTTTCAAAACAGCCGTTTTACAGAAATTATTCGACATTAGATTCTCATATACGTACAAACACTGTAATTTCTCACGCTGTTGCCTACACTCGTCAAGGTCTGTATGCGAGCCAGCGAGCCAGCAAGGCTGGCACTTTGGTCATCCCCAACTCCACCTTTAAGCCGCTGCGTCACTATGTGAGGTTTTGCTGCTCGAACCTTTTGCACCCATAAGAAAATAAGCAAGAACCATTTTTCATGTATTTACAGTTTTATTTTTTCACAGATCGTAGATTGTCTGCACTGTCTGGCCCTAAAACTGGTATCCGAGGGTATCATTCGAACCTTTCTCGCGTTCATCTCAGGCTGTCTTTCTTTTCGGAAATTAATTTTGAATCAAACAGTGAAAACAAATTTTAAGTTAGACTAATTCCGTCCCGGGTGACGATTTTTTCCAGCTGATCGTTTTGTTAAGTTGGCAGTGATCTAAAGTGCCAAGATAAGTCCAGTAGCCTAAAATTCAAGAGCTTTCTTTTACAACTCACATTTTACATAGGTCATAATTACAGGACATCGTTTTATTGATAGTTAACTAAGCCAGATAGTTTTCAGCTTTTAAAGGCAAACTAGAGCCAGTTGCAATTAATTTTCAATCCATTTTATTTCTTTTGCAAAGTCTGTTATTTGTTACATTTATCCGGATCACGCCTAAGTTAAATCGCCCAAACAGAAGCTAAAATAAGTTTAACGAAGACAATTTACAAAAAAACAAAAACAGCGAAGACTCAATGCTTTTAATCTCGTAGTTTTAAAGAAAGATGCGGATTGTTTATGATCAAAATTCAAACCCATGGTCATGGCCAGAGGGTCAGTCTTTATGCACGCTTTTAAAACGCCTATTCCCATCTTTAACACCCAAAATCACCCGCTATACGTGTGTACATAGTCGACAGCTAGTAGCCGCCCTATGAGGTAATTAAAGATAGTCTTGGAATCTGGATTCCACCCCTGGGTTCCTGGTACTGGATTCAGTATTCCTTGTCAGTCGAACAGATTCCCTAATGCTGAATTTTGGACTCCAAACCCAGGATTCCGGATTCACTAGCAAAAATTTCTCGGATTCCAGAATCTGGATTATCTTATATGGGGCAATAGTGGCAGGAATTATTAGATTTGTACTGTAGGAGGGGCAATATATATGAGAAAAGCTTCAGGCATCCAGACTGTTGGCATAACCTTTTATTTCAAGTTCTTTGATTCTTTACTACACAAATTACACTAAGCTAAAATAAATAAGTCCAAAGATTTATCTTTTCACCATTAACTATGATCTTAAATACACAGTCTATTGTATGTTTACAAACCTCATTACTTATGAACGGTACTTGTGTATTAACGCATTAACATTTTAAGGTCAAATTTAGTTTATCATGTATCTGCTCCCATCAAAACTTTTCTGTGTGACCAAACTATGCTATAAATACTATGATTACATTACTGACAGTCTTACCTCGATATATGCACACAATACATTATTAACATTTTTATTACTTAGAGAACACTTTAACATTTGGCAGTTTCACCACGGTGCTTAAAACAATTCATTATCGCAAGAAAATACACAAAAGTTTGGCCAGCTACACTGCGGAAAATTTTTGGTGAAAGTTGTCAAGTTGTAATGTTAGTGCTTAAATGTTTAAAGGCCTTAGGCGCAATGCTGTTTGTTCTGTTTGCATGCATAATCTTTGAACGGAAAACATTCTTGCTTCTGACAGTAGTTAGCCCTTGAGATAAAGCCCCAATTTGAATATCAATTATGCATATTCAGATTCTCCATGCTGTTCTTCATACATTCCTTATGGTACTCGTTGAGAGAATTTGTTCAAACATCAAGACATTCCATCATTGGTGATGATCATTTCATTCATTTCCATGACTGGTATGTTTAATCAGGCAGTATTATTGTTAGGAGAAATTGGCTGCTGGTCACTATTATTTGGACTTAATGGTTAAAAAACAAGACAACACATTATCTGGAACTTTCAAGAGATGGGCCCCAGAAGACAGGGCAGTGCAAGGGCTTTCGTTTAAAATGACACACTAAAGAATTCTGGCTCTGAATAAAAAGTTAGACCTTTGCGTAAGTCCACATAATTAAACAGGATCTTGGAAAAAAGATACAGTGGAACCTCGATATAATGAAGGGGCAAGGGACTGGAAAAATATTATGTTCCTTACATTGACGTTCTTTTCCATACAAGTCATTTTTCTTTTACTGGGGTAAAGATTAAATCGTGCGCTATACCGAGGACTTCGTTATATAGAGGCTCATTATATCGAGGTTCCACAGTATTAGTGACTTTTGATAAACTGTCAGATTCTCCTTCTCTCTTGTGAAAGAACGGGGATTTAACAGTGCATTAAGAGTCACTTATGGCCTTACTCTGACACACTTTAAGCCCCAATACTTACCAGTATTAAATTTTTGCTAACAATATTACTGCCACTAAATCAAATGTACAGGTCAGGGGAATGAATGGAATGATCAGCACTGATGATTAAGAAATGTCTTGATGTTTGAGCTAATTCTCTCAAGAAGTACAATAAAAAACATATTGAAAACAATGAGGAGAGTACACATGTTGATATTTGGGGCTTGAAGGATTAATAGGCCATTTGCATGAAGAATTGTGGTTGCAGTAGTAAAAGGATGTCATCATGCAATGTTGCATTGACTCTCAGAGTAAAAGGATTATATCATTAATATTAATCTCCTAGCTAACGCTGCTGTTCTACAAACGTCATAGCAGAGATCATAGGCTGAGTGAGACTTGGAGGCATGGACTGAACCCCATCCAGGATATTGGCTGTGATGCTATTGACCCTATAGGAAGAAATAGAACAAAACATTAGAGGGAATTAAGGATGGATGTTTTTTTTAAACTTATTTATACATGAAAAATCATCAGTTAAAAAACTATACTACTAAATAAAAGTAAACTATTAAAATCTAACTCATTCACATGATTGCTGTGTGGGAGCCTAATAAGGAAGAAGAGTAAGTTTTGAGTTTATTATCCAGGGACACCCAACATCAATTTTCGAAAAATATCTCTTTGGAAGATGATTTGAGATCCAGAAATTTTGGAACATTTTTGTAAAATTTCTTGCTTGCCTGCCTCTCCTAGGATTTTTGAACATCTAAAAAATGGTATAATTCCCCATTTTTCATTTTCAGGAGCCTTTTTTCTGGCTGAAATTTTTGAAAAGTTAAGTTTTGATCCCTATAATTTTCGGATCACTAGACATTCAGCTAGGAAATCCAAACAGATGAAAAATTTTTAGGGGATAAAAATATGCCCATATCTACCGTTGCAATATTTAAATACGTCTAACAATGCTATGTTTAAGTGGTTTTGAACTATTTTCTTGTTGGGTGCCCTGATTATTTTAAACTCCCAGGGAGTCACATTCCCTAAGGTCTAGTGGCAGAGGATTCCACAAGGCAGCACCGCTATACACTGTATGAAAAGCTGCACTTCAGATACTCTGTCTGAGGCTTAGGCAATGCAAGTTTGTTAACTGCGTTTCTTAAGAAGCACTTTTTACTCAGTTGTTTCGCACAAGATTATAGGATGGCTACATTTTTTTGTTGCTAAAATAAATATAGTCTGCTTCCTTCCGGCCAAGATTCTCAACTTAATTACTCTCTTTCAGATTTTTGCAGGGTTGAATTATTTTTCCTGATGTTATAACTGCTTTTAGAATTAAAAAATTAATGTAAAAAATCATATTTTTAGCATTGATGGGCATCCAAACAGTTGTGTTTGTTACCGAAAATCATTGTTGGCCTTGAAGAGACTAAGAATAATTATCATTATTCTAGTAGCAGGAGAAAGGTGTAACATTACAGAAATTACAGACTTCACGCCTGAATATAAAAATAGTCATAGGCTATCAAAAATTTGGAAGAGAATTTTGCATAGTGCATAGAATTCTCCGATATCTGATACCTAATGAACACTGTGTTCTCCTGGCCTAAGAGCTGGCTCAAACTGGTTATCATAACTAGTGACAAATATCACATTCATTATGTCAACAAAGACAATTAATTATTTTGATTCTTACCACTCTTTCTGGTTTTGGGGAAGTTTTGGAACTGATTCTTTGTCCTTTGGAGCTAAGCCAGCTTTCAAACTCTTGAAATTTGATTCAATATTTTTCTTGTAGTCTGCTAAAGGGGGACCTGCTTGATTCACAGATTGCTGTTGAGATAAAAGCGCTTAAGTCACATGTAGCACTTAACACAATTTGCCAAAAAAAACTACAAATGGTGTAATGTGGTTGAAATTTCAAATGTTACAGTTGATCCTGTAAGGATGAATCAATTAACTAAGTTTGCTCTGCTATGAAAACAAGTTGATCTCGGCATGACCACATAAACTGCTTGTTCTGTTTTCAATGGAGCAAGGATTTCTGTGCGAGAGGTTTTGAGTTTAATTCCCAGGTGAGGAAATCCTTTCTTCGACTTTTTTCCTTTCTTTATAGCATTATTAAAAATAGGTTTAAATACCTGTAAAATGGAGCACTGATAGAGAGGGAGGGGAATTAAGGGGAGTAAAATCAGGGGCACCCAACAACGGTTTCCTCTTAAATGCATTGAAAAAACCTTTTAGGCTATCCAGAGTACTTTTACATCTCTAGAAATGCATTCTAAGCGGTGCTATAAAATTTGTATCTGTTTGGTCATCCTAGGCAAACTTGAGTCTTTTCGAAATTACAAGGGCTACAGTATTGTTTTCGTGAAATTTTAGATGCAGTTTAAAGTTTTAGGGAAGAAAGAATTTTTCTGATATTTCCTTTTTGTATTGCATTTTTGAATCTGAAAATTTTAGGTTTCCTTTTTGTACAAAAAATAGCTTGTCCTGGGAGTGAAAATATAAGCGAAAAATTAATTATCTTTAGAAAATAGTAGGGAATTTATTAGATATACTCTGAAAAATGTTTCATGAATGGGATGGTCATCTAGAAATTGTTAGCCTGCCTTAAGCTACAGAAAATTCTGGGCGATTTTTGCTTCTCCCAACAGATTTTTTCAGGAAACAGTCGTTGGGTGCTCCTGTAAAATGAGTGCACCATATTTGCCTCAGGTTTGTAAGTTGGAGTACTGCATTACCAGTTACCGACATAAAGAAAAGACCTTTAGCTTTATACCTTGCATTCTAAATTTGCACTTTGCTTAATACAAACGGCACAAGTTACACTAAAAAAGACTTTACAATAAAATGCCATGGACACTCACATAGAGCTGTGCCGTTTGATGAGCCATGTACTTGTGATTTGTAAGATTGAATGCATCACTGTTCAGCTGGTGACTCAGAGTAATAAGCTGATTCAACATCCCAAGGTGCTGGAAATAACCTATAACGTGAAAACACAAAAGTTGTACCTTGACACACAATCAGGGCTGTGACTAAGATATTTCAAGTTCCCAAGTACAACAAGTAGACGATCATGAGGTATCAAACAGTTGGGATTTCTTTCGGTTCTATATTTTTCTTCTATTTTTTAGAAAGGTAGCAAGGAGTCTGTGCTTTCAAAGTACAGTGGAACCTCGATTTAATGAACCTCTATATAACAAACAATTTTTTTCAGCCCGCCCAAAATTACAATAAAATGTATCGAACAGACCCTTGGTATAATGGTCCTTGATTTAACAAAATCCTCATTATAAGAAACACAATCCAAAAATGCAAACGTAAAATGTACCTTTGCAACGAATCAAGATTAACATGTAATTGAAAGATAGCTAAAAAGAAAGATGAATGCAAAACAGACCAACAGGGATAAAATGAATGAGTACAGTAGTTTAAGCAGTTTTTTTTTAGCCTTTCTTGTGTTTCTAGTGCCATAGCTATGTACAGCTGTGAACTGAGACAATGGCTTCTTATGCAAATGTTATTAATTACAGAAATTGTCCAAATCCGGAAATGCAGGGCTTAGGAAATTGATCATTAACCATACCTAGCTGTAACGAACGTTTTGCTTCTTTTCCAAAAAATTTGTTATATCAAGGTCTTCGATATAAGGAACCCTCAATGTTTAAGACCAAACCTAACCTAAAGTGTGACCATTCAAATAAAAGTTACTGGGCAGTACTTTCCTGTGGTACTGTTTATTATGCTGTACAAGGTGGTTCTAACTTTCAAGTCCGTGGATGAAATCCTCAAGAGTAACCATTCAAATGAAAGCTACTGAGCAGTACTTTCCTGCTGTACTGTTTATTATGCTGTACAAGGTGGTTCTAACTTTTGGGTCAGTAGATGAAATGCTACGTAAAAGTTACTAAGCAGTACTTTTTCTGTGGTACTGTTTATTTTGTTGTACAAGGTGGTTGAGTGAGCTGTATAGTCAGTCTCTAGGCAAAATTGTACTTATTATTTTTTGCTCACTGTACATATTTTTATTGCAACAAAAATAAATTTTATCATAAAAAAATCCTAAAGTAAAACCATTCAAATGAAAGTTAACTAAGTAATACTTTTGCATGGTTCTGTTTATTATGCTGCGCAAGGTGGTTTAGTCAGTGTACTGTTATTGCAAAACAAACTTTAGTATGAAAAGTAATTCCAGTACCATCCATAGAAGATTTATGGCTCTGGAAAGCCGGCCTTTCTGGATTTGTTAAGTAGGATGTGACCCTTGGAAAGAGTAAGGAAAGTCCAGTCTGCCGAAGGTACTCCTGATAAAAAAAAAACGATTTATGAAAGCAAATATTTAAATGAAGTTATGTAAAAATATATCAGTTAAAATAAATCGCATTTCAGTTCTCCAGAAACACCAGAAACCAGCAAAAACTGCTGTCTGGCTAAGCGACAGCTACTTGCAAAAAATAAAAATAAATAAATAAGGGAAATCATAAACCACTTATTGTTGTTTCTCAGCACTAAGGCAAAGCTTCCGATAGGTTGCAGAGAAAAAAGTTAAATTTTGCAGGGTTTTTCAGGGACAAATTTGCAGAAAAACCGGCTAATCTCATGGGATTTTCATGGGAATTTTCGAGGTAGTCTTCGCTGAGATACACTTGCTACTTTGAATGATAATCAGTGTAATTTAATTGCACACAAATTTAATAATGCTCTACTACTCAAAAAAAAAATCCACTTACTGTAAGTGATGGTCTTGGGTCAGGAAGAAAATGTAACATTTCCCTCATTTTTTCAAAGACTACTTGAGCTGTTAGAAAAAAGGAAACAAAGTTAATGATCAAACTTTCAGAACTTTCTGTTCATGTTATACAAAACTTTGAGACTCTACAATAAGACATACATGTCCAAAAGGAAAATTATTTTTACATGTCCTTCTCTCAAACATCCAGGGTGGGGGGGGAAGTACTTCAGAAATTTTTGGGTGAGGATGTGCTGCTGGGACCCTGGAACCCTTAGCCTATACCAGAGCTAGTTTAGCTGAGTTTTGCTACTCTATACTAGACTAAACTCCCAAAATCCCCCCATATCCTAGAGTAGCTGTCTTCCAGAAACTGCTGAGGTCACCAGCATAGTCCAGCCAAAACAAAACCGATTTTGTTTTTCTATATTTTTGAGCGACAATTCCCAGTTTGAGGCTACTCTAGACTAAAATCTTCAACTGACTGATCAGTTTCCTGGAAAATGATACCCTACTGTAGTCCCAAACTCTCTCACTTATATACCCTATCCCAGAGTAAACCACTTAATAACCATACCATTCCCACTGGCACAATTGCTATATAGCCCATGCATGGCAGTACCCCCTACCCCCACCCCGCAAACATCCCAGTAACCTTTGGGCCCATAATGAAATATTCAAATCAAAATCTAAAGAACAAAAGTGCAGGTTGCATCTGAGAAACCAGTCCATTTCATGTTGTTAACTGATAGTTTTATCACATTACCTGCAAAATTTGACTTTATGTCAAAATAACTGATGTCCCTAGGTGGGTATATATCCTGTGTCAAGAAAATCCAGGGGCTGGCCACTACAAACCACCTGGTTGCTTACCAGTAAGTCAAAAGTCCATAAGCCACCTTTCTCTAAAAAGCTCCCCCATCAAATAAACTTCAAATAAATAAGCCCTTAACCTGCAAGCAAGCTCTCTTATTTGGGCGAGATTGAGCGAGTGAGCGGCGAAGCCACGAAGGGCCGAAGAAAGAAGAAGAGCTTGCAACGATCTCTCATAAATTTTCATTTGTACTTCGCCCAGACAAAGGGAAATACCCGGCTGAAAAATGATGTTCCGGAAATTAAAGTTGATTGATAACAGGCCTAGCTGGCCTGTCCTAAATTTTTGTGGGAAATGTAGAGACACGACAAAACCCATGTTATGTTGACGATCACTGAACTTACTCGGAAAAAGAAAACCGGCAAAATAAGAAAATCGCTATCTCCTTCTGTAAGAGATAACTGCCATCTGTGTGGTTGTTCATTAAAATTTTAAAGTCAAATTTGGATCTCAGGCCCGTCATATTGGAACCGAGGACTTGTTTCAGCCCTCAAAGCAGAAGGGCTCGTTTGGCGTAATTGCGTGGTGACTCATTGGAAGAACGGCAAAAACATCTCGATTCAAAAGTAAACTTGACAGGCAGTTGGCACGTTTGTGATGACAGTTTTCACGCTTTGCGGAGTCCTGGGGTTTCCAAGGTGGAAATGAAAATTTATTCAGGGGGAGATCGTTGCAAGCTCTCCTTTCTCTTCCCCGTTGTGTCGTGACTCCCCTCACGTGCCACTCGTGTGTGTACTTTTCACGATTTCCACAAAATGGAGAGCTTGCTCGCATGCTAATAAGCCCTTAGGGGCTTAATAGAGGATTTAAGGTAATAAAAATGGTAATTATGAGGTGAGCTGGTAAATGGCTTATCCCCATGCCACAGGGAGTGGTGGCAGTCTAACTAAACTGTGATTATTCTGTCAAATCCTGGTTCTGGACCCCCAAAGGACTCAACGAATTACCCTGAATTCCCCTTCAACCTGATTGGTGATCAAGACAAACAAAACAAAGGCCCTTTTGCACGTACTCAAATCTTTCCAGAACTCCTGTTAACCTTAGGAGTGGCACTCTCCGCAGATTATTCTGGGAAGGTATCCACACAACCCTTAGGTTTAATAGCTGCATACTTCTAGAGGGAGAAATTTCCGGCACATTGGTAAAATGTCGGTGCCGCTAACTATCAAACAAACCTTTTGGCTCAAATTTGTTTTGGTATTCCACTTTGTGGGCTGCATCAATCTTCCCTAATGTTGTCTAAATTTCAAAGTAAACAAAAATTAGAGCACTCTCATTTAGAAGAATTTATTGAAAGAATCTGGAAAAGACACCTTTTTCACGCTTTAAGGCTATTTTAAACACACCTATCATTATTCTTCTGCATGATTTCTTTCAATTAAAATAAAACGGATGTATATCAGTAAGCTTGAGTGAATAGCACCGTTTACGCAATAATTAAAAGTAATATAAACAAACTTTTTTTTCTTACAGCATATTCCTTCTTGCAAAGTGGCTCTAGCTGAGAGCACAAAGTTAAAATCTCGATGGCTACATCGTCTGGAGAAAACTGGACTTTCCAAAGTGGCTCGTGGAGTCGAACTTCCACTAAAATTCGAAACCAAAACAGCTGAATTATAAAGCGTAAACAATGAGCAAGGTGATGGATGAAAAACCTCACAAACCTTTGAATGATGGATCGTAAGCAAGAGGTGCGCACAATGGTCCATTAAATATCAAAGGTTCTCTGTTCATATTTGCAGCCTGATGCTATCAATGGCTTAATTATTTGCGATTGAAGAAGGTTCCACAAGAAGACGCCATGACAGTTCTCTCCTTTTGTAGTTATCATATATGAAGTACCTACTTATTCAAACAGTTGACCGCTGACCGAGATATTTGCTTTTACGGGGAAAACTCAGTGGGAAGGGTCGGTCAGTTTTTTCTTCTCGGGAGAGCGGGGGGAGAGGTATGTCTCATAAAGATGAACTCTTGCCGATGTCAGTATTTTATTTATTAATTAGATAATATAATTGTAAAGGTGGTCCTATTTACAAGCTTTTTTGGCTTCCTTGGGCTCTCTTGCCTCATTTTTTTTAAACAATTTTATCTGTATATTTTGTATGTATGCAAAATGATGATAAAACAATAAAAAGTCGTTATTACAAGAAACGGTTTGTACGCATCCTCGGCTTGAAAGTAAGGGTTTTTGGAACTCGTAAATGGCCTATTTCTTTCCTCCATTTCATCTGGTTCCCAGTCCCTCGCGATCACTTATACATAAAACTAAGGTGAAATCGGTGGTGGCGACGATGATGACGATGACGATGGAGCCAAAAGAGGGGATGATGATAATAATGAAAAGAAATGAATTATGGCAAAATGGTTTTTATGTCGATGGTGATGACGGTAGTGCTGCTGATTATGATAATAGGGACCTTACGAAACTACGACTGCGACGGCAACGAGAACGTCAAAAAAACAAAACAACAACTCTGCACGTGCATCACGATTTTTTGTACATTTCTTTGTCATTCCTGCACAAGTACGACGTGAAATGGCCAATTTTAAGTTCACTTGAGAACGGGAACGGCAAGCTATAAATTATAGCATCTCTGTCCGAACTCTGGCGCGGTCCCCTCTCTTCAGCTCCTACATAAATTCCCTTCTTTTCAGTACCTGGGCGACTTAGTATAATCGCGAAAAAGTTTAGGATGCGAAGTCTATTTTTCAACGATGTTTTCATAGACGTCGCCGTTGTCGGATCGTAAGGTCCCTAATGATAATGACAAGGAAAATGATAATGGCGACGATGATGATGGCAATGACAACAACAAAGACCATGATAGTCACACCAGCCTGACGCCGATGTTAGCGACAAAGACAGCAACGAGAAAAAAAAAATGAGAATGGAGAGAAGAGGAAACAGATGAAAGAAAACAGCGTTTCATGATTTCAGTGGAAGAAGGTGTTTCATTGTCGTGCAACAAAGTCATAAGTGGCGGAATCTGGGGTGCTGGGGTAGGGGAACGGCTTCAGCCCCCTCCCCTTTATTTTTGTGGGGACACAGCCCTCCCCCCATTTTTGTAAAATAATAATTACTTTTTTTTTATTTTACCACGGTCAACTCATTAGGACTTAAAAACACCACTTTGGAAAGTTCAAGTAAACGTCGACTCGTCTGTTTAAAACAAGAAACAACGTACGTAGCCGACTGGATTGAGACTTTTCATTCTTTCATTCGCACTCCCTCCTCCGCCTCCCCCCCACCCTCCTATGGTAGGCTATCCTATGTAGTTTTGTTGTCGGCACCATTGAAGATTGCATCCTACAGATCCGAAGAGTCCAAAATGTTGTCGGCGTCTTAAAAAAGGACAGAGACCGCTTTTATTGCTTCTTGGGGGGTGGGGGAGAGGGGGTGGTAGGCGCAAAAAAATGGAATGTCCAATTTTATTTTTAGACCCCCACTTTTTATTTCTCTCCACTGCAGCTGAAATTTCATGAATTAGGATTAAAGGCACTGGTACTACTTTCAAATCAATAAGCGGTTTCAAGAGTCCATTATCCGGTGATCTTGTTGTTTTATCTTCTATTTGCACAGATTCCTTCCCACTTGGTGCAAGAGACTTCTTATTATTGGCGGTTTACAGTTACGATCTCTTTTCCGAGTTAATTAGTACACTTTATTTGCCATTGTGCCCTAGAGAAAGACGGTCCCTTTGTAGGTTGCTTCGTGGGCATTTCCTACTTAGAGAAGCACAACAAATCCATTGTTTTTCTAATTTTGAGTCTGTACCTTAATAAATGTAGGCTTGATATGTGGTTTATTGCCTTGAGACGCCATTTGAAATACTTTTTATCATCAGTAATCAGATTCTCATATCAACTAAAAGCAACAGTTTTTAGCTGATAAGCAAACACGGTTGCCTAGCCCATAGCTGTTATGCGCGTCAGTCATAAAAAGCTATAAACGGAACACCCTGTTTTTGTGAGTCAAGAACGTTTCCTTTGATAACGACCTTATGTTAGTTGCAACCATTGTGCATAGTGTCCATAGTACGTGTAGCACTTTTTATATCGGCTCGTGATCACTTCAATTCTCAGGATTGGGAGCACGTGGAAACCAAAGTAAGTAGCTGTGTTTCTTCAAGATATTTAGTTCATTTGAATTGAGCGTGATGGGCGAAACTGAAGGGTCCGCACACAAAGCCCGCCCCAGTTGTTCAAAAGCTGGATACTGCTATCCAGTAGAAGCAGTCAGTATTCTGAAAACTAATTGCCTTATCCATTTCATAGAGATTAATCGATCGGATAGCGCTATCCACCTTTCGAACAACTGTGGCCTGATCAATTGTAATGTTGATGTGCGCACAGAATCGTATGCCAGGCCATCTTCAGATGAAGAAGGTCAAGAAAGGAATCTGCTTCGAGCAAACAAAAATCTCTACCACATCCCAGTCGCCGTTCCACACCCAATCACAAATAACCACAAACTAACAAAGTCCTTACAGAAAAGCAATTTTGGTAAATGAGCATGAAACTAGCTTGCGTTGCAGCCAGACTTGTCAGACTGTCTGCTACGCAGGCTACACGCCACTTGCCTTCGGCTTCACTCAAGAAATGCCGCCCAAGTTAAGATATCGTAACTAATTCAACCGAAAATTAACCTCTATCCTTTTTCTGAGGCCTGGCACTATTTGTATGGGACTTATGGTTCGCCAAAGTTTGCATAGACTGCGAACAGTTGTGAATCGTCTCCTGTAACATCACCTTTAGGAAACGAACGCGCGCGGATGTCGAGAGACGCGAGAAAAGAGGTCGGCAGCCCGAGAATAAAAAAGCTCTCTTTTTTCGTACCTCTCCCGCCGCCTAGCGCCTTCAGTAACGCCCGTGGTCATTTTTGTGTCTCGCGCCTGTCGCTATACGGACTAAGAATAAAGAGAGACGGCTCGTGGTCTAAAGTTTGCGTTTCAAATTGAGCAAGGCCTGTAACTAAAGGTTAAATGATGTCAGCAATTTTTCAATACTGGGTTGGGCTATCACATGTCATCAATCTCTCCCACTTGTTGACTCGGCTAAATCTTGGTCGTGCGGGCTCCTCAAAGGCTTAATCAAACAACCTAAAAACCGCATTTTGCCGATTTTTTCACCGAATTTTGCATCAAATGGTCAGATTTGACTGTTTTATGCTGAAAAGTGGATTTTCTCCCAAAAAAAAAACACTTGTACTTTGCTTAACCCATTCGCCCCTGGAAATTTCACCGAAAAACGCGTTTTGAAGCTAGTCTAGCGGTTTTCTGGTCACTGTCGTGCGAGGCACTAAAACTTACCACAAAGCCGTTTACAGGTCGTGCACTTCGCGGCCTTATGTTCCACTAAGATGCTCGTTTGAGAAGGCATGCGTAGAAAGCAAAATTTCGAGATTTTGGGGTTTAAAAGTGACACAGCAGTCTTGACTTTTACTTTTTGCTTTCTCTCCTCCCCTCTTTTTTCGCTTTTCTTGCCAAATTTTTCTTTCTTTTGCTGGGGATTTAGAAGGCTTTATTTTGGTGGGAAAAGTTTTTGAGGAAAGCTTTCAGGATCTTAGGATTAGAGCCAAGGAAAGGTAGGTCGGTGGTGGAACAAGATTTTCATGAACATTTTCGGGTCAATGTTACATGTTTTTTTACCTTTTTCTCCGTTGTCCGTGACTGAATCGTGCTCATTTACAAAAAGATCTCGTCACTCTGCACATGTTAGCGGACAAAGTTGGCATTGACCGTAAACGTAAACAAAGTTGGCATTGACCGATGACGTCACAAGCGGTAGAAGGGACGTGGATCCCCACAGGCGGTTACGGGCGGTTCAGGGGCGACTGGGTTGATAAAATATGCATGATGGCAAGCAAAACCGATAATAGTCAAACGCTAAAAGACGATACAATCAACATTAAACAGTCTTTCATCCCTCTCCCCCCCGACTCACCATATCCACTCCCACCCCCTACCGTACCTGGGAGTCCTGGGAGGTATTGACACGGAATCGGTTCCGAGGGAGTCTGGGAACTACGTCAAGCACGCCTGTAAGTTTTGAACACCAACAATGACCTTCTGCGCGTCACTTTCGCAACGTTTTACGCCATAAAATCACACTTAATGGTAGGTAACTTGGAAGATCTTTCACTTTCGTTGCTAACGGAAACCTTCATCTGCCTACAGATACTTTCAAAAAGGGCTAAATTTGCTTAGACAACTAAAAGTATGCTTTTAATCCTGGCACCAATTTGTCAGGGGCGTGCGCGAAGAAAGCGCATGAAAGAAAGGAACGAACGAGCGCTTCACGAACTTGTTTTAATACACTGAGATCATCCTGGAAAACATACAATCAACAGAGTTATTTCTTGGGAAGTCTATGTTTAACATCACTGATTATTTCCCAGTGTTTTTACCAGCAGAAATCATAGAAACAATGTAAATTTAAGAGTGAACTTCATGTTTTATTTTAAAACGCAACGTTCTACAGTAACTTTCTTGTAAACTGTCCAACAGGGTTCTTCTTATTACATCCTTATCCAAAAATATATCACGTTCACCTCCACTGCCCTGATGTTTTTCAACAGAAGTGCTCTGCAAAACCAAGGGAAAAAATAGGTAAGTCTTATTCACCGATTAATTTTACTAGAGAACTTAAGAGCAAATGCAACTTACACTGTTGTTGTGTTGCAAAGGTCATAAGTTGTAAGTAGTTAGATTATATGTAGAAGTCTCTTATGTGTCAGAATTTTTCACGATAAGGAGTGATTGGGAATACCTAGCCCACTAAATGTGTTACTTGAAAAATTGCTCCAGCGGTACTGCAGTCCTGCAAGACCGCAGTCTTGCAGTCATGCTCTAGAAGTCCAAATACTTAAATCTAAGGGAGTAAAATGAGTGCTTCTGCAGTTCCACACTCCTGCAGTTGCTGAATTACGATTATTAAGTGGGTATACAACTAGCGCTCCGGCAGTCCCGCACTCCAGTGGTCCATGTCAGAATTTATTTTGCAAATTGGATGACTGCGGGACAACAGGAGTAGTTTCTTTAAGTCAGGGCCCAGTTGTTCGAAGGCCTATTAGCACTTAACCCGGGGTTAAATTTAACCCTGGTTTCTTTTTCTTGTGTTCAAAAGCATTTTCTGGGATAATTTTCTCTCTTATTTTTAGAGCTTCCAATCATCAGATTGTAGACAAACAGAATTAAAACTGAATGGCTTAAATCTTAATTCAAATCTCGCACTAACCCTGGGTTATGTTAACCCAGCTCTGAGCAACTCGGCCCAGATGTTTAGTGGGTCAGGAATTTATAATCTATTTTTCTTGGTGATGATCTACTGGGCTTCAATCATGTTTTGCTCTCTTTTTTGTATCTTGTAATACCTCTTTGGAGCCTGTTTTTGATTTGGCCAAATTTTTTGCATAAAAAATTTCCTTAGTGAAACAAAACAAAACACAATCACGAGTCTATTTCAACCTGGTCCATGTCTCCATGTTCAGTTGAAAATGACGATGAAACAAATGAATCATTTTCATTTGTAGCTGTTTTACAAAAAGATTTAATAAAGTGACCAAAACATTTTTGGGCCCAAGAGAATATCATCTACTAGTAATGAACATAACATTGAATCAAGACAGATAGATCTTTGTTTATAGTGTAATTGAAACTGGTTAGTGAAGCCTAATTACTTATTTGCACCAGCTGATGCCCATCTCCGGCCTCTTAGCAGCTACTGACTGGTCTAGATCTTGCCGATGCAATAAGCAGTTTTAGCCCTTTCACTGTCAAGGGCAACATTGAGCAAAATTCAAGAACAATCACAAATGTCATTATAGAAAATACTGACAAACAAAAAACACCATGTTCCATTAAAATGGTAACACCATACTCAAGATTTTATCCACTGATTTAATATTTGAGAAACTGCTTTACATGTTCTGCTGAAAAATGGGGAAAAAAACTAAAACTAGTTTGTCCATGAAGCACTTAGTAGTTCTCAAGAACTTAATTAAAAATGATAGTGTGCTTCTGCTCAAATTGGAATTTGGAGGTGTGTTTTCAGTGCCAGATCTAGACCTTGAGATAAGGGGTGGGGAGGGGGCCTTCAGACCTCAGTCTGGTCTAAAAATAAGGGGGGCCCCCCTCCCCTTGATCCGCCACTGGTTTTTCTTGTTTAAGAGAGGAAAAATACAACAAGAACACCCAAAGAAAAACCTCTCTCTGCAAAGAGGGGCACTAACACAAACTCAACCCACAACCCAGGCCACATTTGTGGGAGGTGAATGGTTTCAACCTTGCTTCACCCCTCTCTAATTGAATCAGAAATTAAAGAGTCAAGAAAAAAAACATTAGCACAAGAAAAAATACTGTTTCTTTCTACTAGCTTGTGCTCAAATTGTGCTTACTTAAATAAGTGTCACAGTGCTTACTGCTACTTATTTGGAGGTAACATAATAATATTAAAAAGTCGTCACACACTAGTTTGCCAATAAAGACCCAATAGAGTTATTACTGTATGAATTTTGTTAATGACTTAAAAGTGGAACTTTGCTGATGTTAGATTTGAATCGTTCGAACCTTAGATGTGGTGCATGACTTGAGTTTCTGTAGCATGAGGTGACTGGGATAATTTGTCAGGTGTATTTCCCAACTTATTTGTTACCAAGGGAGACAGATATTTGTTAATACTAACTCTGAGAATTTAGGATGGGGATCAAATGCTTGGCTATAGAAATGTGATATTCTGTCAGCTGACATCTTTTTCTTTTCTCATATTCCTTTGTCGTTTAACCCTTTAATCCCCCATATCCACATACAAATTCTCCAAACTGATCTCTATATATTCCTTAAAGAATGAGTTGAGAGAATTTGGTAAAAGATCAAAACTTTTTTCTCTTTGTGATTATCTTATTAATTCTCATAACCCTTCCCCTTGATTGTCTATTGATATCGTTAGGAGAAAATTGATGTTGGTCACTAGTGGGACTTAAAGGGTTAATGTAATTTCTGGGTATGGGAGGTCAGTCTACTGTCATTATGTAAAAAAAGTGGCTCCCTAGACAGTGCCTTGGACTAAATGTTATTGGAGGTGTTTCGTCCATACCATTATTCTTAGAATTAAATCTCCCTGCCTTTCTTTAATTTGGTCACTAATACAATGTCTGGTAAATGGGCATTGGTAAATGGGTTTAATGTCTACTTCTTGTGATGTCACGTTTGATAACCATAGCTACAAATGAGTAACATTGGTTTTTGCAGTTGATAGAGGTTCTAATAACAAATCATCTTTGAAAAAAATATGGGAAGCATTGTACAAGTGGCATTCAGTCACCTGTCTCCCTCTGGCCTTCTCTTTATTTTGCATTATTAATTGATGGCCTCATTAGTTTGTCCTAGTGTAGCTCCTCTAGCTAGCTAACATTTTACTGCTTCTCTGTTAGTGAAATGTTTTGTTTACCGCATGGTGATTCCCACTTGTTAAGCAGTCTTTAATTTATTGACAATAATAGCAGAGAAATAACAGCAGAGAAATGAAGGCACTGCCTTTGCCCTAAAAACTGTTCTCAGTCACCAGGCTCATATTTGAGTACAGATAAATTATTTATCTGTACTCAAATATGAGCCTGGTGACTGAGAGCAGTTTTTAGGGTAAAGGCAGTGCCTTCATTTCTCGGCTGTTTAATCCTTCAGGTCTTAAGAGTGACCAACATCAATTCTCTCCTAACAACATCAGCAGATCATCAAGAGTAAAGATTTAGCCTGTTCCAGGCGTTCAGATAGTGGGGAGAGGTGCTAAGTAAAAAGGAGTGCGAAAAAATAAATGCGAGGGAGGGAGTCCCCCTCTACTTTTCATCGCTTTCTTTACTTCGCTTCGCTCTCCACTATCTGAATGCTTGGAACAGGCTAGTAAAGGTTATGAGAATTACTAAATTGATTACCAAGGGGAGAATATTTTGATCTTAAACCATATTCTCTCAACTATTCTTAAAGGAAATGTATGGAGATCAGTCTGGAGAATTTGTATTTGGATCTTGGGGCTTAAAGTGTTAAAGACCCTGAGTATTGCTCCAGCACCAGGGATTGAACCCATGCCTTCTGCTCTACAATAAAGTGCTCTACTGACTGAGCTAATGCTGCTGTGGTCAAGCAGCACATCCATTTAGCGTATATATGGTCTGTGTATGACAGTACCCTCTACCCTCTCCCTGTTTGGTTTCTCTCAAAAATCGTCTATCCATTAGAAATATGCTTTTTGCTATGCTATTAACTCCAAAATTGTATGCTATGGAATGAGTCCAGAAACAGTTTAACATTTTAGTCTTGTGCTGAATACTTTTTTTTGTAGCAGCTGAACTGTACTCATCCACTGTACACTAGCCATCTCACCTGCAGTTTTCTGAAATAGTTTCTGGGTGGTAGGGTTCTTTCCATGCAGTCACAAAATCACTATTTGTTACTACCTATCACCCTGCCTTTGTCCCTAGCCATCAGCCCTTGCCACTGTGGACACACCCCTATAACTCCATCTGTACGACTACACAGTCAAATCTGGATGATACAGACACTGAGGGGTTGTCGGTAAAGCGGGGTTTGTCTGTAGTACTTTTTGTGGAAAATAAAAATTTACTATGATGGTCTATTGGTTTTATTATGTTTAAAATAGCAAAACGCTCGGACGTTTCTTTGGTACCACATGATTCATTCTCCCATCCCCAGAAACCTCTTGGGATCTCTAGTAAACCTATCAGCTAAATTAGTTAGCTTGAGGTGTTTAATTTCTGCTGAACATACACAGTAAAAAAATCACATTTCCTGATGCTAAACTAATAAGAAAAGAAAACGATATTTTCAGAACAGATTTCCTCAGTCCACTTTCTTGCACTCTACCAGAGTCAGGATTGATCAATTATTTGGAAATATCAGATTTGTGTACCTGTTTCTCGAGAATTTATGACTCGACTGTTTGGTTTGCATTTTTCTCGTGCTTAAATTTTATCTGCTTACATGTACAGCAAAAATATGATTATAGCCATCCACCTTCTAGGCATGTTCCCTTGGTGTGTCCTCAAATTCTAATTATCAACATTGACTTTCTCTTTGTGGTTTCACTACATTGTCAAAAACACCAGTGTCTCCACTCTATAAAAATTCACTTAATTCAAACACTGCTTATACAGATAACAAAAATTGATAATCAACTGAAATAGTTGAAGTACTGAAACTCAATTGGCACCATACGAAGTATTATTGAAGAGGTTGGATTTGAATGGTCACACCATAAGGTTTCTTCCACAGACTCCAAATTAGAACTACATACTAAATTTTGAAATGATACCATGTGAAAGTACTGCTGAAATGGTTTGTTTGAATGGTAGCACTATATATAGGGTTTCATCCACAGATTCAAAATTCGAACTACAAACAAAACAAATGCTTCCGTGTTAAAGTAGTTAGAACTGCATACAAAACAGCTGGTACCGTATGAAAATACTGCTGGAAAAATTTCAGTTGAATTGTGACACCATAGGATTTCATCCACATACTCAAAAGTTAAAACTACTTACGAGGTACTCTGTTTATCAGGTTTCAAACTTTCTGAAATCTCTTTAGAGGACAACATCCCCAACCAAAAATTTCCACTTTTTATGACTAGCGAAACTGTCCTACACGTTTAAATTTTGATCTTCCAGTTACATGTTTTACAGCAAAGATTCAACACGCAACATAGAACGTTTGAGGTATCGTTAAGGCTCAAAAAAGGAAACTGTTTACTAGAGCATTTTCACTTAAGTGACCAGCATCTATGCAAATTTATTGGAACAAAAGAAAGCGTTTGCCTAAGAAAAGAGATCAACTCCAACAGGACCGGTTTGGAACACCAACATGGCCGCTTTGACGTCATGTGAAAACGCTCTTTTGTGTCTATGGCTGATGACGGGTAGGATCAAAAAATGAAGAGCGTCTAGCCAATATTTTAATGTTTGAGTTATTAAAAAAAAAACGCTTGAACCATTTATGTCAAAATTTTAATTCTCATTTGTTGCCCTTATACACTTCCTATACCAAAAGTGGGGAGAAGGTGTTGAAGTGTCAACATAATTCATCTTGTGTGTTCGTGTCCTTAATTCTCATCACCACTCTGTTTTATAGATCATCCATATTACGAGGAGAAATTTGATTTTGATCATCCCTGGGGCTTAAAGGGTTTAACGCCATTTGTCCATTGGCTAGTTTGCCTTCGTAACTGTTACGTAGATTAAACGGAAATTCATATTAGAGACCTTTAGATTCTAAGACGAGAACGACCACGAGTACGGGATTTTGTCAATAGTAAGTAGTGCTCGCGCGCGAACCAACGTCATTTTGGCTGGAAAACATGGTAGCCGTCGTCATTCTACTACAAATTTTAGCCAGAGGGTCGAAGTGGCGGGAACAAGTTATCAAATGTTAGAAGTTTTAGCATTTTGCAATCTGGAGAGGGCTCAACCTCCTTCAATAACGATAACAGTGCTAACTTTTCTGGTGAAAAAAAAGTACAATGAAGAATTCCGGGGTGTCTATTTATTGATAATACTCGAAAAAACTTGAAATCAAATCTCGTACTCGTAGTCGTTCTCGTCCTCGAACATAAAGGTCTCTATTCTCATTTGAACCCTTTCACTCCTAATTAATAGGAGTCAATGCACGAAAATTCACCAGAAAATGTAGAAATCATTCTTTGATGTCCTATAAAATAAATAGTACTATTCAAAAGTTCCTCCAAGGAGATTTCTTCATTGAATGGTTACGCCAAAGAATTTATCCGCAGATTTAAAAGTTAGAGCGACAATTCATCTCGCCAAAACTTGGTCTAGGAGTGAAAACTTGAGCCCCTGTTTGTCAGAATTGACCTTTGTTTTACAGACTTATCTCTTCGTGTCAAGTCAGGTTTTATACTAGATGCTTCATGGCTTTCTCTTTTTCGTTTCGCAAATATATTTTGCCACTATTTCTTTCCAAATCACTCCTGTAAATTCACTTTTGTAAGTCGTTTTTTGTCTGAAGTGTTCAATGCAACCCGTTTGAACAAAATTCCCAGCGTCTGTTTCTCGCTATTTCTCTTCTGAACTCAATATTTGACCCTTTTTTATTTGTATTTGCCGGTTGTGGTATCTCATATCTACTAAACCACAAAGCAATTAAGCTGTGAACTGTTCAGATGGAACTATCGAACTCTAGAATCACTCATCGCATTACAGGTATTTTGACCGACGGGGCTTAACTATTGTTTCGCCATTTACCTATTTGCTTTCAATACTCTTTATCAAATACTAAAATCTACAAATTTACCTTTGCTAGCGTCCTTCCTTGTTTTTAACCGCCACTAGTCTTCCTCCTTCAACTTTGACTTCTGTAGAAAACACAAACAATTTATTCAGTTAATGGTTAAATTGCGAGTAATTTACCTCAGTCAATGTTGTGACTAGTGTAACTCTTGTCTTTTGAATTTGATTGTGTACCTTTCTGCAAATAATTGCAGTTCAAGAGCTTTTAAATTGTATTGTCAAGTTGCGTTGATATCAGATCCATGAATTCGCTATGGTGTTAAAGGTGTTCCAACTTTCAAGTTAGTTGATTACGTCCTAAGTGAAATCGGGTAAAACTGAGCTAATGAGCAGTGTATTGCATTGTTGTAAAAAGCGGTTTTCTTATTCAAATGAAAGCTATTGAGCAGTACCCTTCTGCTCTACAAGGTGGTTCAAAAACGTGAGTCTGTGGATGAAATCCTAAAGTACTACCAGTAAAATGAAAACTTATAAGGAGCACTTTCCTGTAGTGCTATTTATTTTGCTGTATAACGTGGCTCTATCTTTTTGGTTTGCAGTCATGAAGTTCTTTGCTGTGACCATTCAAATGATAGCCATTAAGGAGCGGCTTGGACGAAAATCATGTTTTCAGAAGTCAAAAAACTTTGTCCAAGTTGTTTCTTCCACCTTCCTTGTAAAGTGATGTGTTAAATCTCATTTATATCCACGTTTGTAGAAAGATAATCACCCTCTTACCTCCGTTTGTAAGCCGCTTCACAACGATGATATGGTTATCAGGACAAGCGATCACAATCCGCTGATAAGGCGTTCCTTTTCTTTCTTCACTGCTCCCTGCTGCTTTCCCATTTGTTGCTCTTTCCATATTCCTTTTACGTTACTTTAGAGCAATTCCTAAAATGAATTGTCCTTTAAATAGTGAGACAAATTGCTCCTTTTAATTTCTTCTACTTAACGTTTTGTCCGTAGCAGGATATGTGCATTTATAATTTACATTCCACTTAAGTATGCACTTTCTTTATGTTGCATTAAGAGATTGATGTCATTAATTTTATCTCTATCACGTCTTTAGCCAATGACAGTCGCTTTTTATGTGGGAGATTCCCAAACGCCATACTTTTACAGTCCAACGTACGCTGTGCGAGGGGCTTCCCTGGATTACTTTTATTAAACTAATATTTCCCACTTTCTTTTTTGATCCCTGTATGGTAAGATATTTAAATAGCGCAGGTCAATTTACCTTACCTTCAAGACAGTCCTTTTGTTCCACGTAGTCAATTTTCAGCTTCCATGTTCTAATTGTTGAAAAAACGTGGAAACGTTTAGAAGCTGAAGTCGCAGAAGCTAAGCGTTAGTACTGACTTTCTTTTGGTATTGTTTAATATTCTGTACAAGGTGGTTCTAAATTTTGAACCTGTGGATGAAATCCTCAAGAGTAACCATTCAAATGAAAGCTACTGAGCAGTACTTTCCAGTGGTACTGTTTATCATGTAGACAAGGTGGTTCTAACTTTTCAATCTGTGGATGAAATCCTAAAGTGTAACAATTCAAGTGAAAGCTACTGAGCAGTACTTTCCTGTGGTCCTGTTTGTTATGCTGTACAAGGTGGTTCTAACTTTTGAGTCTGTGGATGAAATCCTAAAGTGTAACCATTCAGTCTCTGCTAAGGTTCCTTGGAAATGATCACCAGTGGAATGAATGGTGAACGTTTTGAGTTACGTGCTAGTAACTGTCTCCATGTTACTTCACCATGTTAACCCTTGTTCTCGTAATGGGCTAGCTTTCCACCCAGGGAGGAATATTGCACTGTCTGCATCATGCTACAGAAACTTGACAAAATCTTGAGGCTTGCGAAACCCTTATTAGATGTTATTAGATCGCATCTAATGAGATTAAGGAAGTAGTACATTGTACTTCTCAGAGGTTCGCGACAATGGAGAAAACTAAGAAACTGTTTATGCTAGGGTGAATTTTGATTGACTAGAATTTCATCTTGGAGGTTTATAAATATTCCTAAGTGTCTTGTGCTGCATTACAGAAACAAGAGGTCTAAGATGTCTTGATTCTGGTGTAGTAGTTGATTCCACAATGGAATAGCAACACCTCTTGAGAGATATACAAGACTTGTTTCTCATTCAACTAAAAACACTCTGGGAAAACCTTAATAGCGGAGTATCACTTAGCTATGTTACAGGCTAGCATCCTCTCCGGCTGCTTCATGCTACAGAAATCTCTATAAAAAAAATCCTTAAGAATGAAGTAACTCGTAATTTGTTTGACATTCGATAGACTAGTATCCTCTTACGGGGAGGTTGTCAGGGGACAGGGGTGTTGAAGGGATCCAAGGTGTTAAATGAGCGAAACACTTCAAACTTTTGGGTGTAGTGCAAAGTCTTATTTCCATGATAGACTAGCATCCCATCCTGGGGGAAGAATTAATAGTCCTATTTTCATTTTCTTCATGCTACAAATGCTACCATCAAACCCCTGATAATACGATAAACAAACTCGTGTTCCATTCACAACGAAGAGAATTAATACTGCTGTTTTAGTCCTTGCTATTGTAACCGGACATGGGCATCAAGCAATGGCAAACTGCCTAAGATATTTAGTCGCATGCATGGCCATTACGGGTCTATCTCTTAAAATTTAATTGTCAGTACCGTGCTTTGTTTTACTTGTTAACTACTAGTAGTTACTAAGTGATTGTCTACTTCTGTTGAGGTACACTTGAATTTGTTTGGTACTAACTTGCTTGCATGTGTTCGTGTGGTTGAAATCTTTAAATACTGCTATTAAAAATATGTAAACTAATCAACACAAAGTTGCTGTTTGTTGTCCGTTAGTTAATTCAACATTCAACGAAAAGGCTTATATTTGAGATGTTCTTCGAGCTTTAATTGGTTACGTTGTCTATCCCAGCGACTTGATATTTCGTACAAGAAACGAATTTTTGGTGGAACCCTCATGGCTGCTTGAGCCGGGTTGCCTGTTGCATTAGCATGTTCTAGAAGACCTGATCATAGTGTGATCCATATGGTTCTCATGCCATCTTCAGAACAGTCTAATGACAGGGGAAATCAACCCTTTTTTCTTCTACATGTTCTTTGACTCATTCAGGCATTACACGTCAAGTATCGTGGCTTTTTCTGGTATGATAGGCTCTACTAAAGTCTCGATCAAATGGCATGGTTGTCTAATGATGAGTATGGGGATTTTTAGTCATAGCGACATATCATGTTTGATATAATCCTCCTTCTACATAACGTCAATCTGAAATGAAACTTGCAATATTCTCATCAGGGCGGCTCCAGATTTTAGAGTTTGAAAACTAACTAAGCGTTACACTGTCTCTAGCCATGATGTTCTGTTATAGTTTCCTCGTTTGACATCCAAAACTCCTAGGGGCTGATATCTGTTTACAGCAAACTATATACGTACCAAGTGAGATCATTGTCTTCAGATGTCCTTTCCAGCCTTCAGGTGTTGTCTTTACCTCTACTCCTTGTGTTTCGTGTGAAGATTCCATTGTTCACTGTCGTATATTGCCGTTTCCAGCGGGTACGTTTCCTCTGGGCAATATTCCTTCTTGCTCGACTATCCATTAGGTAATGAATTTAGCGCTCACAAACTTAATTTGAAGACATTTTTTTTGTAAAATTGTAGGTCAATTTTTGGCAAAGTGTGTCTCGATGCCAGCGCGATCAAGCATGGATATTTTACATTTTTGTTTTGTCATCGCTACTCTTAACTTCTGTAATATGCAGTTATTAAAGAAAAGAGGTTCAGCTTTCATGATTCTTCATAAGCGTGTAACTGCGGACGAGCAGACGTACAAAATTTGTAGCTTTTCTTTATTGGCTACGTTCATTTAGTGCGATTCAGGACTACAATTATAAAAGAGTAGAGAATATTGCTTGTAAAGGCTTAGTGACCACGCTCTTTTCGTTTCCGAACTGTCTAGGTTTCGCTTTTTTCCTCCTGTAACATCTCGAGAACGCCCGGGAACGATTTTCAACTCCCGCCAGTAAAATGCTCCATTAAGTGTGATTAAAATTTTGCATCCAATCAGAGCTTATTGAGGCGCCCTAATGTCACACGACCAATAGCATTTCGCTGTTGGTCCAAGGTTTAAATAGCACAGTTTGTATTTAAAACGCACACACAAAAAAGTTAAAGCGCGATGTTTGTTGCGCAAATGAAATATGTAGAAAGTGTATGGCGTGGATGCGTAATTATTGTACATGGAACTTGGGAATGGGAGAGCTTCACTGGTTGTGACCTATAGAGGTACGTTTTCTCTATCTCCTAGGCGTAACTATATTTCCTATATAAAGTGGAATAGGTATTGCGCATTTGCTTTTCGCATTATGTTGAATTTGAAACCGGAGATAAGCTTTTCACTAAGAGAGAAAACCGATCACGGGCTTTGCTGAAGATTTTACATTTAAACTTGCGTAGTTGACTATTAAGAGCAGTATGTTTTATTTGTTGTCGCATTTGCGCGCTATGCAGTGGTTCTATGATGTCATGTAGAAAGAATGGGAAGTCTCTGACTAGTATTGTGTCTTTCTTCTGTCAACAATTCGCCAGCAATGGCTGGCTACATCTTGTTTTTTTCCGCCGTGCAGATTACAGCTGACTCATAAGCAAAGAATGTTAATTAAGTTAAACATGAACTATAGCAAGCAGGGGAGGAGCTAAGCAGTTAAGAGAAAACGAATGTTGATCTCTGTGGCTCGCGCGGTGTCATTCGTTTCATATTTTAGAATTTCTCTTCTTCGCGGCGTTAATTGTATGAGCTCGTGTTTTTCTTTACATTGGCAAAGCAGTTCTATTGAATAAATGATATTTGGTTCTTTTTCTATTACAAGAACGGTAAATGCACTCAAAGTACGCCCTTATAAAAATATACGTACATAACAAGTAAAAATGAGGTTGCATTTATTACAAAATGGCCTTACATTGACAGTAAATATTTTCTCTTCTTAACGTTTTGGAATCTTCCTTATACTTTTGCATCGCCAAACACTAATTCTTCTAACTCCTTCTGTCTTGAAGGCTGTTGATAAAACAGTTTAAAGCGACTATAAGCTTTAATGATGAGTGTTTTTAGTGTAAAGAGTTATCGTGTGTTTTACGTGGGCGTAATGAACGTAGAATCAATATCCACTGCTGCACGAGAGGAAACCGCTTTTCAGTGAGCTATTTTTATTATATCACATGCGCACTGTATTTGCAAAATATCGTTGTATCGTCCAGGTTGTATGTGTTAAATATCAGATCATCCATACTTGGACTTAACACGTACTAATTTTCAAAACTCAACTTTCAGTAGGAACTATTTATCGACGAAGGACGTGTCTCGGTTAGAGGAGAGTAATAGGTCGTTCATTTACCTTTTCTCATATTTCATTGCCGAGAATGAGCGTAACAAACGAAGATTAAGAATTAGTCTTGTGCACTTTGCTGTTTTGTTTGTAGAACGTGTTTGTTTCTTGACGTAAAAACTGTTTCATTATTCGACTCTAATTATATCATGCGCCTAGACTACACATGTTCAGTAGCTATTTCAGTGTACAAAAACGAGATCGAGTATTTTTATTGCGCGAAGTATGTAGTGACCACTTTCACCATTTGTAGATTGTCTGAGATGTTTTACATCTTCTTTTAGCCTTGTGCGAGCGGTCCTTAAGTTGTTGAGAGAAGGAATTTTGGTGTATTAAACATACAAGAGGACGAAGAATGCGTGGCAACATCAGGATCATTAATTGGCGCAGAAAATCTGAGAGTTACTGTTTACTCACGCGTTTTGATTTAGGCCGTCTCTTTTGATGTCATGAAACAGTTTTAATGCACTGACTGCGTTTAGAAATTCCTTTTAAATTTTTGTTTTCCTTTTATAAAAGCCACAACCGACCGACTGCACCAAACGTTGATGTGTCTTACCTCCCTATTTGTCTGCCAAGTAAGTCCTTGTAGCTTTGATTCTGTGCTCACTGCTGTCGAGTAGCTTATATCTTCGTTCTATAGTTCCTTCATGAGAAGAAGATGGATAATTTAGCCACTTAATAGCTACAGAAGTGCTCGTGAAACACAACGGCGAACCCTTTGATTCATTACCTTTTTTCTTCCGTTTAATTTCCACCACTGATCCTGCAGATGTCACGAGCGTTAAAATTCGTACGTTATGCGTTCTTTCCTCGTCAATTTTGTATCCTACTTGTACCACAAATTCTGTAATTTCATGACACTAATGTGAATGCCAGAAGTGAAGTTCAAATTTGAATTGGTTGTACTCAGCGCAAAAGACTTACCACCGCTTGACTATTCGAACAATATAATGGCCTCTGGGTACTGCTCTCGACGGTTCCCAACTTGAACAAAGTCAACAAAGTCATTTGAAACTTCGTCTCCTTGATAACCAGCCATTTCACATATGACGTCGAGTATTTAGCTGTGATCGTTTCTAAACATTTAGGATGAGCTTTGCGTCTTCTTGGAACGGCTCGTTTTAATGAGAATGTCATGTGCGCGAAACTTGGGCGCCGATGTGTAGATTAATATTTATAAATATTTGTCTCGATGACGTTAGCATAATTGCATCATGTTATGATTCGACGGTTTTCCCAACAAATTCTTATGCTAGAACTGAAATAATTTCACAGTGCTTAATGCTTTCTTCATGCGTGCCAAACACGACAAGTATAAAAACTGACGAGAGCTGCTTAAGCAGCACAAGTTCATTTAACTACGCGCGCGCGTGTGTATTTGTTTTTCGATGGGCTTATGTCTTGGATAGTTTACCCTCAAAGTCCCTATTTCTTGGAGCCAACGTTTTATGTTTTCACTTAGTCTATAATGAAAGGCCTAGCGTTAAGAACTCAAAGTATAAGTACACGAAGGGCAGAAAATTACCGCGATTTGCGACACTGGTTGGATGCCTCCTGCTTATATTTTTGTTTACGGTAAATTTTCTTCATTGGTAAGCTCACATGCTAGTCAACGCTATTTGATTCTTTCACCCTTTATCCTCTTGCAATTATTTTTCGTGATATTTACAGACCCAACCCCCTTTTCGAAGGATAGTACTTAAGTGAGCGCGAAAAAGTGAAAAATAGCTTTGAGCGATAGGAATGACCTGGAATGTGTTTTTGTGCAGCTTGAGTCAAGAAACGTGTCGCTTAGCAAAACAACATATTAAAGCTTCCCCCTCGTTTGTACGGAACATAAAAGACAAATCAGTGTGAGCTATGTGAAAGACATAGAACGTGATCTGTTTGGCAAATGAACATTTTTTCCCTTTCTTTTAAATTAACAGACATACTACTTACTACCTGCTAAATTTCAAAACAGTTTATTCTGTGCCATTATCCATTTAAAGAGGGCGCTGAAACCATAGTTAGGCATAAAATTATTGTTAGTCGCTGGAATTGTATTAAGAAACCTACAGCTCATAGGTGTTTTTAGATAAAGTGGACAGTTTATTACATTTGAATGCAAGTATTCTACCAGTCTTGTCTACAAAGGTCCAGTGTTTCAGAGTCTCCTGGAAATCCTGAAATAAGATAATAAAAAAATACAAAGTTTTTCTCTCGCCAAATATGAATTGTAGAAGTTTTAGGTTGCAAATGCATACACTTTAAGAAATGGTCCAAATAAGAAGATAGGAAAAAACGGCAAGGAACATGTGGAAAAGGTGATAACTATTATCTGTACTATACTTCTGATTGGTTTTAAAACCAAAATTTTCGAAGCATTCGCGAAGCAGCCTGTATATTAATCCTTACTTTTTCAAGCAACTTCTTTACAAAAAAATCTCGTGTGAGTCTAAATATTACAGAAATCCTATGCGAGGAACAAGTGAAACTGTAACCTTTTCTTGGCTATTTTTTGCAACTCATATGACTGGTCGAAATATTTAAACACAAGGAAACGCCCTTTCAAGATGGAGTTTAAGTACGTTTTATTTCGTAAACTCTTTCGTAGGTTTATGCATTCTCTGTGTAAAAATGTAAACATTCCTATATGAGGAAAGCGTATTGCCCAATTACAAACGAAATTGCTTTCCGCCCGCCTTACCCGGATCATAACTCACATCATCGTAACCAGATATACAAGTCATGTTTCCCTATTATTGACTATTTTCTAAAGTATATCCATTGCTATTGAGAAGAACGTTCCCGTTCCTCTAGTGCTGTTAATAATGCTGTACAACGTGGATGAAATTCTGAAGTGTGACCATGCTAAGGTTATTCTGAGATATGAGGCCACTGGCGAAATTCCTGTGCAGTAATCGGTGACAGTTATCCAATAGTACGTGGTTGTTGCTCTGTGAGTATGTCAGTGATGTTTATAAAGCAATTTGACACTGTTACATTAGTAATTACTGTCTTTGATTAATGCCATCGATGCATACCTTCCAACCTCATGGCGTAAGAAAGCAAGAAAATTATAAGGATGCTGGGCTTTTACCTTTTCAACGTCGTCGTCTTACTTGAGTTCTTCTGTTGTTTGTGCTATACACTAAAAGGGAAAAAACATGAATGATCTCAAACACGAGTGTTACAGTTAACGCTTTCTTTAAACCGTTAGTTCGCATGTAACAGGTTTTAGTAGATGCTATTGTTTTATTGCTATTGCTATTTGAACAGTTAGGAGCTACACTTTCGCCTACACATGCTTTGAATGAAATGATATTATTGTACCAAAATGTATTAATTCAAGGATCATAGCGTATCACAAGACTTGGGCATCGTTCCATGAGAATAATGGACATGTCCGTGAAATTTTAGTTGGGAAGAACAAATAGCCCGCTTCGTTTTTAACTTTGGTTTTGATTGTTATTGTCAAGAGTAAAATTGGTACACAACTAGGCTAGCTCTTCTGTATTGTTTAACTTTTGACTGGCAACCGCCTAGTTAATTTTTCAGTATACATGCTTACCTCCGTTTTCGCTCCGAATAATGGTGAATATTTCTCCGTTACTGGCTTGGACCCTGATGGTAGTTACAGTTTCAATGCTAAGTATTCGACCGCTGTTGACACCGAATCCTAAACAGGACAACATTAACAGTAAGCGGCTCTGCGTCTCCTGTCTTCAAAGCGAACGAAGAATTACAGCTTACCTTGTCTGGGGTAATGAGTCAGTGTGAAGTCCGGTCCTTGATAGTGGGTGGTGGTTATATCGACAACCTCCTGGCTGTTTGGGCTCGGCGTTTCATGGAATGACATGTTCTTTCTTTCGTAACTATTATTTTCAAGGTTAATCTTTTCCCGTGCCTTATGTCGACTGGTATCACAGCGCTTGCCACGAGGCGACTTACACCAGCATTTATTTTTAAAGTGAATCGCAGCTGATGCTCAAAGTGCCTTATGGGAAGGACAATAAAACCGCACCGCTTACTTTTTGAGCTGTCGCAGCCAATGATTTTACGGCTCTACTGACAAACGACCAATAACATTGCGTTTACATATTTGAAGGCCCGTTCGCGCTAACCTTACTTTCTCACGGGTTGATTTGTAGTGTCATTTTGTGGTTAGTAAAATTGGTCTTTGATTTAAGGCTCGACAATATTTATAGTATCCAGTTCAGTACTTATTCCTAGAAGAGAATACTTTCCCAATAATTTGGCTTAACCCTGTGGTGAAGTTAACCATTTTTCGAGCCCTGTTAGTTCCACCATATGTGTCTTCTTAAGTGAAATCTTTATTCGGTTATGACACGCACGAAAATGTTAAATTAAAACCCTTTCAGAGGCGAATGGCGCTCAGGTCACGTTTCTATTGAGCAGTATGTTTGCCGAAGAAACGGTGAAGACTGCACAGAAGGAAAGGTTATTGGTCGCTCCTGTTATGTAAAAAAAAAATAGTGTTCGAGAGCCAAGTGTCAGCTTAGGTGGTCGGCCATATTTGTTACTCATCTCCCCTGGTAGGCCTTGGTGCTCTATTAATTGAATCCGAAATAGGATGTGAAATTTTTTGGTAGAATTCAAGTCAGGAAACCTGTTTAGTGTCCTTCAGAAGATATCTTGACCCGTTTATTTATTTCTTGCAACTGTTGAATGTATTTTAGGATTGCGCATTTCATTTGTCAACCCCATTACCTTGTGCTCACTAGTAGAGGGTACGTTTTGAATGACGTATTAGTTTGTTAAGTGGCAGGATAGGTGTGCGCCTGGATCGGTCCAGATCAATACTCTATGAACAATGTGTAAGTACGGGGTTTTTTGAAGGCCGATTATAGGGAAATGAATGTAAGAATCCGCAAAATTGTTTAGGAAATAAGAACACAGAAAAACGTAAACAGTTCCGCGCAACTTCTTTTTTCTTGTGTTTTTGCTGTATTTTTATCTTACCTCTTTTATTGACGGCGATTGTACTCTGGAAGCCAAGAGAAAAATCTCTAGCACTGATTTCTGTTGTTGTATTGCATCGATTTTTACATAAACAAAGTAACTTGTTCTGTTTTGATGATGTTCAAGGGGATAAATGAACGCCGTTGAAAGCGTTTGCGTAATCATGAAGTTTGAACGAAAACGCTTTAAGGGGCTTGTTTGAGGTCCTAGTCATACTTCTGCCGGGTAATATTTCGCGAAGTTTGACCTAACCCTTTTCGCGATTACTACAGCTTTAACTTGCTAAGTGGCGAATGACTTGGTTGTGTAATGACGAGCGTGGTAATTTTTTTCAGTAATGGCAACATGGTATGTTTGATATAATCCTTCCTGTCTATTAAACATCTCCGTTTACGCAACGTCATTGTTAAATGGAACTTGCAATGTTCTCTTCAGGACAGCTTAAGAGTGCAGAGTTTGAAAACTAAGCGTAAAATGAACACCTGTCCCTGGTTTACGTAACGTCATTCTTAAATGGAACTTGCAATGTTCTCTTCAGGACAGCTCAAGAGCGTAGAGTTTGAAAACTAAGCGTAAAATGAACACTTGTCCCTACCCATGATGTTTTGTTATCGTTTGCCCGTGTGACTACTATAACTCCCAGGTGTTAATATCGGTTTACAGCCAAAGGTATACTTACCAGATCCCTCCTCTGCATCCTTTGGGTTTTGTTCCTACCTCTGTTTCTTGTGTTTCGTGTATAGATTCCATTGTTCACTGTCGGTATCCGGTAGCCATTTCTTGCGATAGATTTTTAGTAAACTTGGCTAGGAACGTAAAATACTATGAATTGTACGACTCAGTGAGCGCTCTTTTACATCTTACATGCGCAGTATACCTGTGTCAAAGTTTTAGTGTCCAGGTCTTTTCAGATTTGTCTTGTTCTTGTTTCTTATTCGTGAATGTCTAAAATACAGATCACCCAAACTTGCACTTGACTCTTACAGTACGTTTAAAACTTAATTTTTAGTAACACATGTTTATCAGGGGAAGACATGTCAGCACAACTTGGTTTCAGCAATCTATCGGTTTATTCATTTTTGCTCATACTTCAGTGCCCAGAATGAGCGTAGCAAACTAGGGTTATACGTTTCAAGACATTGGCCAATTCGACTCATGTCCTGAAAGTTTTGGTAATTGCGGCGAATATTTTTTTGCGCTGTTAAAATTGTAGGGCGCAGTTGCTTTCTTGACGTAAACTAAAAAAAGTTATTCATTGGACTCTTTTATTGTATATCGTTGACCACACACATATTAAAACCTACACGTGTAGGTGTAAAATGAATTATATTTATTGCAATTATCTGTTGACTACAATTGAGACTCTAAATCAACTTTGGTGTTCCTCATTTTCCATCAGTCTCCTGCAAACCGTCCTTGAGCTGTTGAAAAAGATGTATTTGGTGTAGTATGTATCTCAAAGTTCTTGGTACCATCATATTAAGAATTATCATGCATTTTTTTCTGACCACTTCCTTTAACTTCGTGAAATAACGTAATTAGTAAATGCATGTTTAGCACTCCCTTTTAATTTTGCATTCGCCTGTAAATGGCCGGCTTCTTCGCGTTTTGAGCGATTCGTCATCCAATTTGTAAAGCTCATTGTAGAGAGGCAATTTCCGTGTCATTCTCTTCGGAGAAAGGCCAACATGGCGGCTGCAAGCTTACAAAAACATCTAGTATTTACTTTGCTGTGAAAGATTGGTAGTCGATCGAGAGCAAGTGAACAGTGTTGGACTGTTCAGACTGCAAAATTCATGAGATGAATATTCTTCTCTCGACCGTTATTTAATTATCGCACGGCGTAAAGAAACAACACTATTGAAATCTATTGAGCTGTACACGTTTTTACACAATTGAACTATATGCAGTGCAGAAACCTAGTCTTATGTCTAAACAAGCTGATCAATTTTAGTTTCTTACCTCTTTAAGTATAGATTGTAGTAGGCCCTCCAAAGTAGTAACCATTACTGACCATTCTGTAATCTGAAAGCACACAACTGCGTTTTAATCATAATGAAAGATATTTCTCATCGCGATATATGTATGATAGGGCTTGTTTATCGTTTAACATTTCAAATGCATGATGAACCCCTTTTTTGTCTGTCTCACGATAGTCACTTTATTATTGAGGGCGACGTTTTGACCGCGTTTCGCCGATTGTCATCAGGCTGTTAGTTCCGCACAATAAATGGGCACCGTCGCCTCAGAGCAGGCGACCAGCCGAACGCGGTAAAAACGTCGCGATCACAATCAAAATGAATATATTGAGACAAAAAGGAAAACACAAGCCTTATAGTACATTTCAAATGTTTTTACTTCCTTAAGAAACCCTGTCCCAAGCCTTCGCCGTAGTTGTTTCTTGGAAGTTATGGGTTGAATTTGACGGGGATTGCGACAGTAATGTCGCCATGTTGAAGCAAGGCACACATGGAACTTCCACTGAAGAACAAAAGATATACAGAAAGGCCGCTTGAATCTTTGGCATTTTTTTTCCAAAATCTGATATAAAAATCATTCAATGATAACAAACTGAAGCATATTACCTGTTGCAGAATATCGCTTGAATTCAATAACATCTCTTGTGTGTGTTATAATTTTCATGAATCTATAGATCTCGGTACGTTGTGTGGCGTGGTTCTCCTTCTTTATTTTTTCATTGATTACAAAGCATCCTCCGTGAGCTTCAACGTCTGGAGTGTGTAAAGAACATAATAACTTATTAATGTACGCCTTTACTAGATGTTTCCACGCTGTCGGAAACCAATTAAACTGCGTTACCTCCATTTAGCTTGTAGAATATCGTCGCTACACGGCTTCCGCCTGCAGTTTTAAAAATATCCACTACTTCACATGATGCTACCCTATAGTCATGAGTCTCGTTACCACTCATTTTATTCTTATTTTATGTTTAGAAATAGTTGTTCTTCCAGGCCTTACCACAGTCAAATAACTCCAAATGTGGAATTGGAGAAGGAAAAAAGGAGGAAGGGAGGGAACTGATACGTGTTTCTTTTCGATTGGCTGTCGTATTGCAGCGAGCGCGTATACGCGTGTGCGTGCGCTTCATGCGCATGCTTCTTATTCGTTGGTTTGTATTAATCTAGTTGGTGTCTATGTATGTTTCTGATTTGGTTGGCGAGGAAGCACAACATTTAGGTAGAAACGTAATAAACAACGGTTTTGCTCTTGCATTGACTTAGGCCTCGGTTTCGTTTGCTATTTTGCCCGCCGTTTCATGCGCTCCGTTTTCTTCATTGTGTTTTTTGTCTGTTTGACGATAGTTGCAGCTCCTTTCACAGCTGCCTACTTTAGTCGGCTTACAGTTGTTTATTTTCAGTGGAACCCGATTGATACTGACACAAATGAACATGCCGTCGTATTCATGATGTCCGTATTTAACGGTCTTTCAGAATAGACGTTACGCACATGCACATACAAAGAACAAAGCATACACAGTGCTAGCTATGCATCGAGCACGCAGTTAGTTGATAAATGTCTCACTGCCACGATTTTTTAATCCTTATACATTTACGTAATATATCAATTGTGTCACAAACTTTGCAAAACGGGAAAAGCCTAGTTTCATAAGATCGCCAGAAATATTTGAACGTGGGGTTAGTTGATACAATGATTGATCGACCAGCACGATAAGCTAGTCCGCTACACGTTGAAAATCCTTGTTAGATGCACTGGTGGCAAGATGATCGATTCTGTTGTCCATATTAACCAGTGACCGTGATAAACGAGGTGATGTAATTGAAAATGTATGAGCTTGACCGGAGAACAATGTAAAGTGTAAAGCGCAATACGGTCATTGTGTTATTGTAACCCTCACAATTATCATTGGCTAGGTTGCATTCTGTGTATCGATTAATGGTGTCACAAAGATGACAGTTTAATGACACTTATTATTGTAATACACAATTACGTAGCATGTTATAGGCCTAGGACGCAGGGGCGTCATCCATCGTTGATCTGTACTAAACAATTATTAGATGAGATTTTTGTGATATCCGAAATAATCATGGTCGAGTTAAGTGTTATCAGCCCAGCCGAAGGCCAAGGCTGATAAATCATGCATTGCCCGAGCAACCTAGATATAAGTCAGTTACCTATGATGTGGACGCAATTGCCTCAGTGTACCAGCGCGATCAAGCATGAGTATGCTTTTTTTTTCTCATCACTACCCTCTACTTTATAATATACTGTAATTAAAGAAATGAGGTTGTTCAGCTTCTATGAGTTTGCATAGTGAAATGCTGACAAACAGGAAACAGTTGTACAAAATTCGTAGCTTTTGTTTATTGGCTACGTTCATGTTGTTGTAGTGCGATTCAGGACTTAAAGATATAAAAGAGAAGGGAGTATTGCATGGAAAAAGCTCAGTGGCTTAGTGACCACGCCCTTTGTAATTACGAGCTGCCAAGGTCTCGCTCAGGTTTCCTTCTCCTGTAACATCCAGAGAAAGCCTGCGAGCGATTTTCAACTCCCACCAGTGACTGAAATTTTGCATCCAATCAGAACTTGTTGTCACACGACCAATGGCCTTTCGCTATAGGTCCAACGTTTAAATAGCACAGTTTGTATATAAAACGCGCACACACAGAAAATTATAGCCCAATGTTTGTTGCCCAAATGAAATATGTAGAAAGTTTATGGCGTTGGTTGTGTAATTATGGTACACGCAGTTTTGGAATGGGAAAGCTTCATTGGTTGTGGCCTCTAGAGGTACGTTTTCTGTATCTCCTACGCGTAACTATATAGCAGGACAACTATATTTACCAGTTTCATGTCCTAAATCAAGTGATAAGGATAATCGTTTTACTGTCGATTTGACTGTATAATGTGCAAATTGAGTCGAACCTACCAAAGCAGTACTTTGTTACCGCTGTTGTCCAAGTCGAGCCTATTTTGAGAGAGAGAGAGAGAGTATAGAGACTGGACTTTTTAAAAGTGATCCTTCTAAAACAGAATATTTTGTTCCCATGCATTGTTATCATTTAGAGCACATGTTCTTTTCTTTGATGTAAAGCAAAGTAGTTAAGATCATTTACTTTGGATGTAAAAGAAAGTCTGCAACTTGATGACACTGAAACTTCAGTATTTCCAATTTCCAATTCGCCAGCGGCTTCCTGATCGCAAATACTAAATTACCTTATCTGATGTTTCAATAACTTTTTTTCTGTATCAAGGGATCGTCTATTCTTTCGAGCGCAGCGGCGCTGTGACGCAGTTCAGTTTTCACTTTGTTTTGCCAGAAAGTTAAATAAGTATCGTCCAGTTGCATTCGGTGTTAAGTGTGGAATTTTTAACGCGAGATAAACTTTCGACTTAAAAAGTAAACCGATCAAAGACTTAAGTGAAGCTCTTACACTCAAACCTGCTGATGAATGCATTCAGTTGACTTTAAAGACTAGTATCAAGGGATCCATTCTCCCATTTCTCGAGAATTTAATGGCGCGCGATGCAGTGGGTCGTAGTGGGTCTACTATATCATATAAATAACGTGAACTGTCTTTAACAAGTTTTGAATCTTTCTTCTGTGAAGAATTCGCCAGAAATACGTCGATTTCGCCTGACTCATAACCCAAAAATCTTAATTAGCTAAACACTACCGTAGATGGGAGGAGCTAAGGAGGTGAGAGAAAATAGATTTTAATCTTTGAGGCTGGCGCGATTTCATCATTGAAATATATTGCATCACCTTTCTATTTTTTAAATTTTGTTCATCTTCGCTGAATTACCAAGAACGTTTGGTTTGTATCATCTTGGCGAATTAGTCATGTTCTATTTGCTATCGCAGAGACAGTAAAGGCGCTTGAAGTACACGCTCGAAGTAAATGTTATAAATGCCAATAAAAGTACCTTACATTTATTTTAAGACAACGACCTTACAACTGGTAATGTTCTCTCTTATTCAATTTAAAACTACTTGTTGCTGCTGCACCGTAGACATTCTCTCCGTGCGAACCTCTATTCTTGAGCTGAGGCTGTTGATAAAAAAAAATGATGTTGCATTTTTTTATGCTGTTCAAGGTGGTTATTTAGGTCTGTAGATGCTTAACTTGTTTAAAAGTAACTTTTGCCTCTCCTTGATAAATGTCGTTGAGGCATCCACGTCAATGATATCACAGGAGAAAAATACAAATGTTGACTACACACGTAACTTGTCAAAGATAAAGTTTATTCTAGGTTTTTACCTTTAATGATGAATAATTCGTGCTCCCGGAGTGTGCGAGCGATAATCTGAATGGGAGAATAACGAAGAATATTACGTCAGAGAATATCGTTCTTAGTTTCTAGTCGAAGCACTCTTTGTTTAACTTAGTCATGAAGAAACTATTATCTCTGTTCTAGTCGTGTTATATGACCGTATGGATGTATCTGTGGAGGATCGGATATTATAAGTATGACAGATAGCATACAGAGATCACAAGTCTTTGTGAGATCAATGTTCTGACTGATGTTTTATTTTTGAACAAGTAGTCCATCTACAATTGTTGAAGAGTTGGTTATGGAGAAATTTTTACGCTAGTTAACTTAGATTCTAAGGCCTTTTGATTGTAGGCATTTGCGAAAATCAGAGCCCATACTTACGTCCGTCTTGGTCTCGCGTGATTGTGAAAGTCTGTCCATTTGCCCGAACTTTGATGGTGGTTTCGGTGTTAACACTTACGATTGAACCGTTGTTAACTCTGAATTGGCCTGAACGAGAGAAAGATTTCATTGTATAAGCAACTTATGTTCGTTTAGCCTCAAAGTAATATAGTGCTAGGATCTTACCTCGTGTCGGATTGAAAGTCATTCTAAACTCAGGCCCATAGAGAGAATTTGTAGTGAGATGTACCACCTCCTCGTGGCTTGGCTCTCGGTTTGAGCGACCTGACATCTTGTTAAACTTTCTTTCCTACTGTAATTTTAACTTATAGTCTTTCTTCTGCGTCTAGTCGGTGAACGCGCGTGTACTTAAACCACGAGTTTATCTATCCTAGAATACTTTTTTCGATCAGTGTCACCATTTATATGTGCGGTGTGTCGTCAGAGAGACACTGGAAACGAGTTGTTCGGGTGGAATGAAATAGATACATTTTAAGATATATCATTAGATACATTTTTACAATAAAGGCCCAACCTTGAGATTTTAATTTCTTGTGCCATTGATCTTGGTTACTCGCGCTTTTATCAGATACGAAGTCAACTTACAAGTAATTGCAACCTTTTCCGCTTTATTCAGTTCCATTTCTTCGCTTTCTCGCTATTTGATTTCTCAAATTTCTTTGGAATCCGGCGACGCGCTATGAAGTAGGTCTGAGATTTCATGTTGAAAGAACGAACGCTTTTATCACTATCGAGTAATTATTGTGCAAGAATTTGCCAACATTAATATGAGTAGCCAGAGAGGGAGAAGAGAGGAGTTAAGTAGTTGAGAGAAAAAGAATTTTGAGTTTGCGACTCGCAATACATCTCTTTTACATTTGGGAATTTTGGCAGAGCTGAACTGCACTAATCTTGCAGTAATCATTAAAGGAGAGTGGTAAATTTGTCCGATTCATTTCATTCAGCACCGAGAATGAGAGTAGTAAACGAAGGTTAAGATTAAACAACAGCTGATCTCTTCAACTCCGGCATGCTCTCAAAATGTTTCAAACTGCGTCGAAATTTCGTTTTCACCTTTGCTTCTCTATTTCTATTTTTTTTTGCTTTCTGGAAAGCATTTCAATCATTCAGCTTTTGTGTTATGCATTGCAGAAGGTATTTATGGTATGTAATGAGCAGTGAATGCAATCAATAACCATCAGTATAGATACAAAAACGATTATATTTATTGAATACTACAGTCAAGATTTAAAAATGGACGTTGTTGTTCGCCCTTTTCTCCAGCCTCGAACAGCCGCCTTGAAGCTGATGAGGTAAAGAAATTGGTGTAATACATATTGATACCTCGGTGCCATCTTCGTTTGCGTCGAAGGAACACCAGCATGGCGGCTGCAAAGAACAGGAACACGTGGAATTTGATTGGATTGTGGAATCTTTTGCTATGAAACGGTTATTTATCACTCGATGGGTTGTAAACATTGACATTATTACTTCTTCTATCACTCAGACTATTCAGACAGAAAAAAGCTTAGCATAAATATTTCTTTTGCTTATTTTGCTTGTAGAAACATGCTGTATTTTTAGACGAAGAATCTCATGGAACTGAAATCTTATTACATACAAAGCTGCAGCTGAAAGATTTCAACAAAATATGATCAATTTTAATTTTTTCACCTCGTTAAGTCCAGACTTTATCAACTTGTCCAAAGACGTAACCGCTGCTGAGCATCCTGTACTGTGGGAGCACTCCGTATCCTTGCTATCAGAAAACGTCTTGTCTCTTACCGTAATCTGTGGCTTTTAAAACATTTGAATTAATTAGACAGTCAAGACAGTGCTCTTCATCTGTTCGTGAGTTGCCTTAAATGTCGACAATAATGTTGCCATGAAAATACATAAATTGCCACTGAAGTGGAGGCAAGCGAAAGGCAGAAAGGTTGCCTGAAAGGTCTAAGGTAAATTGAATGTCAGCTAAAAAGTTGTATACAAATTATCTTCTCCAAGTCGTCGCTCAAATTCAATAAAACTGCGATCTGGTGTTACAATTTTGAAATATCTATAGAACATGTTGGGGCTAGATGACCATCCTTACTGCCTTTCTGGTCGTCGTTCACTAAACAACAAGCAACCTCCATGGACTGTCAACTCTCGAGTGTATAAACAATATTTTTGCTTGTTAATAGCTTTTACGCTTTTCTTTCCTTAAAGGAACCAGTACTAGTAGTCACCTCCATTGGACTTGAAGAATATCGTTAGTTTGTACTCATGGCTTTCAATGCCGTTTGGTATTGTTATTTTTTTTGTAAATATCAACGATTTCACATGATTCTACCCTAAAGTCGGGAGTCTGTATAGCAGACATTGTACACCAATTTGTTTGTAAAAATCGCGGCCTTCCCTTGCCTCCTTAGAAATCACTAACTTTAAAATAAGGCCTGGCGGACCTACTGGTAATTGATAATCTGCAGAAAGGAAACCAATACGTTTTTGTTTATGATTGGCTTCCCGGATTAAACTTTCTCGCGTGTGCGCCTTTCATGTGCCCATTTCTCTCTTGTTTGGTTTGCGGTAATCTCTCGTTGGTGGCTGTGTAATGTTCGTGATTTGGTTTATAATGAAAGCTCTACCCAATTTAGCGCAGAAGTAGTAAACAAAGGTTTTGCCCTAACATCGACGTAGACCTCAGTTTGACTGCCCCGTGCTTTCATTTGTGCTATTTTGTGATCACTTGTGCCTAGTTTTTCCATCATTGTGTTTTTGTTTGTTTAGTATATGGTCCAGTATCAAGCGCACATCCGTATCCCGCTATCGATTTATTTATTTTGAATTCACAGTTTCCCCTGTAGAGTAGAATGCTAATTGTATTCAGTGGGTACTAGGTCTAAGACCTTGGAAGCCTTATCTCGTTTACCGAATAAAGTCTTACTGAGAAAATCAGTCGCAGCAGCCCTTTAAAGAAAGTTTACTTTTATTGCATCTTGATCAAACAGTCAAGCTTTTTTAGTTATTTCTACTTTTACATCTACTTTAACGATTTATAAATCTTTATCACATTTCTGGATACAGCATTTCTTGGCTTTCTGTAAACAAATAAAAGAGGATTAAATCATTAAAAGAAATGTTTTCCTGAAAAGATAATTTTTTTAAACAGCATTAAACGCTTTGTAATCCTTAAGTGTGACCACTCAAATGAAAGCTACTGAGCAATAATTTCCTGTGGTGCTATTTATCATGCTGTACAAGGTGGTTCCAACTTTTCTGTCTGTGGATGAAATCCTAAAGTGTGACCATTCAAATGAAAGCTACTGAGTAGTACTTTCCTCTGGTGCTGTTTATTATGCTGAACAAGGTGGTTCTAACTTTTGGGTCAGTGGGTGAAATACTACGTAAAAGTTACTAAGCAGCACTTTTTCTGTGGTACTGTTTATTTTGCTGTACAAGGTGGTTGAGTGACCTGTATAGTCAGTATATAGGCGAGCATGTATTTGGTGCAATTATTTTTTTTATTTTTCACTAACTGTACATGTTATCATTGCAACGAAAATGAAAGTGTTAACTTTCAAACTAAATGAAAGCCACTGAACAGTACTTTTCTGTGGTACTTTTCACTGTGTTCTTAAAGGTGGTCTTAACTGCTGAGTCTGTGGATGGATTTCTTAGTGTAACCGTTTGAGTTAAAGCTAATAAGTTACTTTTCTGTTGTTATCCATGCTATGCCGTACAAGATAGCCTTAAGGTTTGGCAGTATGAATGAAGCTCAGGTATGTGATCATTCGATTCGCAACTGTTGAGTGTTCTCTTTTGCGGACGGTTTTATGCTATTTTAGTCGAAAGCCCGTTTGATAAGTGTTAAAGGACTAAAGGAATCGAACATATGATTTTCCTGTAACCTCTCTTAAGCTAAACTTGTCCTGCTGGTGGAATGGCTCAACGCAAATGGTAGTAAAAGGACCCCGATAGGCAAAATGTCTCCTCCTCTCACCTTGTTCATAACAAACTTCTTATCGTTAGCGGGGAGTTACCTCCGTCCAGCGATTGCCTGCCTGGTACACTGTAAGCAATATAAAGTTACAACTTAATTCAATCTTTACATTAGAGCATTTAATGAGAATTTTAGTGGTGCTTTTCTTGCCTCTAAATCAAATAATACGCATCGTCGTAAAGCAAATTGCACATTGATACATTACTTTGAAAGCTCAAAACAACATGAAAAATGTGTCAGAATGTCGTATTGGACGTGAGCAGGTGATGAAGGATTTACCCAGCATCTTGTTTTTTAATCGGGCTCTATCAGCTAGGGAACAAACCAAACTACGGCGAAGCTATTGGCAAATATTAGAATACATTGTCGAGTGTCGAGGTCCGTTTGAACTGTGGATAGGGTACCTATTGTCGATATTCATGTATATTTACCTCCATTTGGGCGACGATTTATGATGAACGTTTCTCCATTGTTAGCCTCTACTGTTATCTGAATGTTTGTTACTCTTCCATTCCTCGCATGGAAACCTAAGAGAAAGATTTACTTTCAGTAAAGATTTACTGAACGCAGCCGTACGTATCTTGAAGTCCTTTAGATCTTTAGTGAAATGTACTGAATGAGATGGAAACTGACCTGAGGAAGGATTGTAAGTAAGTGTTACATTTCGCCTCGCATTTGAATAAGGATTGCGTATGTCCATAACTTCCTCCTTGCTGTAGTAAAAGGGCTCTGGGGCTTGGTAATATGCCATATTGGTCTGTATTTAGTCCTTGATTTGCGCGTCGAAAAATGAAAGAAATTGTCTTTCGCACTCCAGGACTATCTATTGCCGAAAAATGCTTCGTTAGGCATTTATTCACTTACGTCAGTATATACGACATGCGCAAAGGTGCCTTAAAATTCAGGAGGCGGGTTCAAAAACAGAGAAAACCGCTATTAAACAATACAGTATTTTTCGCGCGCAACACGGTCATTGTGTTAATGTAACCCTCACAATTTTCATTGGCTACGTGTCATCAAGTGTATAGATTTATGCTGTCACAAAGATGACAGTTTAATGACACTTTTATTATTGCAATAAACAATTCCGTATCATGTTATAGGCCTAGGAAGCAGAAGCGTCATCCATCGTTGATCTACACTTCATGTTATTTCTGAGAGCGGAAATCGTCCTTGAACTGTGGCCCTAACAAAAAGCAAAGAAGGCTTTGGTTAAAACTTAACTAAACTTCACGCAAGAATGATGTGGAAGTAAAGACCGCTGTTATTTCATTCTTAGTGTAATTCAAATCGCAACGCGAAACGTTAAATCTGTTACTTAAATGTCACGAAGGCCTTCATGGAAGTTTTAGTCGTTCTGGCTCTTACCTTGCTCACTAGACGCGGTTGACCCACGTGAAAAACGTTTTCGCCTTGTACTCTGCAACAGAAATAACCAGCAGAGGTTTTCTACTTTTGATCTTGATTGATAACATATCTTAGCGTCTTACCCTTACGTTTCTGAAAAAGGTTTAACCTGTGTCTTCCTGGCGATGTAGATTAATTAATTAACGCGGTGTTGTTATTTGAGAAGTGTGTACTAGACCATGTAGGACGTGTTAGTGGAGAGCTAATTGTCTTGTTGCCATGAGACACTTTTTTGCGCCAGTATGCACCTTTCCGGCTTGATAGCCATAAAGTTGCACTGCTCATACACTGACGTTTTTCAACGTCGAAATTGGAAAGTATTGTTAGAAAAAGGTGAAACGAGTCGACCAAGCTCATGTGTTAAACTACTGCACGCAGTTACCTCCGTTTGGGTGACGGACAATCTTGAATGTTTTTCCATTCTGAGATTCAACTTTTATGGTCGTTTTAGTGCTCAATATTCTTCCTCTGTTCTGTCTCACTTTGCATTCTAAACGGAGTTTGTATTAATGAAAGGTTCTTAAATCAAATGAATTTGCTTTCTTTAAAAACCTCTGTAAAGTCTAACTTCTAAGACTACTGACCTGATCGTGGCATGTACGTTATCGTGACATCTGGCGATGAATGAAACCTTGTGCCAATTTCCACTATTTCTATGTAGTGATTTAGAGGCTCAACGTTCCTGTTACCTGACATCTTTTTACGCGACGCGAAGTTTAATCTTCAGCAGTAATTTTGTACTTTTAACATATAGAATCTTTCGTGCTTCCCGAATTGGCAGTTATAGCAAAGGCTTTATTCCCTCAGTGTATATCTGTTTAATTAGCTTATGGCAGATCTACAGCTTACGTTCAGTGGGCGGAGTAACAGGTAGGGAGTATAGCAGCTTTGAACAGGCTAAAGGTTTTCATTTCAGTAGACGGGTAACTATTATTTGGCACCAATTATTAGGGTTAATACTCTTTTTAGTGTACACCACTTGAAACCGAACACTTATATGCAAATAGCTCAAATTTCGTGCGACCCTCCCCCCGCGCGAAACGGTTGTTCGATTGAATAGCAAATAACCAATGTTATGCACCATGGATTTAGATGATCAGTGCGTGGTTAAGGTTGTATTCGCTTCTGTGGTATATACGGACATCAAAAGTTGCTTTTCTGTAAGTTCTCTCACATTCAGTGCTATTTCTTTTTGTCAGATTTCCATTAAGGGATGTTTGTGTAACATTACGAAAATAACAGACACTTGCTTGAACATTTAATGTCAATCTTTATTTCATGTGCACACTTTGTCTATTGTCAAGGCTTTTAATAACTTGGTCTTGAGAACAAAGTTGGTCCTTTATATACCGTACAGCCTCTTCTGTGGAAATATTAAGAGGAAGTGTTACTAGTTAGTGATGTTGCAGGCGCCTACGAAAGAGCAAGTGCAAACAAATCTAGTTCATCAAATTGACTGATGCTTAATGTAACATTTCTTGAAAATGAGTTGCCTCCATTCAAATATTCGGTTAATTTCGATAAATCAAAACTGCGTTATTTGTTCTTGAAAAGCCACAGTGAAACGAAGCTTACAAGCACGGTTATAAATAGCCTTTTTTTGGACGCCTCCTCTTCAGTGTGCTCACGCGTGAGGCAAAGGATAAAGAGGACGATGATACGAAGGGTTGACACTAAAATCAATGTTTAAAAGAAATGCTTTTCGCGCCACTACATCCCGAAACTTTCAGTTTAAGTTCGATCTAATACAGAATTTATATTTAGGCTGGTTTTGTTCCTGCATAGTCACTGTTACCTGCAGGGAAATAGTAGATAAAGATTCAATCAGAGGCCTATTTGCAAAAGTGTTTATCTTCAGCCTGCTAACTAGATTTGAGGAGACGTAGTCTTATTTTAAATGTAAGGTACCTACAAAATCCAGGCTAAATGGCCATCAGAGTCTTACCTATTCATTGGCTGGGCGCTATCCAGGTTAGTAACCAAGGCTTCACCTTATACGCTGTAAAAAAAAAAAGAAAAAGAAAAAGAAAAAAAACATACTGGTAAGCGGAATTTTGGCGCCTTTTAGTTAGCCTAAATTTCTACTAAAAGATTTTTAGGTCATGGTATTCAAGTTACTGCTTCGCAAGGAAAAATTAATCGGAATCGGACATAATAGTACATTCCTTTGAAACATGTAATGTCCAGCATTAAAGCAATTTGTTTTATTGACTCTTTCATTACCAAACAAGCCCCGAACAAATAGACAGTCAGATTTTATGTAGCGCTGTAGTTGTCTCGTTTGAAAGGCCACGCCACTAGACTTCAACGTCTCGAGAGCTGAATGAGGGGATGTTACTAAATCAAGGTTTAAATTGCATAAAAAACGTTGGCATAGTTAATAGTAAGTAGTGGTACTACGATGTACTAGTGCGTTGCTGGGTCATACGTATTGATGAGGATGTTAATCAGCCGCATGGAGTTTTCTCTATGCACTTGTTAATATGTCTGATTTTTTATTATTTACCTCCTGTTGCAATGTCTCGCGTTATGGTATATTCAAAACCTGAACTGGTCTTCACTGTCACCTCAACAACTGACTTTATCACTGCTCCATCTCCACTGTTGACTTTGAACTCTAATAATCAGTATCACTAATCGTTAAAATTTGTGCTGGTCAAACGAAACTGCAAATGAATAATAACCTTTTGTCGCAGGATTGTATTCAACTGTTAGATCTGGTCTCCCCCCTAGATGTGGAAGGTTTAAGCCAACATTCATTAACTCTACGCAGGGCCTGTAAGGATCGCGGTTCTGGATTCCGTGCATTTTTGGTTTCTGAAAGCCGTGGTGAAAAGACGTATAGTGTTATGCCTGTTTTCGCGCGCACTTTTATATATCACTTCCCGCTTCCATAAGGTTATTTTTATTCAAATTGCATCTTTCATTGACAGCCGGTAGGCGGGGCAACAGTTATAACGAGAACCGAAACCTATTTTGAACGGATCAGTGCCTTTTTTACAAACAATTACATGGATGTGGGTAATAAACAATGTGCCTTTGAAGCTGAGCTTGGACATGTCTTGAAGGTTCTGAACTTGTATTTTATTTCTGTCATATATAACTGCAAATTATAACAATGAACTTATTGAATCATTTTCTTGAGCCTTCCAGTTGGCATTGAGGTCTTCCTTGTTACGCTCCAGTTCCTGTCAGGAATATATTGATGTATTGTTAGAAAGGTTTGTTGAAGGACGCGCTTTGCTGTAATGCCAACTTCAGCATTATATACGCGCGCTTAGCGAAGTAAGTAAGTATTGGAAGTATTTCTATAGTTAGTGGGGCAGACTTAGCGTTAAACGTGGTATATGTACAAGTGTGCCATGACGCAAGCATGACAGATGTCTTGTTGCATTATTTGAGTTAATCCCTCCTTTCAATTGATGGTGAACTGCTATAGCTGTTTCGGCGGTAAGAGGCTTAGTCGAGTGCAATGTCATGGAAAGCGCGACCCTTAGATACAACAGGCAAGTGGATATACAGGAAATTCATTCATGCACCATTTACTGTATTTCAATTGTCTTACCTCATTCATTGTCGGCGTTTTACCCACGTGAACCAAGAGTTTGCTTTATACACTGTAAAAATATTGTTTTGCTCGTTATATCATTTATTTGAGATCATGATATTGAATGCTTGTTAGAAATCTGAAAAATTGTGGTGTTGAAAATTCATGGAATAACTCCTCCATGCATGTGTTGTGTAATGCACCTTTTGAAGATTAAATCCTGCATTGTTACAAATGATGTGAAGTCTAGTTTATCTGATAAGATGATGTGAAGTCTAGCCATAGTTTATCGTGTCGGCCTTTGCTATTTTTTTATGCCTACTTGTGGATTTTGACCTCATAGGTAGAATTATGTTTTATGGTCAGGCGTTAGCTTAATAGAAGTTTTTTTCCTGTGCGGATTACATGTAGTTTTTAATTTGAAACTTAGGCTAAAGCAAAGGTCCAAAGCTTTGAATTTTTATCTACCTCCTCCTTGATGACGAGTGATGGTGTAAGTCTTGTCCTTGTTAGACCTGACTGTCATCCTCACAGATTTCTTTACCAGGTCTCCGTCATCCACTTGGAAAACTAAACAAGACTAAGCTGAATTTAAAACCTTAAAATGCTCTCTGGAAAGCAAAACTGCTTCAAAAACTAACCTCCTCTAGGTGTGTATCTTATCGTGATAGCTCTTTTGTGACACCTTGTGCCAACATCTACAATTTCCTCTGAAGGGACATCAGGCTCTGGATTCACCATCTCTTTTTACTTAGGTCGATTAAATTTATAGGTATGATGACAAAATTTTCAGTGCTCTTCGCGGTAAACCTAAGATATCACCGTTATCTCCGTTCACGAATATTGCTTCGCTTAGCTAAAATTAAGTCTTATTTGTCTTTCGGGGAAAATACAGGAAGTCATTGGAATTCAGTGGGTGGGAGTAACAGCTAAGGAGAAATTTTAGTTTGATCATATCCTGATGTCTTGGTTGCACTTGTCTGCGCGTCATCGACATAACAATGAATTGTTGTCCCATATGAATTTGATCGCTGATCGATAGTTCATCAACATAGTTCCTTTACGTTAAGAAAAGAAGACACGCAGAGAAAAAGTTGAACTTTGCTTGTATTGCATCCGAACAGAGATAACATTGTTTTTTCTTCCATGCAATTTAGGTTGCCATACATGTAGGCAAGTTCCTGTCAGGTAAACAAGAAACAAGAGAGCTTGTGTTACATTACAAATTATAGGTTTACAGGCTTATTGCAATATAATTATGTTTATGCGCACTTGGTGAAGAGGGCGTAGATTGCACTATGATTCAGTTGTCAAGAGGGTGTGAGATAAGTCTAAACATAAGTGATTCAGTGTGCGTGGATCATTTTAATTCGAACTCCAAGTTATGTTATCCTGTTATCTTCTGTGAGTTTTTTGTAGCGGTGAATACTTGTAAGCGCGTATTTTCAAATATCCACCTGAATCTAGTCGAGATCGACACGTTCTTGAAACAGAGTTTTGTTTAAGGAGCTAGGTAATGCATTTTAGCAAGTTCGCAGTGAGGATAATCAATAAAAATAGCGTTTCAGACATTGAAGGAGTATGAAAATAATATACAAGTACAAAAAAGGCATGAGTGGACAAAAGTGAAGAGGGATTGAATGCCCTTCAGCTTGTGAGTTTTTTATATTTTATATCTGTTGTTTACCACTTTAACTGAATTATGTCGATGAATTGCCCCTGTGATGTGATTTTCATACCCTCGCCACAAATATCCCATGACGCTTGTACACGTGCATAGTCTGTACGTTTTGTAAGGTGACAAGTTCTTAGCCCTGAGATTGTGCGACAACGTTACAAAAGAAAGGTGTACTTCGTCTATATTAGTCAGAGAGACGCAGTTTGTACCTCACATTTTTTTAATTTTAAACCAAAGTCGAATATAAAGATGTTAACAGTGTATAGAAATCAAATCGATTGTTAATATAAATTCCTACTGTCGACATTTTTTTTACACGGACATGACATCTTCAATTTTGACGGTTGTTTAGCGTGGAAACTTTTATCTGTGACGGAATGTTCATTTCATTCTCAAAATTAAATTTAGGCGCCAAATGCCTTTATTGTTCATAGATATTTATGCGGTCACGTGATTAGCATGCGCATTGCAGGATTATCTTTTTTCCAAATGACTTAAGAATTTTTGTTTGGCCGAGTACGTTCGCAGAAATCAGTCATTAACGACAGAATTCAATGTCATACATTATTTCTTTGATTTAGTCTATTCAGTGAATAAACTGTGTTGTCCCTAGGACGGATTTTGTCCCTGTGATGCAGGGCGGATAAAGGTTGGGCGGTGAAACGAGCGCTCCGCTCTTCATTTAATGTGTGATGCGGAATAGGACTGGCACGAGCGCTCTTTCCGCGCTTCCGGTGAGCTTGAAGGCCGGCGAAATTTTCGTTTTTGCAAACCGGAAATCCTATTTTCTTTCTGTAATTTCAGGCTACAATGTTAAATAGATAAATTCGTTTCATAACAATATCAATAAACAGTTTAATATGTTTGTGTCTATACGTCTATAAGTTTAACTTGTTGGTCGTATAATGCCAAAATTTGAGTTTAATTTGAAAGTGTTGAATACCTCCTCCTTCCACTAAATATCACCTAATCGTCTTTCACCGTTTCGTTTGCAAAAGCTTAACACTTCTTAACCTCAATTTTTACATATGTTAAAGGGGATAAATTTTGTATAACATAGCAAAAATTAGATTGATATATATTGATATAGTGGCGTTTTATTTCTTCAAACTTTGCTTCTCGGGCCGCCATGGCGATTCGCGCAATGCGTTGCAAATCCGGCAACCATGTAAACAAACTTTATTGAGGTTAGTTGTAGGGTTTTTCTCAGTTTTTTCTCTAAAACAAAACAAGGTAGACAGTAAAAAACCCAATATTGTGAATATTTGCCTCTCGGAGACAGCGTACCAGCACAAAGGGACGAGGAAGAAGTGCAAGAAAACAAATCAAGCCACCATAATTCAGTGACAGCGGCAGTGTCTAATGTACAAACCACATCGCAAGCCCTGACCGAAGTCGAAAACAAGCGACATTTCTAAGCGGAGTCCCAGTCCACTGCATCGCACCTTTTTGCTCGGACGCGCTCGTTTCACCGCCCTACCTTTATCCGCCCTGCTGTGATGTGATTTTCATTACAAAAGAAAGGTGTACTTCGTCTATATTAGTCAGAGAGACGCAGTTTGTACCTCACATTTTTTTAATTTTAAACCAAAGTCGAATATAAAGATGTTAACAGTGTATAGAAATCAAATCGATTGTTAATATAAATTCCTACTGTCGACATTTTTTTTACACGGACATGCTAAACCCTTGTGCTTGTTTCATGCTCATGACCTACAATAAGAATAAAAGATTAGTTTTGATGAGCAGACTAATTGTTAAACTTGATACCTATCAATCAAATTAATACATGTTATTTTTAGCTTTTCGGCTATATGAAGCCACATACAGCTGTATTTCAATTATTGCAATTGAAGATAATTTAGCGCTTTATTCAACAATGATAGATTATTTGGAATAAGCATTTTAAGAATCAGTTCTATTCCAAGTGGGTACCGTGTAAATCTTTGTTAGGCGTTCCAGGTGACTAGAAACCCCGCCAAGCCAATTAACGAGAGGTACCAAGACTCTAAATTTTTCCACCTTTATTCTTTTTGCAGAAACCGCTCCTTCTCTCCAACTTCTAATGAACAAGCCAATCACCAGCGAATTTACACACGTCTGAGTTAGCTGACCATACGAATTTTCCATTGCAAATTTTCAGTATGGCGTAACTTGTAAAGAACAGCGCAGCTACACTGTCGTCTTTGACTTGTACTAAAGAACCAATGAAATGCTGCAGTAGTGGTAAAACTACTCAGTGAACTAAACATGCAAAACAGGAACTTCAGTATATGATTACTGAATTTTTCATGGAATTTAACTAGTCAAATTACCTTACTTTGCCCTCAATCATACGCTAAATGTCTTGGGTTCAGTTAACCAGTATCCATCAGTGTTCATCCAGTATGCTAAAACACAAAACGTGCAACATAAACGTGGAACAGTTTGCTAGTGTAGATAGAAACGTTTTGCTTCAAAGCGCATTATTTACCTCCTCCTCTTTGGCGTCTGATTTGAAAAATGTGATTTTCGTCGCTGTTCATTACGACGGTTATATCTCGGTAATTCTGCGACGAATCTTCCCTTACTTTGCAACCTCCTTTAATCTTAAACTCTAAGACAATTGACACAACCAGAAGTTGATCAGAGTGAGACAAATCTAGTCGAAAAGCTGAAAAGCGTTCACAATAATATCTACGAGCTTACTTCTGGTTTGAGATACGTAGTAGATTGTGACATCTGGAAACCAGTGCCAATGCCTTCCAACCTTAATAATTTCAAAGTATGGGCCAGATGGATCTTCGGTCTCCCTTCCGCTCATGCTGCTTTGTTGATCAATCCGTTTCGTATTCACCGAAGGGACTTGAACTTTGCTTACGAGTAGATAGCATTACTCTCGCGCGTTTTCCCGCGCACGCGCGCGTAAGTAGGCGTAAAATTTACGGCAAGAAATGTAGATTTGGTCTAAACAATGCATGCCGTCTGACGCGTATTTTCAGCCCGATATGTCGAGTCCTTACAGCTGCGCCTTTATTAAGAAAAATAGTAAGGTTGGTCAAACGCGACTAGCTTGTTATTTTGGAATGTTATGTATTTAAAATGCCAAAAGATGGGAAAACCGACGTGCGCAGTGGCTAATGTATGCATATTTTCGTGACTAACTTACGCGCAGTCTTGCACACGCACGTAGCACTGTGTTGTTTCATTCAAGCGCAAAATGGTTTGTGTTTCATTCACTGAATCTATTGGTTGGTGCATTCAGCACCATTTGCCCTAAAGGAGATTTGGAGTGTCGCATTCCGTAATTTTTTCTTATCACAAAATCTGTCGACAGCGAACTAAGTTTATCTACGAAATGCAATTAAACAGTGTAATAGGAGAATCCACATTTTGATCATATTTCATCATAATTATTCCCTGAGCTGCTCAATATTTGCGAGTGTGAAAATCAGATGCTCATATATTTTACGCTTTTTTACGAACAATGTAGTTGTTCCGGGATAAAAGTTGTTGTATTATCAAGCAATTACGTAAAGTATTTCCCGCGTTTATGGCAAAAGCTCGGTTGTTCGTAGACACGACAACATGGTCACGAATTTCTTCTTTATTGTTCTAAACAGAGTGTACAGGTAATTAGCACTACTGGGCTAGGTATTCCAACTTGTCACGGTAGTCTTCTAGTTCAATTGCGCCGGCTATCCTCTCTGATAAAAAGAAAGGAAACTCGTGTTAATAGATCTCATGAGTGTTGTAAATTTTCTTTGTTTTGCAACAGTGTTCGTTTCAAAATGAAAGGTTCATGCAAAAATATATATCTGTATCCACCTTGATATTAATTCAGGTTGACTTGATCTTCATTCATCCAAAATCCGTCATCGTTCTCCAGATAGTACTCTAAATATTAAGATTTTTTGAGATATTTATGTCATTTTCAAAAATGCGTTTAAAAAATCCGTAATGTAAGCGGTCTGAATAACTACATATACCTCCATCGTCGTACCGGCGAACCACAAGTCGATTGGCTTTTCTAGAAACAATATTGAACATGGTATAGTCTCTTCTATGTCTTGTTCTTTGTTTTTCACTTACTAAATAGGCGTTGACAATTTTAAACCACGGCAATGCAACCAGAAATACACAGTATAAGATCGTGTATTGAAAATTTCTGTCACGAGGTGATATTCTAAGGTAGGATATTGTACTAAATGCAAACCTTTGTTCGGTCGATAGAAAATGGTAACTTCTGAATCGCTTTTGTCTTCCCCTATGTTTACTACTTCAACGTAGTCGTTATGACTAGGCTCGTATACTTCATACCCTGACATATTACCTCGCTTTTCAAACATTTTGATCGATAAGTTGTTAAAACTTGGTGCAAATAACTTGTGCGTCGTAAAAGAATCGCGTAGCCCTCCGTTGTGCAAACGCGATTGGATCGTATTTCGTCATATGCAAAATTTATCATGCAAAGTTGGTTACTGAACACACGTTCTCGTCTTTCGGTAAAAGGACTTTTACAAGCAAAAACACAACCAAAACTCCTTGTTTGACAAGACATTGAAACTTTATTTCTACTGAGACGTATACAGCTACATAACATTGAACACAAACACACAATTTCTTCTTCCTCTTGCCTAACGCCGAGGTACCTGAAATTCTGAAAAAGAAATGTGAATAAGACATTAAAATGGAAAGAGCTCGAAGAGAAGAATTCACACCTGAAATACCCGTGCTTATTTGAGGTTTACAGCACTTTTCCAACATGAAGACTCTTTGCGTTCACTTGGGAAGTTACCGTAAACATTGACACAGTGTTTATAAAATCGGTCAACAGACCGACGCAGAACTATATGCCGGTAAAGAAGCTAAAATTTTAAAAAATATCGACAGACACGACCGGTTTGGAGACGTTAATGGTAAATCTTTGTTTCTTTGCCGAAAACTCGCAGATTATTGAGAGGAAATGTCACTTACCTTCAACATTCATTCACTCCAACCCTCGACATTTACCGCAGATGCGTCCATAGCTATGGTTGGAGTGATTGTATACTTATTCCTAACATGTCCTTCAACGGTATCATCCCTTTTCACTATAATGACGCTTCCATGAGAGGCCAAAATTCGTAACGTTTCTATCCCGTAGCTATTAGAACTGGGTTCTTCATACAACCATCCATTATCGACATGGTACTCTGGGAAAACAATAATAGTTGTGAGGGAGAAGTGAATAATTTGCTGAGCATTTTTTCGGTTAGATATGCAAGGCCAGTTTAAGCACTTATTTCAGAAACTGCGATATGTTTTTTCACTATCCGTGCATATGTTGTGCATGATTTGAAGTCCTTATTTAATTCAACGCACGTCAATAATATGACATTGAAACGCCCTCTTTTTAAAACTGTCCTCTCCTGGACTTAAAACTGTTTTCAATCGAAGCTCATGATGATCACAGATTTTTACAAGCCGTTATTATGAAATCCGACCTAGTATCTTGTTTTCTTAAACTTTCTGAACGCCATGTCCAATTACCTTTTTGAATGCACCTGTGCGCAGGTTGTAATTGTCTTCATTCAGTGTTATGAAAGTTCTGTAATCGTTTAGATGAGTAATAGCACTGTTCAAAGCCAGCACTTGCATTTAGCAGAGAATTGTTTATAGCGGCAGTGTTTTTTAAAGAACATCGCCACCGTGTGTTTCACATACTTTCCAGCAAAACGTTAAATGTTTTTTTACTTGGAGTGCAATGATATGGTATATTTCTGTTTTTACTCTTATTCTAGACGGTTTTTGTGATGGGAAATTGAAGTCCAAATATATCTTCATAATCTCGGTCTGTGTGTATTTAACGATGATATAGCTTAGATAAAAAACATTTAGTAGTTTTCATTGTGATTAAACAGGAATGATGGAACAGTTTCTTAGTGGTATGCTTGCATTGCTCTTCCTTACTTTGCTCAAGTCAATAAGTATTTTCTGATGTAACCAGCTTTCGTGACACAAAGTATTTCGTCAGTTCGCTCTATGCTTGAATTAACTTACACGTTCTCGTCGTTGCAAAGGTCGATTTGTAAAAAGAAAAAAATGGTAGCAAACAACAGACAATATATTAATCCTCGGTTGATTAACCTCTTAGAGCGAAAATTAAAATTGTCATGTACAGCATAATATACAGTACCACTGGAAAATACTACGCAGTGGCTTTCATTTGATTGGTCAATCTTTAGGATTTCATTCACAGACTCAAAAGTAAGTACCACCTAGTTTAGCATCATAAACAGTAGCTCAGTAGGTTACATCTGAATGGTAGCACTTAAGGATTTTATCTATATGTTCAAAATTTAGAACTACCTAGAATAGCATAGTAAACAGTGCCACAGGAAATCTCTCCTGACTAGCGTTCATTAGAGTTTTTGTATTGTAGTATTTCACCCCCAAACTCTAACCCAAAAGCCACCCTGTATAATATCAAAAGCCATAAGCGTAGTTATATCTTGCTACAGCTTGTTTCACCGAATTAATATAGCAGCTGTATCTCAGTATTTCAGTACCTCTAGACACACAACTTGAACTAAACCCATCATACCATAATCCACTCATTAAAGAGGACCATGCCAGGATCTTTATAGATAATTTCTCAATTTGCCTCCTCTGATCCTCGCGAGAAATATCCTCGCGTGAGGTACTCGAAACAGATAAACGTGTCGAAACATTTCATTTATTACACGTTCATCATCAAAGTACACCGACAATACTCTCCTGCACGCAAACTCATTTTGGTCGATTTTCAAGTCCTTGTTCTTCCTTCTATCAGTTAAGCCTCTGACCCAAGACGAAACATATTTGCTTGTGTTAAAGTCTTTGAAATAGCTTCAAAGCAGTTAATTTTTCTCTCAAATGATCAAAACTTAGATTCTCCTCGCGTGCATGTACCTGTCATTCTAAGATGTCAAGTGTGAAATGGCTTATATCGGCGGCGTGTCGCCTCACCTTGGAAATTTTTCAATGTACATAATGCTTCCTTTGTTTTCGTCAAAGGAAACATTTATTTAAAGCATGTGCGGTTTGTGTTGCTTGTTACGTCAATGATAAAGTATGTGCTTAGAAAGTAGTTTCATTTTGTTTAACAATTAAAATGTTGTGAATGGTTAAGAATCGAAAGTGCTAAGGTTATCATCGTTTACACGGAATGCGCTTGCAAAGCAAGTCTTTTGTTGTTCAGCTCGCCACAGGAGAATTATTACCTTATATGGTCATTTCTGTCCTTCACAACGGCTCAGCAGATCGATCGTAGAGTTGAAATAAGGCGCTTAAAATCAACTTTTGGGCTTCAGAGGTGTCCATAATCTTCGTACTGTTCGAGAATATACTTTGCGTGCAGTGGCTGCCATCTGCATAAAAATCGATGTTAGGTTTGGCTGTGTGAATAAATGCAAACTAAAGTTACCGCAGACACGCTGTCTGTGACGCTGACACACTGTCCTGGTCTGCTGGAAGCTGATTGTTTGATATGCATATACTTGTCAAAACACACTTGAAAGGGGGCATCCCTTCAGGCTGTTTTTAAGTATTAGTATTTACATTTTCTGCTCTCCCACATTGCTTTTGGAATTTAATATTCGCCAGTGTTGACGCTACAGTGCACATCTTTGCTTTCCTAAGTAATATGGCTGAATCTACTGATGGAAGGGATCTAGAAACGCAACTCAAAAAGGTTGCTTTAGCGTCTGCATGTACGCTTACGGGGCCAACACCATTTGAAACTCCGGAGCGAGGTCATGGTTCGTTTGATGTGACTAGCTGCTCGTTTGGCTCCCTAACTCGTCATATAGTGCTAACATTACTTGTTTGTTAAATAGATGACGTCTCCGAACGTTTAGAAGACAAAGTAAGAAGAGTCAGACAAGATGGCAGCGTATACAAATGGGATGTAAGAGAAGACGAAGCAGGTACACAATGACCTAATAATCGTTTTTATTCAAGTTGTTTCACTCTTGTCATTTCTCCAGTCGAAAACTGAAACAATATCTATCTAGTTTCATTTTCCTACCACCGAACAATCCTTATAGAAAGGTGCTGCTCGATGTGCCCAGTACTTTTACTTGGATTTGCACTATAAAAATTTCGTCGATAGACACAATACAAACTGTGGTTGTTAATAAATGTGAATGCACTGCGTTTCAGGACCGTTTCAGCTCAGTTAATGAGTTCCTTATTGTACAGAGACCTATGTAAATCAACAGACATTTTGTTAGTGTCGCTTTATTAATCTTAAAAACCATTTGCATACGTATTGGCAATAAAGTAGAGAAGGGCATGCGTTATGTCAGTATTTCTCTTTTGAAAGTCTCTCTACTTTCTGTAGCGGGTGATTTTTTGACGAAGAATAAAACCATATGTTATAGTTGAAAACGAATAGATATTTCGTTATTTAACTTTCGACACTGGAATCTGATCTATCTTATTTGCTTTCAGGCAAGACATAGCCAAGAATAGAGGTCCTGTCTGGATGAAGGGACATGTGCTATTATCAAAGAAAGATCCTTGACCTGTCACAAACCAGCTTGTGATCAAAGAAGATTACTTTTCATTCGTAGAGTGGTCATTCAGGCGAGATCGCGTTGCAGTTCAGAAATATTTTATTTTATCTAGCCCTAAACCCTTTTAAGGTTTCAAGGTGTAGTTATCATTCGCCTTTTAAGAAGATAAGAAAAACCGTCAATACCATATGATAGTACATCATTATAACTTTGTTTTGAATGAACAAGATGCCGTAATTTATCCACAGACTTAAAGGCTCAATCAACCTTTTACAGCGTAGCAAATAAGAATGTACTGCTTAGTGTAGCTTCAATTTGAGTGCTAATGGTCAGTTTTATAGCTTTATTCACAGTCAAATTATTATTATTATAATCACAAGATACAGTAAAGCGAAACATTCCTTTCCTTTCGCTTGAATTGCCAAGAATTTGTATCAATAAGTTGAAAAATAAGAACCTTATTTCTGTTACGTAGAATAATATTGATAATGCCTTGACACGAAATGAATTCCTGCATTTGAAGTGACTTCAAAGTCCAATTAGATTATACACTAGAAAAGTCAAGATAACGTAGAATGTTTCACTGTTATTACATGTAAACAAACGACTTCTTTGGGCTAGCTTTACAGTCGCTTAGCTTGTAATCAGTTGAACCAGAGAAAGGGATAAGCGTTTAAAAGGATAAAATTAACTTTAAAGGCTGATTAAGTCTCGTGAAAAAAACACAAACAATTTGTTAAGAAATAAATTGACAATTTTATTTTATGTTGTTTGTTTTATGTTGCTTTTTGTTTTCAAATTCCTTAACGAAACGTCTTCTAGGCTAAGGCTTTAATCAACGAATCTGTGATTGAAATGATATATGTATTATCACACGGCTAGAAAGTGTCTGTAAACACTTTACTTTCGAAGCTTGCAAACATCGGCACCTTGTTCGTAAACAAAAGCCTGTTATATACTGCGATGGCTTGTAAGAAATGATCCTAAATTGGCCTCACAAAACAATGAGATGAAAGTTTTAGATGTTCGGTGTGATTATAAAACGTGTGTGAATAAATGGAAACTCCATGTATGCTCAAAACAAACTTAAATTATATTGTTGCACCGGGGCTTTTCCCTTTCGTAGGCCTCTTTATCAACGTCAGCTCCACTTGGATAATGTTTTCATTACAGAAATAGAGTGGAAATTAGAAATTCTAGCAGCCGATAACTCAAGAAGGGCTTAAAATCAAGAAAATGACATTTTACGGCAGGCGTCATTTCCTGTTCCGCGTGGAGTCTGGACCTACTCTCGCTTTCGTTATTTGAGTTCGGATTTGTTTTTCCTTACGAAAAAAAAATTCCAGGTTTTTGGCATTAATATCAAATTCTTTGATTTTTCATGATTACTCTTACAGCTCGCCAAAAAGATGTAATTAAAGTATAATTGCCTTCCGAGAAATTTCTCCGATTCCTGGAACTGCGAGAGACCGATTAAGTCACGCAACGCTGCACGTATGTATAAATATGCGCTTGTTTTATTACAGCAAACTTTCTTTGTTTACATATAAAACCATTTGTGTATTTAGAAAGAAATATTAGCCTCTACATCTATGGGTAAAGTTTAACGACTTAGACGGCTAAAGGAGAAAACAGAAATGGATGGAGATATTTTTAAGAGCTTTATTTTTACTGCCACAACAGCGAAGACGATAAACCATAGTTTCGTCACGTAATCTTAAGCCCCATCTGGCCCTTCTGTCATGAAATGCGACGTGTTTTAGCAATTGTCTGTAACTGAAATGTCTCGTTATACGAACAAAGGAGGTGTTTAAGTTATATTTGAGGGGAAAATAGATAAATCTGGCTAAGTAACAGCTGATGTATTTCAATAATTCGATATTTGGTCGGGTGGGTGTGGGGTGCAGTGTGGGTCTTCTTCTCCCTGTGATGGACTTTATAGGAATGCTCCACCCATTAGGGGTACCTTTTCTCCAGGGGTGTGCATTCCCTTGCATGGCCTATATCGGGATGTGCCACCGGACAGGGTATGGTTTTTTACCCCTCTGTCCTTAATATAATTTTCCTGCGAGGATCTGTCCTAAACAGGGTAATAATTTTTTGTGAGTCGGTCCTTGTTACAAAAAGGATTAAATTTGTTTGTACTCCAAGTAAACAAAACCAATGACTATAACATGAATTTGCTTTATTGCAATTGCCAAATTATATGAGTGGCTTAAAAACAAGATGGCCTGCAATTTGTCATTTGTCCTAAACAGGGCAATAAAATTGAGGGTGTTGTCCTAAAAAGGGTGTGTATTTTAGATTGTTTTGTCCTAAACAAGGTCAGGGTTTCAAACCTCAGCAGTTCACCTATACCCAAATATTAGTCGAGTACCCCCCTCTCCCCTGCCCTTTGTTTTTACTGCATCCACTTGTTTCATCAGAATAATTTTTTTTAGTCAAGAGTAATGTATGGGTTTTGCTAGGGGGTACTCAATAGAGTTTTATAATGAGAGGCTCTGCCCTTAGGTCCAACCCCTTTACAATTATTCCCATTTTTTCAACAGAAAAGATACCCTTTTAGTAGTATACCTTTTATTAACAATGTACCCCCTTCACATATCTAGTTAAGAACTTTGCACCTCTTTTAACGGCTGTGAATTCACCAACTTTTAAATATGAATAGATCACAAAAAAATGTTTTCCTCAACTTTCTCAGAGCCATAAACGTATCTGTTAGCCTTTTCCGGCCTTTTTACAGGCAAATTTGACAGCTTTCCCCACCCTTTCATATACTTCAACTGGCGACATCCTTACTCTTTCATATAACTGAAGCCTTGGGGCAGAGCCTCCCCATATAGACCATTATAGAGAACCCCTCCCCCTAACCTTGGGGAAATTGGACCTTTGTTTAAAGAATATAATCCCCCTACCTCATCCCCCTCCCCCATGTTATTTTTAGATTACTTTAAATTTTTGGTTGTTAAAGTTGTGGAGGGCTGCATGGTATTATTGGTTTTCAAAGGGCTTGATCTTTGCACTATACCACCAGAACACCCTACTGTTACTAAGCAAACCGACACATAAAAACAAAAGTTCCTTGGCATTTTTATTTACCAAGACAAAGTTAAGGTCAATAAAAACCAGACCTGTCAACCTGAAAATATGGAAAGCCTAGAGGAGCTGGCTTAAAAATGTGGAGATTACCTTAAAAACCTCTGGTTCCTGGAAGGCCAATTAGCACTAATCAGGGATTCAAGTTCCACTTTTTGTATTTACCTTCCTATCTATGTACGTTGCTTATAGAGTAACATTTTGTGTTATCATTTCTTTTTTCGAAGTAAAGCGGGCACAACGGTATTTTGTAACCTAGAGTTACACTTTCGTATACAAGAAGAACCTTGCTTAAAATTTGGCTTAATCCTGGGTTAAATTTAATCATCTTTCGAGGAACCGGGCCTGGGAGATTTCTCATAATCATAAGGAAGTGAATATTACTTTCGTCCATGGCCTAAAAAAAGGTTTTTAAAATAGAGGAAAATGTTGTTAGTGTAAATATTCTTTTATCTATAAAGGATACATGTATAGTTATGACCATATTTGGTATACACCGAATACATGAAGGTTTTCTCAGTTTATTTGCCATTTTAAAGTACCGTGTATGTATTTTAGAATTCATACTGAACAAAGAAGATAATTTTCTGAATGTCAGCAAATTTTGATATTTTTAAAATTAATTCCATTATTATTATTATTATTATTATTATTGTTATTATTTAAATCAAATACTGACCATGTCAGTTGCCTCGAAATCTTCGCAACTCACAGTGAGACCAGGGGATTCACCTCAAGACTGGGGGATTCCCCCAGCAGGACTGGGGGCTTCGCAGGTCAGAAAAATGCAAATAAAAACGAGGCCAATATTCTTGACCAAACAAGCTAAAAAAAGACTCGCCAATTGGCCAAAAAGAGAACTGTTTCTTGTGCAACCAAGGCAGCCCTGGAAATCCCAAGTGGCTAATGGACCCATTTTGCCTGTCGGATAGCCAATTAGAAACACATGATTCGCTTTAGCCCACTTGGGAATTTGGCCATTACAATAATACTGTACCCTAACACATAGGTTACCTATATTTAACCAAACTTTCATGACATGATTTGTTTATATGTATATAATCATACACACCTTTAATTGGTAAATACATTAAAAATTTTTTAACCTATGACATGTTCTTTGATACAGTTTTATATAAGAACATAAACAAGCGAACTATTCAATAACACAAAACCTGTGCCAACTCTTTTAGTGAAAATATAACTTGGAAAGTTTCACTCTAAGAGAAGCAGTCCCTTAGGTATAACAAGCATGCTGGTGGGGGAAGAGGGGGGGGGCAGTGAAACCCCTCAGGAAAGAGACAGGGATGCTTGTAAAAAAAATTAGAATGAAACCCCTGAAGAAGACCAATCTAGGCATGGCTTAGGCTGTATTAATTTTGACCCCTTAAAGGGACCAAACTGGGCATAGCTCAGGCTGTATTTGACTCATAAAAGAGACCAATCTGGGCATAGCTCAGGCTATATTTGACCCCTAAGGGAGACTAATCTGGTTGTGTCATTTGTTTCTTGCAGAAGTACTCTAGAAGTAGTACTGATCATTTTCTGGAAAAGAGAATTTTCTGAGCCAGACTTCCAGCCAGCAAAGGAGTCACAGAATATGTCTTAACTGGAATGAATAATAATAAAAGAGCAATATCATAGATCAGGGGAGACATTCATTATAGATGTGACATGGATTGGCTTGTTGGAAAATTAGAATTTAACTCCTTGTTATAACGAGACCAATGTGAACATGGCTAAGGCTCTATTTTGACCCCTAAAGGAGATCATACTCCAACACAGGGTGATGGCATTTTTTTCTACAGACATATTATTTTCCTTTTTTACACACATTCACTCACTCATTTCTCTATGGGTAAAAATCCTGAACACACCAAATTGATACCAAAAAAAGAAATTTCTACCCCTAAGCTAGACAAAAAGTATCCTTAATCACTTTTGTGTGGGAGTCCACCCCCCACCACTCCCCAGGTATGCCCTTAGGGTGGTGGTCACAAGTTGGTTATATTATGCTATAGAATACTCTCCTTCTTTAATAGTACAAAGATTTTGCAGTCGTACTTAACAGTGATTCTTCAAGTCTTGAATTTCAAGTCTAGTCAATAGCATGCATTTATCGGAAAAACAATCCCCTTAGATACTGTTTATGGCAATCTCAAAGATATAGAATTGCCATGCTCCATATAAAACCAGCTCTCCCTGCCCCCACCTCCTTCCGAGGCAGCGTGCAAAGAAAGGTGTGTCCGATAGCCCAGGGCTAGTGGAGTTTGATATCGGGCTAGTGATTTTTGTGCAGTTAACTTGCCCGATGGGCAAGTGCAGTTTTTTGAGGAAATTCAAATTACAAAAGGATTGTAATCAATCCTGCTAATCTAAAAGGGTTTTGGGGCTAGTTGAAATGACTTGTGGGCTAGTACATGCTAGCTACAGCTTGCCTGAATGGCAGGCTGCAAAACTGACTTTCTTTACGCCCTGCCAGGAGATAAAAATTAATATTGTCCTTTACAGTGAATTACAGGCAAACCCCATTAATATAGACACAGAATTTTAGATTTTTACTGATTTAGTTGGGAGGTGCCCTGCATGGGACTCCAGGTCCCGTTTTCACCTTACCTTTTGGTCTTTTTTCTGTTGTTGTTGTTGTTACTGTACTGTAACTTTATTTAGAGTGACTCAGACCAATAAAGTTGATAAAACAAAACAGAAGGAGCCATAGAAAGTATCTGTATTCATAGGGTGTTCGTCTTAAGTGGTTCATACTATTGAAGCAGAAAAAGAACGCCTTTTATCAGCTTTTATTAGAACAAAATATTAAAGAAATTAATAAAAAATGACATTAGTATCATCAAATTTAGCATCTCTAACCTTCACAAAGCTATCGTTCCATGGAGTAAAATTAATGCAAGGAAACAGTAAAAAATCAGTCATCTATATTACTTAGTGAAAAACGGTCTCTGTGTAATTTGTTTGATTCCAAAATAGTCTGCAATTGACGTCTACAAATCATCTTATCTGATGTAATGTAGCATTGAGGACCTCGACAAGCTGTCAAGTTTTTTTCCCTGTAGAAAGGAAAGGTCTATATTTAGAGCACACAGTGGATAATGAAGTGTCCACATTAGTGAGGTTGACTTTTCTATGAGAATCCATTGATTGGGCAAAAAACAATTTAAGTCTCCATTTAAAGCGGGTTGAATATAGAGAAAATGTAAGGGGTTTCCTCAGGGACAAAGAAAATTGTCCATTTAACAAGGTGTCTGTATTAAGCAGGTGTCTAAGAAGCGCGGCTCAACTGTACCTTTTACTAATCTATTGTGTGTGAGCCACACTGTAAGTTCCAGACGAAGTTTTTTTATTTCTCTCTTGGTTTTATGGCTTGATCAAGCTTGAAGCTCAGAGGAATAGTTTCCCCCTGGGAGGGGGGTACTTTAGGAATTTCTGGGTGGGGATGTGCCGCTGGGACCCTGGAACCTTTAACCTATACCAGAGCTAGTTCAGCTGAATTTTGCTACCCTGTACTAGAGTAAACTCCCCAAATCCTCCCTATCCTAAAGTAACTGTTTTCCAGAAACTACTGAGGTCACTAGCACAGTCTAGCCAAAACAAAACCTTATACCACAATCCCTAGTTTAGATAAAATCTTCAACCAACTGATCAGTTTCCTGAAAAATGATACCCTATTCTAGACCCAAATGCTCTGATTTATATACCCTATCCTAGAGTAAACTGCTTGAAAACCATACCCTTCACAGCAGCACATACCTATATAGCCCATATATGGCAGTACCCCGGGTAGTTTCCTAACATATGCATAGGTTTCTTCATCCTCACCTCCACGATATAGCAACTAATTTTGACCAGGCATTGTAAATTTAATTAAAAACTCAGACAGACTTCTTATACCTTTTATGGGTAAATTTTATGCATCGGTAGATCTTTGTAATTTGTGAGGGGAACTGGTTTTTTATCTAATTTTTTTCATTAAAAATTACATTGCATTGTTCTAACAAAAACCAGTTTCTCTTATTATCCCTTCCCTATTGCAACCAATTAATAATAAAAAGTTAAGCACACAAAATCTGTAGCAAGGCTACTGGTAAACAAAGACGCCTCTAGACATTTGACTGTAATCATTGTGATGAGAACCTTGTAGCCCTTAGCTCTCTGGGGAACATAGGGTTAATATAACAGCTTCTCAAGCACATACGAAAGAGAGAGAATGAAGCCACAGGGAGGAGAAGGCTTCCAGTGAATTACAAACCCTATGAAAAGTTCTGCAACTCAATAAAGCACTCAGTCAAAATAAACAAACAACAAGAGGGCGTAATAAGGGGGGGACAAAGCCTTGTAGCAGGTAATTAGCGACTTCGAGTTATGTGCAAAAAATAACACAAACCTCACCTATCGCTTCACTACCGTGGTAGGGCAAAAGTGTTGGCAAAGCCTTTTTTGTCTTCCTAGCGCAGCACTGGCTGGATCGGACAAGATGAAGGCAAAGAGGTAAGATGGCAGGACACAAGCGATGCCAAAAGCTTGGAGGAAGTCGCTTCGCAGACTTAACTACGCCACAGCGAATGACCCGAAATGTTTATTGATATATTACAAAGGAGATGCCTCCAAAGGGAGGAGGGGGGTTTTTCGAAAACTGTCTCCTATCACTCAAAGGTAAAGGCGCACACGAGCCAAAGGCCCACGCGGCCGCAGCTTATTTCCGGTTTCCGTAGCACGAAGCAATCGAAGGAGTATTGCTACTCCCCCCTGGACGGGATGCTAGTCCATCGCAGGGTTACCCCCCAGTAGTATGTCGCCTGTAGCCTTTTATACACCTGGATGAAGAGCGAAAAAGTGGAGTAAAGTTCCTTGTCTAAGGAAACAACGCGACGGGCGAGGCTAGAACCCCGGACCTCCAGATTCAGAGTTCGAGGTGTTAACCGCTCGGCCACACATGCCTCCTACTATCATGCAAGCTGACTGAGTCATGACTAGGTGTGGCAAGCCACAGAATTTAACAGTACTAAAGACAGTGTCTCCAAGCTGAAGCAATAAATATAGATGTACTGTAAGCTACCTAGACTTACGGCGATAAACTACTAGCCAAGACGATAAGCCTTTAAAGCGACGACCAATCCATGCAGTGCTAAATTTTTTTGTAGACAGGCATGCAATAGATTACGATACTTCTAGCCATGAAAGGCTTCTGTTTATAGCTAAAAGAATAGAGTTCGTTTACAGAATGAATCACAATACTACAAAATACAATCGACCTTTAGTATCTGGTAGTCTTACTCGGCCTACTCCCTTAACTGCATTTACCACGTAGGAAATGTCTTACAAAAACAACAACAACCACAACTTAGTTACAAATAATTTTTTTTTTGAACTTTTCTTCCCTTCTCTAGTTCTAGCTGAAAGTTTTCCCCTCCAACCTAATGAAATGTACTCCAACGGGGGCTCCTGACTCAAAACATTATTTTAAAGGCTCGAGGGACAAAGAGGCTCTGGTGACTGGTGAGTCTAAAGTGATCACTTTGGCATCATTGAAATTCTGGTTAAACGTGAAAATGCGGTCCATCTTGTGCATGTTTTTATTTCTTTTGGGTTTTTGTTTCAACGAATTTTTTTACGGACATTTCTCATGCATGATTTTATTTGTTTTTTCCCCCACATCACTTTTCTAATGATCCGTCCCTTATCATGAATGAGAATTGCCATTTGTTTTCAGTTTCTTTGTTTTCAGTTTCAAACCTGAGTTGAATCAATTTCACATCAAAAATGGCCAAGTAAGTTTCTTTAATGTTCAAAACTGAGAGATGCTGTAGTTATTTTTAGTGCTGGATGCGCATTGGTCAGTTTAGCTGGCAGCCACACTCCCCCTCAATTTAACAAGTGGCGCGGTCACTAATTGACCTCTCAAGACATGTGGAAAGTCGATGTAATCGACAGTTTATAACCCATGATCGAGAAAATTTTAGGCGTTATAGCCTTATCTCTCGGGAAAAAAGCGACTGTTTATGCTGTCGGAAGGGTGAGTACCATCTATCCTTATTTTAAACAGTCTTATGATCATTGCTTCCCCCGATTCGTCGTGAAGTGTCGCGTGCACCTCACCTTGATCGATACGGTTGCTGAATTCACCATTTGATATATTTCCCGTTTGCTAAAAAAACACAAAACCTTGTGTCATTAGGTAGTTTAACAATTACTTAAAGAAATGGCTGAGTGTTTTTGTCTTTGCGGAGTATTAAATGAAAGGGGTTAAAAGGTTACTTTCATTTTTGGAAGGAATTTTATAATTGTGGTGATGTAATACTGGCTATTTTTTACAGAGGCTATAAGTTAAGCTTATGTGTATAAATACTGAGGTTTAGTTCTAATATTCATTTTATACTGGTAGATGCCATTGGGGTTTTTTTTCAGCGGCTGGGAATACAATTTTTTATCTGACGAAGAAACTCGTTGAAATCTGGGCTGAACTGTAAGATATTCAGACATGTAGTTTAAAGACAATTTACATGTATCAGTCAGATCAAAGTATGAAAATTAAAAGATGTGGCACACCAATAGGAAACAGAGCTGGATTGTGAGGAGAGCCCCACTAGAATAATGAAGTTTCATTTTAATGGGAGCAGTTGAGCCGTTTAAAAAAAAGTTGCCCTGTTATTTGTGCTTGTAACAATACTGGTAACCATGCAAGCCTGTTCTTCTTTCTTCTTGCAAGTAAAGTAGATGCGGTATGAAAGTAGGATTTTCTTTAACAGGGCAGGAGAAAACCCATGTCCAATTGCATGGGGCAAGTAAATTTTGATCTTGGGCAAATGAAGATAGCAGTTTGGTCACCCAGTCAATTTCGTTCCCAAACAGGACAAGGGTAGCGCAGACTCTTGGAACGAGATTGGTCGCCCAGTGGGCAATTGATTGTGTAACACTGTCTGAAAGTGTCAGCTTAGTAAATGATAATTTCCAGACAGAAACTATTTCAAAACTGAAGACTGCAAGATGAGTGGCGCAATTAGTTGAATATGAATTTTGTTACTCCTGCAATCACTATATTGATCAAATCCAGTAGTTTCTCTGTATCTGACACAGCATTGAAGTACTAGTAGTTTTATACACTTTGTTATAACCTATACTACAGGGTCTGAAATTAACTTTTTAATACGAGCACCAACTGGCGATCAAGTTAACCTGAGATCAGGCTCTATTTTCGTTTTGCTTTGTTAATAACATTACGGCGGGCATGGCGAAATGAAAAGAGAGCCTGATACAAACCTTCTACAAAACGTCTGCCGCCCACTTTTTTGATTGATTGACATTTGCCGAATCAGCCAACCAAAATTGCTTCCGTTGCTTGTTTTTCTAGTATGCAAATTTTTCAAGCGTGGGAAAAATGCAGACTGGCTGACTTAAAAAATAGCTTTTATCTGTTAATTTTTTCAGCTAAAAATAAAACAGTCAGCACAATCACATTTAACTTCTTACGAGATTAAGGGGGATCTCGAAGGTTATTTCCGTTGGCGTAGAAGGCAAAATGTTTTCGAAAAGACGGCGACATGATGTTCTACTAGTTTTATTATTTTTGGCTAGGCGCGCTCAAATTTAAAATACTGAAATTTCTATTTTTCCGTTGCCTTAATATTTTCCTTGGCAATTTCCCCCGATTTTCAGTACATAAATCTTTAAAAACAAAAGCAAACAGCCAATGAGTGAGGACACCAGTTTTCCTGGTTTATTTTTTACAAAAAGTGAAGGCAAATAACCAGTCTGTTAACACTGAAAATTCCTTGAACAGCGATGCAATATTTTTCGTCTAATACTTCACAGTTGGCGATTGAGGTTTGTTTCGCAGTGAGCCTCCGCTTGCGCACCCTGTTCACCCCGGCTAAACTTTCAAATGAAACCAGTTTTAAGATGGACAGTATTTTGATTTGCACCCGTTTGTTGATAAATCAAAAGGCACCTTGTTAGCAGTCAACAACTTGCAGAGGGATTCAACTCCGCAATACACTCACTTTCCGTCAATAAAGCAAATCCTGAGAAGGTATGAACAACCATATGAATTTTCTGAATTTCCATGGCACATATTAAGGCATATTTTCCTACCACAAGACCATAAAACAATAAAAAAGACAGCAAAATCGATCCTTCTCTTCGCCGACAACGGATCATTCATGAAAACAACCACGCAAGGAATAAGAGCTTTCAACTTGCGGCGTTTCCGACAGCCAAGCAGATCTTGTGGCATTTTTCTAACAGCCAATCAGTGTTACGGCCAAAATCTAACGAGCACAAACGTGAATGAGTTTGTATCAGGCCCAATTTCAGCCGTAGCCATTAAAGAGAATGTGTGAGAACTGCTCAAATTGGGCCTGATCTCAGGTCACGATCAAGTATAAATTTTTGGTCGCCAGAGGGCAAATTGTGGTCGCCAAAAATTTCCCCTCCCTTTCATTAAAATAAAAATTTAAAACAAATAAAAAAGCATGGTAGGGACGTTTTTATGCTAAAAAATTCCACTACTTCCGCTTAAGCAGCCCGTACGTGTATGAGTGAAGTCTAACTTTTTCCACAAATTACTTTTTGGAGATAAAAAGCTATCTGACCTAGAATGTAGGAACAGAAAGCTACTGCCCTTGACTGTACTGATCATATCAAAAGGCTATTTTCCTCTGATAACTACCATGAAACATGAAACATAAACACAAGTCTGCCATGTTGCTCAAGCCAGGCCACAACCATGGATATACGGGTAGAGTATAATTCCACATACACAACGTACTTACTGTATTTCAGCTGAAAACAACATGGCGGCTTTGAAACATTCAGCGTATATTGATCATAGCTGTTGTGGAGGTATTTTTACACGAAGATTCGTTGGCAAATAGCTTCGAGGTTTCAATTCTTAATCATTTTCTCTGAACGGGAAAGTCCACAATAACAACCAGCTTTACAAGTTGCCAGCTGGCGACCAGCTATGAAATTGTGGTCGCCGGTACTGAATTTTCAGTCGCATTTGGCGACCAGGAAGGTGCAATTTCGGACCCTGTATACCCTGTTACAGAAAGTACCTTAGAACTATAGAGGATAGGACATTGTATTACCTTTTGGCAAGTAATATTTCAGTAGAGGCAATTGAGAACTGAGTGGGCAAGTGGATTTCAATTTTTTTTCCTACCCTGCATAAGCTCATGCAAGTGGCAAAAATTGAAGTTCTAGTTGTCTTGAAACTACCAGCTACTTACAGATTTCAAGTATTTTTCTTTACACTTTGTTTGAAGACCTGATAAATACTTGAAGATGTGCAAAAATCAATGTGTGGTAGTGATGGACATCCAAATATTTCTATTGTTACAGAAAAAACCACACATATTTCCAGATATTTCATGTAATAATTATTAACCTCTTTCTGGATGCTAAGTGCATATTTGTTGTATGAGGTTCTTTTGTAGTTTCCTCTTGCATGCTACTGAATAGGATCCCTTAGGATTTAAAACCACTTTCTGTTTTTTTTTTTGACTGACCATTAAATACAGACGAACCTCCATGTGCAACCACCTTCCTAGAACACCAAAAATGTTTTCATTCAAAGCCTTTTAATGGACCCTCTCGAAAACAACCACCTCCCGTAAGCAACCACGACTACTTTTACAGCTGACAGTTATAGAATTTTCTATGGTTTTCACCCTTCGGTAAGCGACCACTTGACAAATGGTCTTGCTAAACAGTGAAGTACATTGTAAAAATGGACCAAAAGGAATTTATTCTTTGGCTGTCATTATTGTCTATACATCTATTACTGTTTTTATTAGTTCAATCTATAACAACAATATTAACCATTACCCTTGAGAATGAGACTTCCAGGTTTCAGTTTAAGAAGTTAAGTTTTTGTTCATCAGACGTTTTAGGCACATTCCTGTACAAGAAGTTACGTACACAAGGGTAGTGTTGGTAGATAAAGGCACCAGAGAAAAACCAAGGACAAATAATATATTATAGTGAAACATCTTCTGTATTGAATTAAACTATGGATTGCTATGCAAGCTGAAAATTAGAACCTGCAGTGGGTAATGATAAAGAAAGCAGGTTGTCCTGTCTGAGAAAGTCATTTCCATAATAAATTGTAACTTTTTAATAAAAGTAAATAGAGTAGAACCCTAGCAACCTGAACTCTGAAGGGAAACAAACAACAGGGCAAGTTAGCAGTGAATTCAAAATATGGGGTAAATTTCAGTGAAATTTTGATCAAGGAAAGGGAAATTTAGTTTGAGTTAGCAGGGAATTCAAGTTATTCGAGTTCGAGTTATCTTCTGCTGTAGTAAGCTTACATGGAACATCTCATGTGCAAAAAATAATCTCTAAGGAATGTGCACGCATACACATGCTTATACTGTAATTATGTATTTTTATTTTGAAGTACTATGGATTTCCACGACTTTATAGAAGATTTGCAGAATTTAACCGAAGAGTAACCTCAGACAGACAGGTCATTAGAAGGCAACAAGAAGCCATGAAATTTGTATTTAGAATTCCAAACAAGATTGTAGCATATTTCAGGTAGGTTTGTATTGATTTTAGAAGGAACTGGAGACAAACATCAAAAATTAGTGTGAAAGATACTGTTGTATTGTTTATTGTGTAGTACAAGGTGGTCATAACTTTTGAGTTGAGACTTCTGAGTCTGTGACTGAAATCCTAAAATGTGACCATTCAAATGAAAGCTACTGAGCAATACTTTCCTGTGGTTCTGTTTATTATGCTGTACAAGGTGGTTCTAACTTTTGAGTCTGTGGGTGAAATCCTAAAGTGTGACCATTCAAATGTAAGCTACTGAGCTGTACTTTCCTGTAGTACTGTTTATTATGCTGTACAGGGTGGTTCTAACTTTTGAGTCTGAGGATGACATCCTAAAGTATGACCATTCAAATGAAAGCTACTGAGCAGTACTTTCCTGTGGTTCTGTTTATTATGCTGTATAAGGTGGTTCTAACTTTTGAGTCTGTGGGTGAAATCCTAAAGTGTGACCATTCAAATGTAAACTACTGAGCTGTACTTTCCTGTAGTACTGTTTATTATGCTGTACAAGGTGGTTCTAACTTTTGAGCCTGAGGATGACATCCTAAAGTATGACCATTCAAATGAAAGCTACTGAGTATTTCTTTCCTGTGGTACTGTTTATTATGCTGTGCAAGGTGGTTCTAACTTTTGAGTTTGTGGGTGAAATCCTAAAGTGTGACCATTCAAATGTAAGCTACTGAGCTGTACTTTCCTGTGGTACTGTTTATTATGCTGTACAAGATGGTTCTAACTTTTTAGTCTGTAGATGAAACCCTAAAGTGTGACCATTCAAATGAAAGCTACTGAGCAGTACATTCCTGTGGTCCTGTTTATTATGCTGAACAAGGTGGTTCTAACTTTTGGGTCAGTGGGTGAAATACTACGTAAAAGTTAATAAGCAGCACTTTTTCTGTGGTACTGTTTATTTTGCTGTACAAGGTGGTTGAGTGACCTGTATAGTCAGTATATAGGCGAGCATGTATTTGGTGCAATTATTTTTTTTATTTTTCACCAACTGTACATGTTATCATTGCAACAAAAATCATAAAAAATCCTTAAGTAAAAGTATTCAAATGAAAGCTACTACATAGTACTTTTCTATGGTTCTGTTTATTATGCTGGGCGAGGTGGTTAAGTCAGTGTACTGTTATTACAAAACAAACTTTAGTATGAAAGGTAATTCCAGTACCATCCATAGAAGATTTATGGCTCTGGAAAGCCGGTCTTTCAGGATTTGTTAAGTAGGATGTTACCCTTGGAAAGAGTAAGGAAAGTCCAGTCTGATGAAGGTACTCCTGTCAAAAATAAAAATGATTCATGGAAGCATATATTTAAATGAAGTTATATAAAAATATATCAGTTAAAATAAATCGTATTTCAGTTCTCCAGAAACACCAGAAACCAGCAAAAACTGCTGTCCAGTTAAGTGACAGCTACTTGCAAAAAATAAAAATAAATAAATAGGGGAAATCATAAACGATTCATATTTCTTTCTCAGCACTATTAGGCAGGGCTTCTGATAGGTTGTGGAGAAAAAAGTTAAATTTTGCAGGGTTTTTCAGGGACAAATTTGGGGAAAAACTAGCTGATCTCATGGGATTTTTGCGGGAATTTTCGGGGTAGACTTCGCTGAGATACACTTGCTACTTTTAATGATAATCAGTGTAATTTAACTGTGTACAAATTTAATTGCTTTACTACTTAAAAAAAAATTCCACTTACTGTAAGTGATGGTCTTGGTTCAGGAAGAAAATGTAACATTTCCCTCATTTTCTCAAAGACCACTTGAGCTGTAAGGAAAAAGAAAACAAGGTTAATGATCAAACTTTCAGAACTTTCTGCTCATGTTATACAAAACTTTGAGACTCTACAATAAGACATACATGTCCAAGAGGAAAATTATTTTTGTGTCCTTCTCTCAAACATCTGGGGGGAGGGAAGTACTTTAGAAATTTTTGGGTGGGAATGTGCCACTGGGACCCTGGAACCGTGAGCCTATACCAGAGCTAGTTTAGCTGAATTTTGCTACCCTATACTAGACTAAACTCCCAATATCCCCCTGTATCCTAGAGTAGCTGTTTTCCAGAAACTACTGAGGTCAGTAGCATAGTCCAACAAACAAAAAAACAGTTTTATTTTTTTATATTTATGAGTGACAATTCCTGGTTTGAGGCTACTCTAGACTAAAATCTTCAACTGACTGATCAGGTTCCTGGAAATTGATACCCTACTGTAGTCCCTTACTCTCTCATTTATATACCCTATCCCAGAGTAAACCGCTTTAAAAACCATACCATTCCCAACGGCACAATTACCTCTATAGCCCATGCATGGCAGTACCCCCCACAAACATCCCAGTAACCTTTTGGGCCCGTAATTAAATATTCAAATCAAAATCTAAAGAACAAAAGTGCAGGTTGCATCTAAGAAATCAGTCCATTTCATTTTGTTAACTGATAGTTTTATCACATTATCTGCAAATTTTTAATATAAACAACAACAGCTTTCCAGGCTCATTAATAATTATCGGGGCTTACAAGAACTGGGCCTTTGGTAAGTAAAGTATACAAAATTCTTCTTCCCATCTCATTCTGCATCACACCTGCCTTGTCAATGTTCTAATGTTCAATAGTAGTCTACTCTACTGACACTGCATGACAAATTTGATTTACACCAAATTTACTCAGTGCAAATTTGGTGCAAAAAAGTGCAAACTAAGGCTAAATAAAGGGCAAAGCTGGTAAATAGGGCATTTCCCCTCAAATTTACAACCCCGTGTAAACTGGCAAGCAAATGCGGCATTTACCATCTTTTGATTTTCCCCTAGTTTGCACTTTTTTGCACCATATTTGCACCGAGTAAGTTTGTACAAATCCAATTTTTCGTGCAGTGTGATCATCCCTAGCGTGAGTATCCTGTGTCAATAAAATCCAGGAGCTGGCCACTACAAACCACCAAAAACCAAAATCAAAAATATCTTGGACAGAAAGTGAATCAAAGGCCATTTTTCAGAATTCCATCCAAACAACAAGGAGCATCTTTCAAATTAATTTCAAATCATTCTTGTTGCTATAAACCAAACAGAGTCACTAACCAGTTTTTTGGGGGCGTGAGGGGGGGTTCTAGTCTCGCAATACACATGTTACCATTATTTCGGGTTCGTACAGATTTTTGGATCCAAAAGTGAAGACTTTTTCCAGACTTTTTTCCAAAATAAGAATTTCTTTTTCAAGATTCAAGGTTGTCAAATAGGTGATCATTAGAGACCTTAAAAAATGCGGGAACAAAGCTTTTTTCATGGTGCGCGGCAAACATATGGGAGAGATTGGATAAGATTTGACCAAAATGAAAAAAATTTCACTTATATTAAGCACTTGTTAGCTTTGAAAAAATAATCAAGACTTTTTACCACTTTTTCCAGACTTTATCTCTATTTTTCAGACTTTTTCCACATCTGAAAAATTGCTGCGCAAATTTTAAGACTTTTTCAAAAATTCAAGACTCTGTACAAACCCTGTTATTTAGAATCAAAACATACGGTAAATCATCTATTAAGCCCCACCTGCCTCTCAAAAGCCCCGTCCCCTCTAATAAGCCCCCCTTTCCAGGGAAAGAAAGTTAATAAGCCCCCCCTCCCCTTCCCTAACCATTCTTCACTATTAATAAATCATAGAAGTCCTGTATTAATCAATCACGACTGTTAAACTTCGTGTGGACTGATCTGGGATGGTTTATTTGCCAACTGAAAGTTCAGATTTGATTCTGATCCTTGGCTGCGTGACCTCCAACCTTCTTGTACTTGAGCTTTTGCACTTTGTATTCTAGTTCTTTATGGAGAACTTCTACCATTGTCTTTTCTACATTAAATAAGCCTCCCCTCTCATATAAGCCACCCTTCTCTAATAAGCTCCCCCGTCAAATAAGCTTCAAATAAATAAGCCCTTCAGGGGCTTAATGGAGGATTTAAGGTAACAGAAATGGTAATTACGAGGTGAGCTGGTAAATGGGTTATCCCCAAGCCACAGGGAGTGGCACTCTCTGCAGGTTATTCTGTCAAATGCTAAGTACCCTACCCCCGTGTACCCACACAACCCTTTTTCTTAAGATATTAATAGCTGCATAATTCTAGAAGGAGAATTTTCCAGCACATTGGTAAAATGTCACTGCTAACTATCAAACAAACCTTTTGGCTCAAATTTGTTTTGGTATTCCACTTTGTGGGCTGCATCAATCTTCCCTAATATTGTCTATAAAAATTAATAAAAATAAATAAATAAATAGTCAATAAAAATTAGAAGAATCTGGAAATACACCTTTTTCACCCTTTGAGGCTATTTTAAACACCCATAATCATTCTTCTGCATGGTTTCTTTCAATTAAAATAGAACGGAGGTATATCAGTAAGCTTGAGTGTTTTACACCGTTTATGCATAGCTACAAGCTTAAATTAAAAGTAAACAAACTTTTTTTTCTTACAGCATATTCCTTCTTGCAAAGTGGCTCTAGCTGAGAGCACAAAGGTAAGATCTCGATGGCTACATCATCTGGAGAAAACTGGACTGAATTGCATAGCGTAAACAATGAGCAAGGTGATGGATGAAAAACCTCACAAACCTTTGAATGATGGATCGTAAGCAAGAGGTGCGCACAATGGCCCATTAAATATCAAAGGTTCTCTGTTCATATTTGCAGCCTGATGCTATCTGTGGCTTGATTATTTGCGATTGAAGAAGGTTCCACAAAGAGAGGACATGACAGCTTTCACCGTTTGTAATTGTCCTATATGAAGTACCTACTTATTTCAAATAGTTGACCGCTGACCGAGCTATGTGCTTTTACGGGGAAAACTCGATGGGAAGGTCGGTCAGTTTTTTCTTCTTGGGAGGGCAGGGGGAGAGGTATGTGTGATTTTATGATCTCATAAAGATGAACTCTTACCGATGTCAGTATTTTATTTATTTATTAGATAACATACCGTAAAATTCCGAAAATAAGCCCCCCGGGGCTTATATTTTTCGAAGGCCCTTTTTGAGGGGCTTATATTCGGAGGGGCTTATCCACGGAGGGAAATTTGCGTTTCAAAATCGATTGAGCTAGCCTCATAGTTAGAAGGAAATTTACCCTTTTTGCTTTGTTTTACTTTGTATTTGAGGGCAATTTCCTGGTACAAGCCCCCGGGGAGGCTTATAGTTGGAGGGGCGATTTAACGGAGGGCTTTTTGCGTTACGAGTTTGGGGGGCTTATATTTGGAGGGGCTAATACCTGGAGGGGCTTATTTTCGGAATTTTACGGTAATTTTAAAGGTGGTCCTATTCACAAGCCTTTTTGGCTTCCTTGGGCTCCCTTGGCTCATCTTTTTTAACAATTTTATCCGTATATTTTGTGTATATGGCAAAATGATAATAAAACAATAAGAAACTCATTATCTCAAGAAACGTTTTGTACGCAGCCTCGGCTTGAAAGTGAGGGTTTTTGGAACTCGTAAATGGCTTATTTCTTATGATCTCCCCCATTTCATCTGGTTCCAAGTCCCTCGCGATCACCTATACATAAAACTAAGGTGAAATCGGTGGTGGTGGCGATGATGACGACGATGATGATGCCAATAATGGTCATGAGGTGGTGATGATCAACCTCGTCCCCAGGGCTTTTCCCTTGAAAAATGGGTGGGACGGGACGCCCCACCCATTTTTTAAGGGAAAAGCCCTGGGGACGAGGTTGGGATAATAATGAACAGTATTATGGCACAATGGTTTTTATGTTATTAATGATGACGTACGGTAGTGCTGCTGATTATGATAATGATGATGACAAGGAAAATGATAACGCCAACGACGACTTATGATGTCAATGACAACAACAATAACCATGATAGTCACACCAGTCTAACAAATGTGTTAGCGACAGTGACAGCAAAGAGAAAAAAATGAGAATGGAGAGAAGAGGAAACAGATGAAAGAAAACAGCGTTTTCTGATTCCGTGAAAGAAGGCGTTTCATTGTCTCGGGGGTGCTGGGGGGGGGGGACTTCAGGCCCGCTCCCCTTTTTTTGTGGGGGACACAGCCCTCTCCCCATTTTTGTAGAATAATAAATAACTTTCTTTTGTTTTACCACTGTCAACTCATTATTACTTAAAAACATCACTTTGGAAAGTTCAAGTAAACGTCGACTCGTCTGTTTTAAAAAAGGAACAAGGCACGTAGCCGGTTGGATTAGGATGTTTCATTCTTTTAACCGCACTTCCTCCCCACCCCTATGAAAGGCTATCCTATGTAGTTTTTGTTTTCGGCACTTTTGAAGACTGCATCCTACAGATCCGAGAGGTCCATAATGTTGTCTTAAGAAAAAAAGACAGAGACTGCCTTTCATTGCTTAAAATGGAATGTCCAATTTTATTTTCAGCCCCCCACTTTTTATTTCGCTCCTCCGCCGCTGAAATTTCATGAATTAGCATTAAAGACACTGGTACTACTTTGAAATCAATAAGCGGTTATAAGAGTCCATTATCCGGTGATCATGTTTTATTTTCTATTTGCACAGATTCCTTCCCACTTGGTGCAAGAGACTTATTCTTGACGGTTTACAGTTACGATCTCTTTTTCAAGTTAATTAGTTCACTTTATTCGCCCTTGTGCCCCGAAGAAAGAAAACCCCTTTACAGGTTGCTTCGTGGGCATTTCCTTCTTAGAGAAGCACAACAAATCCGTTGTTTTTCAAATTTTGAGTCTGTACCTTAATAAATATAGGCTTGATATGTGCTTTATTGCCTTGAGACGCCATTTGAAATACTTTTTATCATCAGTAATCAGATTCTCATATCAACTAAAAGCAACAGTCATGTTTAGCTGATAAGCAAACGCGGTTGCCCAGCCCATAGCTGTTATGCGCATCAGTCATAAGAATCGAAGCTATAAACGAAACGCCCTGTTTATGTGAGTCAAAAACGTTTCCTTTGACAACGACCTCATGCTAGTTGCAAACAATTGTACATAGAATCCATAGTGCGTGCAGCACTTTTTATATCAACTCGTGATCACTTCAGTTCTTAAGATTGGGAGCACGTGGAACCCAAAGTAAGTAGCTGTGTTTTTTCATGTCATTTAGTTCATTTGAATTGAGCGTGATGGGCGAAACTGAAGGGTCCGCACACAAAGCCCGCCCCAGCTGTTCAAAAGCTGGATACTGCTATCCAGTAGTAGCAGTATTCTGGAAACTAATTGCCTTATCCATTTGATAGAGATTGATCGATCGGATAGCGCTATTCACCTTTCGAACAACTGGGGCCTGATCAATTGTAGTGTTGATGTGCGCACAGAATCATATGCCAGGCCATCTTCAGATGAAGAAGGTCAAGAAGGAATCTGCTTTGAGCGAACAAAAATCTCTACCACATCCCAGTCGCCGTTCCACACCCAATCACAAATAACCACAAACTAACAAAGTCCTTACAGAAAAGCAATTTTATTAACTGAGATGCCACTAGCTTGCGTTGAAGCCGGACTTGTCAGACTGTCTACGACGCAGGCTACACGCCACTTGCCTAGGGCTTTACTCAAAGAATGCCGCTTAAGTTAGGATATCGTAACTAATTCAACCGAAAATTAACATCTATCCTTTTTTGAGGCCTGGCACTATTTGTATGGGACTTATGGTTCGCCAAATTTTGCATAGACTGCGAACAGTTGTGAACCGTCTCGTGTAACATCACCTTTAGGAAGCGAACGCGCGCGGGTGTCGAGAGACGCGAGAAACGAGGGCGGCAGCCCGAGAAGAAAAAAGCTCTCTTTTTTCGAGCCTCTCCCGCCGCCTAGCGCCTTCAGTCACGCCCGTGGTCATTTTTGTGTCTCGCGCCTGTCGCTATACGGACTAAGAATAAAGAGAGACGGCTCGTAGTCTAAAGTTTGCGTTTCAAATTGAGCAAGGCCTGTAAATTGAAGGTTAAATGATGTCAGCAATTTTTCAATACTGGGTTGGGTTATCACACGTCATCAATCTCTCCCGCTTGTTGACTCGGCTAAATATTGGTCGTGCGGGCTCCTCAAAGGCTTAATCAAACAACCTAAAAACCGCATTTTGCCGATTTTTTCACCGAATTTTACATTAAATGGTCAGATTTGACTGTTTTATGCTGAAAAGTGGATTTTCTCCAAAAAAAAAAACACTTGTACTTTGCTTAACCCATTCGCCCCTGGAAATTTCACCGAAAAACGCGTTTTGAAGCTAGTCTAGTGGTTTTCTGGTCACTGTCGTGCGAGGCACTAAAACTTACCACAAAGGTCGTGCACTGTGCGGCCTTATGTTCCACTAAGATGCTCGTTTGAGAAGGCATGCGTAGAAAGCAAAATTTCGAGATTTTGGGGTTTAAAAGTGACACAGCAGTCTTGACTTTTACTTTTTGCTTTCTCTCCTCCCCTCTTTTTTCGCTTTTCTTGCCAAATTTTTCTTTCTTTTGCTGGGGATTTAGAAGGCTTTATTTTGGTGGGAAAAGTTTTTGAGGAAAGCTTTCAGGATCTTAGGATTAGAGCCAAGGAAAGGTAGGTCGGTGGTGGAACAAGATTTTCATGAACATTTTCGGGTCAATGTTACATGGTTCTACTTCTACTTCTACTATATTACTTCGCAAAGCCTGTACAGCATCACGAAAAGGATCCGTATGGTTTTTTACCTTTTTCTCCGTTGTCCGTGACTGAATCGTGCTCATTTTGGAAAGATCTCGTCACTTTGCACATGTTAGCGGACAAAGTTGGCATTGACCATTAAAACCAATGACGTCACAAGCGGTAGAAGGGACGTGGATCCGCACAGGCGGTTACGGGCGGTTCAGGGGCGAATGGGTTGATAAAATATGCATGATGGCAAGCAAAACCGATAATAGTCAAACGCTAAAAGACGATACAATCAACATTAAACAGTCTTTCATCTCTCTCTCCCCCGACTCACCATATCCACTCCCACCCCCTACCGTACCTGGGAGTCCTGAGAGGTATTGCCATGGAATCGGTTCCGAGGGAGTCTGGGAACTACGCCAAGCACGCCTGTATGATTTTGAACACGAACAATGACCTTCTGCGCGTCACTTTCGCAACGTTTTACGACATAAAATCACACTTAATGGTAGGTAACTTGGAAGATCTTTCACTTTCATTGCTAACGGAAACCTTCATCTGCCTACAGATACTTTCAAAACGGGCTAAATTTGCTTAGACAACTAAAAGTATGCTTTTAATTCTGGCACCAATTTGTCAGGGGCGTGCGCGAAGAAAGCGCATGAAAGAAAGGAACGAACAAGCGCTTCACGAACTTGTTTTAATACACTGAGACCATCCTGGAATACATACAATCAACAGAGTTATTTCTTGGTCTTAAGTCTATGTTTAACATCACTGATTATTTCCCAGTTTTTTTACCAGCAGAAATCATAGAAACAATGTAAATTTGTGAGTGAACTTCATGTTTTAAAAGGCAACGTTCTACAGTAGCTTTCTTCTGAACTGTCCCACAGGCTTCTTCTTATTACATCCTTATCCAAAAATATGTCACGTCCACCTCCAGTGCCCTGCTGTTCTCCAGTAGAAGTGCTCTGCAAAACCAAGGGAAAAAATAGGTAAGTCTTATTCACCGATTAATTTTACTAGAGAACTTGAGAGCAAATGCAACTGTACACTGTTGTTGTGTTGCAAAGGTCATCAGTTGTAAGTAGTTAGATTATATGTAGAAGTCTCTTATGTGTCAGGATTATTCACTATAAGGAGTGACTGAGAATACCTAGCCCACTAAATGTGTTACTTCAAAAACTGCTCCAGCAGTACCTGCAGTCCTGCAGGCCTGCAGTTTTGCAGTCATGCTCTACTAGTCCAAATACTTAAATCTAAGTGAGTAAAACGAGTGCTTCTGCAGTTCCACACTCCTGCAGTTGCTGAATTATGATTATTAAGTGGGTATACAACTAGCGCTCCGGCAGTCCCGCACTCCAGTGGTCCATGTCAGAATTTATTTTGCAAATTGGACGACTGCGGGACAGCAGGAGTAGTTTTTTTAAGTTAGGGCCCAGTTGTTCAAAGGCCGATTAGCACTTAACCCGGGGTTAAGTTTAATCCTGGTTTCTTTTTCTTGTGCTCAAAAGCATTTTCTGGGATAATTTTCTCTCTTATTTTTAGAGCTTCCAATCATCAACTTGTGGACAGAAAGAATTAAAACTGAATTGCTTAAATCTTAATTCAAATCTTGCACTAACCCTGGGTTATCTTAACCCAGCTTTGAACAACTCGGCCTAGATGTTTAGTGGGTCAGGTATTTATAATCTATTTTTCTTGGTGATGATCTACTGGGCCTCAATCATGTTTTGCTCTCTTTTTTGCATCTTGTAATACCTCTTTGGAGCCTGTTTTTGATTTGGCCAAATTTTTTGCATAAAAAATTTCCTAAGTGAAACAAAACAAAACAAAACACAATCACGAGTCTATTTCAACCTGATCCATATCTCCATGTTCAGTTGAAAATGGCGATGAAACAAATGAATCACAAACCAGCTGTTTTACAAAAAGATTTAGTAAAGTGAGCAAAACATTTTTTGGACCCAACAGAATATCATCTACAAGTAATGATCATAACATTGAATCAAGACAGGTAGACCTTTGTTTATGGTGTAATTGAAACTGGTTAGTGAAGCCTAATTACTTATTTGCACCAGCTGATGCCCATCTCCGGCCTCTTAGCAGCTAGTGACTGGTCTAGATCTTGCCGATGCAATAAGCAGTTTTAGCCCTTTCACTGTCAAGGGCAACATTGAGCAAAATTCAAGAACAATCACAAATGTCATTATAGAAAATACTGACAAACAAAAAACACCATGTTCCATTAAAATGGTAACACCATACTCAAGATTTTATCCACTGGTTTAATATTTGGGAAACTGCTTTACATGTTCTGCTGAAAAATGGGGAAAAAAAACTAAAACTAGTTTGTCCATGAAGCACTTAGTAGTTCTCAAGAACTTAATTAAAAATGATAGTGTGCTTCTGCTCAAATTGGAATTTGGAGGTGTGTTTTCAGTGCCAGATCCAGACCTTGAGATAAGGGGGGGAGGGAGGGGGCCTTCAGACCCCAGTTTGGTCTAAAAATAAGGGCTCCCCCCCCCCCTCCCCTTGATCCGCCACTGGTTTTTCTTCTTTAAGAGAGGAAAAATACACCAGGAAGACCCAAAGAAAAACCTCTCTCTGCAAAGAGGGGAACAAACTCAAACTCAACCCACAACCCAGGCTGCATTTGTGGGAGATGAATGCTTTCAACTTTGCAGCACCCCTCTCTAATTGAATCAGAAGTTAAAGAGTCAAGAAAAAAAAACATTAGCACTAGAAAAAATACTGTTTCTTTCTACTAGCTTGTGCTCAACTTGTGCTTACTTAAATAAGTGTCACAGTGCTTACTGCTACTTATTTGGAGACAAAATAATAATATTAAAAGTCGTCACACACTAGTTTGCCAATAAAGACCCAATAGAGTTATTACTGTATGAATTTTGTTAATGACTTAAAAGTGGAACTTTGCTGATGTTAGATTTGAATCGTTCGATCCTTAGATGTGGTGCATGACTTGAGTTTCTGTAGCATGAGGTGACTGGAATAATTTGTCAGGTGTATTTCCCAACTGATTTGTTACCAAGGGAGACAGATATTTGTTAATACTAGATCTGAGAATTTAGGATGGGGATCAAATGCTTGGCTATAGAAATGTGATATTTTGTCAGCTGACATCTTTTTCTTTTCTCATCTTCCTTTGTCGTTTAACCCTTTATGCCCCAATATCCACATACAAATCCTCCAAACTGATCTTTATATATTTCCTTAAAGAATAAGTTGAGAGAATTTGACAAAAGGTCAAAGCTTTTTTCTCTTCGGTGATTATCTTATTAATTCTCATAACCCTTCCCCTTGATTGTCTATTGATATTGTTAGGAGAAAATTGATGTTGTTCACTAGTGGGACTTAAAGGGTTAATGTAATTTCTGGGTATGGCAGGTCAGTCTACTGTCATTATGTAAAAAAAGTGGCTCCCTAGACAGTGCCTTGGACTAAATGTTATTGGAGGTGTTTCGTCCATACCATTATTCTTAGAATTAAATCTCCCTGCCTTTCTTTAATTTGGTTACTAATACAATGTCTGGTAAATGGGCATGGGTAAATGGGTTTAATGTCTACTTCTTGTGGTGTCAAGTTTAATAAGCATAGCTACAAATGAATAACATTGGTTTTTGAAAGAGGTTCTGATAACAAATCATCTTTGAAAAAAAATTACGGGCAGTATTGTACATGTGGCATTCAGTCACCTGCCTCCCTCTGGCCTTCTCTTTATTACGCATTATCTGATGGCCTCATTATTTTGTCCTAGTAGCTCCTCTAGATAGCTAACATTTTACTGCTTCTCTGTTAGTGAAATGTTTTGTTTACTGCATGGTGATTCCCACTTGTTAAGCAGCCTTTAATTTATTGGCAATAATAGCAGAGAAATAACAGCTGAGAAATGAAGGCACTGCCTTTGCCCTAAAAACTGCTCTCAGTCACCAGGCTCATATTTGAGTACAGATAAATTATTTATCTGGACTCAAATATGAGCCTGGTTACTGAGAGAAGTTTTTAGGGCAAAGGCAGTGCCTTCATTTCTCAGCTGTTTAACCCTTTAGGTCATAAGAGTGAACAACATCAATTTTCTCCTAACGACATCAGCAGATCAACAAGAGTAAAGGTTATGAGAATTACTAAATTGATTACCAAAGGGAGAATGCTTTGATCTTAAACCAAGTTCTCTCAACTATTCTTAAAAGAAATGTATGGAGATCAGTTTGGAGAATTTGCATTTGGATCTTGGGGCTTAAAGGGTTTAAGACCCTGAGTATTGCTTTAGCACCGGGGATCGAACCCATGCCTTCTGCTCTACAATCAAGTGCTCGACCGACTGAGCTAACCCTGCTGTGGTCAAGCAGCACATACATTTAGCCTATATATGGTCTGTGTATGACAGTACCCTCTCTCTTCTTGGTTTCTCTCAAAAATCATCTATCCATTAGAAATAGACTTTTTGCTATTTATGCCATTAACCCCAAAATTGTATGCTATGGAATGAGTCCAGAAACAGTTTAACATTTCAGTGTTGTGCTGACTACATTTTTATAGCAGCTGAACTGTACTCATCCACTGTGCACTAGTCATCTCTCCTGCAATTTTCTGAAATAGTTTCTGGGAGGGAGGGTTATTTCCATGCAGTCACAAAATCACTATCCGTCACTACCCATCACCCCGCCTTTCTCCCCAGCCATCAGCCCTTGCCCCCGTGGACACACTCCTATAACTGCATCTATGACTACATAGTCAAATCTGGTTAATACAGACACTGAGGGGTTGTCTGTAAAGCGGGTTTTAACCATAGTACTTTTTGTGGAAACTAAAAATTTTCTATGATGGTCTATTGGTTTTATTATGTGTAAAACAGCAACACACTTGTGATCTTTTCTTTGGTACCACATTATCCTCTCTCCCATCCCCAGAAACCTCTTGGGATCTCCAGAAAACCTATCAGCTAAACTAGCTAGCTTGAGATGTTAAATTTTTGTTGAACATGCACAGTAAAAAAATCACATTTCCTGATGCTAAACTAGTAAGAAAAGAAAAGATATTTTTAGAACAGATGTTCTCAGTCCACTTTCTTACACTCATTGTAGTTTTACTACATTGTCAAAAACACCAGTCTTCACTGTATAAAAATTCACTTAATTCAAACACTGCTTATACAGATAACAAAAATTGATAATCAACTGAAATAGTTACAGTACTGAAACTCAATTGGCACCATACGAAGTATTATTGAAGAGGTTGGATTTGAATGGTCACACCATAAGGTTAGACTCCAAATTAGAACTACATACTAAATTTTAAAATGATACCATGTGAAAGTACTGCTGAAATGGTCTGTTTGAATAGTAGCACTATATATATATAGGGTTTCATCCACAGATTCAAAATTCGAACTACAAACAAAACAGAAGCTTCTGTGTTAAAGTACTGAGAACTACATTCAAAACAGATGGTACCGTACGAAAATACTGCTGAAGAAGTTTCATTTGAATTGTGACACCATAGGATTTCATCCACGTACTCAAAAGTTAAAACTACTTTCGAGGTACTCTGTTTATCAGGTTTCAGACTTTCTGAAATCTCTTTAGCTTATAGAGGACAATATCCCGAACCAAAAATTTCCACTTTTTTACAACTAGCGAAACTGTTCTACAGCTTTAAATTTTGATCTTCCAGTTACATGTTTTACAGCAAAGATTCAACACTCAACATACAACGTTTGAGTTATCGTTAACAGGGGCGGATCCAGGGGGAGGGTGCAGGGGGTGCGCACCCCCCCCCCCCCCCCCGGGATGACCTGCGGCCGCTTTCTAATTAACACTGTGCAGTCACTTGACAGACATACAAAATCTGCTCTATCGTTTGATATGTATTCTCAGCAGTTCACATTATGTTATTTCCTAGTCAAAAGCCCTCTTCTTTTGTATTCGCTATTAAAATATTTTACGTCATCAGTCAGTTAGTGGTGCACCCCCTCCTAAGAAAAATCCTGGATCCGCCCCTGGTTAAGGCTCAAAAAAGGAAACTGTTTAATAAAGTATTTTCACTTACGAGACCAGCATCTATGCAAATTTATTGGAACAAAAGAAAGCGTTTGCATAAGAAAAGAGTTCAACTCCCCCAGAACTGGTTTGGGACACCAACATAGCCGCTGTGACGTCATGTGAAAACGCTCTTTTGTGTGTATGGCTGATGACGGGTAGGATCAAAAAATGAAGAGCGTCTAGCCAATATCTTAATGTTTGAGTTATTTGAAAAAAGAAATACGCTTGAACCATTCATGTCAAAATTTAAATTCTCATTTGTTGCCCTTATACATTTCCTATACCAAAAGAGGGGAGAAGGTGTTTTAAAAAGTGTCAATAGAATTCATCTTGTGTGGTAGTGTCTTTAATTCTCATCGCTACTCTGTTTTATAAATCACCCATATTACAAGGAGAAATTTGATTTGATCATCCCTGGGGCTTTAAAGGTTTAACGCCATTTGTGCATTGACTATTTTTCCTTCGTAACTCGTACGGGGATTAAAAGGAAATTCATATTAGAGACCTTTAGATTCCAAGACGAGAACGACTACGAGTACGAGATTTTCTCAATAGCGAGTAGTGCTCGCGCGTGACGCAGCGTCATTTTGGCGGGAAAACTTGGTAGCCGTCGTCATTCTACTACAAGAGGGAGGTAGTGAGGGTCGTAGTGGCGGGAACAAGTTATCAAATGTTAGAAGTTTTAGAATTTTGCAATCTGGAGAGGGCTCAACCTCCTTCAATAACGCTAACAGTTCTAACTTTTCTGGTCCAAAAAAGTACAATGAAGAATTCCGGGGTGTCTATTTTTTGACAATACGCGAACAAACTTTAATCAAGCCTCGTGCTCTTCCTCGAATCTAAAGGTCTGTATTCTCATTTGAACCCTTTCACTCTTAATAGGGGCCAATGCACGAAAATTCACCAAAAAATCTAGAAATCATTCTGTAACATCCTATAAAATAAATAGTACTATTCAAAATTTCCGCCAAGGAGATTTCATCTTTGAATGGTTACACCAAAGAATTTTTTCCTCAGATGTAAAAGTTAGAGCGACAATTCATTTGGCCATAACTTGTTCTAGGAGTGAAAACTTAAGCCCCTGTTTGTCAGATTTGACCTTTGTTTTACGAACCTATCTCTTTGTGTCGTCGAGTCAGGTTTTAGACTTGATTCTTCATGGCTTTCTCTTTTTCTTTTTGCAAATATATTTTGTCACTATTTCTTTACAAATCACTCCTGTAAATTCAATTTTGCAAGTCGTTTTTTGTCTGAAGTGTCCAATGAAATCCGTTTTTCTCACCGGCTGTTTCTCGCTATTACGCTTCTCAACTCATTATTTGACCCTTTATTGTTTGTATTCGCCGGCTGTGGTATCTCATATCCACTAAACCACAAAGCAATTAAGCTGTGAACTGTTCAGATGGAACTATCGAACCCTAGAATCAGTCGTCGCATTACAGGTATTTTGGCTGACAGGGGTTAACTGTTGTTTCGCATTACGTATTTGCTTTCAACACTCTATCAGATACTAAAATCTACAAACTTACCTTTGCTAGCGTCCTTTCTTGTTTTCAACAGCCACTAATCTTCCTCCTTCAACTTTGACTTCTGTAGAAAACACAAACAATTTATTCAGTTGATGGTTAAATTGCGAGTAATTTACCTCAGTCAATGTTGTGACTAGTGTAACTCTTGTCTTTTGAATTTGATTGTGTAACTTTCTGCAAATAATTGCAGTTCAAGAGCTTTTAAATTGTATTGTCAAGTTGCGTTGATATCAGTGCCATGAATTCGCTATGGTGTTAAAGGTGTTCCAATTTTTGAGTTAGCTGATAACGCCCTAAGTGAAGTCGTTTAAAACTGAGCTAATGAGCAGTGCATTGCATTGTTGTAAAAAGTGGTTTTCTCATTCAAACAAAAGTTATTGAGCAGTACTCTTCTGCTCTAAAGGTGGTTCAAAAATTGGAGTCTGTGGGTGAAATCCTAAAGTACTACCATCAAAATGAAAACTTATAAGGAGCAGTTTCCTGTAGTGCTTCTTATTTTGCTGTATAACGTGGCTCTATCTTCTTAGTTTGCAGTCATGAAATTCTTTGCTGTGACCATTCAAATGATAGCCATTAAGGAGCGCACTAGACAAAACTCATGTTTTCAGAAGTCAAAAAGCTTTGTCCAAATTGTTCCTTTCACCTTCCTTGTAAAGTGATGTGTTAAATCTCATTTATATCCACGTTTGTAGAAAGATAATCACCCTCTTACCTCCGTTTGTAAGCCGCTTCACAACGATGATATGGTTATCAGGACATGCAATCACAATCCGCTGATAAGGCGTTCCTTTTCTCCCTTCACTGCTCGCTGAAAATTCTGCTGGTTTGTCATTTGTTTCTCTATCCATATTCCTTTTACGTTACTTTAGAGCAATTCCTAAAATGAATTGTCCTTTAAATAGTGAGACAATTTGCTCCTTTTAATTTCTTCTATACTTGAGGTTTTGTCCGTAGCTTGATGTATTCATTTATGATTTACATTCTACTTGAGTATGCACTTTCATTTATGTTGCATTAGGAGATTGATGTCATCAATTTTATCTCTATCATCTCTTTAGCCAATTACAGTCGCTTTTTATGCAGGGAGATTCCCAAACGCCATACTTTTACAGTCCAACTTACGCTGTGCGAGGGGCTTCCCTGAGTTACTTTTATTAAACTAGTATTTCCCACTTTCTTTTTTGATTCCTGTATAGTAAGATATTTAAATAGCACAGGTCAATTTACCTTACCTGCAATACAGTCCTTTTGTTCCACTGAGTCAATTTTCAGCTTCCATTTTCTAATTGTTGAAAAAACGTGGAAACGTTTAGTAGCTGAAGTCGCAGAAGCTTAGCGGTAGTACTTTCTTTTGGTATTTTTAATTTTCTGTACAAGGTGGTTCTCACTTTGTGAGTCTTGGATGAAATCCTATGGTGTGACCATTCAAATGTAAGCTACTGAGCAGTACTTTCCTGTAGTGCTGTTTATAATGTTATACAAGGTGGTTCTAAGTTTTGAATCTGAAATCCTAAAGTGTAACCATTCAAAGTAAAGCTACTGAGTAGGACTGACTTTTGCTATGGATTATACATGTAAGTCTCATACTTTCCAAAGAGTGGGCTACCCGAGGAGAAGTCTCGGCTAAAATTCCTCGCAAATGGCCACCAGTGGAATGAATGATGTACGTTTTGAGTTAAGTACTAGTAACTGTCTCCATGTTACTTCACCATGTTAACCCTTAATCCTGTAATGGGCTAGCGTCTCACCCAGGGAGGAATATTACCCTGTTTGCGTCATGCTACAGAAACTTTTAACAAAATCTTGAGGCTAGAGAAACTTTCATTAGAAGAATAATATCGCATTTAATGAGATTGGGGAAGTAATACATTGTACTTCTCAGAGGTTTGCGACAATTGAGAAAATTAGGAAACTGTTTTCGCTAGGGTGAAGTTTGATCGACTAGAATTTTATTTTGGAGGTTTATGAATACTCCTACGTGTAGATGTCTTATGCTGCACTACAGGAACAAGAGGTCTATGATGTCTTGATCCTACTTTAGTTGTTGATTCCTCAATGGGATAGCAGCACCTCTTGAGAGATTTACATGACTTCTTGCTTTATTGAACTGAAAAACCTGTGGGAAAACCTTAAAAGCTTAGTATCACCTAGCTATGGTACAGGATAGCATCCTCTCCGGCTGCTTCATGCTACAGAAATCTCTATCAAAAATCCTTAAGAGTGAAGTAACTCGTAAATTTTTTGACATTCGATAGACTAGTATCCTCTTACGGGGAGGTTGTCAGGGAACCAGGGTGTATATGAAAGGATATTAGATGTTAAAAAGGCGAAACACTCTAAACTTTTGAGTGTAGTTCAAAGTCTTATTTCCACGATAGACTAGCATCCCATCCTGAGGGAAGAATTAACAGTCCTATTTTCATTTCCTTCATGCTACAAATGCTGCTGTCAAACCCCTATTAATACGATAAACAAACTCGTGTTCCATCCACAATAAAGAGAATTAACACTGCTGTGTCAGTCCTTGCTATTGTAACCGGAGATGGGCATCAAGCGATGGCAAACTGCTTAAGATACTTAGTAGCATACATGGCAATTACTGGTCTATCTTTTTAAATTTAATTGTCAGTACCGTGCTTTGTTTTACTTGTTAACTACCAGAAGTTAATAAGTGATTATGTACTTCTATGGAGGTACAGTTCAATTTGTTTGGTTCTAACTTGTTTGCATGTGTTCGTGTGGTTGAAATCTTCAAGTACTACTATTAAAAACATGCATGCTAATCAACACAAAGTTGCTGTTTGTTGTCCATTTGTGTATTCAACATTCACCAAAAGGCTTTTATTTAGATGTTCTTCGAGGTTTAATTGGTTACGTTGTCTATCCAACCGACTTGATAATTCGTTCAGGAAACAATTTTTGGTGGAACCCTCATGGCTGCTTGAGGTTGCCTGTTGCATTAGCATGTTCTAGAAGATCTGATCACAGTGTGATCCATATGGTTCTCATGCCATCTTCAGAACAGTCTAATGACAGGAGAAATCAACCTTTTAAAACAGGCAATAAAGTCATTTTTCCTCTACATGTTCTTTGACTCACTCAAGGCATTACACGTCAAGTATCGTGGCGTTCTGTGGTATGATAAGCTCTACTAGAGTCTTGATCAAATGGCTTGGTTGTCTAATGATGAGTATGGGGATTTTTAGTAATAGCGACATATCATGTTTGATATAATCCTTCCCGTCTATCAAAAATCTCCTTCATTATAACGTTAATCTGAAGTGAAACTTGCAATATTCTCTTCAGGGCTGCTCTAGACTTTACAATTTGAAAACTAGCTAAGCGTTACACTGTCCTTAGCCATGATGTTTTGTTATAGTTTCCTCGTTTGACATCCAAAACTCCAAGGGGTTGATATCTGTTTACAGCAAAATGTATACGTACCAAGTGAGATCGTGGTCTTCAGATGTCCTTTCCAGCCATCAGGTGTTGTCTTTACCTCTGCTCCTTGTGTTTCGTGTGAAGATTCCATTGTCCGCTGTCGTATATTGCCGTTTCCAGCGGGTACGTTTCCTCTGAGCAATATTCCTTCTTGCTCGACTATCCATTAGGTAATGAATTTAGCGCTCACAAACGTAATATGAAGACATTTTTTTGTAAAATTGTAGGTCAACTTTTGGGCAAAGTGTGTCTCGGTGCCAGCGCTATCAAGCACGGATACTTAACATTTTTGTTTTGTCGTCACTACTCTTAACTTTGTAAGATGCTGTTATTAAAGAAAAGAGGTTCCGCTTTTATGATTCTGCATAAGCGTGAAACTGCTGACGAGAAGATGTACAAAATTTGTAGCTTTTCTTTATTGGCTACGTTCATTTAGAGCGATTCTGGACTAAAATTACAAAGAGTACAGAATATTGTATGTAAAGGCTTAGTGACCACGCTCGTTTCGTCTCTGAACTGTTTAGGTTTCGCTTTTTTCCTCCTGTTACATCCCGAGAAAGCCTGGGAAAGATTTTCAACTCTAACCAATAAACTGCTCCATTAAGTGTGATTAAAATTTTGCTGCCAATCAGAACTTATTGAGGCGCCCTAATGTGACACGACTCATAGCTTTTCGCTATTGGTCCAAAGTTTAAATAGCACAGTTTGTATTAAAACTCACACACAAAAAAATTAAAGCGCGGTGTCTGTTGCGCAAATGAAATATGTAGAAAGTGTATGGCGTTGGGTTTGTAATTATTGTACATGGAACCTGGGAATGGGAGAGCTTCAGTGGTTGTGACCTCTAGAGGTAGGTTTTTCTATCTCCTAGGGTAACTATATAGCAGGACAACTATATTTACCAGTTTAATGTCCTAAATCAAGTAACAAGGAAAACGTTTTGTCTGTCAATTTGATTGTATACTGTGGACATCCAGTCTAACCTACCAATCAGTACTTTGTTACTGTTGTTCTTTAAGTGTAAGTATTGAGAGACAGTAGAGGGACTGAACGTTTTTAAATGGCCCTTTTAAAACAGAATGTTTTTGTTTCCATGGATTGTTTTCATTTAGAGAGCGTTGTCTTTTCTTTGATGTGAAGCGAAGTAGTCGTCAGATTTTTGTTACACCCGAGTGCGTGACGTTGCTTTCGTTGTTACTGAAGCTTCAATGTATTTCCAACTTACCAGTAGATTTCTCATCGCAAGTGCTCAATTTTCTTATTTGCTTTTATAAGAATTCTTGGTTTGTTTGCCAAGACGCCGTTATTCATTCGAGAGTGGCATTGCTGTGACGCAGTTTTTAACTTCGAGTGAAATAGGTATTGCGCATCTGCATTTCGCATTGTGTGGAATTTGACACCGGAGATAAGCTTCTCACTAAGAGAGAAAACCGATCACGAACTTTGCTGAAGATTTTACATTTAAACTTACTTAGTTGACTATAAGGAGCAGTATGAAGACATCCGCTCTCTCCATTTCTTGTTGTCGCATTTTCGCGCTATGCAGTGGTTCTATGAAGTCATGTAGAAAGAACGGGAACTCTTTTGTAAGTTTTGTGTCTTTCTACGTCTTGTCTTTCTTTCCTCGGATTACACCTGACTCAGGAGCTAAGAATGTTAATTAGTTAAACAATAGCATCCAGGGGAGGAGCTAAGCAGTTAAGAGAAAACGAATGTTGATCTCTGTGGCTCGCGCGGTGTCATTCATTGCATATTTTAGGATTTCTCGTTCCTCGCGGCGTTAAATGTATGAGCTCATGTTTTTCTTTACCTTGGCAAAGCAGCTCTACTGAATAAACGATATTTGGTTCTTTAAATGCACTCAAAGTTGGTTCTTAAATGCACTCAAAGTATGCCCTGATAAAAAATATACGTACACAACAAGTAAAAATTGGGTTGTATTTATTACAAAATGGCCTTACATTGACAGTAAATATTTTCTCTTCTTGACGTTTTGAAATCTTCCTTATACTTTTGCATCGCCAAACACTTGATTTTCTAACTCTTTCTGTCTTGAAAGCTGTTGATAAAACAGTTTCAACCGACTATAAGCTTTAATGATAGGTGTTTTAGCGTAAAGAGTTATCGTGTGTTTTACGTGGGCGTAATGAACGTAGAATCAATATCCACTGCTGCACGAGAGGAAACCCCTTTTCAGTGAGCTATTTTTATTATATCACATGCGCACTGTATTTGCAAAATTTAGTTGTATCGTCCAGGTTGTAGTGTTAAATATCAGATCATCCATACTTGGACTTAACTCGTACTAACTTTCAAAATTCAACTTTTAGTAGGAACTGTTTATCGAGAGAGGATGTGTCTCGGTTCGAGGAGAGTAATAGGTCGTTCATTTACCTTTGCTTGTATTTCATTGCCGACAATTAGCGTAACAAACGAAGATTAAGAATTATTCTTGTGCACTTTGCTGTTTTGTTTGTAGAGCGTGGTTGTTTCGTGACGTAAAAACTGTTTCATTATTCGATTCTTACTATATAATGCACCCAGACCACACATGTTCAATTTCAGTGTACAAAAACGAAATCGAGTACTTTTATTGCTGGAAGTATGTAGTGACCACATTCACGATTTGTTAATTGTCTGAGATGTTTAACATCCTCTTTTAGCCTTGTGCGAGGGGTCCTTTAATTGTTGAGAGAAGGAATTTTGGTGTATTAAACATACAAGAGGACGAAAAATGCGTGGCAACGCCAGGATCATTAATTGGCGCAGAAAATCTGAGAGTTACTATTTGCTCACGCGTTTTGGTTTAGGCCGTCTCTTTTGATGTCATGAAACAGTTTTAATGCACTGACTGCGTTTAGAAATTCCTTTTAAATTTGTGTTTTCCTTTTATAAAAGCGACAACTGACCGACTGCACCAAACGTTGATGTCTCTTACCTCCCTATGTGTCTGCCAAGTAAGTCCTCGTAGCTTTGATTCTGTGCTCACTGCTGTCGAGTAGCTTATATCTTTGTTCTATAGTTCCTTCATGAGAAGAACATGGATAATTTAGCCACTTAATAGCTACAGAAGTGCTCGTGAAACACAACGGCGAACCATTTGGTTCATTACCTTTTTTCTTTCGTTTAATTTCCACCACTGATCCTGCAGATGTCACGAGCGTTAAGATTCGTGCGTTATGCATTCTTTCCTCGTCAATTTTGTATCCTACTTGTACCACAAATTCTGTAATTTCATGACAGAAATGTGAATGCCAAAAGTGAAGTTTAAATTTGAATTGTTTGTAGTCAGCACAACAGACTTACCACCACTTGACGATTCGAACAGTATAATGGCCTCTGGATACTGCTCGCGACGGCTCCACACTTGAACAAAATCAACAAAGTCATTTGAAGGTTCGTCGCCTTGATAACCAGCCATTTCACATATGACGTCGATTATTTAGCTGTGATCGTTTCTAAACGTTTAGGATGAGCTTTGCGTCTTCTCGGAACGGCTCGTTTTAATGAGAATGTCATGTGCGCGAAACTTTAGCGCCGATTTGTAGATTAATATTTATAAATATTTTTCTCGATGACGTTAGCATAATTGCATCGTGTTATGATTCAACGGTTTTCCCAACAAAATCCTTATGCTAGAACTGAAATAATTTCACAGTGCTTAAGGCTTTCTTCGTACGTGCCAAACACGACAAGTGTAAAAACTCATGAGAGCTGCTTAAGCAGCACAAGTTCATTTAACTACCCGCGCGTGTGTCTGTATTTGTTTTGTTTTGTTTTTCTTTTTTGTACGGGCTTATGTCTTGTTTAGTTTACCCTCAAAGTCCCTATTTCTTGGAGCCCACGTTTTATGTTTTCACTTAGTTTATAATGAAAGGCCTAGTAGCTAAGAATTCAAAGTAAAAGTACACCAAGGATAGAAAGTTACCACGATTTGCGACACTGGTTGGATGCTTCCTGCTTATATTTTTGTTTACGGTAAATTTTCTTCATTGGTAAGCTCACATGCTAGTCAACGCTATTTGATTCTTTCACCCTTTATCCTCTTGCAATTATTTTTCGTGATATTTACAGACCCAACCCCCTTTTCGAAGGATAGTACTTAAGTGAGCGCGAAAAAGTGAAAAATAGCTTTGAGCGATAGGAATGACCTGGAATGTGTTTTTGTGCAGCTTGAGTCAAGAAACGTGTCGCTTAGCAAAACAGCATATTAAAGCTTCCCCCTCGTTTGTACGGAACATAAAAGACAAATCAGTGTGAGCTATGTGAATGACATAGAACGTGATCTGTTTGGCAAATCAACATTTTTTTCCCTTTCTTTTAAATAAACAGACATACTACTTACTACCTGCTAAATTTCAAAACAGTTTATTCTGTGCCATTATCCATTTAAAGAGGGCGCTGAAACCATAGTTAGGCATAAAATTATTGTTAGTTGCTGGAATTGTATTAAGAAACCTACAGCTCATAGGTGTTTTTAGATAAAGTGGACAGTTTATTACATTTGAATGCAAGTATTCTACCAGTCTTGTCTACAAAGGTGCAGTGTTTCAGAGCCTCCTGGAAATCCTGAAATAAGATAATAAAAAAATAGAAAGTTTTTCTCTCGCCAAATATGAATTGAGGAAGTTTTAGGTTGCAACTGCATACACTTTAAGAAATGATCCAAATAAGAAGATAGGCAAAAACGGCAAGGAACATGTGGAAAAGGTGATAACTTTACTAGTACCTGTACTATACTTCTGATTGGTTTTAAAACCAAAATTTTCGAAGCATTCACGAAGCAGCCTGTATATTAATCCTTACTTTTTCAAGCAACTTCTTTACAACAAAATCTCGTCTGAGTGTAAATATTACAGAAATCCTATGCAAGGAACATGTGAAACTGTAACCTTTTCGTGGTTATTTTTTGCAACTCATATGACTAGTCGAAATATTTAAATACAAGGAAACGCCCTTTCAAGATGGAGTTTAAGTTTCTTTTATTTCGTAAACTCTTTCGTAGGTTTATGCATTCTCCGTGTAAAAATGTAAACATTCCTATATGAGGAAAGCGTATTGCCCCATTACAAGCGAAATTGCTTTCCGCCTTTCCCGGATCATAACTCACATCATCGTAACCAGATATACAAGTCATGTTTCCCTGTTATTGACTATTTTCTAAATTATATCTATTGCTATCGAGAAGAACTTTCCTGTCCCTCTGGTACTGTGAATAATGCTGTACAACGTGGATGAAATTCTGTATTGTGACCATGCTAAGGTTATTCTGAGATATGAGGCCACTGGCGAAATTCCTGTGCAGTAATCTGTGAGAGTTGTCCAATAGTACGTGGTTGTTGCTCTGTGAGTATGTCAGTGATGTTTATAAAGCAATTTGACACTGTTACATTAGTAATTACTGTCTTTGATTAATGCCATCAATGCATACCTTCCAACGTCATGACGTAAGAAAGCAAGAAAATTATAAGGATGCTGGGCTTTTACCTTTTCAACGTCGTCGTCTTACTTGAGTTCTTCTGTTGTTTGTTCTATACACTAAAAGGGAAAAAACATGAATGATCTCAAACACGAGTGTTACAGTTAACGCTTTCTTTAAACCGTTAGTTCGCATGTAACAGGTTTTAGTAAATGCCATTGTTTTATTGCTATTGCTATTTGAACGGTTAGGAGCTACAGTTTCGCCTACACAAGCTTTGAATTGAAATGATATGATTGTACCAAAATGTGTCACTTAAAGGATTATAGCGTATCACAAGACTTGGGCATAACGGCATGAGAAGAATGGGTATGCGTGTGAAATTTTATTTTGGGAGAACAAATAGCTCGTCTTCGTTCTTAACTTTTGTCGTGATTGTTATTGTCAAGAGTAAAAATTGGCACATTATTAGGCTAGCTCTTCCATATTCGTAAACTTCTGACTGGTAACTGCCAAGTTAATTTTTCAGTGTACATGCTTACCTCCGTTTTGGTCCCGAGTAATGGTGAATATTTCTCTATTACTGGCCCGGACTGTGATGGTAGTTACAGTCTCGACGTTTAGTATTTCGTGCCTCCCGTTTATGCCAAATCCTAAACGGGAGAACATTAACAGTAAGTGGCTATACGTATCCTGTCTTCAAATCGAAACGAGGATTAGAGCTAACCTTCATATGGTCTGGGGTTTCGAGTCACTGTGAAATCCGGACCTGTATAGTAAGTTGTGGTGATATCGACAACCTCTTGTTGAGTTGGGCTCGGCGTTGGATAGAAGGACATGTTTGTTCTTTCGTAGTTATTATTTTCAACGTTAATCTTTTCTCGTGTCTTTTGTCGACCGATATTAGAACGCTTGTCACGAGTTGACGCACCAAGCATTTATTTTTAAAGTGAATCACAGCTAATGCTCAAAGTGCCTTATGGGAAGGACAATAAAATCCCACCGCTCACGTTTTGAGCTGTCGCAGCCAATGATGTTACGGCTTTACTGACAAACGACAAATAACATTGCGTTTACTTATTGGAATCTTTATTCAGTTATGACACGCACGGAAATGTTAAAAGTAAGTCTTGCGCGCAAAACCCTTTGAGAGGCGAATGGCGCTCAGCTCACGTTTCTATTGAGCAGTATGTTTGCCGAAGAAACGGTGAAGACTGCACAAGTGGAAATGTTATTGGTCGCTTCTGTTATTTGAAAAAATATAGTGTTCGAGAGCCAAGTGTCAGCTTGTATAGTCAGCCATATTTGTTACTTATCTCTTCTGATAGGCCTTGGTGCTCTGTTAATTGAATTCGAAATAGGATGTGAAATTTTTTAGGAGAATTCAAGTCAGGTAGTCTGTTTAGTGTCCTTCAGAAGACATCTTGATCCGTTTATTTATTTCTTGCATGCCTTGAATGTATTTTAGGATTGCACAGTTAATTTGTCAACCCCATTACCTTGTGCTCGCTAGTAGAGGTTACGTTTTGAATGTTGTATTAGTTTGTTAAGTGGCAGGATAGGTGTGCTTCTGGATCTGTCCAGATCAACACTCCATTAACAATTCGTAAGTACGGAGTTTTTTGAAGACCGATCAGAGGGAAATGAATATGAGAATCGGCAGAATTGTTTACGTGATGAAATAAGAATACAGATGAACGTAAACAGTTCCGCGCAACTTCTTTTTTCTTGTGTTTTTGCTGTATTTTTATCTTACCTCTTTTATTGAGGGCAATTGTACTCTGGAAGCCAAGAGAAAAATCTCTAGCACTGATTTCTGTTATTGTATTGCATCGATTTTTACATAAACAAAGTAACTTGTTCTGTTTTGATGATGTTCAAGGGGATAAATGAACGCCGTTGAAAGCGTTTGCGTAATCATGAAGTTTGAACGAAAACGCTTTAAGGGGCTTGTTTAAGGTCCTAATCATACTTCTGCGGGGTAATATTTCGCGAAGTTTGATCTAACCCTTTTCGCGATTACTACAGCTTTAACTCGCTAAATGGCGAATGACTTGGTTGTGTAATGGCGAGCGTGGTAATTTTTTTCAGTGATGGCAACATGGTATGTTTGATGTAATCCTTCCTGTCTATTAAACATCTCCGTTTACGTAACGTCATTCTTAAATGGAACTTACAATGTTCTCTTCAGGACAGCTTAAGAGTGCAGAGTTTGAAAACTGAGCGTAAAATGAACACTTGTCCCTACCCATGATGTTTTGTTATCGTTTCCCCGTGTGACTACTATAACTCCCAGGTGTTAATATCGGTTTACAGCCAAAGGTATACTTACCAGATCCTTCCTCCGCATCCTTTAGGTTTTGTTCCTACCTCTGCTCCTTGTGTTTCGTGTGAAGATTCCATTTTTCACTGTCGTATATTGCTGTTTCTGGCGGGTGATTTTCCTCTGGGCAATATTCCTTCTTGTTGCACTCTTCATTAGGTACTAAATTTAGCGCTCGCAAATTTAATTTGAAGACATTCTTTGTAAAATTGTCTGTCAACGTTTGGAAAAATGTCTCTTGATACCAGCGCGATCAAGCATGGATATGTGTGTTTTTCTCATCACTACACTTAACTTTGTAATATACTGTAATTAAAGAAATGAGATTATTCAGCTTTAAAGAGGTTGCACAAGTGTGAAAATGCTGAAGACAGGAAACAGTTGTACAAACATTCGTAGCTTTTGTTTATTGGCTATGTTCATGTTGTTGTAGTGCGATTCAGGACTTAAACGTATAAAAGAGAAGGGAGCATTGCATGGAAGAAGCTCGATGGCTTAGTGACCGCAATTACGAGCTGCCTATGTCTCGCTCAGGTTTCCTTCTCCTGTAACATCAAGAGAAAGCCTGGGAACGATTTTCAACTCCCACCAATAAAATGCTCCATTAAGTGTGATTAAAATTTCGTATCCAATCAGAACTTATTGAGGCGCCCTAATGTCACACCACCAACAGCTTTTCGCTATTGGTCCAAAGTTTAAATATCACAGTTTGTATTTAACACGCACACACAAAAAAATTAAAGCGCGATGTCTGTTGCTCAAATGAAATATGTAGAAAGTATATGGCGTTGGGTGTGTAATTATTGTACATAGAACTTGGTAATGGGACAGTTTCATTGGTTGTGACCTCTAGAGGTACGTTTTCTCTATCTCCAAGGCGTAACTATATAGCAGGACAACTATATTTACCAGTTTAATGTCCTAAATCAAGTAATAAGGACCAATTTTTGTCTGTCAATTTGATTGTACACTGTAAACATCCAGTTTAACCTGCCAATCAGTACTTTTATTACTGTTTTTCTCTAAGTCGAGCCTATACTGAGAGACAGTATAGGGACTGAACTTTTTTAAATGACCCTTTTAAAACGGAATGTTTTTGTTTCCATGGATTGTTTTCATTTAGAGAGCGGGGTCTTTCCTTTGATGTGAAGCGAAGTAGTTGTCAGAGTGCATGATGTTGCTTTCGTTGTTACTGAAGCTTCAATCTATTTCCAACTTACCAGTAGATTTTTCATGGCAAGAGCTTAATTTTCTTATCTGCTGTTTTAAAAACTCTTGGTTTGTTTGTCAAGACGCCGTTGTTCATTCGAGCGTGGCATTGCTGTGACGCAGTTTTTAACTCCGAGTGAAATAGGTATTGTGCATTTGCATTTCGCATTATGTGGAGTTTTAAAGCGGAGATAAGCTTTTCACTAAGAGAGAAAACCGATCACAGGCTTTGCTGAAGATTTTACATTTAAACTTGCTGAGTTGACTATAAAGAGCAGTATGAAGACATCCGCTCTCTCCATTTCATGTTGTCGCATTTGTGCGCTATGCAGTGGTTCTATGATGGCATGCAGAAAGAACGGAAACTCTTTTACAAGTTTTGTATCTTTCTTCTGTAAAGAATTCGCCTGTAATGGCTGGTTACATCTTGTTTTTTTTTTCTCCGTGCGGATTACGCCTGACTCATAAGCAAAGAATGTTAATTAAGTTAAACATGAACAATAGCAAGCAGGGGAGGAGCTAAGTAGTTAAGAGAAAACGAATGTTGATCTCTGTGGCTCGCGCGGTGTCATTCGTTTCATGTTTTGGAATTTCTCTTCATCTTCGCTGCGTTACTAATTTGTATGAGCTCGTGTTTTTTCTTTATGTTAGCAAAGCAGTTCTATTGAGTAAATGATATATCTTTTTTATCAGAAGAACGGTAAATGCACTCAAAGTATGCCCTTATAAAAGATATATACACACATAACAAGTAAAAAGTGGATTGCATTTATTAAAAAATGGGGATACACTGACAGTAAATATTACTTCGTCTTGATGTTTTTTAATCTCCCTTTTACTTTTGCTTCGTCAAAAACTTGGTGACCAAACTGTTTCTGTCTTGAAATCTGTTGATAAGACAGTTTAAACCGACTCTAAGCTGTGATGATAGGTGTTTTTATGTAAGAGTTATCATGTCAACAGTTTTGTGTCTTTTAGGTGTGCACAATCAGCGTGGAATCAAGCTTAAACTAAGTTTCACTGATCATACATTTATTGTTGCTGAACGAGGACTTATCTCTGTCCAACTATTAGCCAGTATTTTTTCTTAATTCTTTGCGATTGATATTACATAGAAGATATTTTACCTTGTCTCTAAAAATCCACACGTTCTTTTACGCCCCAAAATGAATTTTCGTAGTTACCGGTGAATCCATATTCTTGAAAGAAATCGTAGAGAGCATTTAGTTTGAGTTATTGTAGGAACCCATATTTATACTCATAATTGGCGAAAAATGAATTCAAAGTCACGAACCTCCACCAGGATTACGAGCAATACCAAGCTTTTGTCCGTTCGCCGTAACAATCATAAGTCTGCGTTGTCGCCCATTTCTTCCCTCTTCGAACAGCACCCCTCCTTGGACTTCGAATTCTAATAAAGTACCAGGCAAGTAAGTGTGTAAAGGATACACTTAAAGTGCGCGACGTTAGATGGTGAAATATTTCGAGAATAGATGTTCAACTTTACCTCCTTCCCTTCCTGACTTATATTTGTAATATATAGTGACAACAGGGGGCTCAACGCGTCGTCCGTTTTGCCGCCTTCCTATGCGAATTATTTCACAAAACTTCGACGAGGGTTCAGTTCCCTGGTATCCGGTAGCCATTTCTTCCGATAGATTTTTAGTAAACTTAGCTGAGAACTACAAATACTGTGCACTGTATCACTCAGTGACCGCTCTTTTACATGTTACATGCGCAATGTACTATGACAAAAGTTTAGTGTCCAGGTCCTCTCAGAGTTGTCTTCAGGTTTTATGCACCTCAACTTGTCTCTTTCTAACTTTTAAATCCCAAGTTCTAGTAGAAACGTTTATCAAGGGAGTACGTATTACAAATGGTGGACAGAAATCAGCAGGGTCTGTTTTTTTTTCTTGTTGCTCAGCGCCATGAGTGATTGAGCATTCTTTTCATTGATTTAAAGCGATGTAGCAGACAATCTTTTAGCTACGTCCAAATACGTGAATCAGATACTCCCTAGTACGAAACTTCATTATTTCTCATTCACTGGCGGCGTTATCAACGCTGAGATGTGCTGCATTTTTTCAATTCGACAGAGAGTAAAATAGGTGTTGCAAGTATCAATCGACGTTAATATTTAAAATACCAGAGAGACGCTTTCTGTCAAGAGAGTAAAGCGATCACGGACTTTGGTGAAGCGTTTACACTCGATCTTACTCATGGACCACCCTAAGACCGTTCATTTAGACTTTCTTTCTCTCGCTATTTGATTTTCTCGAATTTCTTTGGAATCCGGCGGTGCGCTATGAAGTAGGTCTGAGATTTCATGTTGAAAGAACGAACGCTTTAATCATTATCGAGCAATTATTGTGCAAGAATTTGCCAACATTAATATGAGTAGCCAGAGAGGGGAGAAGGGAGGACTTAAGCAGTTGAGAGAAAACGAATGTTGATTTTGCGACTCGCAATGCTTTTAAAACATGTATCTCTTTTACGTTTGGGAATTTTGGCCGATCTGAGCTGCACTAACTGCTTCTAAGAGCTCGTATTTTTCTTCAATTTTTGGGAGCTTTTTTTATTCATCTTCATTTAAATACGTTTTTCTATGACCGGGTAAAATGCAGCCAAAGTGCCCAGCTTAAGGAACATATTATAGATGAAAATAATAAGTATGTCATTGCAGGTAATTGTAGTTTTTTCAAGACAACGACCTTGGAGTTGGTAGTTCTAACTTTGCTGACCCAGCACTCAGTCTTAGAATAGAATGAATTCAAATTCACTAATCTCTTCCGGGATTATGAGCGACACCAAGTTTGTGCCCAAGTCTTGCAGCAATCATTAGTGGAGAGGAGTAAATTTGTTCGATTCATTTCATTCAGCATCGAGAATGAGAGTAGTAAACGAAGGTTAAGATTAAACAATAGTTGATCTCTTGAACTCATGCTCTCAAAATGTTTCAATCTGCGTCGAAATTTCGTTTTCACCTTTGCTGCTCTATTTATAACTCTTTTTTGCATTCTGAGAGCAGTTTAATCATTCAGCTTTTGTGTTATGCATTGTAGAGGGTATATATGGTATATAATGCGCAGTGAACACAATTAATAACTATCAGTATAGATACAAAAACGGTTACATTTATTTAATACTACAGTCAAGATTTAAAAATGGACGTTGTTGTTCGCCGTTTTCCCCAACCTCGGAGAGCCGCCTTGAAGCTGATGTGGAAAAGAAATTGGTGTAATACATATTAATTGATACCTCGGCGCCATCTTGGTTTCCTTCGAAGAAACACCAGCATGGCGGCTGCAAAGAACAGGAACACGTAAATTTTGTTTTGCTATGAAACGATTATTTATCACTTGATGGGTTGTAAACATTGACATTATTACTTCTTCTATCACTCAGTTTATTCAGACAGAAAAAAGCTTAGCATAAATATTTCTTTTGCTTACTTTCCGTGTAGAAACATACCGTATTTTTAGACGAAGAATCTCATCGAACGGAAAACTTATTACATGCAAAGCTGCAGCTGAAAGATTTGCTGTGTAGAAAACTTATCTTTAGTCAACAAAATATGATCGATTTTAAGTTTTTTCACCTCTTCAAGTCCAGACTTTATCAACTTGTCCAAAGACGTACCCGCTGCTTAGCATCCTGTACTGCGGGAGCACTCCGTATCCTGAAAGCATACAAATATAAGGCTTTACCTCAACAGTGAAGACTTGCTATCGGAAAACATCATGTTTCTTATCGTAATCGTGGCTTTTAAAACGCTTGAGTTAATTAGACAATCAAGGCAGTACTCTTCTTGTGTTCGTGAGTTGCCTAAAATGTCGACAATAATGTTGCCATGAGAATACATGAAATTGCCACTGAAGTGGAGGCAAGCGAAAGGCAGAAAAGTTACCTAAAACTTTGACGGATTTTGGTAGCATCCGGAAAAATCAAAGGTCCAAGGTAAAATTTAAAAGTTAAAATTACCTTCGCTATGTCGTCGCTCAAATTCAATGAAACTGCGATCTGGGGTTACAATTTTGAAATATCTATAGAACCGGTTGGGGCTAGTTGACCATGCTAGCTGCCTTTCTGCTCGTCGTTCACTGGACAACAAGCAACCTCCATGGACTGCCAACTCTGGAGTGTATAAACAATATATTTGCTTGTTAATAGCTTTTACGCTTTTCTTTCGCTAAAGGGACCAGTACCAGAAGTCACCTCCATTGGACTTGAAGAATATCGTCAGTTTGTGCTCATGGCTTTGAATGCCGTTTGGTATTGTGACGGCTTTGTAAATATCAACGATTTCACATGATTCTACCTTATAGTCGAGAGTCTGTATAACAGACATTGTACACTAATTTGTTTGTAGAAATCGCGGCCTTCCCTTGCCTTCCTAGAAATCACTAACTTTAAAATAAGGCGTGGTGGATGTCCTTGTAATTGATAATCTGCAGAAAGGAAACCAATACGTGCTTGTTTATGATTGGCTTTCCGGATTCAACTGTCTCGCGTGTGCGCGTTTCTTGTGCACATTTCTTCTCTTCTTTGGTTTGCAGTAATCTCTCGTTAGTGGCTGTGTAATGTTCGTGATTGGTTTATGATGAAAGCTCTACCTTATTTAATGCAGAAGTAGTAAACAAAGGTTTTGCTCTAACATGGACGTAGACCTCAGTTTGGCTGCCTCGTGCTTTCATTTGTGTTATTTTGTGATCACTTGTGCCTAGTTTCCATCATTGTGTGTTTTTATTTGTTTGTTTAGTATACGGTAATCCACGTCCAGTAACAAGCGCACATCCGTATCCCGCTATCGATTTACTTATTTTGAATTCACAGTTTCCGCTATAGAGTAGAATGCTTATTGTATTCAGTGTGTACTAAGTCTAGGACCTTAAAAGCCTTATCTCATTAACCGAATAAAATCTTATTGGGAAAACCACAGTTGCAGCAGGCTTTCAAAGAAAGTTTACTTTTATTGCACCTTGATCAAACAGTCAAGCCTTTTTAGTTATTTCTACTTGTACAGCTACTTTAATGATTTATAAATATTTATCCTATCTCTGGATACAGCATTTCTTGGCATTCTGTGAACAAATCAAAAAGGATTAAATCATTAAAAGGAATGTTTTGCTGAAAAGATAAATTTTTAAGCAGCCTGAAAAGCTTTGAAATCCTAAAGTGTGACCATTTAAATGAAAGCTACCTACTGAGCAATACTTTCCTGTGATACTGTTTATTATGCTCTACAAAGTGGTTCTAACTTTTGAGTTTGTGGATGAAATCCTAAAGTGTGTCCATTCAAATGAAAGCTACTGAGCAGTACTTTCCTGAGGTAGTGTTTATTATGCTGTACAAGGTGGTTCTGACTTTTGAGACTGTGGATGAAATCCTAAAGTGTTAACATTCAAACTAAAGCTACTGAGCAGTAATTGTTTGTGGGAGTCATTTTCTGTACAAGGTGGTTGATGAAATCCAGTGAAATGAACTGAACAATACTTTCCAGTGGTACTGTTCATTATGTTCTTCAAGGTGGTTTTAACTGTTGAGTCTGTGGATGGATTTCTAAGTGTGGCCATTTGAGTTAAGGGTAATAAGTTACTTTTCTGTGGTTATGCATACTACGCCGTACAAGATAGCCTTAACGTTTGGCAGTGTAAATGAAGCTTAGGTTTGTGATTGTTCGATTCGAAACTGTTGAGTGTTCTCTTTTGCGGACGGTTTTATGCCATTTTAGTCGGAAGCCCTTTTGATAAGTGTTGAAATACTAAAGGAATCGAAGATATGATTTTGCTGTAACCTCTCTGAGGCCAAACCTGCCCTGCTGGTGGAATGGCTCAACGCAAGTGGTAGTAAAAGGACCCTGATAGGGAAATTGTCTCCGTCTCTCACCTTGTTCATAACAAACTTCTTATCGTTGACGGCGGGTTACCTGCGTCCAGCAATTGCCTGCCTGGTACGCTGTGTAAGCAATATAAAGGTAAAACTTAACTCAAACTTTACATTAGAGCATTTAATGAGAATTTTGGTGGTGCTTTTCTTGCCTCCAAACAAATGTACACATCGTCGTAAAGGTAATTCTAGTTGCACATTCATACATTACTTTAAAAGCTTAAAACAACATGAAAGATGTGTAAGAATGTTGTATTGGATGTGAGCAGCTGATGGAAGAGTTACCCAGCATCTCATTCTTTAATCAAGCTCTATCAGTTAGGGAACAAGCCAAACTAAGGCGAAATTACAGGCAAATATTAGAATACATTGTCGAGTGTCGAGGTTCGTTTGGACTGTGGATAGAGAACCTTTTGTCGATATTCATGTATATTTACCCCCATTTGGGCGACGATTTATGATGAACGTTTCTCCATTGTTAGCCTCTACTGTTATCTGAATGTTTGTTATTCTTCCGTTCCGCGCATGGAAACCTAAGAGAAAGATTTACTTTCAGCAAAGATTTATTTAACTCAGCAGTAAGTACCTTGAAATCCTTTAGATCTTTAGTGAAATGTACTGAATGAGATGAAAACTGACCTGAGGTAGGATTGTAAGTAAGTGTTACATTTCGCCTCGCATTTGAATAAGGACTGCGTATGTCCACAACTTCCTCGTTGCTGTAGTAAAAGGGCTCTGGGGCTTGGTAATATGCCATATTGGTCTGTATTTAGTCCTTGATTTGCGCGTCGAAAAATGAAAGAAATTGTCTTTCGTACTCCAGGACTATCTATTGCCGAAAAATGCTTCGTTAGGCATTTTGTTACTTACGTCAGTATATACGACATGCGCAAAGGTGCCTTACAATTCAGGAGGCGGGTTTAAAAACAGAGAAAACCGCTATTAAACAATACAGTATTTTTCGCGCGCAAGACGGTCATTGTGATATTGTAACCCTCACAATTTTCATTGGCTACGTGGCATTAAGTGTATAGATTTATGCTGTCAAAAAGATCACAGTTTAATGACACTTTTTTATTGCGATACACAATTCCGTATTATGTTATAAGCCTAGGAAGCAGGGGCGTCATCCATCGTTGATCTATACTTCAATTTATTTCTGAGAACGGAACTTGTCCTTGAACTTTGGCCTCTAAGAGAAAGCAAAGAAGGCTTTGGTTAAATTTTAACTAAACGTCACGCAAGAATGATGTGGAAGTAAAGATCGCTGTTATTTTATTCCTAGTGTAAATCAAATCGCAACACGAAACGTTAAATCTGTTATTTGAATGTCACGAAGGCCTTCATGGACGTTTTAGTCGTTCTAGCTCTTACCTTGCTCACTGGACGCGGTTGACCCACGTGAAAAACGTTTTCGCCTTGTAATCTGCAATAGAAATAACCAGCAGTGGTTTTCTACTTTTGATCTTGATTGATAACATATCTTAGCACCTTACCCTTACGTTTCTCGAAAAGGTTTAGCCTGTGTCTTCCTAGCGATGTAGATTAATTATTTAACGTGGTGTTGTTATTTGAGAAGTGTGTACTAGACCATGCAAGACGTGTTAGTGGAGAGCTAATTGTCTTGTTGCCATGAGACAATTGTTTTGCGCCACTATCCACCTTTCCGGCTTGATAGCCACAAAGTTGTACTGCTCATACACTGACGTTTTCAACGTCGAAATTGGAAAGTATTATTAGAAAACGGTCAAAAGAGTCGACCAAGCTCATGTGTTAAACTACTGCACGTATTTACCTCCGTTTGGGTGACGGACGATCTTGAATGTTTTTCCATTCTGAGATTCAACTTTTATGGTCGTTTTAGTGCTCACTATTCTTCCCATGTTCTGTCTCACTTTGCATTCTAAACGGGATTTTGTATTAATGAAAGGTTCTTAAATCAAATGACTTTGCTTTTTTTAAAAACCTCTGAAAGTGAAGTCTAACTTCTAAGACTACTGACCTGATCGTGGCATGTACGTTATCGTGACATCTGGCGATGAATGAAACCTTGTGCCAATTTCCACTATTTCTATGTAGTGATTTAGAGGCTCGACGTTACTTTTAGTTGACATCTTTTTACGCGACGCGAAGTTCAATCTTCAGCAATAATTTTGTACTTTTAACATATAGAATCTTTCGTGCTTCACGAATGGGCAGTTTTAGCAAAGGGTTTATTCCCTTAGTGTATATCTGTTTAATTTGTTTATGACAGACCTACAGCTTACGTTCAGTGGGCGGAGCAACAGGTAGGGAGTATAGCAGCTTTGAACAGGGTAAAAGCGCGCACGTTTTCATTTCAGTAGACAGGTAACTATTATTTATCAACAATTAGAAGGGTTAATACTCTTTTTAGTGCACACTACTTGAAACCGAACACTTATATGCAAATAGCTCAAATGGTGCGATCCCCCCCTCCTCCGCGCGCGCGAAACGGTTTTTCGATTGAATAGCAAATAACCAATGTTATAGACCATTGATTTAGATGATATGTTCGTGGTTAAGGTTGTATTCGCTTCTATGGTGTATACGAACATCAAAAATTGCTTTTCTGTTAGTCCTCTCACATTCAGTTCTATTTTGTTTTGTTAGACTTCCATTAAGGGATGTTTGAGTATCGTAAAGAAAATAACAGACACTTGCTTGAACATTTTATATCAATCTTTATTTCATGTGCACACTTTCCGGTTGCGGTGGCTATTGTCAAGGCTTTTAACAACTTGGTCTTGAGAACAAAGTTGGTCTTTGATGTACAGTGCAGCCCCATCTGTGAAAATATCAAAAGGAAGGTTACTAGCTAGTTATGTTATTCATATATACCTTTAGCGCAATTATCACTTAAAGCGGTGGTCATAATTTTTTATGTGATTCATAGTTTGCATCTCCGTAATGTGTAGGCACCTACGAAAGAGCAAGTAAAAGCTAATCTAATTTATTAAATTGACCGACGCTTAATGTGACATTTCTTAAAAATGAGCCGCCTCTGTTCAATATATCGGTTGATTTCGATAAATAGAAACCGCGTTATTTCTTCGCCACAAGCCACGGTGAAACGAAGCTTACAAGCAGGATTATAAATAGCCTGTTTTAGACGCTCCTCTTTAGTTTGCTCACGCGTGAGTCAAAGGATGCAGAAAATGATGATACGTAGGGTGAGTCTAAAATAAATGTTTAAAAGAAGTGCTTTTCGCGAAAAAGATTTATTCAGAGGACTTTTTTTACAAGCGTTTATCTTCAGCCTGCTAACTAGATTTGAAGAGACGTAGTCGTAGTTTAAAAGAAAGGGTGCCTACTAAAACTAGGCAAAATGGAGATCAGTGTCTTACCCATTTATTGGCGGCGCGCTACCCAGGTAAAATTTGTCACGTCCTGATAAGCTGTAAAAAAGGAAAAGGAAAGAAAAACTTCACATAAAGCGGAATGATTTAGTGGGCGTCTTAAAGTCAGCGTCAAGTTCTAATAAAAGATGTTTAAGGTCATGGTATTCACATCACTGCTTCGCAAGCAAAAATTGATCGGAATCGGTTAGAAGTACATTGATTTGAAACAAACTGTTAGCCTGTGAACCGCAGACGTATTTCTCTTTCATTCCCAAACAAGCCCGAGTAAATAGACATTCTGACTTATTGTGTGGCTATCGGCGTCTCATTTGAACGGCCACGCCACTAGACTTCAACATCTTCAGCGTTGAATGAGAGAACTTTAGAAAATCAATGTCTAAATTGCGCAAAAAACGTAGTCATAGCAAAAAAGTCGGTAACGGTTGTTGTAATGTGATTCTGCAATTCACTGGTATGTTGGTGGGTCATACTTATTGACTACGATGCACAATCTGCAGCATGAGAAGTTGGAGGCTGATCTATCGGGTAGTAAATACATTTTTATTTTTTATTTACCTCCTGTTAAATCGTCTCGTACGATGGTGTAGATCCGACCTGACTGGCGGCTCTTTACTGTAATCATAATGGCAGGCGCTGTGTTTATCAAATCTCCATTCTCCACCTTGGTGACTTCTAAGGATCAGTATAAGTTATCAGTATAAATTTCTCTTTGTAAAAAAGAAACTACAAACGGAAACTAACCTCTGGTCGCAGGATTAAATTTAACTGTTAGATCTGGTCCCCATGGATTTAGGACAGGGTGGCCAACGTCCACTATCTCTCTTGTGGCCCTGTAAGGATCGGGGTTCTGCCTTGCTGACATTTTATGGTTTCTGATCAATCTTTTGGATAATGTGCTGCTGCACTGAAAAGACGTGTAGTGTTAAGCCTGATTTCCCGCGCGAAACTATATCTCACAAACCTGCTTCGCTAAGCGTATTATTATTCAAATTGCGTTTTTCGTTCGAACCCGGTAGGCGGGGCAAGAGTAATGACGACAACTGATTGTGAATGGATCAAGGCCTCTTTTCCATCTGGTTGTTGAATATAGGAAACTAACATTGTGCCTTTTAATGCTGAGTGTAGACATGTCTTGAACTTTTTGTATTTGTATTTTATTTCTGTTATAAAGAATTGCAAATTGTAACATTGAACTTTTAGAATCGTTTTCTTGAGCCTTTCTGCGGCAGAATGGAGGTCTTTCTTGTTATGTTCAAGTCCCTGTCAGAAAACAAAAGAGACTTTGTTATTTCATATATTTGTATATTTTTAAAATGATAATATGCGGGACGCTCTTTGATGTAATGCCATCTCAAGTATTGCACTTGCGCGCTTAGGGAAGTATGTGTTGTAAGATTTTCTTCAGCTGACACGGCAGACTAAGCGTTAAACGCCGTATACGTACAAGTGCATCATGACGCAGGCGTGACAGATATACTGTAGACATTGTTTGGGCTAATCGCTCGCCTCCTACGCTCGCGAGCTGCCACGGTAGGAGGCTCAGTAAAGAAGAGTTCAACAAGAGCAATGTCTTAAAACCCAGGAAGTGGGTATACAGGAAATTCATTCGCGCCCGTCTACTGCATTGCAGCTCTCTTACCTCTTTCATTGACGACGATGTACCCACGTGAACCAAGAGTTTGCTTGATACACTGTAACAAGATTGTTTTGCTTGTTATATTATTTTTTTGAGATCATGATATTGAATGTTCGTTAGAAATCTGAAAAATTGTGGTGGTGAAAATTTGTATAGGTAATAGCATTGTTTGTAGTGATATTTGGCATAAATACCACGAGTGATGTTTCGAAATTGTTATATGTAATTTCACGAGCCGTTAGGCGAGTGAAATTTGAGACAATTTTGAAATATCACGAGTGGTATTTATGCCAAATATCACTTACAAATCATGCTATTATTTGTTGTTTATACTACTACCCGGAAAAGGTTTGAAATTTTCACATGTAGGTATTTCAAATTAAGCTGAAATACCACTGCTCTAAGCCAATCAAATTGTACAAATTTCTTGTGTAGTAGTACAAATGGAATAACACCCCCATGAATGGAGTCGGATTTTGAGGATTAAATCCTGCATTGTTACAAATGATGTGAAGTCTTATCCACCATAGTTTTTCGTATGGTCCTTTGTTAATTTTTTAATGCCTACTTGAGACTTTTGACCTCGTAGATAGAATTATGTTTATAATCAGGCGTAAGCTTGATAGACATTTATTCTGTGTGGATTAGTTTTTAATTTGAAACCTAGGCTGAAGCAAAGGTCCAAAGCTTTAAATTTTTTACCTACCTCCTCCTTGAAGACGAGTGATGGTGTAAGTGCTGCCCGTGTTAGACCTGACTGTCATCCTCACAGATTTCTTTTTTAGGTATCCGTCATCCACTTGGATATCTAAACAAGACTGAGCTTAAACTTAAAACCTTAAAATGCTCTCTGGAAAGCAAAACTGCTTCAAAAACTAACCTCTGGTAGGTGTGTATCTAATCGTGATGTCCGTTCCATGAAAGGTTGTGCCAATATCTACAATTTCCTCTGAAGAGAAATAAGGTTCTGTATTCTCCATTGCTTTTTTACTCAGGTCGATTAAAATATAGGTATGATGTCTAAATTTTCTGTGCTGTTCGCGACAAACCTAAAATACCGCCGTTATCTCCGTTCACAAATGTTGCTTCGCCTAGCAAAAATTAATTCATAGTTTTCTTTCGGGAAAAATACAGGATGTCATTGGAATTCAGTGGGTGGGAGTAACAGCTAAGGAGAGATTTTACTTTGATCATATGCTGATATCTTGGTTGCACTTGTCTGCGCGTCATCGACATAACAATAAATTGTCCCATACCGCGCAGTATTTTGCGTTTTCTGGCTCATTTGGGTTGTATGCATCTCCCATTTCGTTTGCCTTTTTTTGCTCAGAAAGCAGTTTGCCTCTGAATAAGAGTATTTGGGGTTAAAGCTTTAGCGCGTGTTTTTACCGTTGACGTCATTATCACGTGAAGTTTACCTGGTTTTCACGCTCTGTTTTTTTCGAAACCATACGCAGACGCTTATACTAAGGTGCGAATTTGTGTGGCTGTAAAGGTCGTTATTTTAGCGCGGGGTAATGTATGCTTGCAATATGTCAAAAATACAAAGCATGGCTTCCTTGCGGAACATTAAAAACCATTTATTTTCATTTCTACAAACTAAAAACAGATACATTCAACTACGGCTTTTGTCCATCAAATGCAGAATCGAAAGTAAATGCTCCTGTTCGAAAGGCCTGGAAGTGAATAAAAAGAGGAGAAAATATATATATTAGGTTAAGTGGAAAAAAAAATCATTGATATTTTTATCTGACTTTTTCTCCTGCTCGAGCTACGGAAAAATGTGCCACAGCCTCTGTAAATATACGGCTTAATTTTTGTTTACAGCAACGTTAATGTCTCACCTTGTGCTTAGATGTCTACCTCAACAGGATCCAGTTCTCTGATCCAAAATCCTTCAGTATGTAACTTGTAATCTTCGAGAAATCATTCAGTCATTTAGTCAATAATTTGCGTTTAATTTCAAGTGGAGAAAATACAGAACACTATTTACCTCCTCTCCTCTTGCGTGTAATTTCAATTTGATCCCCATTCTTGGTCACGATGGTCAGTCGTCGATTTCCCGATTGTTGTTGTTCCCAAAAAATTGTTCCTCCATCTATGTCGAACTCTAAGAAACAAAGTAAAGTGTGCTCCTCTTAAGAACATTTCGCGCTTTTTTTAAAATCAAACTAAGGAAGGACACGGCTTTGTTTACCTCCCCGTCCGTATGTCTTGAAGAAAAGTGTAGCGTCGCAGCGTCGAACGTCTTCTCTTCCTATCTGCACAATTTCGCAAATTGCAGTTAATGGTTCTGGATTCTGAAATCCCCTCGACATCTTCAATTTTGACGGTTGTTTAGCGTGTAAACCTGCCTCTCTGTTCAAATGTTCATTTATTCGTCAAATCAAATTTAGGCGCCAAATACCTTCATTGTCCATAAATATTCATGCAGTCACGTGTTTAGCGGCGCGCGCAGGGCAGTATCATCTCTTCCAAGTGACTCAAGAGTTTTTGCTTTGCTAATTACGCTCGCACAAAAATCAATCATCAGCGACAGTATTCAATTTCATACGTTATTTCTGTCATGTTGTCCATTCACTGAATAAAGTATCAGAAACCACCCTTGATTAGCAACTTACAAGACGGATGTGGATTTCGGAATGTGTCTATACCACTTACATATTTGTAGCGAAATTCAGTAAGCAGTATGAAAGAGTTTTGCATACAAGTAATAGAAGATTTGGCTTAGTAATGAACGCCGTTGCTGTTAAAGTTGAAGGTTGTTAATACACCTAATTCCCCAGATTCTTTACTTACTACAATCGGACCTAACTAAAGTAATGCAATTTATTTTGCGTGGTACTTTCTCCTTTTTTTAAAAAATTAGTTTGCTTCCTTAATTTCCTGCAGTAACAAAAAAGAAGCGCAAAATGGTTTGTGTTCCATTCACTAAATCCATCTGTCAGCACATTCAATACGATTTGCCCTAACGGAGATTTGGATTGTCGCATTCCTTCATTTTTCTTTCTTCTTTTCACAAAGAATCTGTTAACAACGAACTAAGTTTATCTTAATGAAATGCAATTAAACAGCGTGATAAAAGAATTCATATTTTGATCTGACTCTGCTGTAACTGAATATTCCATTTTATTCTCAATTTTTGCCAGTCTGAAAATATCGATAGTGCTTGGTATACGTTACGTTCATTTTACGAACGGCCAAGTTTATCCGGAGGGTATGAATATTGGATCATCAAGAAATCGCCCAAGTTATTTCAGTCCCGTGTCATTTGGAAAAAGTACGATTGTGTTATGACCTGAAATCCTTGCCACTAATTTCTCTTTATTGTTTTGATCAGAGTTTACAGGAATGTAACGCCGCCGGGTTTGGTATTCGGCAACTTTTCAAGCCGGTCGTCTAGTATAATTACGCTGGCTTCCCTCTCTCATTTTGGAGGCTATCTACGATAAAAAGAAACGAATCTTTCGTAAATTTGCTATTAAGTCTCACAGGTGCTGTAAAGTTCCATTATTTCGCACCCACATGCCTTTCATGACATAAGCACTACCTTTCTCTTAATTTAGGTCAACTTGGCCCTTTTTCAGCCAAAATCCGTCTGGGTTCTCTAAATGGTACCCTAAATAATAAGATCAGAAAGATAACCAAGTCATTTTCAAAATTTCTTTCAAAACAAAAAGGTAACGTAAGCAATGGGATCAACCACGCACCTCCATTTTTGTATCGGCGAACGACGAATCGGTTTTCTTTGCTAGAAACAATATTCAACATGGTGTAGTCCCTGCCGTGTCTTGTTCTTTGTTTTTCACTGACTAAATAGGCGTTGACGATTTTAAACCCTAGTGGTGCAACCAGTAATACACAGTATAAGGTCGCGTATTGAAAACTGTTGTCGCGAGGTGATATCCTATATTGTAGTAATTGAAAACTTTTGTTCGGTCGATAGAAAATGGTCACTTCTGAATCGCTTTTGTCTTCCCCTATGTTTACTACTTCAATGTAGTCGTGATGATTTGGCTCGTATACTTCGTACCCTGACATATTGCCACGCTTTTCAAATGTTTTGATTGAAAGGTTCTTAAAACTTGGTACAAATAGCTTGTGCTTCGTAAAAGAATCGCGTAGCCCTCCGTTGCGCAAACGCGATTGGATCGTATTTCGTCATATGCTATACTTATCATGCAGTGTTGGTTACTGAACACACGCTCCTTCGGTAAAAGGACTTCTACAAGCAAAAACACAACCAAAACTCTTTGTTTGACAAGACATTGAAACTTTATTTCTAATGAGACGTATACAGCTACATAATTGAACTCAAACACAAACTTTCTTCTTTCCTCTTGCCTAACGCCGAGGACTTGAGATTCTGAAAAAGAAATGTGAATAAGACATGGAAGTGAGAATAGCGCGAAGAGAAGAATTCTCAGCTGAAATACTCCTGCTTATTTGAGATTGACAGCACCTTTCCAACATGAAGACTCTTCGTTCACTTGGGAAGTTAGCTCAAAATGTTGACTCGGTGTTTAAAATAAGCCAACTTGTCAACAGACCGACGCAGAACTATATGCTGGTAAAGAAGCTAAAATTTAGAAAATCTTTACGGACGCGACCGGTTTGGCGATGTTAATGGTAATTCTTTGTTTCTTTGCCGAAAACTCGCAGATTATGGAGAGGAAATGTCACTTACCGTCTATACTGGTTCACCAATTCTCAACGTTGACTGTAGATGCATCCACGGCTAGATTGGCCGGAGTTATTGTATATTTATTCTGAACAGCCGGAAGGCTACTGTCCCTTGTTATTTCAATGACACCTCCGTGGGAAGGCAAAATTCGTAACGTTTCTATGCCGTAGCCATTAGATTTGGGACCTTGGAATAGCCATCCATTATCGACATGGTACTCTGGAAATCGAAACAAATGTGTTAGAGCAATTGTTCCCGCGCTCTTTTCGAACAAGCAGCTAAAATTTTTTCCTACCTCCGCATCTAAAAGCAGGCTTTCGATAAACGTTTATAACCCCATGAGTAGGAACCCATATCTTGAGAATTTCATAGAGATCTCTACCGTACGGGTCAGGTGGCTGTGCCATGGTGGGTTTTGAAAACTTTGGGTTGATACGTGATTGTTACTCCGTTTCTCTGTGCGACGAACGCAATAATACTGCTTCGTGCGCGTCGTTTTATTTCCTCCTGAACTATTGAACAAAAGCTGACCAATCAAACTGTGCCAGCAACAAAATTTTGTATTTTTAGCCATCTTAAATATTAACGCGAGAAATTTGACCAATAGCAGCTCTAAGAATAGGGAAAGTCCGGTGATTTCAGGCTCCTTCCCGTCGAAGATATTTAGAAATGATGTCTTCTGTTACCTTGGTAGCCCAGCGAAAAAAGTGCAAGCAAGCAAATTTTAAAGATCGCCAGCTAGATAACAGCGCGGCTTGAAGTCCATACAAGTCCACGCCCATTTTGGTTAGTTAATCTGTTCAATGCTTGAAGTACTTTTTATTATGAAAATATAATATTTTCCTTCCTTTCTTTTCATTTTATTTTTCGTTAACTGGACCACCTAGATTAGCAAGTCTATTGTAATGCTATTTTTGATAAATAAAGTTGGAGTTGTTAGTTACCAAAAGAATACATACTGCTGGATAGTAATCGTAACTCAGAGATAACAATAATGATAGGTAAAAAGAATAATAGGTGTGGAGCACTTGATTTTTACAAGCCGTTTTTTTTTATGAAATCCTTGTATCTTCAGTTTGTTTGTTGTTTTCAGACTCCAAAACAATGGCTACACTTGTAAAAGTTTTATTAAATTGACCTCTGACGAAGTTCATTGAGCATTCAAAGTGATAAGCCAAATCTTTGATTTCTTACTAGTAGTATACGTACAAGTGCATCATGACGCAAGCGTGACAGATATATTGTCGACATTGTTTGGGCTAATCGCTCGCCTCCTGCGTTCGCGAGGTGCCATAGCTTTGTGGGCAGTAGGAGGCTCAGTAAAGAAGAGTTCAACAAGAGCAATGTCATAAAACCCAGGAAGTGGGTATACAGGAAATTCATTCACGCACCATCTACTGCATTGCAGCTCTCTTACCTCTTTCATTGACGACGATGTACCCACGTGAACCAAGAGTTTGCTTGATACACTGTAACAAGATTGTTTTGCTTGTTATATTATTTTTTTGAGATCATGATATTGAATGTTCGTTAGAAATCTGAAAAATTGTGGCAGTGAAAATTCATGGAATAACTCCCCCATGCATGGAGTCAGATTCTGTGTCGTGTAATGCATCTTTTGAGGATTAAATCCTGCATTGTTACAAATGATGTGATAAACTTAAAACCTTAAAATGCTCTCTGGAAAGCAAAACTGCTTCAAAGACTAACCTCTGGTAGGTGTGTATCTAATCGTGATGTCCGTTCCATGAAAGGTTGTGCCAATATCTACAATTTCCTCTGAAGAGAAATAAGGTTCTGGATTCTCCATTGCTTTTTTACTCAGGTCGATTAAAATATAGGTATGATGTCTAAATTTTCTGTGCTGTTCGCGATAAACCTAAAATATCGCCGTCATCTCCGTTCACAAATATTGCTTCGCCCAGCAAAAATTAATTCATAGTTTTCTTTCGGGAAAAATACAGGATGTCATTGGAATTCAGTGGGTGGGAGTAACAGCTAAGGAGAGATTTTACTTTGATCATATACTGATATCTTGGTTGCACTGGCTGCACGTCATCGACATAACAATGAATTGTTGTCCCATATGAATTTGATCTCTGATTGATAGTTCATCAACGTAGTTCGTTTAAGTTAAGAAAAGAAGACACACAGAGATAAATTTGAACTTTGCTTTTATTGCATCCCAACAGTGATAACATTTTCTTCCATGCAGCTTTAAGTTGCCTTCCACATAGGCATGTTTCCGTCAGGTAAACAAGAAACAAGAGAGCTCGTATTACATAACAAATTATAGGTTTACCGGCTTATTGTAACACATGTTTACGCGCACTTGGTGAAAAGAGCGTAGAATGCACTGTAATTTCATTTTCAGAGAGTGTGTGATCTGTCTAAACATAAGGGATTCAGTGTGATTGGACCTTTTAAGGCGAACTTTTTCCAAGTTATGTCATCTTGTTATCTTCTTTGAGTTTCTTGTAACGGTGAATACTTGTAGGCACGTTTTTTAAAATATCCAGCTGAAACTAGTCAAGATAGACGCGTTCTGGTTCAATCCAAAATCCGTTGCCATCCTCTAAATAGAAATCTAAGGAATAATATGTTATAAACTGAGTTTTGTTTAAGGAGTTAGGTCACGCATTTTAGCCAAATTCACAGCGAGGAAAATCCATGAAAATTAGCGCATAAAACAGTGCAGAAACAAAAATACAAAAACGCCACGAGTGGAAAAAACTGAAGAGGGATTTTGAATGCCCTTCATCTTGTGAGCTTTTTATAGTTTATATCTGTTGTTTGCCACTGTCACTGAATTATATCGCTAGAGAGATAATATTTGTCATTAGGTTGTGATTTTGTCATTTGGAAGAAATGTTTCAGTGCGAATAATTGGCAGATCTTAACAAAATTGACGTAGCTGCCGACACACAGTTCAAATAAATAAAACGATGGGTTCTAATCTAGTCAATGTACGAACCTCCATTGTCGCGGTATCTGCGAACCACGAATCTATTTGCGTTCTTAGAAATGATCTCCACCCTTGTATAGTGTCTTCCATGTGCCGTTCTTTCTTTTTTGCTTACCAAGTAGGCGTTGAGCAACTTTAGTCCTAACGATTTAACCAGAAAAACGCGGTATAAGAGCGCGCGTTAAACAATCATTATTTTAAATCGTTCAATCTAGGGACAGTGGAAATTCAAACCTTTGTGCGGTCGATAAAAAATTGTTACTTCTGAATAGTCATCATATGCTCCTATGTTCACGACGTCGACATAATCATATTGATTTGGTTCGTCATTCCCGTGTCCTGCCATTGCTCCGCACAACTTTGATCGCGACGTAAGCGTGTGGCGCGGTTTTAAAGTTGCTAACAATTGAATATCAAATCACCTCCTTGGGCAATATTTCGTCACGCTATTTGTTGACGCTGGATCATTTATTGAAGTTGAAAATATTAGCATTCGTATGAACGGATCTCTATTAAAAAAATAATGCGAAAGGTTGTTTGAAAAATTATTAAAACTTTATTCCTAGATCCTCTAGATCGTATTGAATAGATATTGGACACCTCTTCCCTCCGTCTTGCGTCAAAGACTTGAAATTCTGGGGGAAAATAGAAAAAAGTATGATTAATAATCAGAAAACTGGAAAGAGAACCAAGGACTGTAGTTTTATTGAAGAAGACCTGTGACGCGCGTAGTCTCTTATATTAAATACAAATGCAAATAGAATTTGATTCGGTCTGATGAAATTATAGTTTACGACGATTGCGAGTACAGCAAAAATGCAAACAAAGCAAATTTTCATACCTTCCCTAAACCTTCACTTTCCTTCCGTCGAAGTTAAAGTTTTTCCCTTGGGCATCAACAAAGTATTCTTTAAAGAAAAAAAAATATGTGGAGTTTTCATAAAATATCAGTATATAAGTAAATATGTGTGACCACTTAAATTGAGGCTGCAATTTTTAAATTTGGAATATTTCCTTTTATGCCTCTGTGTTCCTATGAACTTTATAAATACCTACCTCCATTGTCATATCGTCTGATTTCAATAACGTTCGCCTTAGATGTAACTATTTTTAGCATGCGATACTGCCTGCCAAAGTTTCTCCCATCTTTGTTTTCAGAGACATGTCCATTAGAGACCTGAAATTCTACAAGGTAAAAGAAACTACAATTTATTGGCTGGTTAACGTAAGGAACATTAAAATACGATGAAACTAACCTCTTTCTGGGGTATAGAATATCGTCACCTCTGCTGTGGTATCTTCGATTCCTATTTGGATTACCTCGCAGTATTTAGCGTGTTCTGGCTCATCTGGATTAAATCCGTCACCCATTTTATCAGTTGTGTGGGGCTTTTACGTTGTTAATGTCTTTTTGAATTCTATTATTCCCAGTAAAACAAATTCGCTTCACAAGTCGTTACCGCGATTGTTTTCACCCTATGGTTCGCGTTAATGCTGATGCTTCTGTGAGATTTTTAAAGTTTATTTTTAGATGCATTGAACAATGAGCTCAGACTACTAAAAAGGTCACGCCTGCTCATAACGAATAAGCAGAAAAGAAGAAATGAGAATTTGTATTTGATCATCTTAAGCTGTTGTACGACTTTCTTACATCAAGGTACTATCCCCCCAATAACAAATAGTCTCAATACCACTTCTAGTGTTTCTCATTCATGGGCGTTTTTAAGTAAATGCGTGTGTTTAATGTATTGCAATGTTAGCAAAAGCCGAATCAGGATCGCTTGTTTGATATGCTGACATGTCGTTCTACAGTGAAAACCAACCCGAAACCCCCAGCGGCGAAGACGTTTTTCTTCCTTGCGTTCGCATTTAAGATTACACGATTAGTTTTGTCGGTCTACTTGAAAGAGCTTTTCTTGTGTCCTTTTGATATATTACAATGGGTCCAGTCAAGATTTCATGGTATAAAGTGCGCAGTTTGTTTGTTATCAGCTCTCAACTCTTTATATGCCTGTGATATCTGCTATCCCACCCACTTAAACGCGTTTTCGCTAAAAACCGCAGAATACGTCATGCCTCACTTGTGATGCATTGTGTCAGGCATGGTTCTGGTAATCTGACTTACATCATGTTAAGCCACCTTCGCTGCATTGATAGGCACGCATCATACCGTAATAAAGGCAATCACTTCCTCCACAGGCTTTTTGGAATCCCAGCTTTCTTAATGTAATAGGAGATTGAGTGAAAAAAAAAAGCATTGTAGTGACAAGAGCAGACATAGATAAACAGTATATGTTTATTACATTGACTTCACGGAAAACTTTCAAGTAACATGCTTAGTCAAAAACTTGGTTGCTTCATCTGTTGCTACAAGGGTTTGGCCGTAAATCTACCTTGCTGTTAATGTCTCCAGACCTGGAGAGTGACCTGTGATACGAATAATAGGTACATGACTACTAGTACATAAATACCAGCACTATTACTCGAGTTTCTAACTGGCACTCAACGATAGTGTGTAATCATGCATATGAAAAATTCTGCCCTAATATTTTTTCACTTCAAACAAAAAAGCATAAATATAATTCAGCGGAACCTACCTCGCACCTAAACTGCATGTTTTTTTGTTCTAGAGACCCAAAACCCGTTTGTTATCATTCTGTATTCTATGAAATGAAAGATCAAAACGAAAGGTTTTAGGTATGTAATTAAAAGCTTGCGACCTTTGAGGCACATCTATGTTCATAAATTACCTCCTTGTTTGTGACGTCTGAGTTCAAAAACCTTGTCCTCGTGGTCGTCCATGACAATCTTAATCTGTCGATAGTCTTCATGTGAGGTATCTTTCACTTTACATCCGCCCCTGACTTTAAACTCTTGCAAAAAGGCGAAAAGTAAAAGATAACTTACTTGGATTCGAAAAAATCATATGACATAACGTTTCGTGAGCTTTAGGAAATTGTCATAGTACACTCACTGCGGCTTTCAGAGATGTAGTAAATTTTCACGTCTGGGATCAAGTGCCACTTTCTTCCAACTGTTACAACCTCATAGAAAGCATTGAAAGGTTCAGGTGGATCGTATTCTGTCATGTTGACAATTTGGAAAAATTTTAGTTATCAAATTGTTGTGCCTAAACAGTGCTTGTATAACCCTAGTTGTGTTGACTTCGTAATGCGTTTTTGGCTAATCCCTTGGTTGTTGTTGATGGTTTTTTTTCCTAATGATAGTTTTAGTATCACGAAATTCTGGTATGTGTGTCAATGTCCGGAGCAATAAGAATGCATTGCTGTCTCGCATTAATTATCGTTCTCAAACTGTGGTCAGTTTCTAATTTTAGAGGCGCCTTGCCGTCGGGGTGACTTATTTGTTATGTTAGAAATGTAGGTGGGAGAAATCATATTATGATGAGATTGAAGCACCACGTGCATCAATCTTCATGCTCAGTTGTTTTGTTTTTTTACGAGAAAAGTGATTGACGCGGGTTAACTCACATTTTTTTATTGCTCACATTGTAAAGCTAATTGTTAAAATCCCACTACAAGAAAAAATAAAAGATTTTTCGTTTTCAATTACGTCTGCTTCATTGTCTATGTCCTTGAGGTGTAGTGCAAGTATAGCAAATCTACCAAAGCCAAGCTGCAATAGGAAGGAAAGAAATATACTTGTGTCAGGTCGCCAGTCCTCAGCAATCACAAGAGAGATGTTTAGCTACGTTGAGTTTAAGGTGCAGGAAACAAGTGAGTAGGCTTGTCGCTCAGCAGATGATAACGCACAAATGTGGATCTTATTGTCTTCAATCTTTGCTCCCCGCTCGAATATTAATGACGAGGTTCATATTGTCGTATTGCGCCGCGGCTTTTAAGATGAGAGTCAACTTTAGTTTGCTTCGCTCTCTACATTACCTCTAATTGAATAAGTTAGTAGTGAAGAGAATGGCGTTTTAAATGGGCGTACCTCATTTTACGTCAAGTAGACATCGTTTTGTTGTAGCCAGTATCCCGGCGAAGCTATTACAAACTCTGTCAAAGAAATGTACGTTCTTAAGCTTTGTTCGTTAAATACAGTAAGAACAATTAACAGAAATTCACCTTTACCGCTGTTTGCCTTGTCGTAGCGGCGGACATAGATGATATCCCCTTTGGAAGTGACTATTGTGAGCTTCCAAAACAGTCTGCCGTTTGAAATTTTTCTTTCTTTCCCCGCCAAGTATCCATTATGAACCTCAAAATCTGGCGAAGCAAAGAACCGATTCGATACCCTTTTTCAAGTTTGTGTGAAGCATGAGGGGCAAGACACGAACTACACGAACCTTTTTTTGGCGTATAAAATATTGTCAATTCAGCTTCAATTCCGCTTCCTATCCTAACAGCCTCGCAATATCCAACATCTGGCGGCTCGTCATTCTCTCTTTTCGACATTTTGACAATTTAGTGCAAGACGGTCAGATAGTGTGCTCGGTAAAAACGAGGACTGAATTGCGCGTCCTGCTTATTAGTATGCAATTGTTCAACAAATTCGCGCGCATTTTGACGTCATGGTCTATTTGTGAATCATAAGAGGGGGGTTATCGATGCGCTTGAAGGAAAAGAAGAAATCATCACAACAAATTTCACAACACAATCACAATTTTTATTTTGCATCAAATAAACATATAGAAACGTGAACAGATTCTTGCTTGATAAGGGCTGGTGCTCTTGAGTAATCTACAAGATAGAAAGAAGAATGGGTTATTTGTAGCCCTAAGACGACCTAGATTTATTTATGTCGATGAAAACAACATCCAACACTTACAAGCGGCGTTGAGCTTTCTGGAAAGCGTTCATTCATGTAAAGTTGGATCATGGTGGAGCTATTTAGTTCGAATTAAGAAACAAAAGAGAATTATCTCAGATGAGAAATAAAAAAGAATGAGTAGAGATGATTTCAATTTATTTCTCGATTCGAAGTGAATCGCCCCACAATGATCCAACATTACATAAGCGAACGTTTCTTGGGACGCACAATGGTACTTGTAATTTTTTAGATACAATCCGTAACAAAAGTATGACCTTTAAAATTAACTGTACTTTCATTTCTTCATATTCACTGTTTATGCAAGGTGATTGTAACTAAGGAGGTTTCGGAGGACATCCTTATGTGTGACTAGTTGATGAATGAAAGCGGTTCACACTTCTTACATGTAGCTCCTTTCGTTCTATTTTAACTAGTTAAAAATCTACCAGTTTACTTTCGCGTCTGTATAAATGACTCCTTACTCTGAGAGGGCTAGCATGAAAAAAGATTATTTTCCTACTTACCATCCATCTACCCATACTTCAGACTGGTCCACCGCTAAAGTCGGCGGTTCGACGGTGTACTTGTTCTGTCTAGCACGGACAGTAGCATCTCTCTTTATGGTGATAACACTTCCATGGGAAGCCAGCACTCGTATCTTTTCTAGGTGATGTCGATGGATGGGTGGCTCAATTAGAAAACCGTTATCAACATGATATTCTGTAAAGAGAAAACTTTTCAATTAGTACTGGTCTCCGTGCGCATTGCATTAGTAATCCTTCTAATGCGCCTGTACCTCCAGTTCTCCCAGGCTTTCGGTAAACATTGACAACTCCATGAGTTGGCACCCATATTTTGAGAATTTCATATTTGTGTTTCGACACGGGTTCGTCAGGCTCACTCATAATGAATTTTCCAAAACTGTGCACTTGAAGGCTTGGGGAGTGTTCCACGTTTATGTAGCTCGAAGAACACGATGACACCACGGCGTTAACTGCATTTTATACCCTGCTAATTAACTGAGCAAAGGTAGGCCAATCAAACTTGGCCATGAAGAAAATTTGTTATTTTTGGTAGTATTACATCGTTGAATCAAGGGATGTGTCCAATCGCAGCCTTTAGAATGGGGGAAGTCCGGCGAATTCTAAATGTGACTACTTTGCCTCCTTCGTTACCAACGCAAAATAACTGCAAGTAAGCACATTTCTAAGTTATCCAGTTAGATACTTTCAGTCGTAAAGTTACATAAGTTACGTGAATACTAAAGCTTCTTCTGCTTTCTCAGTTGTAGAATAAACGAATTTATTCTTTGTTACAGATAGAAAAATTCAATCGACTATTGTTGTCAATTATGTTACAGAAGTTGAGTTCTCTCGGCGTCAGAAGAACGTAAAAATATTTCATATCTTCTTGCAATCGGAGCTGTGGATCACTACACTTTTGCGCTTAGTCAAACCAAAGTCGATTTCTCCTGCCCCTTACATTAATTGTAACTATAACATGAATCTTCGATAACTCAAACCTCCTGCTGGCTCGAGGTACATTCGAGCTCACTTCAATCAGATCACTGTTTACTAATTTTACCCTTGACGAGAAATCGATCCTTCGATAACGGAGTGTCGTAACTGAAAACATTCTTCTTGAACCTTCTCAACCAAGCTTCTAAAAATAATTAGTTTTATTGCATCGGCGAATTAGCAAACTAAAAAATTAACGCAAGACAAATTACAATTGCGTAGCACATTTTACTGTTCGAAAGTGCGAAGAGGGTTATACTTTTCTGTACATTTATAGTTTTGTCGTTCGCGTTTTGGGGAGAAAATTCAATTCATCGCTATAAACAGCAATATGCAGAAGCCTGTTTTTGTGTTTGTGGAGGGGCAACATGCACCCCACCATAACTGAAAAGGCGATACTTATCGAAAGAGAACAACAGAATTGGGGTAGCTGTCAGTTCCTAAGTAAAATTTCTATGTGAGATTTATACCTTTTCCAAGCATCAGTGCTTGAAATGCTTTCACTGACTTTGTATACTTCAGATCATAGATTGTCTTTGTAGACGTAGCTGTTATCACTGATTTCACAACCGAGTCTTGCATCATATTGTACACCTCCGCGGTAACGTTGTCACACTCATGAGACCTACATTATCACAATCACGTTCGTTTTGGAAACATGTCGCAGTTTAACTTTTTGTCATTTCTAAGCGGCATTTGTGTGAAATATAAGTTCCCCTTCAGTCAATGGTAATAACTAAGAGTTGTTAGACGTTTCTCTGGACGTGTTATTATGGAGAAATTATTTTGATGACCTAGCAGAGAAAATGACTTCGTGTAGAATTTCTAGTGTAGTACACATGTTTCTTACCGTAAATAATCGTCATCAGTCATGACTGCGTCTTCCAATCTAAGATGAGAAGAAATTTTCTTGTTAATGGTCTAGCACTCATAGTATACCTTTAAAATGGCAAACACAGTGGACTGTACATATTACAATAAAGCGCTGTGGACCTCTTATCAGAGTTATACTGCACTTGCTCATCAGTGTAAACAGAATGTGATAAACACACTGTAGGAAGAGACTACGTCTAACGGGCTTACCATTTCGAAGAGACCGACAACTCGCAGCGTACCAAGAAATTAGAACTACTTTTTGTACTACCATCAAGAATACTAAAGGAAAGTACTGCTCAGTAGCTTTCAACTGCATGGCACACTTAAGTATTTCGCCCAAAGACTCAAAAGTTAGAGTCACCTTGTACAGCATAATAAAAAGTACCACAGGAATGTACTGCTCAGTAGCTTTCATTTGTTTGATCACGCTTTAGGATTTTATTCATAGACTGAAAAGTTAGAACCTGTACCACATGAAGGATCAAGCAGTGGACGCACACTAACTTTCATTTACATACTTACTCATTCACACAGGTAATCCAAACCCATACCTTCCTCTCCATCATAAAGAAGATCATGTCCTAATGTTCAGGACCATTACTTCACAAAAGGTCTTACTTTCACCTATTGCCTTTGTAAATTCACCAAACTAACAATCCTCGCGAAAAATGATCCCGCGTGGACTACTCGAAACATACGTGCAAGAAAAGTTGTTATTGTGTTCAATGATGATCAAAGTACACCGATAATGAACGCCCGCACGAAAAAAATTTTTCCCCATTTTCTTTTGCATGTTCATGCCCTTCATCAGTATAGGCCCAGAACCAACAGAAAACGTATCTGGCCATATCAGAGTCTTTAATATGGCTTGAAAACAGTTAAATTTGCTCTAAAATTATCAAAGCTTAGATTCTCCTCACGTACACCTGTCATCCTAAGATGTCAAGTGTGCATTGGCTTATATCGGCGGCGTGTCGCCTCACCTTGGAAATTTTTCAATTAATATAAGGCTTCCTTTGTTTTCGCTAAGGAAACATTTATATAAAGCTTGTGCAGTTTGTGTTGTTTGTTACGTCAATGATAAAGTATGTGCTTAGGTTGTAGTTTCGATTTTAACAATAGAAATGTTGTAAATTTTTAAGAATTGAAAGTACTAAGGTTATCATATTTTACACGGAATGCGCGTGCAAAGCAAACCTATTGTTATTTAGCACGCCACAGTAACAAATTACCTTATATGGTCATTTGTGTTCTTCATAGCGACCTGTCTGATCGACCGCAGAGCTGACACAAGGCGCTAAAAATCAACTTTTGGGATTCATAACTGTCCAAAATCTTGATACTATTCGTGACTAGTCTTTGCGTGCAGTGAGTTCTATCTACTTAAAAATCGATGTTAGTAGATAAATGCAAACAAAGTTACCGCAGACACGCTGTCTTTCACATGTCCTGGTCCGCTGGGAGCTGATTGGTTAATACGGTATATTAGCTTCCACTTGTCAAAACACTTCAATTGGGGGCATCCCTTCAGGCTGTTTTTAAGTATTAGTATTCACGTTATCTGCTCTCCCACGTTGCTTTCTAAATTTAGTATTCGCTATTGTTAACGCTACAGTGCACATCTTTGCTTTCCTAAGTAATATGGCTGAATGTACTGACGGAAAGAATCTGGAAACGCAACTCAAAAAGGCTGCTTTAGCGTCTGCATGTACGCTTACAGGACCAACAGGATTTCAAACTGAGGACCCACATCATGGTTCGTTTGATGAGACTTGCTGCTTGTGTGGTTATTTAACTCGTCATGCAGTGCTAACATTACTTCTTTGATTTACAGGCGGCAACTTTGAGAGTGTAGAAGACAAAGTAAGAAGAGTCAGACAAGAGGGTAGTGTATATAAATGGGATGAAAAAGAAGAGGGAGACGAAGCAGGTAAATAACAAACTAATAATTGTTTTTATCTAAGGTCTTTCACTCTTTCACGGCTCCAGTCGAAAACTGAAACAATATCTAGTTTCATTTTCCTACCACCCGAATAATTCTCACAGAAAGGTGCTGCTCGAGGTACCCAGTACTTTTACTTGCATTTGCACTCTAAAAATTTCGTCTATAGACACAATACAAAACTTTGGTTCGTTAGTTAATGTGAGTGTAGCGCGTTTCAGGTCCGTTTCAGCTCAGTTAACGAGTTCCTTATTGTACAGAGACCTATGTAAATAAACAGTTCAACAGATATTTGTCAGCGTCGCTGTGGTAATCTTTAAAAGCATTTGCATACGTATTGGCAATAAACCAGAGAAGGACATGCATTGTGTCTGTATTTCTCTTTTGAAAGCCTCTTTAGTTTCAGTAGAGAATGGTTGTTTGACGAAGAATAAAACCATATGTTATTGTTGAAACGAATCAGACGTTTGGTATTTAGCTTTCGACACTGGAATCTGATCTATCGTATTTACCTTCAGGCAAGACATAGCCAAGAATAGAGGTCCTGTCTGGATGAAGGGACATCTGCTATTAACAAAGAAAGATCTTTGACCTGTCACAAACCAGCTTGTGATCAAAGAAGATGATTTTTCATTCATAGAGTGGTCATTCAGGCAAGAGCGCCTTACAGTTCAGAGATATTTTCTTTAATCTAGCCCTTAACCTTCCAAAGTTTCAAAGAGTTACTATTATGGCTCTTTTAAGAAGATAAGATAAACCGAGAATACCATATGATAGTACTGCGTAATAACTTTTTTTTTGAATGATAACGATCCCAGATTGTTTTCCACAGACTTAAAAGCTCAATACACCTTTTAACGCGTATCAAATACGAATGTACTGCTTAGTGTAGCTTTATTTTGAGTGCTGTGGCTAATTTTTTATAGTTTTATTCACAGACAAACTGTTATTAAAGTCATAAGATACATTTTAAAAAAAGACTACTACCTGAAAGTTCTTGTTCCTTTCCTTTCACTTGAATTGCCAAGAATTTGTGTCAATGGGTTGAAAACTAAGAACCTTATTTCTTTTATGTAGAATAATATAATGCCCCTCAACGCCAGGAAATGAGTTCCTAAATTTGAAGCACTACAAAGTCCTGTTAAAGTATATATGCTAGAAAGTCTAGGATAACCTTGAATGTTTCACTGTTATTACATGTAAACAAACGACATCTTTCTGCTAGCTTTACAGTGGCTTGTAATCAGTTGGACCAGAAAGGGATAAGCGTTTAAAAGGATAAAATTAACTTAAAAGCTGATTAAGTCTTGTGTAAATAACGCAAAGAATTTGTAAAGAAATAAATTTACAATTTTATTTTATGCTGTTTGTTCTTTGTTGTTTTTTGTCGTCAATTTTTTTTAACGGAACGTCTTTTAGACCAACGCTTTAATCAACGAAACTGTGATTGAAATGATATATGTATTATCACACTGCTAGAAAGTGTCTGTAAATTCTTTACTTGTTCGGAAACAAAAGCCTGTTATAAATTGCGATAGCTTGTAAGAAGTGATCCGAAAATCGGCTTCCCAAAACAATGAGATGGAGGGGTTTTCGTGTTTAAACGTCTGCAATATGTGAATAAAAGGCAACTCGATGAATTCTCAAAACAAAATTGAATTATATTGTTGCACCGTGGCTTTTCCGTTTCGCAGGCCTCTTTATCAACGTCAGCTCCACTTGGGAAATGTTTTCATTACTGAAATGGAATGGAAATTAGAAATGCTAGCAGCCGATAACTCATAAACGTCTTAAAATCCCGACAATGGCATTTTACGGCAGGCGTCATTTTCTGTTCCGCGTGGAGTCTGGACCTACTCTCGCTTTCGTTTTTTGAGTTCGGATTTGTTTTTCTTTACGACAAAAAAATTCCAGGTTTCTGATATTAATATCAAATTCTTTGATTCTTCATGATTACTCTTACAGCTCGCTAAAGAGATGTAATCAAAGTATAATTGCCTTCCGAGAAATTTCTCCGATTCCTGGAACTGTGGGAGTCCGATAAAGTCACGCAACGCATCACGTATGTATAAATGTGAGCTTATTTTATTACAACAAACTTTCGTTGTTTACATATAAAACCATTCGTGTATTTAGAAAGAAATATTAGCCTCCACATCTATGTGTAAAGGTTAACGACTTTGACAGCTAAAGGAGATAACAGAAATGGATTGAGATATTTTTAAGCGCTTTATTTTTACTGCCACAAGGGCGAGAAGCCATAGTTTCGTCACGTAATCGTAAGCCCCTTCTGGCCCTCCTGTCATGAAATGCGACGTGTTTTAGCAATTGTCTGTAACTGAAATGTCTCGTTATACGAACAAAGGAGGTGTTTAAGTTATATTTGAGGGGAAAATAGATAAATCTGGGTAAGTAACAGCTGATGTATCTCAATAATTCGATATTTGGTGGGGTGGGGGTGGGGTGCAGCATGGGTCTTCTTCCCCCCTGTGATGAACTCTATAGGGATGCTCCACCCATTAAAGGTACCTTTTCTCCCGGGGGAAGGAGGGGGTACTCCCTGGCATGGCCTATCTGGGGATGTGCCACTGGACAGGGTATCATTTTCTAAAATCAGTCAGCAAAACCACAGCAACAAACCAGTGAGTGTAGAGTGAGTTGTAGACCTGGATCAGTACAATTAAACTTGTAGAAAATATGAAATGGCAAACTGTTCCTTAACAAAAGAAAAAAACAAAAAAATATATTTTAAAGAAAGTGCCCAATATTTCGGTTTGAAAACAAACCTTCTTCAGGAGCTAAAAGAAAAATGGAAATAAAACTTACAGTTTTTATGTTTTTTTTACCTCTCTGTCCTAAATATAATTTTCCTGCGTCTGTCCTAAACAGGGTTTATAATTTTTTGTGAGTTTGTCCTAGTTATAAACAGGATGAAATTGGTTTGTACTCCAAGTAAACAAAACCAATGACTATACCGTGAATTTGCTCTCTTGCAATTGCCAGATTATAAGAACAAGATGGCATGCAATTTGTCCTTGTCCTAAACAGGGCAATAAAGTTGAGGGTGTTGTCCTAAATAGGCTGTGTATTTTAGAATTTTTTTTGTTCTAAACAGGGTCAGGGTTTCAAACTGTCAGTGGCTCACCTTAGATACCCAAATATTGGTTGAGTACCACCCCCCCAACACCCCCACCCCTGGGCATTTTTAAGAGGTATCAGTAAATAAAGGGGTAAGGACCGCAGGGGTTGAGGTTCACACTTCTTTGGCCTTTGCCTTTCTAACAATGCATTTGTTTCACTGCATCTACTTGTTTCATCAGGATTGTTTTTTTTTAGTCAAGAGTAATGTAATGCAATTGTATGGGTTTTGCCAGGGGGTTCTCAACAAAGTGTTATACAGGGAGGCTCTACCCTTAGGTCCAATCCCTTTGCAACTCATTTTTTTGTCAGAAAAGTACCGTATTCCCTCGAATAATAGCCATCCCTCGATTAATCACCTCTCTCGAATAAACACCCCCATTTGATGGAAATATTAAAACTAATCGCCTCCCTTGAATAATCGCCCCCCCAGCCCACCCCTCTCTCCATCTTCACTTTCTTTTATCCCCTCCCAGTCGAGGTGAAGTGGAATCTGATCCAGCAAAAGTGATCAGTGCCAATTCAAGCTCTGAAAATGAATCATGGAACCAAATTTGGAAAACTTAAAAAGCCCATTCTCAGTTTATTTGATCTGATAATTTTTTATTTATTGGGATAATATAACAAAATATTTAGGGCACAACTTCCAGTGAGCAATATTTGAAATAATTGCCACTCTTGAATAATCGCCGCCAGCTATTGTTCGAGGAAATACGGTACCCTTTTAGTAGTAAACCTTTTATTGGCAATTTATTGGCACCCCCTTCACATATCTAGTAAAGAAATTTGCACCTCTTTTAACAGCTAAAAATTCATCAGCTTTCAAATATGAATAGGTCACAAAAAAATGTTTTCTCAACTTTCTCAGAGCCATAAATGTATCTGTTAGCCCTGTTTGGCCTTTTTACAAAATGATTTGACTACTTTCCCTACCCTTTCATATACTTCAACTACTGACACCCCTACCCTTTCTTAAACCTGAAACCTGAGAAAAGGTACCCCTTTTGGGCAGAGCTTCCCCATATAGACCATTATAGAGAACCCCTCCCACTTACCTCAGGGAGTTTAGACCTTTGAGAGAAACATTTAACTCCCCTATCTCCCCCTCCCCCTCCCCCTGGTTGAAGTATATAAAAGGGCAGGGAGGTCTGTCATTTGGGTTTGTGAAAGGGCCCAAAAGGGCTAACAGATGAATTTTATGGCTTTATAAAGTCGAGAAAACATTATATTTTTGTGATTAATTCCTTAATTTAAAACACAGTGCATTTACAGCAGTTAAATGGGATGCAAAGTTCTAAACAGGGTATGTGAAAGGGGTACCATTTGTCAATAGCAGGATGGGAAAGGGGTACTTTTTTTGTGAAAAATGGTATATAAAAGGGTAAGATGTTGGACCTCGGGGCGGAGCCTCCCTGTATAAACATTTGTTGAGTACACCTCCCTTGTGGAGGGCTGGTTTAGTGGTTTTCAAAAGGCTTGATCTTTCCACTATACCACCAGAATACCCTACTGTTACTAAGCAAACCAACACATAAGTATTGAAGTTCTTTTTTGCATTTTTATTTACCAAGACAAAGTTAAGGTCAATAAAAACAAGACCTGTCAACCTGAAAATATGGAAAGCCTAGGGGATATAATTGGCTCAAAAGCCTGGCCCCAGTTGTTCAAAAGGTGGATAACACTATCCAACGGATAAATCTCTATCCATTGGATAGCGTAATTGGTTTCCCTAATAGTTATCCACTAGATAGTGATTTATCCGGTGGATAGCGCTATCCAGCTTTTGAACAACTGGGGCCTGGAGATTACCTTAAAAACCAGGAGATTTCTCATAATCATAAGGAAGTGAATAATTATAACTTTTGTCCATGGCCTAATGAAGGATTTTTAAAATAGAGGAAAATTTTTGTGGCATAAACATCCATTTTTCTAAATGACCATATTTGGTATACACCTAATACATGAACGTTTTCTCAGTTTATTTGCCGTTTTACAGTACCAAGTGTGTATTTTAAAATTCATTCTGAACAAAGAAGATAATTTTCTGAATGTCAGCAAATTTTGGTATTTTTAAAATTAATGTCATTAATATAAAATTTATATTAATATTATTATTATTATTATAATAATCATTGTTATTATTATTATTATTATTATTATTTAAATCAGATATTATTATGAATTATTTCATATACTTCACATCATTTTAGTCCTCACGGGAGATATGAACTCAATAAATTGACCTCGCTCCCAATGTGTGGCTTCATAGCTCAGTTGGTAGAGCAGCGCACCGGTAATGCAGAGGTCATGGGTTTGAATCCCGTTGAAGCCCTGATTTTTTTCAGGCTTCTTCTTTCCAATTCCTTAAAATGGAAAATTTACTGCAATGATCATTCTTCACTCTCATCTACAACCGCAGTTCAAAAATGAAAAAAAAAATGACAAAAAAAAAATGAATTATTTCATATACTTCACATCATTGACCATGTCAGTTGCCTTAAAATCTTCGCTACTCACCATGAGACCAGGGGATTCACCTCAAGACCAGGGGAGTCGCCCAGCAGGATTGGGGGCTTGGCAGGTCGGAAAAATGCAAAAAAGAACAGGGCCAATATTCAGCCATCTTGACCAAACAAGACTGGCCAAGTGGCCAAAAAGAACACTGTTTCTTGCACAACCAAGGCAGCCTTGGAAATCCTGAGTGGGCAATGGGCTCATTTTGCCTGCGAGGTAGCCAATTAAAAACACATGATTCGCTTTAGCCCACTTGGGAATTTGGCCATCATAATAATACTGTACCCTAACACATAGGTTACTTTTATTTAACCAAACCCTCATGACATGATTTGTTTATAGGCATACAATCATAGACATCTTAAATTGGTAAATGCGTTTTTAACCGATGGCATGTTCTTTGATACAGTTTTATATAATTAGAACATAAACAAGAGAACTATTCAATAACGCAAAAACCTAAGCCAGCTCTTTTTAGTGAAAATATAAAGAAAAGTTTCACTCTAAGAGGAGCAGTCCCTTAGGTATAAGAAGCATGCTGGGGGTGGGGGGGAGCAGTGAAATCCCTTAGGAAAGAGACAGGCCCGATGCTTGTAAAAAAACTTAGAATGAAACCCCTGAAGAAGACCAATCTAGGCGTGGCTTACGCTGTATTAATTTTGGCCCCTTTAGGGGACCAATCTGGGCATGGTTCAGGCTATATTTGACCCTTAAAGAGTCCAATCTGGGTGTGGCTCAGGCTATATTTGACCCACAAAGAGTCCAATCTGGGTGTGGCTCAGGCTATATTTGACCCATAAAGGAGACCAATCTGGGCATGGCTCAGGCTATATTTGACCTGTAAAGGAGTCTAATTTGGGCATAGCTCAGGCTATATTTGACCCATAAAGGAGACCAATCTGGGCATGGCTCAGGCTATATTTGACCCCTAAGGGAGACTAATCTGGTTGTGTCATTTTTTTTCTTGCAGAGGTACTGTAGAAGTAGTACTGATCATGAGTGAATTCTGGAAACGAGAATTCCTGAGCCAGTCTTCCAGCCAGCAAAGGAAAAAGAATATGTCTTAACTGGAATGAATAATCATAAAGGAGCAGTATGATAACTCAGGGGAGACTCTCATTATAGATGCGACATGGATTAATGCCTCCTTGGAAAATTAGAATTTAACTCCTTTTTATAACGGGACCAAGGTGAACATGGCTAAGGCTCTATTTTGACCCCTTAAGGACTCCATACTCCAACACAGGGTGATGGCATTTTTTTTCTATAGATATATAAAATGTTTTTCCTACATACATTCACTCACTCATTTCTTTATGGGTAAAAATCCTGAACGTCCCAAATTGACACCAAAAAAATAAATTTCTACTGCTAAGCTAGACAAAAAGTATCCTTAATCACTTTTGTGTGGGAGTCCAACCCCCTCACCCCCGAGGTATGCCCCTAATGGTTACAAGTTGGTTATATTATGCTATAGAATACTCTTCTTCTTTAATAGTAAAAAGATTTTGCAGTCATACTTAACAGTGATTCTTCAAGGCCTTGAATTTCAAGTCTAGTCGATAGCATGCATTTATTGGAAAAACATATTCCCCTTAGATACTGTTTATGGCAATGAAAATATTTAAGGGAAATCTCAAAGATTTAGAATTTCCATGCTCCATATAAAACCAGCTTTCCCTGTCCCCACCTCCTTCCCAGGCAGCGTGCAAAGAAAGGTGTGTCCGATAGCCCGGGGCTAGTGGATTTTGCTATCGGGCTAGTGATTTTCGTTCTTAACTTGCCTGATGGGCAAGTGCTCTTTTTTGGGGAAATTCAAATTACAGAAGGATTGTAATCAATCCTGCTAATCAAAAAGGGTTTTGGGGCTAGTAGAAATGACTTGTGGGCTAGTACATGCTAGCTACAGCTTGCCTGAATGGCAGGCTGTAAAACTGAATTTCTTTATGCCCTGCCAGAAGATAAAATATTGTCCTTTAAATTGAATTACAAGCAAACCTCATTAATACAGACACAGAATTTTAGATTTTTACTGATTTAGTTGGGAGGTGCCCTGCATGGGACTCCAGGTCCCGTTTGCACCTTACCTTTTGGTCTTTTTTTTGTCGTTACTGTAACTATTTATTTAGAGTGACTCAGACCAATAAAGTTGATAAAACAAAACAAACAAAACAGGAAAAAAAAGCACTTTCTTTGAGTGTCAATGTATTTAGCACGAAAGTGCTAATTGGGGACACTATATTTTACGTCTCCTAATGGAGACGGGGACCGCCATTTTACGTGGTCATCCGAGCCAGGCGAAGGTCCAGCCGCCCGCAGGGCAAAGGAAGTATCTTCATTTCTCAGTTATTTTAAGACCCCGAGTATGGGTCCGACCCTGGGGATCGAACCCGCGACCTCCCTCTCTGCAGTCAAGCGCTCTACCGACTGAGCTAATCCTGCCGCGGTTGAAGGGGCCATAGAAAGTGCCCGTATTCACGGGATGTCTGTCTTAAGTGGTTCATACTATTAAAGCAGAAAAAGAACACCTTTTATCAGCTTTTATTAGAACAAAATACTAAAAAGATTAATAAAAAAGGACATTAGTATCGTCAAATTTAGCATCTCTAACCTTAACAAAGCTATCATTCCACGATGTAAATGTAACTGAAACACTCAAAAATCCGTCATCTATATTATCTAGTGAAGACTGGTCTATGTGTAATTCGTTTGATGCCAAAATAGTATGAAATTGACGTCTACAAATCATCTTATCTGATGTACCGTAGCATTGGGGACATCAACAAGCTGTCAAGGATTTTTTCCCTTTAGAAAGGAAAGGTCTATTAGAGTACACAGTGGATAATGAAATGTCCACATTAGTGAGGTTGACTTTCTATGAGAATCTGTTGATTGGGCAAGAAACAAGTTTCACAGAAAATGTAAGTGGTTTCCTTAGGGACAAAGAAAATTGTCCATTTAACAAGGTGTCTGTATTAAGCAGGTGTCCAAAAAGTGGGGCTTGACTGTACCTCTTTCTAAACTATTGTCTGTGAACCACACTGTAAGTTCCAGACAAAGTTTCTTTTTATTTCTCTCTTGGTTTTATGGCTTGATCAAGCTTGAAGCTCAGAGGAAATAGTTTCCCCGGGGGGGGTACTTTAGGAATTTCTGGGTGGGGATGTGCCGCTGGGACCCTGGAACCCTTAACCTATACTAGAGCTATTTCAGCTGAATTTTGCTACCCTATACTAGAGTAAACTCCCCAAATCCCCCTATCCTAGAGTAGCTGTTTTCCAGAAACTACTGAGGTCACTAGCACAGTCTAGCCAAAACAAAACCTTATACCACAATCCCTAGTTTAGATAAAATCTTCAACCAACTGATCAGTTTCCTGAAAAATGATACCCTATTCTAGACCCAAACGGCTCTGATTTATATACCCTATCCAAGAGTAAACTGCTTGAAAACCATACCCTTCACAGCAGCACATACCTATATAGCCCATATATGGCAGTACCTCCCCCCCCCCGGTAGTTTCCTAACATATGCATAAGTTTCTTCATCCTCACCTCCAGGATATGGCAACTAATTTCGACCAGGCATTGTAAATTTAAGTAAAAACTCAGACAGACTTCTTATATCTTTTATGGGTAAATTTTATGCATCGGTAGTAATTTGTGAGGGGGAACTGGTTTTTTATCTAATTTTTTTCATTAAAAATTACATTGCATTGGTCTAACAAAAACCAGTTTCTCTTATTATCCCTTCGCTATTGCAACCAATTAATAATAAAAAGTTAAGCACACAAAATGTGTAGCAAGGCTACTGGTAAACAAAGACGCCTCTAGACATTTGGCCGTGATCATTGTGATGAGAACCTTGTACCCCTTAGCTGACTGGGGAACATAGGGTTAATGTAACAGCTTCTCAAGCACATAGGAAAGAGAGATAACGAAGCCACTGGGAGGAGAAGGCGTAATAAGGGGGGGGGGGGGGGGGGACAAAGCCCTTTGGCAGGTAATTAGCGACCTCGGGTTACACGCACAAAATAAAAGAAGTCCACTTATCACCCCACTAATGTGGTAGGGCAAATTATTGGCAGAGCCTTTTTTATCTCCCCAGCGCCCCACTGGCTGGATTGGACAAGATGAAGGCAAACAGGTAAGGGCTGTTTCAAACGTCGTGCTACTGCCGTGCTAACCTGGCTCGACTGTAGCTCGACTGCAGCACGACATTAGCACGACTTGGTTTCAGACGTCGAATTTAATTCACACAATGACAGTCGAATGGAACGGCTGTTGCCAAAAACAAAACACAAAAATAAAGAAACGGTTTAGCAAACTTTTAAATATATTCTAATGTATTTTCATGAATTGAGTTCGGCATGGCGGTAGCACGACTTGGTTTCAAACGTTGCGCTACTGCCGTGCTAAAGTCGAATTTAATTCGATCAATTGAGTTCGGCACGGCAGTAGCACGACGTTTGAAACGGGCCTAAGATGGCAGGACTCAAGGGATGCCAAAAGCTTGGAGGAAGGCGCTTCGCAGACTTAACTGCGCCACGGCGAATGACCCCAAATGTTTACTGATATATTACAAAAGGAGATGCCTCTAAAGGGAGGCGGCGGGAAATTTTCGAAAACTGTTTCCTATCATGCAAAGGTAAAGGCGCACACTAGCCAAAGGCCCTCACGGCCGGAGCTTATTTCCGGTTTCCGTAGCATGAAGCAAGCCCAGGAGTATTGCTACTCCCCCCTGGACGGGATGCTAGTCCATCGCAGGGTTACCGTCGCCTGTACCATTTGATACACCTGAGTGAAGAGCGAAAAAGTGGTGTAAAGTTCCTTGTATAAGGAAACAACTCGACGGGCGAGGCTAGAACCCCGGACCTCCAGATCCAGAGTTCGAGGTGTTAACCGCTCAGCCACACACGCCTCCTCCTATCATGCAAGCTGACTGAATAACGACCAGGTGTGGCAAGCCACAGCATTTAACAGCGCTAAAGACAGTGTCTCCAAGATCAAGCAATAGATATAGATGTACTGTAAGGGAAAGTTCATTTAATATGACAAGGGGGGGGATGAAGATATTGAAACTCGAAGCTTGAAATTTTAGCAGCCCCCCTCGCTAGCGGTTCAATTTTTTAGGAGCCCCCTCCTTGGTAGTCGAAAAAATTTCAGAGCCCCCCCCCCCCTCCTCCTTCAATTCCTTTGCTCCCCTGAAAAAAGATCGCTAGACTGTATTAAATATATTTACCGTTATTGTCTTCAATGGTTTATACTATGACAAACTTGAGATACAGTTGTGATACAATTTTCTAAAGCATTTTTGGGATGAACAAGAGTGTAATAATTACTGAGACTACATTTGTTATATCTGTAAACCACGTGATATAGCTGAGTTGCACAGGTCATTAAATTGTTGAGTTGAAAACCATCCAATCTGTGTGATGATGTCATGTGTTGGTTTTGAAGTATACAAATTTTCGGAGCCCCCCCTCCTAGCGCAACAATTTTTTCAGAGCCCCCCCTTCGGGTGTCTAAAAATTTTCGGAGCCCCCCCTCAAAATCTTCATCCCCCCCTTGTCATATTAAATGAACTTTCCCTAAGCTACCTAGACTTACGGCGATAAACGACTGGCCAAGACGATAAGCCTTTTAAGCGACGACCAATCCATGCAGTGCTAAATTTTTTTGTAGACAGGCATGCAATAGATTACGATACTTCTAGCCATAAAATGCTTCTGTTTATAGCTAAAAGAATGGAATTCGTTTACAGAACGAATCACGAGACCACAAAATACAATCGACCTTTAATATCTGGTAGTCTTACTCTGCCTACCCCCTTAACTGCATTTACCACGTAGGAAATGTCTTACAAAAACAACAACAACCGCAACTTAGTAACAAATAATTTTTTTTGAACTTGTCTTCTCTTCTCTAGTTCTAGCTGAAAGTTTTCCCCTCCAACCTTATGAAATGTACTCAAACGGGGGCTCCTGACTCAAAACATTATTTTACAGGCTCGAGGTACAAAGAGGCTCTGGTGACTGGTGAGTCTAAAGTGATCACTTTGGCATCATTGAAATTCTGGTTAAACGTGAAAATGCGGTCCATCCTATGCATGTCTTTGTTTCCTTTGGGTTTTTGTTTGCATGAATTTTTTTAGCGAAAATCGCTGAGGCTATATGGCCGGTAACCGTCAAGGTGTTAAAAATACTAAATGACTGGCAGTCCCATATTCTGGGTAAATTTCACAACATCGAAAGATTCTAGCTAATCTAAACTATCATATGTCGATCAAGACAAGTCAAGCGATCCTGAAATGCTTTATAGATCTCAAGTCTAGTGTTTGGTTTACGCTGGACTCAGAAGAGGAAACCGTGTTTGTGACACTTAGAACTTTTTTCAGCTCGACTGCCGGTCAAGGTTTTCAAAACACTAAATGGCCGGCAGTTCTATATTCTTAGAAAATTTCACAAAATCGAAAAATTCCAGTGTCACAAAACATGGTTTCGTCATCTGAGCCCAGCGTAAAGAGCACTTCAGGATCGCTTGACTTGTCTTAATCGACATATGATAGTTTAGGTTAGCTAGAATTTATTTGTTTTTTTCCCCCACATCACTTTTCTGATGATCCGTCCCTTATCATGAGAACATGAGAACTGCCATTTGTTTTCAGTTTCAAACCTGAGTTGAATCAATTTCACATCAAAAAATGGCCAATTAAGTTTCTTTAATGTTCAAAACTGAGAGATGCTGTAGTTATTTTTAGTGCTCGATGCGCATTGGTCAGTTTAGCTGGCAGCCACACTCCTCCTCAATTTAACAAGTGGCGCGGTCACTAATTGACCTCTCAAGACATGTGGAAAGTCGATGTAATCGACAATTTATAACCCATGATCGAGAAAATTTTAGGCGTTATAGCCTTATCTCTCGGGAAAAAAGCGACTGTTTATGCTGTCGGAAGGGTGAGTACCATCTATCCTTATTTTAAACAGTCTTATGATCATTGCATCCCCCGATTCGTCGTGAGGTGTCGCGTGCACCTTACCTTGATCGATACGCTTGCTGAATTCACCATTTGATATATTTCCCGTTTGCTGAGAAAACCTAGGGTCATTAGGTAGTTTAACAATTACTTAAAGAAATGGCTGAGTGTTTTTGTCTTTGCGGAGTATTAAATGAAAAGGGTAGAAAGGTTACTTTCATTTTTGGAATGAATTTTATAATTGTGGTGATGTAATACTGGCTAGATTTTACAGAGGCTATAAGTTAAGCTTATGGGTATAAATACTGAGGCTTAGTTCTAATGTTCATTTTATACTGGTAGATGCCGTTGGGGATTTTTTTCAGCGGCAGGGAATACAATTTTTTTTTATCTGACGTAGAAACTCGTTGAAATCTGGGCTGAAGTGTAAGATATTCAGACATGTAGGTAAAGACAACTTACATGTATCAGTCAGATCAAAGTATGGGTGTTTCAGTGACTCAGCACTGTCCGATGGACAATAGAGCCAAAGAAAATTGAAAGATGTGGCACACCTATAGGAAACAGAGCTGGATTGTGAGGAGTTTCTCAATAGTGGCAGAGCCACTAGAATTATAAAGTTTCATTTTAATGGGAGCCGCTGAGCCATTTAAAAGAGTTGCCCTGTTATTTGTGCTTGTGACAAAATTGGTAACCATGCAAGCCTGTTCTTCTTTCTTGCAAGTAAAGTAGATGCTGTATGAAAGCAGGATTTTCTTTAACAGGGCAGGAGAAAACCCATGTCCAATTGCATGGGGCAAGTGAATTTTGATCTTGGGCACATGAACATAGAAGCTTGGTCACCCAGTCATGCAATTTCGTTCCCAGGCAGGACAAGGGTAGCGCAGACTCTGGGAACGAGATTGGTCGCCCAGTGGGCAATTGATCATGTAACTCTGTCTGAAAGTGTCAGCTTAGCAAATGATAATTTCCAGACAGAAACTATTTCAAAACTGAAGACTGCAAGATAAGTGGCACAATAATATTAGTTGAATATGAATTCTGTTACTCCTGGGATCACCATATTGGTCAATTCCAGTAGTTTCTCTGTATCTGACACAGCATTGAAGTACTAGTAGTTTTATACACTTTGTTATAACCTATACCCTATTATAGAAAGTACTTTAGAACTATAGAGGATAGGACATTGTATTACTTTTAGGCAAGTAATATTTCAGTAGGGGCAAGTGAGAACTGAGTAGGCAAGTGGATTTCAATTTTTTTCCTGCCCTGCATAAGCTTATGCAAGTGGCAAAAATTGAAGTTCTAGTTGCCTTGAAACTACCGGCTACTTACAGATTTCAAGCATTTTTCTTTACACTTTGTTTGAAGACCTGATTAATACTTGAAGATGTGCAAAAATCAATGTGTGGTAGTGATAAACATCCAAATATTTCTATTGTTACAGAAAAAAACACACATATTTCCAGATATTTCATGTAATTAATCTCTTTCTGGATGCCAAGTGCATATTTGTTGTGTGAGGTTCTTTTGTAGTTTCCTCTTGCATGCTACTGAATAGGATCCCTTAGGATTTAATACCACTGTCTGTTTTTTTTTTTTGACTGACCACTAAATACAGATGAACCTCCACATGCGACCACCTTCCTAAAACACCAAAAATGTTCTCAGCCAAAGCCTTTTAATGGACCCTCTCGTAAACAACCACCTCCCGTAAGCGACTGCGACCACTTTTACAGCTGACAGTTTTAGAATTTTCTATTGATTTCATCCTCCCGTAAGCAACCACTTGACACATCGTCTTCCTAAACAGTGAAGTACATAATTTTTGTGAAAATGGACAAAAAGGAATTTATTCTTTGGCTGTCATATTTGTCTACGCATCTATTACTGTGTTTATTAGTTCAATCTATAACAACAATATTAACCATTACCCTTGAGAAAAAGACTTAAATTTCCAAGTTTCAGTTTAAGAAGTTAAGTTTTTGTTCATCAGAAGTTTTAGGCACATTTCTGTACAAGAAGTTACGTACACAAGTAAAATTCTTTAACCACAAATTTATAATGCACAACATCTAATTAATTGCACTTCCGTAAATGAACTATCACATAGAATAGCTGATGATTTTGTCATAAAAATTACCATTAATTGTCAGGGGAAAGTAAACTTTCAGTATTTTTTTAGAATGAAATTAATATACCACTCCATTCTAGGTTGACTTAAGAATTTCATCCTTGTGGTCCGACTCTCGTAAGCAACCACCAAGCCTTTGTATTTTGGGTGGCCGCTTACGGGAGGTTCGACTGTATATTAGAATTGGCTACCAGTTAAAAATATTTGGAAGTGGCTCCTAAAACAGGCTATGTAAAAGAAAGGCAATGTTGGTAGATAAAGGCACCAGAAAAAAAACCAAGGACAAATAATATATTATAGTGAAACATCTTCTGTATTAAATTAATCTATGGATTGCTATGCAAGCTCAAAATTAGAACCTGCAGTGGGTAATGCCAAAGAAAGTAGGTTGTCTTGTCTTAGAAAGTCACTTCCATATTTGTAACTTTTTAATAAAAGTAAATACAGTGGAACCCCAATAACCCGAACTCTGAAGGGAAACAAAAAACAGTGCGAGTTAGCAGTGAATTCAAGTTATGGGGTAAATTTCAGTGAAATTTTGATCAAGGGAAGGGAAATTGAGTTCGAGTTAGCAGGGAATTCAAGTTATTCGAGTTCTAGTTATCTTCTGCTGTAGTAAGGTTACATGGAACATCTCATTTGCAAAAAATAATCTCTAAGGAACGTGTATGCATACACATGCTTATACTGTAATTATGTATTTTTTTTTTGAAGTACTATGGATTTCCACGACTTTATAGAAGATTTGCAGAATTTAACCGAAGAGTGACCTCAGACAGACAGGTCATTAGAAGGCGACAAGAAGCCATGAAATTTGTATTTAGAATTCCAAACAAGATTGTAGCATATTTCAGGTAGGTTTGTATTGATTTTGGTTCTGTTTATTACGCTGTACAAGGTGGTTCTAACTTTCGAGTCTGTGGATGAAATCCTAAAGTGTGACCATTCAAATGAAAGCTACTGAGCAGTACTTTCCTGTGGTACTGTTTATTATGCTGTGCAAGGTGATTCTAACTTTTGAGTCTGTGGATGAAATCCTAAAGTGTGACCATTCAAATGAAAGCTACTGAGCAGTACTTTCCTGTGGTACTGTTTATTATGCTGTGCAAGGTGATTCTAACTTTTGAGTCTGTGGATGAAATCCTAAAGTGTGACCATTCAAATGAAAGCTACTGAGCAGGACTTTCCTGTGGTATTGTTTATTATGCTGTACAAGGTGGTTCTCACTTCCTTGCTTTAGTAAAAAACATGCCCCTCTGTAAGAATAATCACACCATTGCACAAGCATTTAATATAGAAAAACTTTCAGTCCTCAAGTGACCGACTCAAAACAATTTTCTAAAAAATCTTTTTCCTCCACAGAAGAAGAAAGAGCATCAGATGACAAAACGATTCTCAATGTGACAATAATATTCCTTGTATACTTGGAAAATTTTGTAAATAATTTCTTGGACAAAAAGTATTCATTATCATCTGCAGAAATGTAAATAAACACAACTGGATGTTTTGTTGCAGCCAAATTTGTGGTAATAAACTATAATCTGTTCTCATTTTTGTTTAATTTGTGCCCGTGCAGGATTGAGAAAGGCTTGCTTTGACATTTTATTTGCCCAGAACCACTGCTTGCTTGTCCGAGGGGGGGGGGGGTACTCCTGGGAATTCTTGACCCGACACTATTTAAGCTTAAAAAATGTCATTTTCCACACCCGTTATCAGACCTGGCCGTTAAGCAGAAATTATGTTATAACTACTTAGAGCGCAAACAAAAAATTTCTTCAAATGCATTTCGAATTCACAAATTTCTTTTTCTTTCATATTCATCTGGAATTGAAATGATAACTATGTCCATACACTCCCTTAGTTCCCTCGAAAACCATTTACCAATTCCAGACCAAAATGCTAAAAAACCATACCCTTTGGGGTGATGCATATCTATAATTATGGCTTATATAAGGGAAAACCCTTGGGCTGTTTGTCTTATTTAATGGTTCAGTTGGGGCCTGTTTACATGGAGGTGTGGGACACCAGATAGGTGAGGTAACATTTGGAGGGTCACCACACCCATCATGTAAATGTGATCATATTAAAATGAGAGACAGACGGGTTACCCCACCTAAGCAGGTTACCTCACCTACCTGGGGTCCCCCACCTCCATGTAAACAGGTTCTAAGAAGAGAACTTGTCTTACTCCCTGGTCCATTGGACAAATGAGCTTTTAAAACATTACTTGCCCAGCAAGACCATTTACTTGTCTTGGACAATCAGGCGGGACTTAAATTAATAAATTGATACCTTATGACCAGTTTGATGCTACAACTTTCATATGTAGGATCTAAAACCGTGAATAAAATAGATGAAAACTTAAACATCTGAATGAGTTGGGCATGATTACACTGTACTTAATTTTGTATTTGCTAGGGTGTTTTTACCTGGTTCAATAGTCATCAGGGAATTTCCACTTAAAGTATATTATGTGATTTAGTGGCAATTATTGCAACATGTTTGAGTGTTTAGTAATTCCCCAGGGGGGGAGGGTACTGCCATATATGGGCTATATAGGTATGTGCCGCTGTGAAAGGTATGGTTTTCAAGCAGTTTATTCTAGGATAGGGTGTAAAAATCAGAGCTTTTGGGTCCAGAATGGGGTACCATTTTTCAGGAAACTGATCAGTTGGTTGAAGATTTTATCTAGACTAGGGATTGTGGTATAAGGTTTTGTTTTGGCTAGACTGTGCTAGTGACCTCTGTAGTTTCTGGAAAACAGCTACCTTAGGATAGGGGGGATTTGGGGAGTTTACTCTAGTACAGGGTAGCAAAATCCAGGGTCCCAGCGGCACATCCCCACCCAGAAATTCCTAAATGAACTGACATGAACACGCTTGATTGCTTTGAGTTTTGTTTTTGTAAGCTAGTTTACGTACAAGTTTTCTCTGTGGTTGAAAAACGATTGGTCAATTTTCAACAAGAGAGTAACTAACAAAGAAATCAACAACAAATCAACATGTATGAGGGAAAGATTATTGAAACAATGCAAGTTTGGTAACAAGTTTGAAAATAAAACCCATTTACTCCTCTAAATTGGTTTAGATCAACAATACATATTCACTGGCAATTTAATGGCTTAGCTTTGATTCCTGGAAAATATTAGTAGGTCGTACGTATTTGTTGAGGTCAGTGTGTGAGCTGGAGTATCGGTAGCCAAGGATAGTTGATTTTTTTGTCTCATAAATTTTTATTGCTCAAAATAACTAAACTGATTGCAAATAACCGTGAGTTTATTTCACAAGTTTCACTGAAATACAATATACAGTTCTTATTTGAACGCAAAATTAATAAATTACATGACACATTTTATTTACATTTTGTACAATTATAAATACATAATTCAATACTTATTTCTTAACTTACAATGCGTAATATATATCAAAAGCTTACGAGCGGGAAATGTAAGCAGTGCTTTCGCTGGCATCGCATCCTTGCATTGCGCATTTACAATGTAAAAGAAGGTGATTTTTGTAAACTAAAATTTGAGTCCGTGCCACGGTAATCCTTTAACATGAACTAGTTAAAAAATTGTCATGCATCGTCTTGACGCACCCCTCCGTTCTTACTATCTCACCTGTGTCCTTATAAACGCGTTTTTACCGGTCGGAAATGTCATTTCATTTATCTCAAAAGCGCATTATTTACGCTCTCTGGTACTCGGGCTCGTCGTGAATCGAGGTCAAGGTGCGCAAGGCAGCTCTGGAAGCGCCCTTATTTCCAAGCTAAACATTCTCATGTTTCGGTATGAGGCAACTATAAGCAACGTCTCAACGTTGGACGATATCAATGATTTCGTGTTTACTAAGTGGGGTATCGAAACGGAATATACTGCACTTTTATTGCACAACACAGACTTTGGACCGAGTATTCGGTTTTTGCAGAGCTGTCAAAGTCTTCTTCTTAAAAAGAGCTGCTTCCCCTGAAAAACGAAAAGATATGGATATAGATTAAAATAATACTTCCGATAAAAAAATATAAAAATTTGTTGCCTAGTTTCGGTACTATAAAGGCTCCAGACGTACCTTTCCCTTGTGAAATTAATCTTGCCACACAAAGGAACTCGAAGAAATCAACAGTTCCTGAGTCGTCTATGTCAACTTCTAACATGGCTTCCTGTAAATAAAATGCCAAGTTAGCATTTTAAAGCGTAAGGCGTAAAATGTTACAAGTTTGAGGATAATTTACCAAAAACGATGAGATTTTCGTCAAAAAAACGAGAATGAGTGTTTCATCTGATATCCAAACACGAGAAGGGAAAAAAAACAAACAAGTGACCATTGAAATGAAACCTCTTTTAAAGTACTTTTGCTTGGGCTTATTCGTTTAGGGGTATTCATTTTTGAGGATTTTAGGTCAGTTTTAACCAACAGCCTTTAAAAGTGAAGGGATGACGAAGCGCTGTTTATTAACCTTTATCTCTTCTGTAGTGGCCATCCTACCCAGCGTATCCGGAATGGCTCGTAAAAGCTGTTAAAAGAAGAAAGCGATAAAAAGATCAGCACTTCCCGTTAGTACTGTCTGAGTCTCTGGATAGTAATCAATTACGTTTTGCCATTCAAATCAAAGCGACTAATAGCCTATTCAGTGGCGGATCTAGGGGAGGGGCCCGGGGGGCCCGACCACCCCCCCCCCCCTTATTGTCAGACCAAACTGAGGCCCGAAGGGCGTAAAAATTTTTTAAGACCGGGCTCCCAGTTATCTCAGGGTCCGGATGACCGGGCCCCTCCCGTATCACAAGGTCTGGATCGGCCACTGGGAACCAAAATGTGTTCCCGCATTTGTTCTGGGATTGTAACTAGGGAAATGCCGGTCAACTATTGGCCAACGTTTTCCCCTGTTCCTAGTAACAGTCCCAGAAGTCTTGGAAAAGGTAACTCGTCCTATTTTCTTTCTCGGTTCTAATGTGACGAACGGTTGCATTGTTTCCATTCATTTATTTCTTGAAATTTCAATATTCTGCATGCCAAAAATTGAAATTTCAAGATTCCGCATGTCAAATCTCGAAATTTCAAGATTCTGCATGCCAAATCTTAAAATTTCAAGATTCTGCATTTCCCCCTCCCTTATTGTTAGACCAAACTGAGGCCCGAAGGGTCTTAAAATTTTTTTTTGAGAACAGGCCCCCACTTATCTGAGGGTCTGGATGACTTGGCCCCTTCTTTATGTGAAGGTCTGGATTGGCCACTGATATGGATGAGTCCGTGGATGAAATTTCATATTGTGATCTTTCACATGAAAGCTACTGAGCAGTACTTTCCTGCGGTACTGTTTATTATGCTGTACAAGGTAGTTCTAACTTTTGAGTCTGTGGATGAAATCCTAAAGTGTGACCATTCAAAGGAAAGCTACTGAGTAGTACTTTCCTGCGGTACTGTTTATTATGCTGTACAAGGTAGTTCTAACTTTTGAGTCTGTGAATGAAACCCTAAAGTGTGACCATTCAAAGGAAAGCTACTGAGCAGTACTTTCCTGTGGTACTGTTTATTATGCTGTACAAAGTGGTTCTAACTTTTGAGTCTGTGAATGAATTATTATAACGGTGTGACTGTTAAAAGTCACTGAGGAGTACTTTCACGTGAAGCTGTTGTTTACGCTGTTGGACAAGACGGTTTTTGCTTTTTGTGTTGTATATAATGGCGATTAAATTTGACGTAATTTCGTCAGTTTTACTACGTAGTATTTTTCTAGTTTCCTTACGCTTTTGTGAATCTTACCTCTTGGGTATCGAGATTGAAATCATCGTTTGTGTCAAACCTCTTAAATTGTTCAAACATTTCTTGAATCTAACGGAAAGAGAGAAAGAAAACTTTACTATACTCTTATGAAAGATGGGGTTTCGTGTAACAGGCACATTAGAATGCTTGAAAACCTTGAAATGATCTTCTCTCCGTTACACACTGAAAAAACACCGTACTAAAAAATAACTAAAATTTGGAAGTTTAATGATCGGCTTACATCTTTCTCGCTCCACTCGGGGAAGTGCTCGATAGCTTCCTTTAGTAGCGGTTTACCGATTTTTGTATCCACAAGCTGAGGATGTACACCAGTCACTAAAAAATGCATAAAAACCTTTTGTACAATGAGTGCAGTAGTGATCAAGGGACAATTGGGGTTTGGAAATTTTCTGCGGAAACCAGAAAATTTCCATAAATACTCTCACTTTCAAAACGAGGCTAAGTGCAAAACCTCTTTTGTGATAATGAGTTAAATTTGCTTTCATTTTCTATCAATGGCTTTGCACTTAGCCTCGCTGTAAATTAGAGGATTGGGCAACTCGGAAAAGGCTTATTAAAGATCAGGATGATTTGCATTTACTTTATTAGAGCTGATAAAAGTATAGAGTGTTTTCACATGACGTCACGGCGGCCATATTGGTGTCCCAAAACAATGAAACGGCGGCCATGTTGGTGTCCCAAACCAGTCCTCTGGGAGTTGAACTCTTTTCTTATGTGAACGCCTTCTTTTGTTCCAATAAATTTGCATAGATGCTCGCCACATGAGTCAAAACACTCCATAGCCCAGGGTCAACTCTTATATTTGCATCAACTTCAGAAAATACTTTTCCTTATAAACCTCTTTCGCCTGACGTCACGTTCACAACAGATCCGCCATTCGCCACTTAGAAACGAGAAGGGGACTGGAGCCGAAATGCTATGAACGCGCAATTAGCCCATAGGCCATTTGCACGATGACGTCATTTTGCTACTACGACCAGAATCCTTCAGAGTTTTGCTTTCTTGTGCAAATTAAGGCTTTTGTTATTTAAACCTCGCTGGGATTTCCAAATTTAAATATGAAAGAAAAAGCGAAAAGTATTCTGGTCGTAGTAGTAAAATGACGCCATTGTGCAAATGACCTATTTTTTTCCCTGTCCCTAGTAACAGTTCTAGAAGTCTTTGCGAAAGTTAACTCAGCCCTAAGATTCCTTCCCGTTTCTGATTTGCCGCGTGTTGGTGTCCCAAACCAACGAATTCTTTCGTTGCAATGGAGCGTTTTCACATGACGTCACAGCGGCTATATTGGTGTTCCAAAACAATGAAACGGCGGCCTTGTTGGTGTTCCAACAGTCCTGTGGGAGTTGAACTCTTTTCTTATGTAAAAACTTTCTTTTGTTCCAATAAATTAGCATAGATGCTGACCACGTGAGTGAAAACGCTCTATAGATTTGAAAAGTCAACTTGAAACAGATCATAGTGGAAGCTCCGCAACAAAGGCCCCATTTACACATATCTGGATATTTTTGAAAACGGAGATCTTTTTGCTCCGTTTTCAAAAATATACGCGTTCACAGGTAGCGTATTCGAATCGTTTTCGCCCGTCCATAGAAAACGTTAAACAATGGAAAAGTAATGCTGGTAGTAAATGATGAATGACATCATCGTTTTCGAAAACTTCCGTTTTTGTCCGTCCACACGTAAACGAGAAGCCAGTGTTTTCAAAAATCTTCAGTCTGGAGGACGTTTTTGAAAATATAACGTTTTCGGTGACCAAAAAAATCTCCGGTTTCAAACAAAAACGGATACTTGTGGACGGGGCCAAATAATGCGGTATTTTCAACTGTTGTGCAATCTTCTTGTTTTGATAATTAAACGTTTGTGATGCTCGTGAAATCTTGTTGTTTTGTTAATGAAATGTTTGTAGTGCACGTGCAATCTTGTTGTTTTGCTAAACAAATGTTTGTGATGCACACCAAAGAAAACTTGTTGTTTTGCTAATTAAACACTTTTTGAACACGTGCAAGCTTTTTGCTTGCTAGTTAAACGCAATGCTAGAGCAAAAGAAGAGCTTGAATGTGGCTTAAACGGACACACATAAAGGAAACGTCAATTCTGTGTATCTTAAAATTGAATGAGGCAGCGGAGACGCAAAAATGAGGTAGTTTTGAGTCCTTTAAGTATGCTTTGGAGGTTGAAGGTGTTTTTTCATTTGCGACAAAAATTATAAACCTTTGAGTGTGGAGAAGTGTGGAATTTTTTCCAACTTAATTTTGATTAATTCTAAATGCTTAGTTTACCTCGTCAAATCGATACAGAACCCGTCAAATTACAATTATCTTTTCTACCTCATAATTCTTTATGTTTTGTACCAATATGAGAATGCTTTTTCGTATTTCCATACAAGCTCATAAATTTTGCCGATCTCATTATTATTCAGAATGTGAAACAGTTTCATTTATGCTCTCCTCAAAAGCTTGGGCAGCCTGTGAAGTTGGGAAAAGAATTGTTTATTGAAACAGGAGTGTTTGGTAAGTATGTTTCCTTTTAATTAGAAGAGAACGTAGTAGCCTGCAAAGAATATGGCCATCTCCCCTACTTCCTCGCCGCCCGTAATGAGTCTCTATTGGTGAGGAGTAAGGAAATACAGCTGTATTCGCAGTCTAGGAAAGTAAAGTAGTCTTGTTTTTAGCTAAGTGAAAAGACCTGACTACTGGTAGTAGCCCATGCTGGGGAAGTACTCACCCTTTGATGATTTTGATTTCGAAAACTTTCTGGCATAATTAGCCTTTGCGCTCGGTGATCTTCCCTCCCTCCAGCCAGTTAATAGAGGATGATTGATGTCGACCCTGCAGTTCACAGTCAAAGAAAAAACTTTTAGTCATTCTCATTACGTCTAAAAACTTTTCTACTTCTAATAATCTTAAGCTGCAATGCAGGACAAAAGTGTTGAGAATGGCGCCTTTTTTTGCGTAGTGGACATATCTTTGTCCCCTCCCCCTTTGTACTCCCCCCTCCCCCCAAACTAGTATTGTATTGAAAACCCTCAAGTATTTCTTCAACCACAAACAACATTGATTCAGGGGTTGGGTGGGGGGTTTTATGGCGTTTAAACCGTATTAGAGTATAATCAATGAATGAAATTGTTTGATAAAAGCGCGCGTTTTAGACAAGTGCGTCAACTACTTATGTTACTGATTATGGCTCCGGCTTATTTTATCATAACGCAGCGCTAAAAGCGAACAAATTCAAAAGATTTACGTCAATCGTCCAATACTTCAAAACATATTGATCAATTGACGCCACGTAAAGACACGAGCCCGGCCGCTCAGCTGCTTTGGCAGTGCATAGTTGGGGAAAATAGCAAGAGAATTTTCAAATAATTCCTGTTAATCACTCTTATTTTACCTGAACTCAGTGTCTTCTACTTCCTGTAAGTACGATTCTAAATCTTGAAATGGTCTTGAGAGTTTTTTACCCAACGGATGACCACTCAGATCCTTAAAATGAGGAAAAAGTTAATAATTAATCGAAAGGTTGCTTAACGGCACAAAATAACCATTGTTGCGACAAGGTAATGAAAACTACTCTCTATCGCGGAAAATTTACATTTACCTCGTTTATTCCAAGATAGTGAGATGGTAATGTCGCTCTAAATTCCGTCAAAGTTCCTAAAAGAATATAAACTTCATAGCTCAGTGGATTTATTAGGACACGAGAAACTTCGTGTTGGCCCAAAAAGTATCCTTATACAATAAAGCACCTTGAACTATGAGTCGGTAGAGAAAATGTGACCCAGTCCCGTCGACTAATTATAAAGTATTGGGTTAGATTATCACCATATTGCTTTTCTTGCCGTAGGCCCATTTTAAAAGGCCAGGTGGAGTGTGATAGGATTTAATAGCGCTCCTAATTATCCACCCTAGTTAATTATGATAATAATAACGGTGATGATGATAAAAGGTGACATTTATTTAGCGATAGTTCTGTGTAGTCCATTAGCACTTTACAATCCTTTACGACGTCTCTCTTAGAAACGCCAGAATGAAGGAGCAAACATAAATCTCCAACGCTTGCCGCTGAATCAAACTCTCACTCACCTTCTTTTGCCGCCACATACATTTTATTCAGCATGGACGCGTACGCCTTTTGATCTTTATTGTAATCTCTAACAGTTAAATGTTGTCGTTCAAGCATAATCCTACAATATAATAAACATGTTTGAGAATTGCGTTAAATTTGCTTTGTTACAGACGGCAAACGTCTAAAAATAAGCTCTAATTGTATTCTTAAAGGCCTGTCTTTACTCGCTCCATGTAAGGTCATCCAAGACGGACTATACGCCACACGTCACTTGCACATCTCCCATAATGCACCTTATCCCCCCCCGCTCCCCCCAAATTCTGCAAAACCTTTGTTTTTCATTTCTCCTGGGTATTACAGCCATCCCTGGAGAAATTGAAAACAATGCTTATTCAAAATTTTAGCGGGCAAATAAGGTGCATTATGGGAGATGCGTAAGTGGCGTATGTTCTGGAATCCACGCTGTGGATTCCGGATTCCAGGTACTGGACACCGGATTATTTCAGTCTTTGAAACTTGGATTATGGATTCTAAAGACCAGGATTCCTCATTCCACAAGCAAAAATCTCCTGCTGTTCGGATTCCCACATAAAAATTCTTTCGATTCAGGAATCCGAATACCCTTACATGGGCGACTCAACATACCCCCCTTCGGTATTTTCTATAAAAAGAAATTGTTCCCTTTTTGTCTGACTTCCACTCTTATCCTGTCACTCTTTTACTGCTTGATGGTTCGTCAAAAAAATTGCTGAAAACAGCATCAGAAGCAACAACAAATAAGAAAAATCAAACGAAGGAGGAGGTTAATTTGACATAAAAACCCAGAAGCCCTGCAGTCAATGCTGAGGAGGGAGGGGGGCTTGAAATCTCGCTCCGGAGACGCAAGTTTGTTGGGGAAGGGGTATGAGGGCATCCTCCCCCAGAACACTTTGAAATATAGAGGCTCCGAAACATTCTCAATAAATTATTTCTCTAAAAAAATCGCAACATGGATAAGGTGTAAAATGACAGGTACTACTAGCGCTTACAGCATGTACCTTCTTCTTAAACAAAAACATTTTTCCTTTAGAAAATTGGAGTGGTAACTGCCCCCACAACCTCCCCGGCTCCGCCGTCCCTGCATATTTTTTTTTTATCTGTTGTAATCCACCCTTCGGATTATTACCTGAAGTCTCTACTAAGTCCGCTAATAAATCCTACATAGTATTTTTGTTGCTTTTGAATCTCTCCTTCTGCTACAACTAATAACTGAAAACAAAATTAATTGTTATGGTGTAAAAAAAAAAACAAACAATAAACTGACAAAGTATTTCTGATTATTTCTACCACGTCGGAATTTTATTGAAATGCCACATTTTTAAGACTTATTGTCTCTGCACTTAGTGCATCTCTTCAGTCTACGTCCTGTTGCCATCGTTTTTTATGCTTTAGGCAGCTATTAATGTCTAGACGAAGAGGTGCAACATTTGGACTCTTGTTTGTCTTCTCTCTGGAGATTTCGACCACAAATGTTGCCCAAAACTGCATTTTTGTTATCTTCAAAAAGGTATATTTTATTAAATTTAAGCTATTTTCTAGTCCCGAGGGTACCAAAAAATTCGAAAGCTGACCTAGGCCTGTACACCCCTCTCCGTCCAAAAAGTGATACCTTCATGCAATTCTCCCTTCACATATGATTTTTTACTTTGCGTAAACAGTTCTTTGTCTATCCGTCCTTGGTTCTTTCGCCCTTCTGTCTGTCCGTCTATCCCTCTTTCAGTCTCCCTGCAGTCTGTTAGTCGAACTGTCCGTCCGCTTAAACTGTTGGTTTATCTATCTACCTGCCCTTCCGTCTGCTGGAATTTCTGTTCTTATGTTGGGATGTCGGCTTCACAATTATTGTTTGTTTGCTCGCCCGTACGTCTGTATTTCCTTCTTAGTTTTGTCATTTTTATATCGACCAACACAGTCGAACCTCTAATGGACACCTCCCATGCATGGGCGGACAAGGTGCTAGCCACATCAGAACACCGCATTTTAAATCGTCCTTAGACCTCAGTCTGGACTATTTTCTAACAAACTGGCTCTTTTCGGTGGGAAAAAAGAAAAGAACACAAAACACATACCCTATCTTTAAGAAATAATTGTTGTTGTACTTTTTCCAACTCACCCGGAGGAATATTACCGACTGAAAGAGAACAAGAATATACCAAATTGAGAAACAATTAAATTCGTGACTAAATTGCACAAAAATTACGTGCAGATAAAACAAAAATACATTAATCCCTTTTAGTGTTTCTCTGTCGATAAGCGCTCACCAAAAATAACCAAATCCGCAGTACAGAATAATTTCGTAGCGATCATATACCATGGTGATCATAATATAATCTTACTTAAATTTTCAAAGAATATATAAGGCGTACACGGTGGCACATTGCTATTGTATTTTAAAATAGAGAATCGCTTACCACCACCACCATTAGATCGTATCGTTCCGTTTTTGACGTGCTTTTCCAGTTTTAGATATTTAACTTGATCCATTAATTCCTATAAGGAAAGGAAATAGGAAAGGAGTAAAGGAAGCGATGTTCTAGCCAAGTAACAATACGTTAAATGGGCCAGTTTTTAAAGGAAAAGAATGTGAAAAGAGACATGAGCTGGAAACGCTCTGTGCTTCGTAAAGAGAAGCTAGAGCCGTTTTTTGGCTTGGGCCTGCATTGCTGAAATGTAGCTTTCGTCGAAAGGCAAGTTGTTTGAATATGGAGATATCGCTGTCTTCTTTAATCATTTAGTTAACTGCCTACCACTGCAAACTGATGAATTAAATATCCCATACCATTATTCTCTGATTTAGTCGTGATTTAGTGTCTTCCAGTTGTGTTTTTGTTTCTTTAAGCTCCTGGGCTAACTTCTCTTCACTGAAAAAAGGAAAAAGACGAACATACGTTTGTATATTGGGAGTAATGTCAACTGTGAAAATCTGTTTTCTGCGTCGGGCTCTGTTATTCTCTTGCAGTCTTGCTAGATCTTTTTTCGTGCACCGTAAGGTGAAAAGAGTCACTTCAGCGGTCACTTTCGAACGAAATCTATTTCCGCGAAAACAAAAGTAAAACTGCAAAAATGTCGCCAAATGTTCACCTCTTTTATTATCAACAGACAAGCTTTCAATGGAGAAATCGCGTCCTCAGGCCTTATCTCAGGCCTTATCTTAAACTCTGTTGTCCTCAGTCAAACCGAATCATCATCCCAACTTTGCGCAAAGGTGTCATCGCAAGAGACTCATCCCTTGCCAGACTTCGCGCAAACATAGGCAAAAGAGAAGGTTTAGGAACTGAGTGCGTCCGTCTTACCATGAAGCACTGAGCACTTACGGTTTACTTAGTGATTACCTTGATTGTACATCCTTTATTAGTTTGGCCTTTTCCCTTTGCCATAAACTAACGGTTCCTTCTCGTTGAAGCCTGGAAAATATTTTCACAGTAAAGTATGAGTTTCATAGATAATATTTCTGTATTAATTTTTCAAGTCAATGAGTTCAATACCAATGCAGGAAGATTCAGTCTCCACAATACAAATGTAACTTACTGTTGAATTTGCTTTGCTCGGTCCTCTAATTGTTCCTCCAACTTCCTACACGTGGCTATGACAGTATTCTTTTCTGCTACAGCATACTCATGTCTAAAGAGAAAGAAAGCAAAATTAACTGTTCGTCACAATTAAGAATTGCATTTTAACCCAATGTACAAGGCGACCCAACATCATAACCCAAAACTGGCTAATTACAGCCAAAAGGCACTTTCCTTTTTAACTGCACCAAAAGAGTCGGCCCTGAAGGAGACGCGGTGTTAGTTTTAAGGGACATTTAGTCTACTTACTTTTGTTGTTGATGCATGGACTCGGTTTGTTCCCGCTGCAAATCAACTGTAAAATAAAGCGGTGGTTGATCAGTCTATCATTTGCAATAAAAGGAATACGGAGCCACCAAGTAAATAAGAAACAAAAGCATGCGCATTTTACACGTTTTTACAGCTTGAATCGATGACTAGGTACTTCAGTACGTCTCGATGTATGGTACGAAATACCCTACTAGAAACATGGAAAAAGGTGTTTTGAGCGGCACCACCAGTACCATCATCATCATCATCATCATCGACAACAACAACTGACAACATCGTCATCATCGTTGTAATCACTAGCACTACCCCGACCATCGCCACCACCACCACTACCATCATAATCCCATCATCATCATCATCATCATCAAAAACAACAACAACAACATCGTCATCATCATTGTAATCACCAGCACTACCTTCACCACCACCACCACCACCACTACCATCATAATCCCATCATCATCGTCATCATCATCAACAACAACAACAACAACAACAACATCGTCATCATCATTGTAATCACCAGCACTACCTTCACCACCACCACCACTACCATCATAATCCCATCATCATTATCATCATCATCATCAACAACAACAACATAGTCATCATCGTTGTAATCACCAGCACTACCTTCACCACCACCACTACCATCATAATCCCATCATCATCGTCATCACCATCATCATCAACAACAACAACAACAACATCGTCATCATCATTGTAATCACCAGCACTACCTTCACCACCACCACCACTACCATCATAATCCCATCATCATCATCATCATCATCCCTTCATCAACGCTTTTTATTGTCAGTCTCACCATGACAAACAAACATAATTAACTTACGTTTGAGTTTCATATTTTCTTTGGACAGAAGTTGCTCAGCTTTTGTTTTATCCTAGAAAAACATTGAAAATGAATTATGTCAGCTAAAATCAGAGTGACGAAAGCTTTATAACTTGTTCTTCAAAATTAATAACAATCATTTAATAAGATAAAAAGGAATAAATGACGCTTTACGTCCTTACCTGAATATACTGAATCATACTGTTCCTTAAATTTTCCAAACCTTCCGAAACGTGGTTTACATATTGGATATAAAATTTATCTGAAAAGAAGATGACACGAGAAAATTATGCTGCTGCTGCTGCTACTACTACTACTACTACTACTACTACTACTACTACTACTACTACTACTACTACTACTACTACTACTACTACTACTACTACTACTACTACTACTACTACTACTACTACTACTACTACTACTACTACTACTACTACTACTACTACTACTACTACTACTAATAATAATAATAATAATAATAATAACTATACTATAGATGAGCAAGTCAGTCAACAGAAAATGAACTGACTGACAACATTCCTTTAACTAAATGGGTGCCCTGTTTCCATAAAGTTTACTTTGGATGTCTCGAAACAGATACGGTGTAACTTTGCACGATAATGGAATTCTGAGACCACCACACAAATTAGAATAGTTTGCAAAATGAATTATTTGGGTTACAAATCTGCCTATGAGTAGATCAGCTGGTGGTCCACTGAGAGACAGTTAAATCAAAAGTCTATATGGGCTGGCCGAGGAAGAATTTTTATTCACCTCCTACCAATCACCAGTAGCCCACGTTCTATATATTAAAATTCTAACATGACTCCGACGTTTTCTGGCGCTTTTCTTTGTGCTCAAGTCTCTTTTGGGAATTGCGAGACAATGGAGTCTTGAAACATTTGCAATTTTGACCCTAAAGCCTCTGAGTCATGTTAGAATTTTAATATATCTCGAACTTTGGCTATTTCCCTTTGGTTTGAAGTTTTCACATGTAGATGTCTCGCCTTTGTGGCCTTTTTCAAAGAACGGTCACCCGTCTACGGGAGGATTTGAACTCGGTTGTACCTCAAAACAACCCAATATATTTGTGAAAAGCGAAGGTTAAAGTCAGGACCTCTGAATTTCAGGCCTACCACCGTAACCATACGATTGAAAAGAATTCGAGCTACAAATGTCTAAATAATGCGTTTACTGTACCATATTCTTGTGCATCTGTAAGATTCTCTGTGTCTTGGAACAAATCCACTTTCGGGGGCTCTTTCTGCGAACAAGGAAAAATTCCTTTTAAAATCATTTTCAAGGATGCTTTGCTTTTATAAAGTTATTATGACAGCGAATTGATTTTACAAGAAATAACGTATACCGTCTACTACTATGTAACTTTGTTACCTCAACTTGTTCTTGAAGAGCTTTAAGCTTCTCTATTTCCTGAAAGAGATACATCGTATCATTTTAATCACATTGTGCATGCACACAGTTCGGTCCTACGAAACGTTTCACCTTGTAAAAACACTTCTTATTGTAGCCTTAACTGATTAACAGTACTTCCAATTTAACAAATAAAGAAGCCTTGGCTGTGTTCTGTTCTATTTTAAGCACGCAGGAAGCGGCTATAGTACGAAAGAATTATAGGTGGAACCAAGAGACGTAGTTGAGTGTTCAGTTCTCTCTACTTCTTGAATGCTCTAACCGCTTCCTAAGTGCTTTACAACAGAACAGAGCACAGTCAAGGCGTCTTAATTTGTTTTGTGTTGAAGAATCCATCAAATTCCCCACCCATTGCTTTCTAATTTTCAAAAGAAAATTTTTGGCAGATTACGTGATGGCTTTAGCTCTGTGTTTTATACTCTCATAAAACACGCTTTCTCAACCAATCAGAGTGTGCGTTATATCTGAACTTGATTACAAAATCTATTTAAGTATGAGCACTGGAAAGTGATGGAAATTTTACCAAGTGAACGTAGAGAAGGGACATAAAAAGCTCAAATTCACTCCACCCCCCTCCCTTAAGGTGATGTTACTACGATTTTAAGCGCAACACAGCGTAGCAATATTAGAACAATGTTGCAATCATTCGAAACAACGTCACAACAATATTGTAATGCTGTGTTGCGCTATCGTCGTTGCGAATCGTCTGGTGTACAATCACCTTTACTCTTAGGATTAGTCTTACCACGTCGAGTTTTCTTTTAGCTGACTCGCTGGTTGGGTTGTGATTAAACTCGATAACTTTGTCAAACAAATCAAACATCTAAAGGAAGGGAAAGAGAAAAACGATTGACTCGTTACAGCGATTCTGCAGTAATGTAGTGCGGTTTGAATAAAAAAATTCATTAACAATCGACAGTACAAGTATTTGAAAAATTCTTGGTTTATTAAGATAGCAAGTTAATTAAGCCTTAATATAATGTGAGGTTTAGGTATCTGCAGTTTAATCGAAATGGGCTACATCACGTGCTACAACACGTGCACCTGAGACAACCCTTAAAGTATACGGTACTTGTAATGGTGTTCTATAAAACTGTATATTTTGTGTATATTACCTGATGAAATTATAGATTTGCGCATAAAGCTCGTAATTTACCCGTGAAGATGCGGATTAACGGTGGTGGATATAGTTTACTCACCCTTACATCGGAACTTTGCTTTCTCCGACTACGACAGAAACATACCTGGGTGAACATTTGCTTACTGAAAGTTAGAATTCCAGTGAAAGCTTGCATTCTTGTTCATTTACGATTACATTTAGGTCCAGAAATCACACAAAAACAAATTAAGTTAAGAAGCTTACGTTCTTTTGAATGTGAAAATACTTCACGGTGGCCTAAAATGCAAATTTCACGGTAATATGCAGTTATTAAGTTACATTTTGGTTTGCAAGAAACCCTGATGCGTTAGTGTGGAAGTCATGGGGTGATTATACAGTAGACAATGATGTTATTTGTAAAAGAGCAATAACAAGTACAATGGACACATGAGATTAGTCTAATTCAGTTGTCAGTCCATAAAAGTGGGTTTTATTTTTAGAGGCCAAAGAGGCCACTAAAATGCTCAGTAATTCTGGCTTAAGACTGCGCATGCGTAACCAGTGCTAGTGTCAAAATCATATCCCATTCTCGTTCCCAGACCTCGTCGTTTCTTCTGGTCATGATTCTCGGCACCAGAAACTCGAGTCTTATGCTTAGCCACGCGCAATAGAGGAGAGAAGAGCCTGGAGTCTAGGACGACTCACTCCTTTTCCTAGAGGAATAACCTGCGTCAGGCGATTTTTGTTTTGTTTTGGGGTTTTTTCCCCGCCAAAAAAGAACACAAAACAAATCAAAAATCGCCTGATCACAGGTTCACCGCTAGAGGAATATTAAAAGGTTCATTTTTCACCAAAAAACTTTAAAATTTTATTTATAAACTTTAACTTTTATTAAAGAACTGTTGACTCTTTTGAGGCAGTTCATCAAAGTCGTCAAGGACTGAAGACAAAGCTATAAGTGAACACTTTTCCCTTCACTAAATAAACGTGACGATTTAACTCCCCAGTTTATAAAGGATCGTCTCCTTGCCGAATCCGAGCTGAGCCAAAAATTAGCTAAAATTCTTTGACACAAGGTCTTCATTTAAAATTCCATAGTAGAGTAATCTATATGGTGATTTTAACGCTGGGGATGAGTATGGTACAAACGTTTTACCAGACATTTCTTCGTGAAACCATAGTTAACTATGGTGAAACACCTCGCCATTTGCTCAGAAGGAAGTTTTAAACCCGTTGTGTTTTTCTTCAGTCGATTATCAACGTGCAAAAAAGCACTAGATAACTTGGTGATGATTCTGAAGGATCTAAAATTTTTATCGGGAATTATCTGATCAAACTTAGCTTGCACTGTATCTGTGTAATTAATGTTTTTGTACGAGGAAACAACTCCGCCTGTCATAAGACCAATATCGCTAAGTTCGACCAAGTGCCATAATTTGTTACCCAAAATTTTAATGTGCCAAATCCTTCCATTTACTGGCGTCTTAATTGTGTATATCACGATAGATCTTGAAAAGCTTTTCGTGCAGCTGAGAAAATTGCAAATCGTATTTACTTTTGACAAGAACATAAGTATCCTTAACGTCATCGGAAATGGCATATTTATTTGAACACGACCGATATATCTTCGTAAAATTAAGTGAACCTGTTTTTTGAGCACGCACGAACTCACGTAATTTTAAGTGACCTAATATTTAAGGTGAATTGAATTCCCAGTTTATTTCTTAAAATTCTTAATAGCTCTATAAGATAAATTTTACAAAAGTCTGAGCCGTGTTGTCACTTTAGTAGTACGTGATTTGGACGTGCGTGCATTAGTTTGCTCACAAGTGTGCAACACGTCAATTCATTCATTCGGTAATGTCCACTTTCGAGCAATGAACGTGTGGGTGACATACTCAGTCCCTTTTGTTCGTTTTAGCAAGATATAAACCCAAATGATCTTTTGATCCTATTTGCTTTGATCATATTTTGACGTTTAAGGGATTATGCATATTTTATCTCAGAAGACAAGTAGTGTGTAACCGATTTGATAGTTTCGTCTTCCTTGTTTGATTAGGACTATATATCGTTTGCGTACACAATACGCAAGAGAGACAGCTTAACACCATAATAACTATTTCCTAAAATACTTCCCAAAAGCCTTTAGCGAGTGAGATTTAATAAAATAACTTACAGTTGAACTGTGAATAGCATATCTATGTTAATAAGACAAGAAATATCGAGTTAAGACGATAAACCACTTTCGACCTTTTTCGTCAATAAGGGACCACGCTTTGTTCAGTTTCTGCTTACATAAAACCGGGGAAAATTTTGAATTATATATCTATATAATTCATTTTAGAATACTCAATATATTTTCTTAAGTGTAAAGCAGTTGAATTCGAGGCTTCAAATCTAGTATCGCATCAATCCGACTAGGTCATCGGCCTTAAACTGGAAAATTTAAGAGGCCAAAATGTTGCTTAGCAATAAGTTAATGAGCAGATCACTGAGTCTCGCCAGTCGATATTGATTAAATAAATTCTGCTTGATTAAATTGTCAGTAGTCGAAATCAAGTTTTCCCCCTCTTTCGTATAAATATGGACTTATTTTGACAGGTAAAAATAGCTTTTACTTTCAGTTGTTTTGCACGAAAGTCGCAGTAACATTTGCCATTTAAGTCAGTGGTGCAGAAACGACCGTAATTGCCGGTTTCACACTTGTGCATCTCGCTCATTGTTTTCAAGTTTAGATTGCTTGAGATTTCATTTCCGATGTATGTTTAAATAAATGATTGAAAGGGCATAGTTACTCGATGTTTTCTAATGCAATCGATCTCTAAAATAGCTCGAATATAACCACAGGTTTCGACTGTCAAACGAATTTTAGTACCATAATGATTGTTCTTATTTCCCAAGTTTACGACTAATGTACGGTCCCCTGATGCCGTAATTACAGTACGCATTCAGATTATATCCCGTCATCTGAAAAGCACACTTTTCCTGCTCAGGTATAGAAAACATACAATCAAAATTTCTGGCTACGGATAGAATGCTCTTGTCGACAAAATAAGACGGAAGTTTAGTGATCCAAGCGGAGTTGTACTGACTAAAACCTTATCGCGTATTGAATTACCTTTACGACTCGCACTTTCATTTCTTTCGTCTTCTTCTTCATTTCCGCGGCTGAGGATTCATCCTGTAAGTCCAAAAACGACATTTTGAGGTTGCGTTTAATACAAGTAAAATAGCACGAAGTGTAGTGATCCGTAGAAACCACAGGCGGTGGAAGTGATTAGACCGTGCCGCGCCGAGAGACAACCAAAACAAGCACTTCTTATTTTCACTCACCTTCAGTGCGTTCACACGCAAAATTGTGGTCATTTTAACTCCTTGTTAATGCTTAGAAATAGTTCATCTCACAGCTATTTGTTGCCTTTGACAACATTTTTCCCGTTGCCTGGTTTCAGTAAGTTGTAAGCTATTCTTTCGCTGTGTACGATAACACAAAGCTACCATGGACGACTTATAACTCCATCTTTGCGGAACCGATTTTGACTTTTTACGATGATTTTCTGTCGTCCTGTGTCAACAAAAAGACATCTGCCCCTAGAAACAGCGTTTGTTATTAACTCGTACCTGAATATTAAAATGGCACGGGGGGTTTAGGTCAATATTCTCTTACTCAAAGGGAAGTTGACGACATGAGAAAAGAAATGCTTGATTGAAATTCATTTGTTATGTCTATTGTGCTGTTCATGTGTAAAAAGTTCTTTTGTCTTACAACTAACAAAGTACTTGAAAGTTTATTAATGACTTATTTAAATTGCAAAGTGAATACTGGGGCGGTCAACTCATAAAATCAGTTACTGAAATAGTCGGTCCGTACAGGAATATTAACAAAGTATTTTATTCTTATATAATTAAACTTTCTATATATTTCAAGGTTGATTCTTTTCTTTAATGAGCTGCTTGGTATTCTCCACATGAGACAATGTTAATAGAGCTTTTTTTAATTAGCTCAATAGTAGGGGTTAGCGACAAGGTTTCAAATCATACGACTTCAAACTTTTTAATATGTTTTTGTATGGCCAAAAAGCGGTTGTTAAAAATATCTGTTTGAAGTAAAAACAGTTTGCGTACTACTGGACCAAACTTTTTTAATGGTGAGACCTTCTGGCAAATTCTTATCTTTCGCACTTTCGCAAGGTAAAAAGTAGCAACGTTTATCAATCAATTCACGAGACTCTTCTCCGCTTTTAAAAATTGTTCTCACTTATAATAGAGCCAAAGTAAAAATTCAATCAGGAAAAGTTCCAAATTTCGTTTAATAAAATCCCCCAAAACAACTAACTGTTACACCGTGCAAAAATGTTGCTAAGGACCTCTCGTAGGTCTCAGTGTTTCAATCTGCGTAATGCCTCAAGTTTCTGAGTTCAGACCCAAGCCTCTAACTAGGAAATGACCTATATGAAAGACATTTTACAGGTCACAAATCTTAGTTATCCGCTAAAAAAACGCGCGATTAATATCTACTGATAATTAAAATAATCACCAAACTTCCGTTGTGATCCTTATCCAAATCATATCACGGAAATACGATCTTTAAGCCTCTGCACCTGAGCATTGCATTTTTGACGAACTCATAATTGGCAGTTTATGCGATTTCTTCCGGCTTCATTTAAGTGGCAGAGGGACGGACGGATCCAGCCTTGGCACATAACGCGGTTTCTTCCGGTGATTTTTTAGTATTTAAGGAAAAAAAAAATAAAAACAGACAACAAAATTTCATTGTAAATGGAATTCAAATTCAGCTAAAAAACTGGCACATCGCGATTCACGACTCTAATTCGTACTTCTGCAAAGGCTAAGTTATTTGGCTTTAGGTTTTGAATAAAGCGACAAAGCTTCAGTTAGTCGGCTTTAATGTGATGTGTAGACATAGGGAAGCGAATGATAACTGTCAATATTGTTTTACTAGTCATTTCACTGCGCTAAATTAATTTACGACAGGAGAGTAAAAAGTACTAGTTATCAGACTTCTCGACAGTTCTATTGATTTCTCTTCCGCTCGATCAGAGCGATGTGAATCTTGCGGTTGTGTGTTTGCAAAAGCTGCAACAGACGGAGTAGAGTTTATTCTTTATTACGATTTTACTTTTGTACCAGAAATATAGTTCTAGCTCTTCATCGGAAACCTGATTTTGGAGTTTAACTTTAAGGCATAAATATTTCTCCGTTTCCGATTTGCTCAAATCTCCCGGCTTATTCTTGATAAGCAGCCAGCGGAAGAAGTTTTGTGATATCCGGTGAAATGACGTAAATAGTCTAGGATATCGACAGAAAAATGCACGGCAACAGAGAGACCCTCGGACAGGTTATGTGACATCAGCTGTTTTGGGAGAGTTAAGGAAAATGGCGGAAAATTTTTACACGTTTTGCGAAGAACAGATAGCCAAACTACAAACATAGCACTGAAAAACAGCAAAAATACAACTCGACGGATGGTAGCTGCGCACTATTTGTAGACTATCTGCTACAGTAGAACCTCGATATAACGAAACTCTATGTGATGAAGTCTTCGATATAGCGAACGATTTTCCTCGCCCCAGTAATAGTAAAATATATGGAAAAGAACCTCGATACCGAACGAAACCTCGTTATAGCGTCGATCTTATTTTCATTGCCAGTTCCTTGGAACCCCGTCATATCGAGGCTCTACAACTGTAGTAAACATATCCTGATGTCCTTAAGTTGACGAGGAACAGTCAATAAACACGGGAACCTCATCGATCCAGCTAAGCATTATTTTACAGTAAGAATTATTTTGAATAAATCAGTAATAAAACAGTTATTGGGTTCAGTCTTCCTATGGTCTGAAGAGTTATCAGATCTCTGGGCCGAGGCCGATAACACTATCCTCAATCTGCATAATTCTACAAATCATACTCAGCCTCATAAAATAGAGAAAATTATCGGAAAAAGGCTTTTGAAAAAAGAAAGGGAACCCCGAATTTAAATATAACCCCGAGTTACTTAGTTTTTCGAAGTCGTATTTAGAACTGGTTGTTCGTAAATGCCTGAAACAGCCAAGGAATGTCGAGCGATTTAGAGTCCGAACTGCTTATTATAACTCAAGCAGTTTTTGTGGCGGTCCTGGATTTCACTATTGAGCTTTCGGAAAACATTTTGAATCTTTATTTCGCGTGCAGACAACGAGCAAGCAGTTGACAATTTCAATAATCCCACCGAGGATCTTTTAACCGACCTGTTTACAGATAAAGAACCGGCGAGGGATCACTACCGTTGGACAAGAAAATTCAGGCGAGGAATGAAGCAAGGCTACTACAAAACACAGAGGTAAACTACATGGAGTATACGAGTCCGGGATGGCTGAGTTAAAGAATGAAACGCCTCACCAATAAATGACAGCGACACTTTCATGGTAGCTCCGAACAGTGACATTTTAAAGACGCTGTGCAATTTCAAACTGTCGTCCTGGCAGTGAAAAAGCAATGAACTACCAACTGAGTAAATCTGCCCGAATGTGGTGTTAAAGAAAACACAGCTCAGTTTAATTTCAGTAATTGTAGCGTCGTGTTTAGCATTTCCTAGTAAACATTTGCAAATTTAGTCTTCATGAAAAGCTGATTAAAATGCGAGGGATTATGTATTAATATGCAAGGGAGATAAGTGACTTATCCCCCTTGCTTATTAATACATAATCCCCTTGCATTTTAATTTGCTGTTCATTTATGCCCGCTCTTCCCTCAACGCAATCAAAGCTGCTGCACCCAGCTTTTCAGACAGTTGATTCGGGGGTTATGTAATAAATTCCCCTGAAAAGGACAAAGGAATCCGAGCTCATGTAAAAATAAGTGCTAATAGGCCTTCAAACAACTTGGGCCAAGATTTTGGGTCGGGCAAGACGGTTTCAAAGAGGATTATATGCGCGAAGACTGAGCGGTAGAGGCTGAACCGTTTTTAATAATATATTTCTTAAGCTTAAAAACGATTAGGTTTGCAAATTTTGCGATTAGAGTCACCTGCAATGAGTCCACCAATAATAACATATAAAGCACTTATAAATAAATTTCTTAGAGTTAAACAACCTTTGTCAGTTAGTTTCCGCGCCAAAGCTGCGCCAAGCTACACTGTCATAACTTTTTTTTCAACTCCAAGACCCCTTTGATACGCGAAAGGCTTTTTGAATAATAGCAATTTAAGGATTAAGTTGTTTTAAAGTCGGATGTATATGACAAATGACCCCTCGAAACTTGAGAGTTTAAACAACCTTATCAAAGCGAACGTGACTACTCAGGCCTCAAGTTATCCTTTTCGTGTCAGAAACATGATACTCATAACTATCTAAATATATTGAAACATATTGTTTCTTGTTGTATACACTGAATGAAAAACCTCCTAACTACGTCAACTGTTTCAACTCCAGTACATATGCAAGTGCCATATATTCGCCGGCTTTCTGCTCAAATTCAAGTAAAATTTCGAACGATTATACGTTTTCCGCCTGTGGGTGTTCTAAATTAAGCGACAATTTTCTAAATTTTTATTGCGGAAGCATTTTCAGACATTCTTTTAATGAGGCTGAATTTTGAGACAATTTTTCGGAAATAGCTTTTAAGTCCAGAAAGTGAGACTCTTGCGTCTTTTTACGTAAATATTTTTTCTAGTAAAACATTTCAAAATTGTATACAAACTGCAAGATTGACCCCCGGAAGATAAAAATCAAGGACTAATTTGTGTTCAAAAGAGTGACAGGTTTCCTTGTTTAAGATGGCACTATAAACACATATACACTTAGCCATCATGGTCTCCACGAACACAGACCATACACTAAACAAAGCTTTCTTCACTAAGAGAAACGGACCAATGCTACTTATTAATCAGGAAAATGATTTCCGTGCATTTGGTATTGTCTTCAGTATTTTTTAGTCTAGTCCGGTTAATGGTTTGTTTATTTTGCGCCAGAGTTCGTCTGATATAACATGCATATTTTTACCATGCTTCTTGAATTGGCGATTTTGACTTTCATTGAGATATTCAAATGAACTCATAAATGTGGTTCTAAGTTTTGACTCTGTGAATGCAACGACTGAAATGAAAGCTATACTGAGCAGTACTTTCCTGTGGTACTGTTTATTATGCTGTACAAGGTGGTTCTAACTTTTAAGTCTGTGGATGAAATCCTAAAGTGTGACCATTTAAATGAAAGCTACTGAGCAGTACTTTCCTGTGGTACTGTTTATTATGCTGTACAAGGTGGTTCTAGCTTCTGAATCGTTGGATGGAATCCTAAATAAGGGCTTTCGTATGTAAGCTTCTGAGCTTTTCTTTCCTGCAGCACAATTTTTTTTAGCGGTACAAGCCGTTCGCTTGAGAAGTTGCGAAGCACCATCCTTCGCTTAGTGTTTTATACGTGCATGAATTGAAGAGCCGTTTCACAGCCTCAGACGGATCGACAAAACACCAAAAAAAGCGGAACTTTGTCTTTCGCATACATGCAGTGGGCATAAATTGATCTGTTTAGATGTAACAAGACTGAGCTGAGGAGGGAAAATCGTACGATGAAGAGACAAAAGCACAATGCATTAGAAATAAAATGCGCAACGATAGTTACTCTCAGTACTTAATTTACTGGTACAAAAAAGAGCGAATTTAAAGAATACAAATGGTGCTCTTATTTATAATCGAATATGAAGCAAGGCGTCCTTGCGAGTTCACTTTTCGATTAGTCTCCCTTACACCCATACATACGGCTGAAACAACAAAGGGGGGTTGAAACATTACGGTAGGAAATCCGTCATCTTCGAATTTCCAGTACATTTGCTCCTTGACTTACATTATTTTTTTTATCGAGTATGGAAGTTTTCAGTCACCAGCTGCACAAATATGATATAATGCAATTTTATGATTAATTTTAAACAAAAAACACTGATATTAGAATTAGGCAGTCTTGTCTCGGAGGATTAAGTTCGAAGCACAAAAGTTTTCGCTTCAATGTAGTAAAACAGGTGAAAAAAAATATTACCAAGAGAGTACAGAATTTAAATCAAACTTGAATCACAAGGTTATACAAACAAGAGGCTTAGAAAATAAACCGAAATGAAGTCTGAAATTCATTAATCAACGTGAAGTTTACTTGATGTCTTTAAAAACATTTTTAAACGTGTGGAAATGCGCCAATAACTAAAGACTGCTTTGCCTTATAACCTGCCCTTCATTAACGTTCAATATTATTCATCAAAACAAAATGCTTTTATCCAAAATTCAATAGAACACAAAGCCCAGCTGGGTAGCTTTCAATGCTTGAGAAAGGTTAAAAATCGCGAGTAATTTTATACGGCAAATAAAGACCACAGCCATTTCTTTTTTCTTCATCTTCATGTTTTAAAAACGCCGTCACACTCACAAATACTTACTATAGCATAAATCATTGTGAAATACTTTCTATACGCGACTTTCTGAAAATAACTCTTCACGAAATTTAACTCTTAACGTTGAAGTAAAATTAAATAAGTCACTGCCCCCCTGAAGTTCAGCTTAAAATTCTTTAGCTTCCCGACATGTCAGAAGTTCATCAAGGATTTTTAAACAAAATATTAGAAGTTTTTTCTCCCGAAATCTATATTACGTTAGAAAAATCGCTATTTTTGCACACATTAAGTTATTTAACTATCCTTTAACGTAGACAAAACTTTAAATTCAGAAGCAAAAAAGGAAGTTTCGACTTGTTTTGCGACAAAAGCGAGCTCGATAGACAAAAGATGACCTATTTACGAGGTCTTTCCATTTTTGACAAGTTGATACATTTCCAAACTCAATTTGCGCCTCAGAAAAGCATTTTGCGACAAAACACTGTTTATGGTAGATCAGTACATTGTTCGAAAGGTCCTTTAACAAGCAATTCTCTCTTTTGTGGTAAAGCAATTAGCATTTTTCACAACCACAGCCAGGATGAGAAAAAAATGTACTTTCACATCGTCTTCGTCAGTTCGCAAGAGTTCGTCCACCTTTGACGCAGTACAACTTGGAAACAACGTTGAGCATTTACAACGAATAAACCCTCAAAAGATTTATCTAAGGATGATCAAACGTTGTTTCATCGCCTGTCGCTTTCTTCGTCAAATCCACACTGTCGGCGTCATTTATTTTTTCCACCCGTTTTTCAGTTGCCCTCGTTTTCTGCAGTAAACTTTTCGTTCCAACCTCGGGTAGAGAGTTTTGTTTCTTTACGGTTGCATAAAAGTGAAATCCTTCGCTATTCTGTCCGTTTGCTGCCGATGAATTTACCGGCGAACTTGGTGATTCTGGTTCGTTAGGACTACATCCACTGTCCGAGTTGGCTCTTTGATACATTCTTCGTCGCTGAGCTCGCCGAATATATGACAGCATTGTTACCTGTTCGTTGAGTATGTTTTCCCGTTAATCCTTCGCGCTGACCGTCCGCAAGTCTTTCCCAGCCTGTATCTCCTGTGTAAATATTCGTATTTTGAATATTTGCATATTACATTCAACGTGATTCTTTGACATTATGAATAATAATGACCTTGATTCAAAGCCTTTTATGGTCATTTTGGTTAATATTTCGGACTAGAACATCTTCAACAAATAATAAATATCTCGAAAAAGGCGTTAACTCCTCCAGAAAACAAAGAGAAAGAAACCAATGAGAAACTGAAGAAAAAATAGCCCGTATGCAATTGTTTTAGTGTTTTTAAATCTCTAAGGCTCGGTCGAGATATCTGCTTGCTAAGGTTAGTTTTCCCTAATTCTCGAGTTTTTGTACAAAAACTCTGTTTTGTTACTCACAGCTTTTCAAGCTGTGGAAACAATCCACCAAAGAGGCGGAAATATTGCTGATAAATTTGAGTGAAACGGTAAATAACTTCTTTAATCACGACTCTACGGAAGCCTACGATCAAAATATTATTCTTGGGGCGCCCTTTTCGTCTGGTTTGTTTGCTTATCAGGTTTATTTTTCAAATCGCAAAAAATATCCCGCCGACTTTTATCTCTGCGATCCACATCATGGGAATAAAACTGTAAAAAGCCTCTGCACATTTGTTTTGAGTGTTTCCTAAGGGACTATGACCCTTTCATCCCGTGGGCAGAGATCTTCAGACGTGCTTAGATGGCAACTGAACAAAATCATTTTGGAGCATCCCACATACCCTTTCATAAACGACATCTGTCGGTTAATAAAACAAGGTGATTCAAAACACGTTTCTCCTTGGTTTAACACCTTTATTTTTGTTCATTTTTCAAAACAAATCATTTGGGAGCACCCCACATAACCCTTCATAAACGACACCTGCCGGTTAATTTAAAGCAAGGAGATTCAAAGCACGTTTTTCCTTGATTTAATAACTTTATTTTGGTTCATTTTTCATAAATAAAGACTTGTTTAAGTCTAGTATATACTATCTTCACAAGTTCATATTTTCTGCAAACAAGCTCTTGCGTCTTGGCGACACGTGGGTAAATAAACGATTGATGATTGATTATATCAGTTTTATCCCACAGATAAATCTCTTTATGAAACCAGAAGAACAGTTACATCCACACAATTCGCTAAAACTTATCGGAAAAAAATTTGGGAGGAAGTTTGAAATCAAGCGGAAATTGGACAGTCAGTTGTTGTTTTAAGATATCTGAACTAAAAATACGTGAGATTTTCAACTTATTCAAGAGGGAGACGGGAGAAATTAACTACGGTAGTGGATCAACAATTTTGCCCAAGGCTATACAGTAGTTGTTGAACAAAGTAACCGACTGGTATCCTCCTTCATTTCCATACCGTAGTTTCAGGAATGGAAAAATAAATATAATTAAGGGCTTTTTTTGAGCAACTAAGTATATTCCAGGATTCACTAATTCGTTTCCTTAATTAAATAACCACTCAAAAACGTACGTTTATGTACAAACGACAAACTGCAGTGAATAAATAAGAACTTGATTCAAAGGGAGAAGTTGACGTCATCTTCCTCTTACTCGCCCAAGTCCTCTCCCCTTCCCCTTTCCCCTACCCCTCCCCCGAAGAGTTAAGGACACGTCTTTAGGTCCTTCGTAACAATTTTGATCATCGCCGTCGCTATCAGTGCTGTCAGAAGCAGAACTGTCCTTTTCAGCATAGTTCTTGCGTTTCTGTCCCCTTCTGGGGCCAGGTGCCTTTCCTCTACCCCTCCCCCGACGTATTAAGGACATGTCTTTACGTCCTTCGTAACAATTTTGATCATCGTCTTCGCTATCAGTGCTATCAGAAGGGGAACTGTCCTTTTCAGCATAGTTCTTGCGTGTCTGTCCCCTTCTGGGGGCAGGTCCCTTTTCCCTACCCCTGCCCTGGTGAAATACAGACACAGGGTGGGGACCTTGGTAAGCGTTTTCTTCTTCACTTTCTGTGCTATCAGAAGTAGAAGCGTCTTGTCCACCAACGCTTTTGCTCCCTTTAGCGATCTTAAAAGTAGAACTCCCAGAATCTTCATTTTCCTTCATTATGCCATTCTCCTGCGTGCTGGGAATTTCGTCTCCCCTGTTTACGGTCGATGTCGAACTCTGAGAAACATCACATCCTTTGCGAGTTTTAAAACCTTTTTTATGGTTGGAAAGTTTTATAGGAGTTAACTCAATCGACAACTCCATATTGGGACTAGTTTGAACGTTCTTGCGCAGTCTCCCTCGCCCGCGTCCTCGGCCTCTGTAGCCTCTATCAGAGCGGTTTCCCGTAGAAGAGCACGCCCCAGTATTCTCTTTCTTCGCACGCTTTGTTCTTGTTCCTTTACTTTCATTTGATTCTTCTTCCTTTGAATTGGTTTCCGCTGAATGCGATCTCTTTTTACCGCTCCCCTTTGATTGCGTCGTTTTGTTCTTTGGCTTTTTATCCGCAGATTTCTTTGGTTTCCTGTTAGTTTCGTTCTCGCTTTCATACGAAGGATTGAAAGTACGATTCAGCACTCGACGAATTCGCTTGCTCTTTATATGTCTTGCTTCTTGGAAATTCACGCGGAAAAACTGAGTGATCGTCAGTTGAGTCTGAAGAAAGAAAGAAAAAACAGTCTTTCGCTATGAACATTTCCGGTTATTTTCACGAGGGATATGGAGGGAACAAGCGAGATGCATCCCTATGTAATCCTTTGTATGTAATCCTATGTACGTTATTCCGGCTTTGTAGGTCCGTACTACAGACGAAATTTTGACTATGAATACTAGCTGCCTTTTGCGCTTTGAGGGTCTTTAGGTGTGTTGTTACAAATGTAGGAGGCAATCGCACATTCGTTACAAAGCTTCGTACCGACTGTCGGCAAGCCTCCTTTGTTTCTATGCGTGATCATGTTATAACATTATTCCAAGTCTTCGGTACAACGTGTTTATTGATCACGAATTATTTTAGAATACAAGGTTCAATCCTTGCTGTTCCTATTCCTCCGGGAGAACCCCCGGGATTAATACTTTCTTTCGGTACCCTTACCCTCGGGAAAACCCCGGTCATAGACGTCTTGCGGTAACCTTCCCTTGGGGCAAACCCTCGGGACAAGGTCTGTAAGGGCAAATACTCTCATTATTGTATAACAATTAATTCTCTTTTGAGGATATATATTAAGAGGCGATAGCATAATATGATTTCTCTAAAAGAATTGACCACGATATACGCGGAAATCTTTGTTTGTTTTAAAAAATTGCGCCGGTTTTGACAGAAGTTGTATGCAAAGAGCACAACATCAACTACGGTAAGTTATCTCAGCTCTTCCATCTTCCAAAAAAAAAATACTGATGTCGATAAAAAGAGTCCATAAGTCAAATTTACCTGATCCTTGTTTAGTTGTTTTAACACAGGTAAAAGAAGCTCATCCGTCCTAGTAGAAGACCAGCCAAGCTTGTCCAGAGCAAACTTGTGCAAGTTAAGGTCTCATCAAAGCTAATTAACTACAAATTATAAGACAATTGGTTTCCAATAAAACAAATTAATTAAAACATATTTTAATTAATTCCTTTTTACTTATATTGTTCAAAGGATATAATCTAAGAGAGTGCAGATCAGGTTTTCCCCATTCAAATGTCTCCGTTGATTCGTCAACTACAGGATGGAGATAAGCATCAAAGACTTCTTCGGAAGGAAAGCCGCTTGGTAGTGCAACTGACCTCTATAAGACAAAAACAGACATATTATAGCGGGTCTGAGTTGTCTTGGCTCGCCTTGCGATTGGCTGAAAAAATCTCGGGTCACTCCCTCAACCAATCAGAAGTAAACCAAAACAATCGCCATTCGTTGGCACGTGAATGCATATGGTACGTGCTTTTCCCGCGCTTTAACGCGCTTACAGGCGACTCTCATTTAACCATTTCACTGTTTACTTTTTCGCGATTAGGAGTATTCTTCTTCTCTCACCATTTTTCTTTTGACTTTGGTTTCTTGAGGAGCCTTTGTTTGATTTTGCGCTTCGTCATGCCACATTCTGCAAACAAGATTAAGGAAAATATTTATTTAAAAGTAAGCGCTACAAAACACGACAGGTCAAAGAAAAATGTAGTCATAATGGACAAAGCTTTTGCTCGATTAAACAAGAAAGGATGACTCTCGGAAGGTCGTAACCGACTTGAATTTTCTCAGTGCTTCAAGGCCTTCACCAGAGAACTCGTGCAAAATCTCCATTGCTCCAACTGGCCCCACACCTACAATCAAAACAAGGACGAATGGTGTTATTTAAGGGTAACTGTGCCGTCTTTCCTGGGGCCTCTCTCTTATGTAATTAGCTTTTGCAAAGCGCTCGTGCGGATAAACGTCTTGGCAGACTTTAAGAGAAAAAGGAGGAGTGTTAGTCGTTGGAGGGTCTTCTTGGGCAAAGACAAGAATACGTCCTAAACGAATTGTGTACGTTGCAGTATACCTTGTATTCCTTCAGTGTAGTCACTTCCAGTTATGAAAGCAAGGCAGATCAGTTTTAAACGGTTCATTGCTGCAAGAAAAAGACGGTAGAACATACAAGCTGTTAAATCGTTTACAAGGAGTTGATTTTAAACAAATACAAAGAGTGTCCTGGTGTTGGATTTTTGTTTCAGAGTGTACTTTGTCTACTTTATTGACTTTAGCATGCACGGTTCATTTTCCGTCTTGGTGAGGGTCTGAATAGAAAGTTAGCGCTCACTTCGGTTTGGGGATAGCGGTTGCGTGTTGATTCGCCCCTGGTCACGTGTTACACTGCTGAATGTTTGCGCACAAGTAAAAAATTTTCACGGGCTTAGGAAGGGCTGGCTGCTGACACGTTTCGCGCACTTTACTTATCGCAAATTTAGCAAGTGCTTTCTCGTGCTTAGTGGACCGGGCGAGCATTTCCCTTCGCGCACCGGCCAACTTTGCGGCAAGATTGCAACGTATTAACTCTTTACCGCGCTTGCAATGGCTATGATAAAGAACACTAACCAAGATTTTTCTGCACCGTGTCGCTTTCGTACAGCTCAGCGTATTCCTTCTGATTGAAGATATTCTTATAAACCCGCGTCCCTCCAAACAGGAATATATCACTGTCGTCTGTGATGGAACCTTCAGTCAAACCCAAGGCATCTAACATGGCACACTGTGCTTCGGCCTCCATCGGGCTTACAAGATACGGGACACCAAACAACTGAAGTAGCTCCTGATTTGGAGGGAGGGGAAAACGGGAAAATATCAATTGAATGACGGACTCAAACGAAACAGTACTGAGAACAGATTGAATATTAAGCCCTATGCAGAGCCTAAAGTTGTACCTTTGTCATATTACTAGATACAAACTGGTGCAAGAAATTGGCTGTATTACTTGAGAGAGATCTGGGAGAAGTAGAAACTTGGTTTTACTTTTTTTATGCTGAAGCCAGTTAATAACAATCCATGACAGTTTTTTTATAAACGGAAGATTCTTCAAGTCTGACAAACTCGGATAAATTTCGAGCTCTCAACCTGCGTCAGAACGAATCAAGGAATTGTGTTTTTTTGTGTGTCTTACACATCATTAAAGAAACATTTTCTCGCTTTTCGTCTTGCTTTTTAAGTACCTGACACTCCGTGAACATCTCATTCGACACTGAAGCTGCCACTCGGTTCTGTCGAGCTTGCTCGGTGGCCAACGTCTGTTGTTCAGCTTCAATGTTCTGCTGAATCTCTTCCAAGCCTTCCTGAAGAGAATGAAACATGGGTGATTGACACTAAAAAGACTGAAAAAAGCTTGAAACGAGAGGGAACTGGAGCCGACATGTATCCCGCAATTGTTTCTGGGATGGTTACTGGGGACGCGTAGGTCAGCTATTGGCCAATTTTAACCTCTCCCTAGCAACAGTTCCAGAAGTCTTGCAAAAGTTAACTCGGTCCAGTTTCTTTCTCGTTTCTAAAGTGAAGAATTAACTTACCATTGAAGCCCCCTGCCATTCCACAGGGAGCCCAGAAGGTCCCGCCTCTTGTTCATCCACAGGCATACCACCTTTACTTTCGTCCAAGAATTCGTCACTCTCCAAAACTGGCCCTTCAGCGGCGTCCGGCGAAGAATGGTCTCCGTCTATATCAGCTGTGCTTCTTTCTGGGGACGCAGTTACCACTACAATGCCACTTGATGTAGCCTCGATTTCCGTATCCCCTTCATCGGGTTCCTTTACATCTTCCTCGTTAACAACGGTCGCTTTAGAGTTTGCTGAAAGAAAAAATAAGCACTGCATTTCAGTTTGCATCACTCTTCTCTCCGTAATCTAGCTATGCCGTTTTAACTGGTTAAGTCTCTGGATAAAACCCCAAAGTAGATGTTTGTTATTCTGCGAATTAAGATCTTTGAGATTGAGAAAACTGAAGCGAACAGAGTCACTTTGTTATAGCATCATTGTAAACAAAGACAAGATAATTATTTCTCACCTTCATCGCCCTCCTCCTCCTGTTCTTCAACTTGCAATTCAGCATTAACGTCTATTAAATTCACCAGTGTAATATTCTCACTCCTTTTACTCTGAACTTTTTCATCTTTATCTTTGGTTAAATCCGTAACTTCCTCAACCTCAGAATCACTTTCACCAACACAAACTGTCTCCGATGTAACAGGTTTGTCTTGCACGAGTGGCTGATCTCCAATAACTGAAGAAGACCTATCGTTTTTTGTTTCTTCCGAATCATTATTACTACAAACTTGGTCTGTTTCTAAGGGTTTGTTGGCGTCCATCGTATCTGAGCTGGAACACAGGATGTCTCTTTCCTCTGCAATTTTATGCCCGTCCTGTGTACTGTCAGTTAAATCAATGATGGTTTTCTGCTTTTTAGAGTTTTCCCACTTTTGTATAAGATCATCAAGTTCTTTTTTCTTCCCTATTATCTGCGTAAGAAGGGTTTCGTCGTTATCACCTGATGTTGAGATCCCTTCCGTAACTTGATCAGGCATTTTAATAATTTTCTTTGTAATACCCCTTTCTATCACATCTGCTGCTGTACGCTCTCTGTCCGGGACAAACTGTTCTTGATTCACAACTGTATCACTCACTTTATCAACCGCATTTATCGACGTTCTCCCAAGCTGCTTTTGATCTTCAACTGAAGAAAAACTAAAAGTATTTTCCTTCGCTCGAAGACTCGTGGGGGAAACACCAGCTTCTGCGACATCCACAAGAGGGGACAGAATTTCCGAGTCACTTGAAAAGAACTCTGGAATATCAAAACTGGGAACATTTGGTGGCACGGACTGTTTGGGTCGTGGATTTGCCCAGCTAACTGCTTCAACTTCCTTATTTTCACGGAAAAATCCTCCCTCGCCAGAGAAATCTTTTGATGTGGATCCTGAGAAAAATTTCAATAGTTCCTTATATTCTGTGTGTGTCATAATTTAACATAATTATAAAGTTTTTGAAGTTGCAGGGTCAATTTTCCTTTCATCATTGGTAAGAGGCAGTAGGTAGTGAACAGCATTTATATCAAACAGTGTTGCATCTCAGAGCAAGAGTCTAGTTTATTTCTGTCAACAATAATAAATCGAAAGTAGACTCTGCTAGAAGTGAAAAAAAATATTAAAATGTGCTTCAAAAAGGAGATAGATTTTGGTACACAGACGTCACTCTAAGATGCGGTCATCTCCATACAATGATCACAAGCTTTTTCAGTTATACATATAATGTAAACTTCATAACAATACAGCTGGAAATTAATAGTGGGAAGAAGTTGACAATCTATTCAAGCCTCAGCTTCTAAGATTTTGTCTTTTAAATACTCCACAACCATAGTTAAGAAGAGAAGAAACAAAATTCAGAATGTGTCTGAGAAAAAGCTGGAAAAGTAATCAACCTCAAAGGTTAAAAAATATGAAATCCTTAAAATCAACTGCATACAAGATCTTCTCTTACCAGCTTCCTGGTTGTCTTTTTCTGGTTCCCGTTCATTATTCTTGATCAAAATGTAATGAGCCGAGTCTTCTGACAAAATCTTTTGTGATTTAACTGCAGCGTTTTTGTCGACTGAATCCTGAGGAGCGACTCCAGCCAGTTCTCCTGAGTTTCTGTTATTCATTTCTTTACGAAGTTCATCCAGTCGCTGATTTAGTTTACCTCGTTTTAGCACACCCTCCAACTGAAAGGAGGAAAAGTTGCCTGCTTGCTGAAAAAAAAACGTGCATTTTTAAAATTGTATTTGAAGAAAAAAGGCTGTGTTCTGGCAGTACCTGGTTGCCTCTGCCGCTTAACTTTTTTTACCGGGCAACTACAAAATATTGGTTTTCTCATAAAAATCATAGTCGAGCACCCTGCAGAGCACTTAGCTCCCGTCAATTTTTATAAGAGCACAGGCCTGAATAATTTAATATAACTCCTGCCAATTGCAGTATGTTGTTGAAACATCATCCTTTTTGAAATAAAGGTTGTAGTTTTTGCTTAATAGAGTGTTTTCACTCACGTGGCCAGGATCTATGCAAATTTATTAGAACAGAAGAAAGCGTTTGCATAAGAAAAGAGTTCAACTCTCACAGGACACCAACATGGCCAACCTTTCATTGTTTTGGGACACCAATATGGTCCCTATGACGTCATGTGAAAACACTCTAAAATAAGAGCAATATGATTTGTTGTTGATTTATTTCTTACCAAAACCACACCTGTAAAAAAAGGTTATTTTCTAAACTGTGTACCAAAAATAACTTATTTGTGCTCTAAACTCTCACTCATAAAACAGATTGATATGATACAATAACAATGAATTTATTGTATAGGACGAATAGGTACAGCAGTGCCCATAATACGCAACCTGAAAAACAGCTATTTCTTACCAAAAACACACCTTTAAAAAAGGTACTATGAAACAGAGAACATTTAACACTTAAAGGCTGCACCCCAGGATCCAATAGGAAACTAAACTATGGGTCAATATTCATGGATAACTTAGGGCTAGCATCAAGGGCTGGTGGTTTGGAATTCTCCCAGTTACTATGAATTTGACCTTCAACTACTTTCATAGGAACAGCAAAGAAAAACAGAACCATGAAAGAAATTCCTAGCTGTTTGACACCTTGCCTACCTGTTGTATTCACTGGGAACTTAAAGTTACAATGTAGTGACAGCCCTGATAACTGATGACTTAGATTTTGCAATGTTTCCTACTAGCAGTACTCAAAGACTTTTGATAGAAAACAGTATCAGTTACAGCGTTTAAATGCTATGTGACAATGAAGGGGCTAATGAAAGTATGTGTTGTTAAGGATGAAATTCCGGGAACACAACAATGATTTTAAATCATAATATTAAATATAATCTCTATACCCCTGGCATGTCAGTTTTTTTCATGAATTTTCTCTCTTCTTTCATCTCTTGAATCAACTCGTGTTGAATTTCTGCAGGCAGTGACTGAAAGTCCTCCGACTCAACATTTATAGAGGTTGGATCCTGATAAGTTTCCTGTTAAAAAAAAAAACAAAAACAAAAAAACAGAAAAAACAGTGTTCATATTTCAAACTGTAGCCCAATCACAACTTAAAGGGAGTTTGGCTGTGATATTCTGAGAAACAAATACTACTTTCACAAAATGATCTTGAGTTTGAACGAAAGTTTAATATTATTATTGTAGAACAGAAGGGGTGTACTCTAGCAGACCAGTTGTTCCCAGACAATACATTTTTGCTCTTGGATGGCTACGAAATATTAGATTTTTTTGTAAAAATTATGCCTGACACATTTTAACAGCACAGCCGCAACAATATCACACATCCCAGGGAAGTAATAGTATTTACTACAAAGGAATAATGAGTCAATAGTTTGGTGCTTTTTCTCTATCACTCTCACCTCTAACTGTTGGTTACGGAATTGATCCAGTAACGGAAGTTCCAAATCCTCATCTTCTGAAGAGCTGTGTTTAATAAAACCACCACATGAGAAAACAAGCTGTGCTAACAGTAATATATTTACAGACATGTAGAGTGTAAGAATCCTAAAAAATACTATAGCTGTCAGGATAGTGGAACATGTATGATTTTGGCTAACAAATTGTGATGAAATCTCTGTTTCGTTTACTTTGCTGGATGCTGCAAAGAACTCTACTAATTGAGTGCTTCCAGAAAGCATCTTTACCCACCCAGTGGAGGGTCAACAACATTTTTGAGGGGGAGGGGGTCTTAAAGACCAAAAACTTTAAAGGAAATTATGAAGACAAACTGTAATTTCCAGAGGCTGAAGTCAGGTGGCAGTTTAAACCAACAAACAATCCATGGGGGAGTATGGCAAATTTCTGGAAAAACAAATTGAGAGAAAGGTGCAGAAAATGATGAAAGTACCCTCAGATAGCCCAGTGACAGCAAGACAGAAAAGTCAGGGCCTAGTATGTACTCACCGTAACTAGTTCCCTGGTCGGCAAGTATTTACAAATGTCATTAAACATATATTTTTGTCATGTAGGTTAGCTGCCTCATGTTTGACCATACAGTAAAGCAAGGAGATCTCAAAGGTACCAATTAAAATTCCAAACCTTTTATTCTGTACACTAGCTGTTGTTGTTGAGGGTATTGCTGGTAGTTCAAACACATCCGGCTCTCTTGGACTCCTACTTCTTATGGTAGTTTTACTAAAATAAAAGCAAATGATAAATTATGATATATTATTATAAAATAACCTTCCCATTGTGACAACTATCAAGTGCAGAAAATTTAGCAAGAAACATGAACTCACAATGAGCAGACAATAAATTATTTGAAGGAAGTATGCAAGGCAAGTTTAATGGTAGGTGGCATGGCAAAGCAGATACTGTGGAAGAGTTGCAGATTATCCCCATGAAAAAATGAGACAACACTGCAGAAGTCTAAGCTGGTCGAGAGAGGGTTAGAATACCTTTTACGTCCGGTGACAGTTTCCAGAGCTTTGGCTTTGAGATAGTTCTTGACAATTCTTTCTGCAGCTTTGTTAGACCCATGTACAGCTTTCAAATGCCTTTCCTTTCTTGCTGCCTGGGAAGCAAAATATCATTGTCAAAAAAAATTTGCCTTAAATTCAGGTTATATTATACTGGAAAGGGATATCTATAAATATTGCAGTCCTGATGAGTTAGAAAGACTCATTGAAAATAGCTGCTCACGATTTTGTAAAAATTAGAATACAACATTTACCTCTTGATTTTATTCAACTACTCCTTCTCTTGGTAATGTCACCATCAACAGCATAGCAACTATATAAACCATACCCAATGCAAAATAATTTTTGATTTGCTCTGATGAAGGAGCTTCTAACAACTGCTTTTGAATCATTTGTTGTGGCTAGGTTACTTTATAAAATCACACCAAAAAATTTGAGTCTCAATCCTTTACTGACACAGCACTGTGGTTAACCCCTTCTTTTTTTGACACTTTGATCAAGCAACAAAGAGGTGATTAGCACTGCATTATTGATATTTACCAGCGTCTTTTTCTTGAGATGTGGCACTCCACCATCGAACACAAAGACTGGTTTAATCCTGTAATATAAAAGCTTGCAGACTCTATGAAATAAGCCAACCAGATGTGCATTGTACACTGGATTTCCATGCTTGTCACGCAATCCCTTTACAGACTGATTCAATATCAAACTGGCATCTATCACATGTTAAGAATTGTGACACTCAAAGCTTACAGCATACCATGTGATGATCATATAACATTCTCAAAAAAAGGCCTTTTTTTATTCTTTATTTTGTTTATTTTATCTATCTTTCTTAGTCTTAATTATTGTATTATTATTATTATTATATTGTCTTTTCCTTTTCTTGAGGGGGGGGAGTGGCTATTTGCGGAAAGCTTAGAAACACTGGCTAGTCCCGTGTTTCATCCCCTTACGTTTAAAAAGAATAATATTGGTTTTCAGGGCTTTCCTTAAGAGCCTGGGGCCGGGGATTTCCTCCAGCTACTATGAGTGTGGCCCCTGGCTACTTTCATTGAAAAGTAGAAGAAAAATAGAACCAAAAGAAATCCCTAGCTGTTTGATTCCTTGCCTGCTTGTTATATTTACCAGGCAACTTGAAATCTTAGTGACAATGCTGGTTTTTTTTTAATGTACCAGCACAAAATAACCATTGCCACAGACCAAACTAAACAGTCCTCTGCTTTAGTCTGTTACTTGAAGGGGTTACTTGTGAGGTAGGCTAACACAAAAGAACTCATTACTTCAAAAAAGACATAATTACTCGATTGTTATTTTTTCAGTTGTGCGGTTAGGTCTGTGCCAGTACAACACCATTGTAACATCAAATTTGCTGGGTTTTAATACCATTGCATTACACTTAAAACCTCTGAGTAAATAACAAAATTAAGCCAGTATTGTTAAATTTAATAAATCTGGGCAGACCTACGACTACCAGTTTCTTTATTTTGCCAATCTGAGAATCTGTGACTCGATCTGATAATTTGTTATAAGCTTACATACTAAATGGGATTTTCCCTCCGTGGTGTTTGGAACGATTGGGGGTTTTCCCTCGCCTAAAAGCTGTTTCAGTTAATACATACAGGGAAAATGTAACTTAAGTCATCAAAAAATATATCTGCATTAAAGGATACCCACTCCAAGAATTTTGTTCTCGAGAGATTCCAGAGTAACGGGTCGCCCAACACTCTGTAAAAGCTGCCAAAGGCCTTTTACTCCCATTTCTTAAACAGATTTCAGTTTCGGGGATACATCTATATCAGGAAAGTTATGCTAAATTCTCTCGTTCTCAGAAACTTGTCTGATTGAATGCTCCGGCGCGAAAACAGCATGAGAAATTGATGACAAAGCTTCTCTTTGGCCGCCATGTTGGAAGATTTCGCGCATTGCATTACGATGAATACCGCTGGTTGAGTCACGCGATGGCTTAATCAGAAGAAAAGTGAAACAAATTTTCGAAAATTTTTTTAGACGTGGGCAATATTTTTCCCGTAGAAAAGATGTCCTAGAAGGTGGTAAGGCTAGATTGTATTCGCAATATTATTCATAAACTTCGGTAAAGCAAGCAGACTTAGCGGTTACGACATTGAATGACCTTGACAGCAGGTGCGTGGGTTGCGAGGATGGGTAAATAGATAGAACCTTCGAGATTTGAAAAGCGTGACATTACGTAGCATCTATGAAAAGAAACTTTTATGCAAGGTTTTCATTCCCCGCTTAAAAAACAAGAACTTTTTAACAAAAACAAAGGGAACCGGAAGATAAAATATTTCAAAAAAAGACGAATTTGCTGTTTACAATTACTGTAAATGAGAAACGAGACGACGAATTTGTCACGCATTAGTTTCAGAAATATTTTGCAACTTTAAAAACAGGGAATCCGTTAAATTTCATTTCGTTAACGTTTCAATATCAGGACAGGAAAAATGCAGTCATGTCACCAAATAAAAACCACGCTTTAGAACATACTGGTTGTTTTGATCTAAATACCAGAACCAACATCCCTGGGAATTATACAATAGATCACAGATATAGTCCCCCTCCTACGATTTTCGAAAACAAAGCTAAGATGTTTTGTGGTTTCTGAGTCGATGACTTGGGTTTTTAGGGAAAAGCCCTCTTCTACTGGGTCATCAAGTTCCGTCAAAGTGGCCTTGGAATATTTTATCTCATTTTCATTTTTTATTTGTTATGTTTAAAAAGAACAGTCTTTTTTGGCCAAAGTTTCTTAGCTTGTGAAATAATTTGGACTAACGCACTGTTCAGTGACATCTGAGTAAAATAAGGAGAAAAGGTAGGTAATTTCCGAAAAAAAAATAAACAAAAAAAAAGAACTCTAACAGCGTGCTGTTAGCCTCCTCTTAGGGTTGTTACTTGGTGTTAGCAACGCGACGTAGCTTGCGTAGGAGAAGGGGGAGGGGAGGGGGAGTTGTCATGACCTCCATAAAAGATTGTCAGGAAAATATCGCAAATTTTTTAATTTCAAATATTATTATTCTTTTAAGATTAAGTACTAAAAAAGAAATGTCCTTTAAAACTTTGCCCCTATTCCACCATAGTCGCACTTGGGTACAATCACGTGACATTTCTGAAAATGACTATAAAATGTCTATGGAATGCTTTGTTTACAAGAAGAGTACCACTTATATCCGTTACATCATATTTGTAGGTACTGCAAGCTCTTTCAAAAAATAAAACCAAAACCAGTCTCTGATCATGGGTTCTAGTTCCGCTGGGGACACCATAGCATGATTAAATACACCACCAGAACAAGGACCAAATTCGGTGAAAAAATTACGTGGGTGTAAAATCTTGGGGTGTGATTTTTTAATATGCTTCCTGTAAGTGGCACATGCTCTGCGACGCAAATAATATCCTTTTTTAGACGCAGATCGTAATTTTCGAGCTTATAAATATCCGTTGAGTGCGTTGTTCATTATTTACACTGAGGTTGGCCTGACAAGACGACCTGACCTGATCAAGAAATATTCCCGACCTTTCAGTAACTCAGCAAAAGCTAACATGGAAAGTTTTTTGGATCCTAAAGTCGAGGAGCTACTCGCAGACAAATCTGAGACAGAAAGATTGCAAGCGATCGCCTTTTCGATCGCCTGTTTGTGTACTGGTCCTACACCGTTTCAGCCTCCAGATTATTATCACATCCCAAAACGAACAGGTAAGATAAATGAAATCAGAATCAGTCGAGCAACCACCGTTATATTTTAATCTCTTTCTCTTTGCTCTTGTAAGCTTTCATTCATTTCATGACTTATTGTAAGTCATATTGTAATATAATGACCTCTTCAAAGTTGTAACTCGTTGTCACCAAAATCAAATAATGATAATAATAATATATCTATTATGATATTGATTCAGAGAGTATAGTTACAAACAAAATTTTCTCTGTAAAATCACGTCCAAAGGCACGCGCACTGACCTTTTTTACAATTAAGGAAATAGAATACACATTTTTTCTGACTTTTAAGTGTTTACTCAAAAAACAAAAGCAAAGAGGTTAACATAAGACTTACCTTCCGTCATGTGAATGGAGACTTTATCAACGATATCCTACTGATGGTTAAACCGATTATGACATGACGATTAGCCCCCTCCTTACTTACGCAGCTAGTACATAACGATTGACCATATTTAGTATCCGCGTTATTTCGCCAAAATAATATATATATATATATGTGTGTGTATATATATAGTGAATCTGAATAAATATCGTTTAGCAGACGATCAGTTGTCTTAATCAAAATGGTAAAAAGCTGTGGACTAAGTCCGAAATATCATTTTAAATTTATAATACTGAGTTATTAAAGTCAACATCTATTCTCTCTTAGTTACGGAAACAGACGACGAAGAAGAAGATGAGAATGAGGACGAGGAAGATGATGAAGAGACAGAAGGCACCAGTGAGAAGTGAACGTCCACGGAAACAAACGTTTTTTGTTTTATCTAATTATGGGCAAAAAAAACGACGAACTGAAGTGGGATAAAACGGAAATCAGTAGTGCGCTCCAGTCCGTCACGCTTTTCGTACCGGATGTAACACAACGACAATAACGATACGTGATAGAGTCAACGCCGCTCTACAAACATATTTATATCTTTGCTGTAAATCCTGCGAAGTAAGAGAATTGCTTAACAGAAAGAACGGCAAGGACATGTATAAGAAATTTAGGATACATTAAATTCAGAATTAAGCAGTTATCGGCTTCAAATTCTGAGATGTCGTCTTGACTATCGCAAGTGATGTGAAATACCTGTAAATTTTTACTCCGAGGGCTATTTAATCGTTGATGTACATTTGTTTAATGTTTTCACATGTGTATATACCAATGAATAAATGTTTAATATTTTTTTCCTGTAAAGTTTGTTCTGCTGAAAAATGAAGACATGATATTCCGGAAGCAAAGGAACGCTGTACTATAAATAAAATGGATCTTGCCTTACGAAAAATCCTGCCAGCCAGAATAGGCTATTAAAAGAAACTGGCAGCCTTTATAGTAAATCGCAGGATGTGTGTAATGTGCAACTCCCCTTTCTAAGTTCGAAAACGAAAGATCCTTTAGAAACAAGACTTACCATGATGAATACCTTTTTAGGTGAAAAAATAAACAAAAGATCGCGTGAGTATTAAATAGCACAACAGCGGAAGTTAACTTTTCCTAATCGGAAGTAAGCGGCAGTTTAATTAATTATACCTCAATTAAACATAATTCCGTCCTGGAGATGCAAAAACTGAGAGAAACACTTGTGTATTTCTCTTTCAATGTTAATAACATGAGTAGCCTTTGATTCACCCAGGTTTTTAAGGTAATCTTTCCAAACAACTAGAATAGAAGCTAGTTTGATGGATCGTGGCTTGGGCTCCGAGGCCGGGAGGGGAAATACTCAGGTATTTCCCACTGATCGTTGTACTTCCTGGTGTTTTCAGATTGGAAACAAAAACAACCGTGAGATAAATAATCGAGTTCAAAATCATTTCGTAGTAGAAACAGCTACTAGACATAGATTCTGTGAAGGACGACAGAAACGTTTTCTCACTCGGTCTGACCACCCATTGAGTGAAGGGAATCGTCTGGTCAGATTCAGACAGCATTATGTTCCTTTATTAGTAAATTAAAAGATATATTTCCTCGATCACTTTAAAAGCACTTAAGAGCCTGTCTACCTGTATCCATCCAGTTATCCGGTATATACCTAAATTATTGATCCAGATTTATATTCCTTACCGAGAAACACAAATTTGAAAGAATTCTTTAATTCTAACTAAATTCCCCATTATTCAGGTACAAAAATAAATTTCAGCAAACGTTTCATTTTTTCCTTCCGCTCTCACAAATATTTACATTAGTTTATGTAACCAAAAAATTAAAAAAAAAGAAGAAGATAAGATACTTGGAGTTACAGAAACGTGACGTAAAGTTTAAGATTTTTAAGATGACGAACATTTGCTCCAGTCCTTTTGGCTACATATTCGCGAGGATTTATTTTATGATCTTTTATCCACTTGGTGTAAATCGAACCTAACTCTTCTTCCCGCCAAAACATTAACGTTTTTGTTCACTTTTATAGCGCCTGTTTATATGGAGGTGTGGGACCCCAGATAGGTGAGGTAACATGTGGCGGGTCACCTCGCCTTTCATGAACCGCGAACGACCTCGGACGTCTGAGAATCAGGCTATTGCTAATTAAGCAACACGTTAATTTGTTGAATAAAATCTATAAGACCTATAACTACATCTCTGTTCCAATTTCAGCAAAACACTGAAACGCAACGTGAATCGGTTCGTATCAATTGTTTCAGAGGAAAACAAAATTCGTAGTTTCTATATTTTTTTTTTCTTTCTCTTTTGTAGACTAAATTTCTGTCTCATATGTAATATTTTAAACTCCGTTCCTTCAATTTTCAACCGAACCCCGTCAAAACTAAGGATGCATTCGTTTTTGTTAGGAGAATTAAAACATACCACCATAACAAAAAATACTTAGACTCAGAGGGAAAAATTGTCCTCAAATTAGAGCCTAAACGTTCCAACACTGAAGAAAGGATAGATATCTCTTGCTATCAGCATTAATAATATCAGTTCTTCATTAAATTATCTGTTTTCTTATTGCACGCTGAGTCAACATATTTCACGGACTGCTCTCTGTGCTGCCGTAAGATTTCCCGCCATTTGTGTCCTTCGCGGCAATTGCGCTGTCGTCACCAGACCCTCTCCGCCCCGTGTTTCCACGACCATTGCCATTTTCTTCGTCACCAAGCCCTACAGCCGAGCTGACTACGGAGGAAGTATCGGACATCTCGGTATCTTTGAGTTTTTCAATAAACGAGGCCTTCTGCATTTGGTGATGAATGTTCGAAGCGATCATGCTCAGTGTTATGGATAGAATGGAAAGGCCAAGGAAAACAAGAAAAATATTCACGAAGACGAGCTGGAAAACAAGAGAAAATGAAAAGGTATCTAAGGAAAAAAAGTGTTACAAAAAAACATAAACTGAGGATACAATCGTCTCTTCTTGCTCCCCGTCGCTAGATACGTTTCTTTTCTGCGAATCGAAACATGTGTAGCCGCGGGTACAGAGGAGAGACGGCTTCATTCGGTTTTTTTAATGGCGCCATCCCGACCCAAATTTTCGCTCAATCCCGTACTCCCAATGGCTATTTTTGGCATCACGCAACCCATCCATACTTTTAATCCCAAATTTCGCCTCCATCTTGCTTTAAAATTACGAATCCCGGCTTTCAAATAAGGCAAATCCCTGATCCTGAAACACTTATTTCGGACTCTCGGTAGGTCAGGGTTATTAACAGCGTGTATCTTTACCTGTTCTTTCGCTGGTACTACATCTCCAAATCCAATGGTGAGGTAAGTAATGTACTGAAAATATAACGAGGTACCAAAATCCCAACCCTCGATCCAACAGAAAAGTCCTGCCATGAGCGCGGTAAAGAACACAAGGATTAGCAATCCCATCCATAGAGGCGCGTCAACTTGTCCTTCCCCATCGCCTTCTTGAACCCTGAATAAATAAATAAAAATCAAAAAGACCGTTTTGACATGACGTTACGTCCGCCATTTTGTCCTTGGCCAGTCGAACTATCGCAACTTAACTCTATTCCGCGTTGTTTGATCAGTCCCTGCAAAACTCTTCTTGACTGTAACGTTTTCAATTTGATCTATTTTGTCTGATCACGATCTTTTTGGATCCGACGTTGAGCAAGACTGATCGTATACGGTTTTTGCAGTGTTTTTTTTTTACCTTAACTAAACATTCAATGAAACGGCGGTCATGTTGGCGTCTTGAAGGATATGAACCTTTTTCTTAGACCTATGTAAAAGCTTTGTTTTGTTCCAACAAATTTGCTTAGCTGTTGGCTATTATGCGCTCCGAATGCGTGCTCATCGCCTCGGCGAAATAACAACTGAGTAGCCCCTAAAATAAGTGCCTTTCCCGTCCCAATGACATCACTTCCGCCATGTTGGTGCCCCAAACCAGTCCCATGGGAGTTGAATTCTTTCTTATGCAAACGCTTCCTTCAATGAATTTGTATAGCTACTAGCCACGTGACTGAAAACGCTCTATTAATGATCCCAATAATAATAAACAACTTACGTTCTCTCATATTCGTAAGATTTGTGCACTTTTCTGTACCACTTCAACATGAATGCGCATGCGTCGTTTATGTAGTCGCCGAGAATTTTACCGACGATAGCCAGCAGTGCCAAAGTCAGCGGAATTCCTAATAAAGCGTAGATGACACAAATGACGCGGCCCCAAGCGGTTGCAGGGGCTAAACTTCCATAACCTAAAAGAAAAGAGAAATTGAATACAAATGTAAGAGTTTCCATATTCTCTTCGCCTAGCAGTTTCATTTACCACTCGCAGAGTGGGCACGTGTGGAAACTGTGGTACAAATCATTCCGGCATACTCCGAAAGAAGATGAATATGAGTTTGATCTGAGTACAAGCGCTGCGGGCCTTATATACAAATTTAGCGAAAACTTTGCTAATCATTATCGCATTAATTAGTATCTATTGTCTGCTTTCTTTCCTCTGCTGTCCTTTTCTCGGAACAAAATTAAAAGATCCCTGACCCCTTTTTACAACTTAATTCGGACATTTCCGGGCCCCATTTCAGACTGCCGATTAAAATGTACGGCTGAAACTCTTACCCACAATCGTACATGTTAAACTTAAGTTAAAACCACATTTCTCTCCTGAGAAGTAAATAAGTAAATAAGTGAAACTGTCTTTTTTCTAGGCGTTGGCTACATTAAAAGATAAAAGGAGCTATTCGTACGTAGTCTATTCGCCACTTTGCAAACCAGAAGGAAACAGGGCCTAGTGAATTTTGGCAAAGACTTCCGGGACTGCCGCTAAGGACAGGGAAAAAATTGGCCAATAGCTCACTTCGGAAAAGAGTGATAGCTGGCCTGGAACCCTAACTAGCCGCGCGCGCATTTATAAGATTAGGGAGCTTTAGCATCGACGACGGCAACTGCAGCGAAAACGCCAGTTTTAAAATGAATTTCCGTTTTTTCAATCTTTGTCGCATTTATTGCAATTTGCTGAAAATGGCAAGTGTAGGCGAATTTCCCTGGAGTTGGTTTCTTGAGGACCGCACTCAAGTTTAGAGAGAGAAAAAGAGATTCGTCGTGGCTTGTTTACGTCCTCCATAAAACTTGCAACTAAGCATTTTCACATCGTAGTAGCGCAAGGACGGTAAAGAAATGTACAAAAAAGCGTGATACACGTGCAACGTTGTTGTTTTGAGTAATAAACCTATTGCTTTTTCGACGTCCTCTTTGCCGTCGCCGTCGTCGTTGCTAAAGCTCCCTGTTATTTGGGGGGACGTGGATGTAAACAAACATGGCAGAAAGCCATGTGAAATATTTAAGCGGAGTTAAAACAACTCAAAATAACAAAAACGAAGGTGGAATGGAAAAGGGAAAAAAACATGAAAATGTGAAGCTGAAGGAAGATGTGCCTGGGAGATTTTACGTCGAGAAAAACTAGAAGGATGCAAATCCCTGTGCTAACGGAGTTCAGCTTCAAATTAGCGTTCCGAAACAAACTTACATATTCTCGCTGTATATGTGTTGTTTTTGGTATTCTATAGAATGCCAGACCAGGGGAGTTTCTGAAGTTATTTGGGCACAAAGGCACTCAACAAGTTGCATGCCTCGACATAATACCAAGTGGCTGCTCACTTTGCCCCCCCCCCCCCAGACAATCCCATAAATACACGCGCGCTTAGTTTGGGTCCCAGGCTATCACTCTTTTCCGAAGTGGACTATAGCTGACCGGGGCGTCCCTCATAACGATCCCAAAAATAATTACGGAACACAATTCGGCTCAAGTCCCATTCTCGTTTCTAAAGTAGTGGATACATGACTTACCAATTGTCGTCGTTACTGTCATACAAAAGAATATGGAGTTATAAAGGTTCCACTCAGCTTTAGTGGCAGCAGTGCGCGTATTACTTATTTCAGCTAGAACACCTTCGAATTTCTCTAGATCCTGTGATGTAAAATTTCGTACTAAACTGTCGACTGGAGTGGGCAATGTCTTCTGTCCAAAGTCGGAACTCTGCCGGAAAAGTAGAAAAAGGAAACACTGAATCAAATAAAGCTTAAATTAGTAGGAATCATAGATTAGTGAGTGCGTTAAATTTTTTAGCTTTAAAGCCAAGCTTTAGTTCAAAACTGGGTAAAGGTCATGAAAAAAAAATTGAATAAACATTCTTTCTATGCTCTTCGCTTAAACGGCTTCATATTTAAAATGTTTTATTCACCCTCGAGCTTGGTCCAAAAAAATGAGAAGTGATCGTAGAAATCTATATGTTTAAAAGAAAATCATATTACGACACTACAAAAGTCCGAAGCGGGCATGGAAACGTCGAACGTCAACCTGGTTTTTTACGTGACACAACTTGAAGTTGACAATGATTCTTGGCGACGGAGACTTAGGTTTTTGCGAGATCACAGTTGTCAGTTACCCGGGCATCGCATAAGGCACAAAATCTTTTGCCATTGTGCAAACTGTTCATCTTCAGTCAGTTGATCGTGTTTTACTATAGGAATCCTAAGATTAGAGGTTGTGGTCTCATAACGTCGAACGCAGCTTTGGTAAAGGATAGTGGATTTATAAGATCACAGTAACAGCTTAACTAGGTTTTAAACAATCTTAAGCAGTAACTTTTATAATAAAACCGATAATCTGATGCACTATTCAAACTTTAAAAGTGGTGACAAGTACTGGAAAACTGATGCAATAGTGATGCTCACTCTGACGACACCTATCATATATTAATGTGCCTACCAGAGGCGCATTGGTTCTTGAAACAAAATATTCTTTTGATTTACTCGTTACACATTTGAATAACAAAAACAAATCTTGTAGACAGTGGGGTCTTCTATACACAGGTTGTTGAATCTCGTTTCTAGAGACCGCGTTGGCCTTGTCCAGCGGACGGACCCGTTGCTCCAGCCTGATTTAATTCTCTTTCGTGATTGGCTAATATAAAAATTAATGTATCCTAATTGGCTTGCCCAAGATATACACGTTGCTTGCATTGTTGTTGCTTACGTGCAACTACCAAACAAACTTGTTAAGCCTTCGTGCCAATTTCCCACACTACACTGTGTGTTTCTTATGTATATTCGTGTGTAATTAGTTGTGCGCACTGCGCTATTTTCAACTAAACAGATGACTTTTTGAGTTGTTTTGCCTTCCGTTGCACGAAGATGACTATTTATTTTCCTGGAGAAGAGACAAGCTTTCCAGAAAGGGCGTTTAAGTGTGTCGAAAACTGAGAAAACAAGTTAATTACAGAACGATCAAAAAGAAATTTAATTACCACTCCTTCCTTTTTGTAAGCGGATTTTCAATTAAAGGAAGAGTTTTTTTTACTCAATGGAAACGCGTTTTTGAGTAATGTTTGAAATCGAAGGATTTTGCGTTTAGTTATAAATCGGGTACGGAGGTGATTTGAACAAAAACAGTTTAAGTCTCAACGAGTAAAGAAACCGATGTCTTTATCGAACAATTGTGTAGAATGTCTATTTTTCACAATTAGCCATTCTTTAAGTGCAAGTTAAGTATTCATGAAGTTACGTTTTCGCAAAAAAGCACCACGAAACATTTTCAAACGATGCACGAACAAGAAATGGCTGGTGTCTTCCACACACGAGTTTTTAAAATTAGAAAAGAGTTCTCTTTTTCAAAACAGCTGATTATGACAGGGAATTCTTCAAGCCGCCCTTTTGTTTTAATTTTATTCAAGTTCATAAGTAAATAAAACAGCAAGATAGAGATTCACTATACTAAGATTTTGTGCAAATTCAGGTTGACAAAAAGTATAATAATGAAATACAGGTATTTATTCGGAGTCAGTTGACAGCAACATACTTTTCATTGAGAAAAAAAAGACAATGATGTTATTTACTTTTAAAGTATTACGATGACGAGTACTGCGTAAAGTTTTATACACAAAATAAAAATTTGCGTAGTTTGAAGCGCTTGGGCAATTCCTAACAACAGAAAATCATCTGAGAAACGTCTTAATACCTTGCGCGCGCCAATTTGGAAAAGATTCTCTTTTTTGGTATAAACTAATTCTTGTTTTGAAGTTTGCTTGTAAACTTTTTTGGATGTCGCAGAAGCACTTTCCAAGGTTAAAGCTGTCTTTTATTCTTGCCTACAAGCGTAACGGGCGACGCGCTCATTAAAAATGGATATGCTAAGCTTTGATCTAATGGAATTTATAGTCAAGACTCTTTCAGCGTACAAAAAATTATGGAACTAAAAATATGCATATATAAAATGAAGTGCCTACCATAGTTTTAAAGTTAATCAATGTTTTGCTGCGATATATTTAAATGGATAGATGGCACTTATAATTACGCTTCAGAGATTGCACTGTTTGTTGTGCTTCAATCCGCGGTATTGAAGCAAGGTTTAAATAATAAATGGCTCAGAAATGTCATATGTTTTTATTTGTGTACATTCTTTAAGTAGAGTGGTACAGCAAAAACTTTGATCTGCTTTTGCCCCAAATGATCAAAAATCCACTAAAACCGTTCTAGAAATTGTGTCAAATTATCAATGGCGCGCGCGCCTCTGTCAAGCAAACTTACCTTCAAAACATCGAAAATTTCTACCAACTCTTGTGTTGTATTTACAACGACTTTGGGTCTTCTTTCGAGCGCCATAAATATTAAACCTCCGAGTGTGAGATAGAGGGCATTCAGAAGTATCATGAACAGCGGAAAAGCAGCTCCTTTCTTCTGAATTTTTTTCTGGACCCATTTCAAGCATTTCAGAGATCTTTTCAACTTAGTTCTGTCAATATTCGGTAAATTCATGGACGGAAGAATTTTCCTTCGATCTTCTTCTTCATTCTCTTCTTTCTCTTTTCCTTTGAATAACTTCGGCATGTTTACTGGCGGAGAACAGCCGAACGTTGCGCGAGTATACTATTTGTATAAATTGGCCTGTCGTCGCCGTTAAATTAAGCGAAGTATGACAGTTTTTCCACAAGAAAAACTAGTTCTTCTGAAAACGTGAAAAACTGTTGATTATTGTGTTAATGAGATGCTTGCCTTCCAGATATGCCTTGTTCTGAGACACGAATTTCACTTCAATTGATTCCTGCAATTTTTAGGGCGCAGGAAATCGCAAATAAGTTAAGAACGCTGATATTTCTTCGAGATTCGAAAATCATTGGAGCGATTCAAAAACCACAGCCCACATATATTGTTACGAACGCATTGAAGTAGATAAAGTATTCAATCTGCACTCCAAAGCCATGTCCCGGACAATCGCTTGGCGCCTGTACGCTCACGTTAAAAATGAATTTAACTGCGCGCCCAATCATTGAAAACCTTCTCTACGCAGGGAAGATATCACTCCGAACATTTCTCCTTTCTTCTAAGAAGCAGGAAAGTGTTATGTGATTCCATCTTTTCATCTATGCGTGGAAACCTGCAACGAAATTATAATTATGAATTCTAATGCATTATCAAGTGTAAATACAAGGCAATCTATAACAAACGTTAATTTATGGTAGTGATGCGTAATTTATCTCAGTTGGGTCGCGCGCCACATAAACAACTCAGGGATTTTTCGTACGAGCTCATCACTCCGGCTTCTTTGTGAAATGTGAAAATAGCAATAAGAAAAGATTTTAAATTATTCTGGTTTCAAATATGAAAAAAATATATGCAATCATGGCAGTAAGTTAATTGTCAGGTCATCCAATCTCACGATGCGAGCACTGTTATTAAAATCTATTTGTCCGTAATCGCCTTTGAGTCGGTTGAGGATTTTTCTCCTTATACATATGTATATACATTTTAATTGCAGGCAAACAGGTGCAAGCACAGATGACCGTGTTTTGATCCAATCTGAATTATTTGTCAAAGGCTGGAATAATTATTTTGCACTTTTAAAAGTAATAGTTTCGGAAAATTACTAGTGTTTAATGAGAACAGTCACTTAATCATAGCAGATTTCTGATGGGCCAACATTTTTAATCATTTATAATTGAATGTTTACATGAACTTTGAAGAATAACGAAACAACAAACTGTTTGTTGTATCGTTCGTTTGGAAGTGAGGAAATTTTTCTTCGAATTCAATCGCTAAGGTTGTAAATTTGAAAGCAAAAAAAAAATGCAACGTAACTATACATGTACGTATAATGACAAAAATATTTCTTTGCGATAGAGTTTATCGTAGTCACATGCACATCATGATAAACTTGCAACAAGAAGGAAAACACAGTATTTTGACTAAACCACGTAATATACATCAATTATCGGGGCATTAAACTGCAAATAAGTTGTTAGTAAACTGCAAATAACTGTTGGGAACTTTGGAACTATAGTAACTATATATAAACAACGGTTTAATATCTGTAACTATGAACGAAGACAAGGGAAAATTGTTGATATACTTGAAAACTCGGACATGGCTGACTAAGAGATTGCGTCGAGAAAGTGGCTAAACGTTAAAATTCGAGAAAGTTCTTGGGAGCAGAGTAAACGCATGTGAACTTCACCTCGGACTGACCCAACCTCAGCTTCGGACTGAACGAGCCGAGGAGCCGAAGCGCCGGGCAGTCTGGGCAGGCGGGGGATTTTAAACAACGGTAATAATCAAGAACCTACAGAGACCAAAGTTAGATGTGAACGAAATCTCAGCCTTTCTTTTTGGAGTAGTATGGGTCAAACAGGACTGCTTAGTTTCTCAAAATTCCAACAAAACTGTTAACAGAGCTCCCGTTAGTGGGTGCCTTAGTTAAGGTTTTGTCGAGGTTTGCTGACATGCATATTACGCTGGTCATATTTTTTACGAAGGGCTCGCAAGCTTTCACAAAAGAAAAAAACACCTTTTAACACATTATTTGAATTTAAACAAATTTTACCCTTATTCCACTGTTATTAATTGAATTTTTGGGGAAAGTTTGGACAAAAGAGATATGTAAATGTACGGGAAATATAAAAAAGCAAGGAAAGTTTTGTTAATTCAGCTGACAAAATTATTTTTTTAAAAGTACATTTAGAATATATCAAAATATACACTACTTATAAATAAAATTATTGCCATGTGCCCATATATATAAGCTAATGATCCAAAAGACAGAATGCAAAACAAATGAGTGTTTATGATTCAAACCAAATGATTAGTACTATCTAGTCTCTTGAGAAATTAAAATGCGAGTTTTAAATTTAGTACACTAAAAGTTGCGATCGATCCGGCGAGATTGAAATTTTAAAAATTCTTTATAGTAGCATGATATTTTAATAGCAATTTGGACGTATGAATGCTAAGTAAGATTGCATAATAAAAACTGGATTATGATTATATGTTATCACCAAATGAAATTTGCTGTTGAATACTGAATTCAACTTCTCCTGATCCTGCTTTCTAAATAAATTCCCAAACCAAAATAACCAACACATACAGACACTGATTTCGCATTATACACATGTCTCTCCAAAAATCATTGTCGATTTTCAGTATTTTCGATATGAAAATATCCTAAAAGATTGTATAATAAAGAGAAAATTTCGTTAGTAGTTTTGGAGAACTAGATGATAAAACCCAAGCGGCTATTTATTGCACAGACCAACCACATAAGCACTACAAGTAAGAACTGAATTTTAGGATTTTGTCCATATGGTAATAGATTATTCAGTTTAAGGTCAGATGAAGTACAAGACCACTAAAAGTAGAACACAGAAAAACATTGCACCGTTTGACCCTGAGCGCACATGTCAGCATGTCACCACTAAAGAAAACGAGGACTATTTCTCCTTCAGCTTCAATTCTATGTTCTTTCGTGAAACGTGCCGAGATAGTTTAATCAGCTGAAATTATACCCCTATAGGCATAAGTCTCTGTCATGAAAACAAAGTCGGCACGAATTAAAGACACGCCCCCGAGCGAGCCGAGCGCTCGGCGAAGGCAACTTCGAGATTTGAAACAGTGAGCAGAGTAAGATCGTCAGCGATCAACTCCGCGATTGATTAATAAATCTTCGCATTTCGGGTGGACGTTTTCGCGAGGTTTGACGGTCGACGATCTGTTTGTTGACCCGTATTGGGAGAATAATCTAATCATCGTCAAGAAGTAGGAGTTCGATTCAATGTCGTAACTAGCCACTAAATCACTGCGAAATCTATCTCGTTCGTGTTTTTTATCAGTTACGATTGGCTTCAGCCAGTTTTCAAAGGGCTGAAATGTAAAGGACTTCGTTTAGATCCTGAAAAATTTGATTCAAAATCATTGCAATTGGCTGAAAGCCCCAGATTGTCAACCCCCCACTTTGTCATACCGACATTTCGACCGTGTACAGAATCAGTGTGAAATTTGACTCGCTTTGATTCCGAGGCTTACCGAAACTCCACGAATTTTGAAAATAACACGATTCTTTAGCTCTCCTTTGTTAAAAATGCCCTC